GATTGTGCTCATTTAGAGTGCATAAGCCCTTTGCACTCTATCTTATTCTTTTTCCATCTTTATCCGATCAAGCCTTCCTTGGTCGGGTAGTCAACGGTCTGTGGTGGGGAAGCATCTACAAAAGCGTACCCCGCGCCACGAAAAGCTTCGTGGTATACGCCTCCCTACACGGCCGACACTAGTTATTAGAATATAGATCGATGTATAAGTAAATTTACCTCTCAATTCACTATAAGAGGGTTGAACTCTGCTTACCCCTCTTTGTCGTGTAGTGATTAGTCTGCGCTAAAACCCGCAAATAATCTATCTTAACCCGAATTTATATAGAATTTAGGTCTTGGCGTATATAATTTAGCTTACTCATCTAGGTTAAATACTGTTGATTACGTATATTCTGGTTCTGATTTCTTTAAATTATTAATTTTTACTAAAATCACTTGAAATATTAAGAAACTCTTTTGAATATTAATTTATTATTAGTAGTTATTAGTTATATATTTTTATAATAATATAGTTATAGTATTATAGTAGAAAATGAATAGATAGGAAAGGGGTCCTTATTATATAGAAATGTATATTGTAACGTGGTTCACAAGCGAGTGACGCGCCCAAGCGAGTGACGCACCCACCCATTTTTTCGCGTCTCCGCGCGTCCATTCATCTTCTATCAAGCACCATGCCTCCAATTCGCGTCAGATCAAGCCAAGATTCTATCCAGCAAGAGGTCCGTATATTAATTGCTATATAGGCTATTCAGAATAAAGAAATCAGTTCTATACGCGAGACGGTACGTCGTTTTAATGTGCCTGAAGCTACGCTCCGCCGTCGACTACGCGGTACTACAAATCGCGCTGACACTCGCGCAAATAGTCTTAAACTGATAGATATTGAAGAAGAGACGCTTCAAAAACGGATTCTATCGCTCGATCTACGCGGAGCAGCCCCTATATGTTGGAATTTGAACCAATGCTACATTAGGTGAAGGTATCCTCTTATTCAACATAAGAAGAAGAAGAAGAAGAAAAGAAAGAGATGCGAGCATGATTTACCCCTCCAAACCGCTTACCCCTCTTTACCCCACCAGATCGATGACATATCCCTCATCACGCCATCAGCTCTATCACATTTCCTTCCCTGATTCTATTCTGTTTATCTGATATAAAGCATGTGACTTTGACCACTTTCTGTCTATAAATATGCGCGAGACACTAAGTAGAAATGACAGACCTTTCACTCTCTTCAAATATTCTACTATCCCTTTCTATCTGCTTAGAAAGACCTTCTGCTTAGTCCTTTGTTTGAGGATTGTGGATTATGCTCATTTAGAGTGCATAAGCCCTTTGCACTCTATCTTATTCTTTTTCCATCTTTATCCGATCAAGCCTTCCTTGGTCGGGTAGTCAACGGTCTGTGGTGGGGAAGTATCTACAAAAGCGTACCCCGCGCCACGAAAAGCTTCGTGGTATCCGCCTCCCTACACGGCCGACACTATATAAGCTGTTGGACAATAAGGACGGTGATACCACGAGGCCGTTCGTGGCGCCAACTAGGCTTTGCGTACCCCCTTAGTGTCTTATATCGCTTTATCCAACTGGTCGGTCCAAGTTGGACAAAGGAAGACTCTTAGGATAGACTACACACTAATGTAGCCTAAACGAGAACAATTCACGCTTTAACTCGTAGAGGAATGATCACACTGACTAACGGTTGCTTTTACCCTTTTGTATGCAAGACAAGCAAGAAAGGAACTTAGGCAGTTTCCAAAGAGAGTGAAAAGTCTGATTCTTCTACCTGGTAATCCATCGCGTATTTATAGACAAATATACCTCGGTATCATATGCTTCGGACCAAAGGAAATACCTCAAAGAGAAGTGATAGAACTGAATGGAAGCATACAGATCATAGACAATGATGTCATAGACAAGGCATAGTAAACGCAGATCAAGCGGGGTAGAAGCAGATAGAACAGCATAGAAAAGAGTCAAGAATCTAGGCGGTATTGACCGCCTATACACCCCCCTAGCGCGAGTGCTATTTACCCCTAAAGAAGGGCCATCCAACCCCCAGGAGACTGGTCCCCCCTACTCTTCTAGGGCTAAGGTCCATTTGGTCACGTGACTGTCGACCATCTTCCTCGCGCCAGGATATATAATGAATGTCCAACTAGGGTTTAGGGTTTCCTAGCCTAAACCTAGTTTTGTCCTCTTTTATGTTGAATAATAAGAGGGTAGATCCACTTATATGTATTGGTCGATATTCCAACATAAGCTTATGTACGAGATATGGCGAATATTCTCCTTATAACGCGCGGTTCTACCCCCATCCAGACTGTTGGCAAAAATTGGGTATATAACTTTATTAAACGACGCCCAGAACTTAAATCTCGCTTTTCCCGACGATATAATTATCAGCGAGCAGAACAAGAGGATCCAAAGATTATTCGAGCGTGGTTTGACCTCGTATAAGCCATAATTCAGCAATACGGTATCCTACTAGACGATATCTATAATTTTGATGAGACTGGCTTCGCGATAGGCCTCTATACGGCCCAAAAAGTGATCACTCGATCAGAATACTACGGTCGGAGATCAGTTTTATAGCCAGGAAACCGCGAGTGGGTGACTGCGATTAAGTTAATGAACGCTTCGGGGTGGGCGCTTCCACTAACGCTTATCTTTAAAGGCAAGCTATATAATCAAGTATAGTTTAAAGACCTTTCACCTAACTAGCGCTTCGAAGTCAGTGTAAATGGATAGATAACTGACGAGATAGGCCTTCGTTGGCTTCAAAAATAGTTTATTCCGTCAATAAATCATCGTACGCGTGGACGATATCGCCTTCTAGTCCTTAACGGACACAGAAGTTATCTAACGCCAGAGTTCGATCAAATCTACGCGGATCATAATATTATTCCGATCTGTATACCGCCGTATTCCTCGTATCTACTTTAGCCTCTTAATATCGGATGTTTCGCTATATTAAAGCGTTCGTACGGTAGTTTAATCGACCAAAAGATATGGCTCGGGATTAACTATATCGATAAACTTGACTTCCTTTTCATATACCCATAAGCTCGCGTCGACGCCTATAAACCAACTATAATACAAAATAGTTTCTGAGTAGCAGGACTAGTGCTAATTGATCCTTAATAAGTGCTATTAAAGCTAAATATTCAACTTCGGACACCGACACCTCCTATAAGCCACGGTAGTCAATCAAGCGCGTTTTACCTATATACGCCCGCGAACGTCGACGAGCTTTTGAAGTAATGTTGGAATTTGGACCAATGCTACATTAGGTGAAGGTATCCTCTTATTCAACATAAGAAGAAGAAGAAGAAGAAAAGAAATGCGAACATGATTTACCCCTCCAAACCGCTTACCCCTCTTTACCCCACCAGATCGATGACATATCCCTCATCACGCCATCAGTTCTATCACATTTCCTTCCCTGATTCTATTCTGTTTATCTGATATAAAGCATGTGACTTTGACCACTTTCTGTCTATAAATACGCGCGAGACACTAAGTAGAAATGATAGACCTTTCACTCTCTTCAAATATTCTACTATCCCTTTCTATCTGCTTAGAAAGACCTTCTACTTAGTCCTTTGTTTGAGGATTGTGGATTGTGCTCATTTAGAGTGCATAAGCCCTTTGCACTCTATCTTATTCTTATTATTCTATCTTTATCCGATCAAGCCTTCCTTGGTCGGGTAGTTAACGGTCTGTGGTGGGGAAGCATCTACAAAAGCGTACCCCGCGCCACGAAAAGCTTCGTGGTATCCGCCTCCCTACACGGCCGACAAGTAAGCATCCTTAATTAAAGCTTTCTTAAAGTGACGCTTAAAAAGCCCGCTATCGCCTTCGCAAACCGCGTTAAACCAGCTTATTAAAGGCTATCAGATCGCAATACAAAACGGTATCCTTCTCGAGCAAGAAAATAAGCAACTACGTGCCATAAACGCTACACAAAAGCAAAAACGTGCTCGTAAGAACAGATAGATAGCCCACGATAACAGTCTATCCGTACGAGAAGCATTAGAGCTCGAGGAAGCTCATAAAGAGCCCCCTCAGGTAATACTAGCTCCACTAAGCCTACTACCGCGGGACACACCAGCACCGAAGACGCGTCGTCCACCTTAATGCACTAATTGCGGAGTGATCGGACATAGAAGGAATGCCTATAAAGCTAGAGATTAATTAATATAAAGGCGTTGTGGTTGATTAATATGCATAAAAGTGTAGAAAATTTGGGTGGGTGCGTCACTCGCTTGGGCGCGTCACTCGCTTGTGAACCACGTTAGTGGTGGAACGCATGACATAATGAATACAGTTGCGGCCTGAGGTGTCACGAATATCTTAGGTGTAAGCAATGGCTTCTATATGAGGATGGAGGAGAGACACAGCAGCAGCATCTACCCAATTCCTTCCAGTTGTCACCACATTCTTTAATTCATGATGCCGCATTAAGTACATTCCATATGGCCTCAGTCGGAAAACCGTACGGCCTCATTTAGGATTGCTGCGTTCAGGATTGTCCGTACGGTCCCACGACCCAACCCGTACGACCTCACGGCCTCACCAAGGACACTTGTGATCTCCACTAGGACGACCTACACTACGAGTTGGTTGTTGGTGTGTTATCTATTGGTTGTTGTTGTCCAGTCTGCATTGCCAGACACCCATCGAGCCATCCCCATTTCAATCTTTAATACTTTATAAAGGTAGAGGGAGGGAGCCGCCCCGTGGGGTCCGCCTTTCATCAGCGTTGTCCACGGGCTCCGGACCCTCCACGTAACGAATTACCGTGGCTTACCGATTATTTGAGAACCTGAAATGGTGCGCAAAAGAGCGAAGATCTACAAAGCCTTGATCTAAGAGCCGTTCTCATTGACATGTCACTATCAGCGTAGCTCTATGAGCCTGTACGATATTTACCAATGCTCCCATCTCTCACCATTTCAAAATCTACTCATTTGCCCAATGGAATTCAAACAACTACCAGCTGCAAGCTCCGCTACTCATTCCGAAATAAGTGACATGAGCAGCATTCACCCCCTGTCCACCCTGAGCCTCGCAGCACTGAATCTCCTTTCCAGTACAGACATACGTGTTATAAGGACTAAAGGGGTCAATACTCCAGTATTCAATGCCAGAATGAACATAGCCCTGATCAGCGGGTGGCAGGTTTGGGATACCATCGTTGGTATGGGTGACCCGGAAGATCCGGGTTGTCGTAGGGCTCGCTGCTTCGAAACCCTCATCCATGTACGACGCATACGCTTGGTTTCCGGTTCGCGGTTCGCCAAAGGTGTACAAGCTGACACGATCGTATGTGGCGGACAGCTGAGCGGCAGTTATTGCTGCTATTGAGGCGCCCAGGCTGTTTCATATGTGTTAGTGACGTCGATCAAGGAACATCAATAGAGGAAATTAAATGAAAGGGAAGAGGGTAAGACAATTGGGAAAATGGAATGGAAGCATTATCTTACCTATGGCCCGTGACTGTCAGTGCATACTCCGGATAATTTCTGGTTTGCTGTTGAACGAGCGACTCAACCTGATCTTGGACAGAGATCCATCCAAGATAGTATCCGCCATGCACTTCACAACCGACACATTCGGGAAGGGTGTCAAAAGGAGCCAGAGTGTAGTTTGTATCGAGCTGCAGGTTTGTGTCACTACCAGTGCCACGAAAGACGGTGATGATTTCCTGGCGACTGTCGTCGCGGAGAACCCATCCATTGATATCTGTTTGGGCATTATATATCTTCTCCACCGTAGTTATTGTCGCCGGAATGTTGCATAAGTTTGCATAGGCAGCTTGGGATATGGTGGCCATTTCAACCAGACGATTGAAGATTTCGTCAGAGATTCCCTGCGTAACGGTAGCTAAGGCTTGTCCTACAGCCATAGAAAAAGCGAGAACGCGTATTGCGGAGATGGTTTTCATGTTGACAGATCTGAGCTGAGGATATTGGATGGACGACGGTTCAAGGAGGAAAATCAGGCCTCGTTACAGTTATGTCTCTCAGAACACATCTACGTCCCTTAAATAATGGTCTGAAAAGTCACCGTAAGGACAAAGAAGACAAATTGATGACGATCATATCTCATTAAGGTCATGAAACATGCTTGCATTCTACCGGCGGCGGGTACATCTCCCCGGAACAACTTTTAGTCCGGAAGAATGGCCAAATTACGCACTCCAAGAACCCAGAGCTCCCTGTGCGCCAACCGCGGTCGATTAAAGGATGACTTTCGTGTAAATATTGCATAATAGTAGTTCCACCTGGAAGAAGTCCGGTTTCGCCCTGAAACTCAAAAGCCCCTTCCAAGACGGGATTCTGACCTGGCGTCCAATTGCGGATAAGTTTAGATTGGTGAGCTAGTGGCACCTCTGGGGCAAAGACCCTGAGTATGACAACCCCGAAGTTGGCGTAGACAGTTATGCGCCCTACTCGGCAGTTCCCGATGCTCGAACTCCCGTATGACTTGCCAAATCAAGAAAATCGACCGACTAGTCTAGTGGCCTAGTGGAGTCGGTTTGAAGGCCAAGCCAAGGATCTTCAGATAGGCTAACTGCATCCACATTCCAGGACCGATATCCACATGGAGCATCCTCCGTATATGTAGATCGCTCCTTTAGTCATGCCAATTTTGATTTCTTAATTAAACTTACAGCAGGACGGGCCAATATCATGAAAAGCGGGAAATTAAAAATAATTCTTCTAGTGGGGCCAGATGAGGCTATTCAGGGTCGGCAGGCCTCCACTTCCCGCGCTCGTAGGCCGGGTCGGGATTTGCATCAAACTCAGGGCCGCTAATGTGACATGTGCTGTATCCTGACACCTGACTCTGCTCGAACTGAAACTTACTTTTCTTCCGCAGGGGTAACAATCTGCTTGGTCAAATAATGTTGGTCACAGTGCGTCTGCCGGCTGAACTTCTTCCGTATTTTGTGCCGGCTCTCCTCTGCACCGGCCGACGGTACCAAGTGGTCGCAGTGAATGAGGGGTTCTGCCCCTCTTCACCGCAACCCTTCCCTCGAGCCTCCACGATAGGTCTATATCCATGGCTTCCATAACTTGAAATCACATCTCTCTCTTTTCACTCTTCTCTTCTCATATTGAGAATGCGGTATTTGAAACTTGTCGCACAAGGTCTACTCTAGGTAACCATGAATCAAAACATGGGGGCTATTGAATCGAATTAGGCTGAATTTGATGAAAAGTGTGGCACTCCCAGCTGCCAACATGGGTTTCGGCTATCGTGGACAAAAACAAATCTAACCAACGTCATGAAGAGTCACATCAAACTGTTATGACTAAATGTAACAGCAAAATCCTACGCTTGGGTTACTTGTGAATATAACAAAAGCTGTCGAGGAGCCACTTGACTGATCAATCCACGGATATTGTAAATGAAAATTTTCAACGAAGATGGAACCTTACGTAGCAGCGTATTCTATGATGTCCTTGGGGAGGACTTTTGACGGATCGCTTTTGAGACGGCTCGTGCTGTTGACCCTAACGCCAAGCTGTACGTACATCCACGACTATAAGTGAGTGAAACTGCCCGACCATTTTGGTCTTACACGAAACCTAACAATACCAAGCCTTGATACTTTTCTGCGGCAGTGGTGAGCGGTATATTCAACAAGGTCAAGAGCTGGATCGCAGCAGCGATCCCGATCTGTGGAATTGGTAAGTTCCCCACCAGTAAATAACACATATTCACTTTCCGTGAAGGATCGCAGCCCCATTTGAGCACTGGTGGAGATGCCGCAATCGCTGGATGAGTGCTACTTGACTCTATTAATAGCAAAGTCTCGCTAATAACCCCAAGCAGCCCTCAATACTTTGAGTTGTGCAGGAGCTTCTAAGATTGCCATCCCTGAACTTGACATTGCAGATGCTAGCTCTACCGACTATATGAATGTTATTTTTGCCAATAACGCAAACGAGAAATGGATTTATACTAATTACGTTTACCTTCAGGTTATCGAAGCTTGTCCTGGCTATGCTAGGTGTGTGGAAATTACTGTTTGGGGTGTTGCTAATCCGGTAAAGGACGACCTTTGCGATGAGAGAGCATTCACAGACGCGCTAATAGAAAATGCATTCTTAGGATCTCTTGTGTGCTAGCTCTACCCATCTGCTCTTTGATAGCAACTGCATCCCGTAGCCTGCGTATACTGCTATCGCAAATGGTCTCTAGGAGCTTTCGGGGTTCTAAACTAAAAAAAGTTGAGTGCACCATTCCTCTCGAATATGCAGAATTAAGATCATGGTGGCCAGGTCACACAAAGAATTTGTAATTGAGAAATAGCAGGAAGTAAAGGCTTCTGATTTGAATTCGGTTATGCTCTATTTATAGCTAAATGTTAGTTTCTCGATAAACGATTTGAAGTGTGCCTTGCCCTAATGATAAGAATTGCAAGTGTCTCCTTCATTGCTCCTCATTTCGATGTTTCTCTTTTCACTCTCTATAATTCTATGAGTCCGTTTTCTCTTGTCAGGAATTCTATGCCTTCATAGGAGCATTATATATTGAAATATCACGGGCCTTTTATTACCCTGCGAGTTGTTGTTTGGCTACGTATGTCCAACCTTATCCGTCGGCAGACGGTTCTTAGACTGAATTGGCGTTAATTTCGACTGTGGTGGCAATGACTTCGAACCAGAAATGGGGACCATTACCGCAGTTGCCCTTAAATGTTGACATTGTCTAGTGCACGGGCTTCTGTGGGCTTATGCAGGAAGCAGAAAACACTTAGAGCCTATTAAAAGTATCTTCAACCCCCAATTGAATCGTCCATTTAGCTCCCAGAAGTTGGGATGCTATCCAAGAAATTACCTTACAAGACTCACAAATATCATGCATAACTGTCATGGCTCGAATTCCCTTAAGCAGAGGATCGCCGGGGCTATGTGCTCCATTTTTATAAAATTTTTGGCCCGGTCTTCGAATATCGAAGAGTTATAGCCATAGGTTCATGCCCAAGAGGGGTGTGGGCTTGTCTTTTTCAGGGTTTGCATTTCGAATTTGGCAAAAAAGAAAAACGCTCAGCCGGATAAAATTCACTTAACAGGTCGAACAAAATGATACGCTGGCTTGTTTCAAGGCGTTTTAGGCTAATAAAAAGAAGGTAATACAGTCACAGACCAACGTTTTAATTGTGAAACCCAAAGCCTGCGTCAAATTTCTTATTTATCCGTTGCACCTTCTGGCCTCGGAGTCCCTGCCAGCAACTCCGTTTTCAAATCTGTAATATGCGGCGCTAGCTAATAACAGGCCCTAAGGCAAAGATCAGCAGGGATATAGCGTCAGAAACTATTACCAGTGAGGCAAATGTCCGAGGGTCATGGCTCTTGTCCTGCGGGATGGCTTTTCCCCGCACCATACTCGGCAAAAGTGGATTCCTTTCAGGTGCAGTGAGTGGAAAATTTGAAGTATTCTCCCGGCCAGCCTACTAGGATACGCAGGAGTGGGTCTGATTATGTTATTTTTCTTGTTCAGGGGAATTAACATCTTAGAGTGAGTTCCAAAAAAGATATAGCCAAGTCAAACATCGCTGAGGTCTCCCGCTTCTAGTATTTTATTCCTCAGAACCTTCCTCTTCCTCTTCTCCTGCCTTTATCAGGAACAAGTTTGCAATGAAATTTAGAGATATTGGCGTTGGCGTTGGCGTTGGCCTAGTGTCATATGGCACAGTGCTGTTGCTCACGTCGGTACCAGGAGTCGCGGCAGATTGCGCCCTTCCATCGACCTACAGTTGGACATCGACTGGTGCGCTGGCAAATCCCAAGTCAGGGTAGGTAGCCATCAAGGACTTCACTGACGTCGCATTCAATGACCAGCATCTCGTGTATGCTTCATCTGTCGACTCGGAAGGAAATTACGGTTCGATGAACTTTGGTGTCTTCTCGGACTGGTCGGGCATGGCCTCGACGAGTCAGAACTCTATGACTAATTCGGCTGTTGCTCCAACACTTTTCTACTTCGAACCGGAGAGTACTTGGATCCTAGCCTACCAATGGGGCCCAACCGCGTTCTCCTACCGAATATCAAGTGATCCCACGAACGCCAATGGATGGTCTTCAGCGCAGCCGCTTTTTTCCGGAACCATTACAGGATCTAGGACCGGCTGTATTGATCAGACGGTTATTGGCGACTCTGAAAACATGTACTTGTTTTTTGCGGGAGACGATGGCAATATTTATCGTGCGAGCATGCCTATTGGTAATTTCCCAGGCGACTTCGGCACTCAGTCAGAGGTAGTCATGAGTGACACTTCCAACAACCTGTTTGAAGCAGTCCAAGTCTATACTATCCAGGGTCAGAACAAATACCTCATGATTGTCGAGGCTATTGGAGAAAACGGCCGTTATTTCCGCTCCTTCACAGCCAGTAGCTTAGGCGGTTCGTGGACACCGCAGGCGGCAAGTGAGAGCCAGCCCTTCGCTGGAAAGGCCAACGGCGGCGCCACCTGGACCAACGATATCAGTCACGGCGATCTTGTTCGCAATAATGCCGACCAAACGATGACTATCGATCCATGCAACCTGCAGCTTCTTTACCAGGGACACGATCCGAATGCCAGTGGCGACTACAACTTGCGTCCTTGGAAGCCTGGTGTGTTGACTCTAAAGCAGTGAAGTACTATATGTTTTGAATAATTACATGGAAAGTTATTTCAAGATTGTACTCGACTTTGAGAGTGGTAGTTTACCACAGGAATTCATGTAGTGGGCAGAAGCCGCTTTGCCGGTTTTGTATAGTCAACCGGGTCTGAACGGGAAACAGAACTCGTGTTACAATACTAACGGCTCGCCACAAAACGACCTTTAAATAGCGTTCATTTTTGCACAATGAGCAATGACTACACTTCTTGATCCCCTCACTACTACTAGCTTGTACGCCTTTTCAAAAATCCGTCAAGTATCTCTTGAACCCGTTTATAAGGCCTGGAAATATGGAATAGTCAGATCGCCATGGCTCCTGAAATAAGGATATGAACTTTGCTTATTTGACTTGAGACAAGCTCATATGATCAATATGAAGTTGCGATTTATTAGACTTGATTGGAGCCTAAAAATGAACCTTCAAGATGAAAAAAAAGAGATCAAAAGGCGGAACTCCACTCAATTACTCAAGAACAAGTATGAACAAAGATGTCAGCAACGAAACATAAAATTATACGTCGTTGGCAAAATTTGGATCCAGGGTTTTATTTTCAGGATACCAAAAGTCGTCCTCAAGGTTTTCGAGTAACTTTTCCAGAGGTGAAAGGTCGTAAGCCTCCAAACTTTCATCATCCGAATCTTGAGTCAAGTCAACAAAATTGGTATTAGTAATGACTCGTGAACCTGGCCTTGGCTCGAGCTTTTGTCTCTTCTTTTCATGCGACATGGACATACTTTGTCGTCGGTCGGTACTGCCGTCATCGTCGTCGTATTCTCCTTCAATACTGAGGCGGCGTTCACGCTTGATCCTAAGGTCAATCGGACTAGAAGCCGCCACGAAGCGGCTATAGCGACCATTTCGAATCTTGGCTTTCCGAATTTCGTTTCGAACTTCCGTTTTGGCCTTATCATCAAGGCCGGCTCGATGCTTGACTTTGGGACCATCAAATTGTCGAAGTCGACACTCCTCAAGCAACGGGATTTTGGCAATCATTTTCGGCTTAGGGGCGTCTTGGGGCAGACCGCGAGCCCACCGAGAGAATGGACCAGCGTAGCTGAGCCCCTGAACCGGTCCATATCTTCGATGCATCCTAAGCTGACCGGAGGTCAGAAGCTCATTGGCTAGTGTGACCCCATCCGGTTCATCTGACGATGGCGCTGGCTGCGATGCATGACTGAACTCGAAATTAGTGACATCAGGGTCTGCGCAAGGGCTGCATGACAATACGTGAATGCCACCACCATAGTCGCCGATGAGAAGTTGAGATTTGTCTTCAGAGAAAGCCCCACTGACGATATCGTGTCCAAACTTTGCTGTGTTAGTGACGAGTGCATCTTTTGGAGACCGTCGAATGTCCCACTGCTTCAGGTAACAATCGGATCCGCCAGTATACAATTGATCCATTGTGCTACCCCATAGGGCTACCTTCACACCGAAATCTGTGATTTCTCGGTCGATATCATGGTGAAGCGGCGTGGAAGACGTCCCGTGTTGGAGCTTGTGGAGGATTTTACCTGGGTTTCGGTTATCCCAGACGTATGTGCTTCCATCCGTGCAACTGGCTGTGACATAGGCTGTGCTCATCGGACATAGCGTGACTTCGTTAATGTCCAGAGCGGGACACGCAAATTCAGTGGTTGCGTTGAATCTGTCACCTGTCACTTCATACTCGTATAGGCGCACGACTGAGCGGTATCCACGTGGAAGTTTCGAGGATGCACTGACTCCCGGAGTGCTCGCAGTCACAAATCTTGGCATAGAGGGATGCCATTTAATGTCGAAAATGTTTTGTGAATCCGGTGAGAGCTTCCTAGTCGTGACCTCGGACTCCTCTACCTTCCATAGTCCTAGGTGACCGTGTTGAGAGATAAAGAGATTGTCTTGTAGCGGTTGCGCCATCCCGCCAACGAGAAAGCGGCTCATTCCCACGCTTTGGCCCCAGGCCAGAACTGTTGGCGTCAGATTGGCATTTGCCTTTTGAAGGGAACTTCGTCGAACCTCCAATCTAACAGGGGCCGAGTCAGCTGTAAGATCCCACAATTCAAAACCCCGAGCGCCCGTAGCGACAAAGTTTGGCATCCAGCTTGATAGAGCCATCACCACAACTTTAGAATCATGCTTTAGGGTTCGAAGGCAGGAAGCTCGGGGCGAAGTCGTAACGTCCCAGACTTTCACCGTTTGATCGTAGCTGGCAGAATACAACCGTTCACCAAGCCATTGCACAGCGATAACGCTTGAGAAACTGCGGGGATCCGTGCCGATAACAGAGGCCGGACGAGGGGTCCAGTGATCTGGCAGTTCAGCTAGAGAACTGCGCACAAGATCACCGAGGACAAGATTATTGGAACGGTTATACACATCAGACTGAGCAGTAGCGCCCGCGGCAAAGCGCGTGCCATCTGGTGACCATGCCACGGTATTAACGTCATTTGAGGCGCCTTTCCATGACTTCCACAACTTGAGATTGGAGCTCACTGTTTCTCGGATACGAGTGAGAGGTTTTTTACCTTGTATCTCGCGGCCTTGTAGTAGCTTTCTGAAATCATTGGCGGTTTGCGATCGACCACTCGGAATCTGAATCGGTGTTGAAAAAAGATCTGAAATAGTGGAAGCTGAAGTCGGATGTGAAGAACAAGAAATATCGAGGCTTGACTCTTCTCCCGAACTATTACTTAGGCCAAATGGGTCTTTTTTGAGCCCCCTCTTATCAAGACCTGACAGAGTGCGAATATTGTAGGTTACCGGATCCTTTCGAGGCCGGGCAGAGCGACGCGCCGTCGCTACTGCTGTATGTGGTTCCGGAGACCGCGAAGGACTAGGAGACGATCCAAACTTCGAAGAGGAGATACGTAAGTTCACGCGTGGTAGGATTGCGGAGCTTTCGCTCACATTCTTTCCTGTTGTCGAACTCGAGGCCGATGTTAGGGCTGTTTGCTCTGTAAAACCTGGAATCCGTGTCCGCTGGCCAACTTGGTTTTTGTTGGCATTTGAGACCGTGACATCGTTTCTCAGGCTAACTTGACGAGTGGCCTTTTTTGCTTGGGAAAATGAAAGAAGTGAATCATTTGGAGAGGACGTAGATTGATGGCTTCGAGGCGGAGGATTTGACGGTTTCCTGGGCTCGACAACCTGGATGGTGCGCTTCGTTTGCCATCCATCTTGAGTCGGTCCCGGTATAAGCATTGTGTGACCATGGGTAACTAAGCCAGGCTGTCCCTTCGGCCCGGGAGATTGAGTGAAGTCCACAAGAAGCCGCTCGGCCATTTGCACCACTGCTTCGTACTCATCATCATTCTCGATATATTTGCTTGAGGTGGGGGTCATATTTTCTGCATCTGGGTAGGAATGTGCCATCGTGTAATCTGATACTCATGTTGAGGCTTGTCAGTCTTGAAGGGATCTGAAGCAAAGATGCGCGAGCGACCTACCCTCCACCATATGAGAGGCAGCCTCAATTCTATGACGATCACATTCCCACCACTATTGCCTCAAGTTTTCGGAAAGAATGTTGAATCCCCGACACCTTTCACCACTAGCAAGCAGTTGTGTCTCTCAAATGACAGGAAGTTGGATTATGTGAGATGAAATTCGATGTGGGTCAAAAAGCGGAGACGCTGGGTGACTGTAGAAGAGTAGAAGAAGAGAGATGGACTAAACTAATAAAATTGCTCATCAAAGGTGAAGCGTGTGGAAACAGAAGGTAAACGTTGAGATTGAAAGGCGTCGCGAAACGCGCGCGTGCCTTGTGGCGGGGCCGCGGGGCGGTGAAGCATCTGCCCAAGCCTCAATTACGAGTCCGGTTTATTTGACCTTTCTCTTTCGACAAAATTTCAAGAATCTATCTAGAACGACGACCGTAGAAAGAGACGTACCTGGGTCTAAATTTTACCTTAAATAATGCTGATGCGCATCCTTCGGGGGAATTCTTGTGATCAGGACTGCAATTCTCCCAGATCGGGTCGCACCTAGGAATTGCTTTTGTTTCATTTTTGGATTGTTCGGAGTGCGAGAAGCCCTACAACCGGAGATTCATAACTTCCAACCCTTCAATGCCTCAAATCCGTAGACCCTCTGGAAGCCCCAAAGCACTTCATCCCCATCCATGATTCGGTAACAACATTCTGACTGGTGCAACTTACTCTATCCAAATCAGCCGTAAGAAAACTCGTGCTTCTGTCGCGTGAGTTGATAACTTAGCGTAGCCTTTCATGAGCCCGGAAATTCTAAATGCGAATCGAAATACGCGAAATATGAAACAGTCAAGTTTTACCCCGTGCCGTCTTTCCCGTTCCGCCTATTCTGTCCATCCGGAGATGCAACCAGGTTTCAATCAGGATCGTCGACCCGAGACCATCGCTCACTGGCTTGTCATATCTAGGCGAGCTGAAATTTTGTGTCGGGCTGACTATTCTTCAGGCGGTCACTGCAAGGATTGTGAGCCCTTATCGCAGGGCGAGATGTTTATTGTCGCATAATTTGAGATGTCGGACTCCGAGGCCTTGGCCCAGACTTGTCTAATATTGCCGGGATCGGTGTCTGAAAGCTCAGTGGGATACGCACTCCCTAGATTGACTGGTTGTTTTTCTGCTTTATCTTATATTTAATACGAGAGACGTATTCATCCATGTCCTTGTTCCTATTCCGCCAAAAGGGACTCGAGAGATACCCAGATATGGCGCGCAACCCCATCTCTATTAATCAGTGTGTCTGGGAAGAATATCTCTCTGCACAGGAGGCTAGTCTCCCCCCTCTTGCCGATGTCCAAAGCCTCAGCGAGCGTGTTATTCGGGTTATGGGAGGGAACCCCGGAGAGATGCAGTTGCAAGGAACCAACACATACCTCATCGGAACTGGACGATCTCGAATTCTAATTGATACAGGCCAGGTATGTCTCTCCAACTTATCAAAGCTCGACTTACCTCCAGGGCTCATTTATCTAACTAGGGCATGCCCATCTGGGCAGCAAACATCACCAATCTCCTCGAAGAAAAAAACCTCGAGATATCTCACGTTCTCCTCACCCACTGGCACGGTGACCATACCGAGGGAGTTCCCGATCTCATAATCTACGACCCCCGCCTCGCTTCTCGCATTTACAAAAACCGCCCAAGCCCAGACCAACTCCCAATAGAAAATAACCAGATCTTCAACACCGAAGGCGCCACTGTCCGCGCTCTCTTCACCCCTGGCCATGCAAACGACCACATGTGCTTTATTCTGGAAGAAGAGAACGCCCTTTTCACTGGTGATAACGTCCTTGGCCACGGGTACAGCGTCTCCGAGAATCTAGGCGACTACATGCGAAGCTTGGAGATAATGGGCGACCAGAAATGCGCTACTGGGTACCCTGCACACGGAATCAAGATTCTCAATTTGCCGCGTACGATCAAGTTCTATATTCGGCATAAGAAGCTGCGTGAGAGTCAGATTTACCATGCTCTTACGAAGGCTGATCGAACGCAGCAGAATACTCGCGGAAGTTTGACGGCGAGGGAGCTGGTTCATGCGCTTCATGGGGAGATTCCGGAGGAACTTTTTAAGAATGCTTTTGAGCCGTTCATGACAGAATCTCTTTGGAAGTTGGCGGAGGAGAGAAAGGTTGGGTTTGAGGTTGTTAGAGGCGGTCGGAAATGGTTTTTGAACAAAAGGGCTTGGGCGGTTGGACCTGTTGCTTGAGTGCAAGTGGTTGATTAAGCGCTGGACAGAGGTTTCTAAGATATATTCCAGGGTTTTTCATAAGGGCAATTAGGCAGAATTAATTGTACCTTGGGATTTGAAATTCTTAGTCTTTCCAATTTGTCTTTCCAATTTGTCTTTCCAATTTGTCTTTCCTAAGAGGCGCTATATCTTAGTACTCTAGATCAACTCCATCATGGGTATCGGTGCTACGCCTAAGCTAAAGCTTGGACTTCTTCTTGCCGGTCACATTGGTAATCTCCTCTCCTGACAGAAGGATGTCGGGGTAGGGAACGTTTCCGTTAGATGTCATGCCACCCGACGTGCGCCAGTTGGCGCCATCCACTACAAGAGTCTCACCAGTAACATAGCTTCCGGCATCGGAGAATAGATACACGGTCGCATCGGCAATATCGCGGACGTGTCCGAAGCGACCCAGGGGTTGCGACTTGGTGTAGGCCTCTTTGGCATCAGATGGGAGCAGACGCTCCAAGCCCTGTATGATTTAGATGGTGATATTCACACAAGTTGTTTATCATGATAGACTAACCTCAGTCTGAGCGATTGGGCCAGGGGCAACAATGTTAGATGTTACGCCCCGTGGGCCGTACTCGATGGCCACAGCGTTTGAGAGGGAGTCGATGCCGGCCTTGGCAACAGACACATGGGCCTGGAAAGGCATACCCCGGTAGTGAAGAGTGGCACTAACGAAAATGATTCTTCCACCGGTACCCCCGGGATAGGGTGCAACTGGTCGGTCTTAGCTGTGTTATACTTCGGGTGAAAGGGTTGACTTACGAGTCTCCGAATCGATTCTGTGCTTCTTTCCGGACTCGACCAGGTATGGCAAGGTAGCTTTGAGTGTATTATAAGATCCCAGAACATCGATGTCCATTACCGACTTGAAGGCATTGACGGAAAGCTGCTCAATGGACGCGAGGAAGTTGCCTGCAGCCCCAGCGCTATGAATGAAAGTTAGTCTCGACTGAACCTTCTAGGGCTATCATGGCAAACATACATCACGAAATCAATGGCACCGAGCTCCTTGACACAGCGCTCTGCGGCGTTCTGCAAGTTCTCAAAACTGCGGACGTCCACAGCACCAATGCCGATCACCTTGGCGCCCGGTCGGATGGCTGCCATCTCTTTCGCAGCACTCTCCGTCTTCTCTACATTGCGGCCAATAATGCAGGCATTGGCCCCGAGATGAATTAGTGCGCGAACCTGAGCGCTGCAGATAGTGCCCGCGCCACCCGTGCAGAAGACGACTTTGTTTGCTGAGCATTTGTGTTAGTTGAGCGTCCCAACTCGGTGGAGAGACTCACCAAAGATGCCATCCTTCCAGATGTCACTCATATAATCAGACTTCTTCAAAGGCATGGTGGCTATCGGTATGTATATGGAAGGAGTCGAGGTAGGTTGGGGTTTTAATCCGATCAGCGCGGAGGTGAAGCTCCCCACAGCCGCGGCTGTGCCTCGGTCCCGTCGGATGCATTGGACTGGTACTTTTATGAGCAATTACTAATCACAAAACAATCCAATTAACTAACTAGTAAACTTAACTTAATTGACGTCCCATCAAACTCATCACTCACTTTTGATCCTGTTTGATTACATCCACTCAGTACTCACGGTAGGGCAACCGGAACAACTACGTTTTGCTTTCAGAACGCCCTCCTACTGTGCTCAAAACGAGCTGCATCGGGTTTATCATACCTACTACGACTATGTACATCTTTCAGGCTTCCCAGCCAGTAGATCATTCGAACGAATGCCGGTGAGGGCCATCGTGAGGACTGTCATCGTTGAAAGAGGACACCGAAGACATATCATCAAAGTCCTCCTCGTAGGCCCGACGCTCATTTAATCCCGAAACCACAGACACAGCATCATCGTCACGCTGGTTCGGATATGGGGAGCGCGGAACAGACCTGCTGTTCTCATTCAGGGGAGATTGAGTCCTGTCATGCAGATCCTGCTCCGTCGCACTCATCCTTTGATCCATAGAAACAGCGACCGCAAGTCCCAGCTCCATATTCGCTTCGTCTGGTGATCGTACTATTGGGGAGCTGGAGCTCGAATCGCGGATATGGTTGTTTGGAAGAACGCTGAGTGCAGAGAATCGAGGAGTGGGCTCGGTAGTTACAATTGTGGGAACGACCATGAGCTCGGACGTTGAGACGCTCTTGCTCTGGCTGATGGTGACATCGTACAAAGGTGGTGCATTACGCTGGCGTCTTCGGCGCATGTAGAAAAACATCACAGCGACGACGGCTAGGACACCGACGATTGCGATAGGTAGTGCAATGGCCAGCTTGGTTTTGGTGGAGTCGGTCGTATTGGACAATCCGCCGGAGTCGGCGTTCGCGGACTGTGCGGTCGTGGTCGTGGTCGCCGACGCCGAAATTGAGGTCCAAGTTTGATAAACAGTCAATGGCGTGGAAGTCGCTGTCGTTTCAGCGGGTATGCCGGCATTCGCTGTTTCCGACGATGTGTGTGTGGCTCCTGCTTCCACGTCCGAAGTCGAAGTCAAAATCGAACTGGACGACGGCTCAAAAACAGACTGACCGGCCATCCCTGATTGTCCTAGATCCTCTTGACCTTGTGTATTGCTTTCTGTTCCTATCTCTAATGAGCTTTCTGGGTTTTCTGCCCGAACTAGTACATCTGCAGTAGGTATAGATAATGAGCGGGTGATTCCAGCAAATCCTGATGTCTTGGGGGACCTACCTCTAATCACCCATCGCTTGAGTGACATGATGGCAAAGACAGGAGAATGAAACCTCTTGGAAGTCGTTCGTCTTATGCAAGATGTCGAAACGCCCGAGAAAGAAAGCGCCGGGAATGTAAAGACTCGAAGAGGGAGCAAAAAGCATTAGTAAACTCGGTCTTTCGCAAGCAAAAGGTGTTTACAATATCTCCACGATTTGGAGTTGCGAAGTTCAAAAACCGCGGGGGCGAGAGATACCCTCAGAAGATAGCACCGCTTACGGCCTGGAGAGTCGCCCATTGTTGAACGAGCCGCGGGCGTCAGCTCGGATCCTCCTGCACTGCCCTAGGATGAAGCTGGTGCGACAGATCACTCGGCGTCAATGGAAACGCCGGACGTCGGATTTCATGTCGCGAAGCGCCGAGGCATGGGTTTCTTGTTGTCTACTCCCACCCCTCGGATGCTGTAAAGCCTACAGTCTACAGACATTTGTTCTGCTCAAAGAATCTATCGCGCGCTGTTCTATAATTACGTTTTGGGGCTTCGTGCCACGCATGTTTTGGGGGCCGCGACGATCAGCGTCAACCCTAAGCTTAAAGTAGTTTAGTGTGATACTGATCCTGAGATTCGCAGCTGGACTCCATGTTTCCTTCCACTCGTATCGCCCGGGACAGAGTTGCAATCGATCGTATGTCGCAGAGGAAGAGGGGGATTGGCGACCACTATATGACGCGGATGGCAATGAGACGCGCTTCAACTGCTGTCCACGAGCTGACTCAGGGACTGGATTTTCTGGAGTGAGCGTCAGCCTCCGGTGGCATAACGGTTGATTTGAGTTGGGCAGAGCGAGTCGAGAGGATTGAAGCGGAACGAGTATATTGGGATCCAGAGCGTCTTGTACTTGTCCCGCCCAGCTGACAGATGCGAGTATGATCATTCATTTCAATTCCATTTATTTCGAACACCCAGGCCCTTTTTTGAATCGAAAGCTATATACAGTAACCGCCGTGGCGTCTGAGTCTATTCTTTACCGAGTCATTTCAGGCTTCCACTCCCTGACCTTGCCCTTTGTCAGTTCACGAAGGGCCATGGTGGCATACTGGCTAGACCCAAGCTGGAACTTGAGAATGACTGCTAGCTTGTCACCAGTCACAGCACTACCAGCATCTTTGATGCTCTCGCTGCTCGGCTGCAGCCTGTCAAGATCCGTTTGCACGAATTGCTCAAGATCTTCAGAGTAGAGTTTCACGTCAAAGGAGAAGTCCGCGCCCATGCGGCTCAGAAGTTTGCGGTAACCTCCACTGAGGCTGGCGTCCTTCCACTTGCGGCGCATGTTGAGCGGGTCAAGACCGCCACCCTGCTCGCTACCCATGAAGTTGCGGTAGAAGTCGGTCATCTGATTTGGCGGGTAGAGAACATCGAAGCCAGGCTGGGGCAGCACCACATCGAAGATGTTGTACTTCCCGCTGGCAACCTCCTCGGCTGTCAAAGCACGAGCACGGGTGAAGGCGTCTTCAGCAGCGTATGCACTGTCCTCGCCCTGGGGCACGACGATGATCTCACCGTCCGCATCAACGGTACTAGCAGGCTCGGCCTCTTCGCTTTTCGCCTCCTTATCGCGATGCTCGTGAACAATGACCAGATCCCCTTCAACAACCTTGTCACCGTAAAGACGCCAGCGCTCGCTAGCAGCGAAGTTCCACACAAGTGACTGGTAGGCATGCACATACATCAGGCGCAGGTTGCGCGGGATCGTCTGCAATGCTCCGATGTAGTCATTTTTGGCACGTCCCAGGTGGCGGATGACATTAGACTCGGCGGAAAACTTGCGGGGAAGCTTGTTCAGCGCCTCGTTAACATTGCTAGTAGTCTGGAAGATATGGATGGCTTCAGCACGGTTCTTGTCATCGGTGCTGATCAGGGCCGTCGAAGTTTCGCCCTCCAAGGCCGCCGCGAGAACGTGAGGTGGGTAGTGTAGGATGCCGTCTACTGCTCCCTTGAAGTCGTCCTGCAGGATCTTGACACCAATGGTGTCTGTACGAGTCGAAAACGTTCCAAAGCGCTGGAGGCCATAATAATTGAAATATCCTCGCTGGTGAAGGTTCTTCAAAGAGGTCCCCACAAGCTCGCTCGCCTGGGCAACAGCCGCCTGCGGGTTCGCTTTGTTCAAGCCGGGGATTTCGCAATCGCGAAGAGTAATGACAAACTCATTTCCGTAGAGGTCCCCCAGGTCAAGTCCCTCTTTACGGTACTCAAAGTCGCCGAGGACGGCGTTGCGTAGAGTTTTGTTCAGACCCGCCAATCGCTCTGCCTGGACGCGGAGCACACACGCGCGCTGAGCGGTCGCGCCTCGTCTGTCCTTGGTTCCAGCAAACTGGAAGCTCTTGGGGTTCATCTTCAATGTCCGGGCAATGAACGACAAGACCTCCATGGTGTCCTTGTTCTCCTTGTAGATTGTGAAATGCAGATACGGACCACCCAGTTCATCCCAGTTCACACGGTTCCCGCCCTTTCCACCCCCGCGGTGACCTTGGGCGTTGCGCTTGAAGCGATTGGGAGCTGCAGACACGGCCAGGAAGCCTTCGCCATCGGTGCTCGACTCGAGTTGCGAATTGAAGATGCGACGGATTCCTTGGTGGATCTTGGTGCGCAAGTCCCGATCGGAAACGGCCACGGTGACCTTGGGAAGCTCACCCGGTTTAAGCTTGGGCGAGGACATGGCCTTTTTGTGCAGCGTCACGATAGCGGAGACATTCTCCGCTCCAAAGTATTCCACCAGTAACGCGTTGTCCTCCTCCGAAATCTTAAGCTCGGCAGGCGCGGCCTCCTCGACAGGCTCCGTCAAGGCGGGGATCTCTTCTTCTTGGACTTGAGCTTGCTGATCCTTCGACTCGTTCGTTGGAGGGGTTCGGAGGTGAAGGACTTCGCCGGAGGGTAGGATCTCATTGACCAAAAAGTCGGTATATCTGAAGGTGGATCAGCAAGGTCGAATACAGTTGGCGGTCTGGCACTCACCTCTTCTTCAAAGTACCATAGAAACCCTCGCTGTCAGCTGTCACGAGCTCCAAGATTCCGACATCAAGTTCCTTCATTGCCTGAGCATCCTGACCTGCAGCATTACTCTGAGGCGACACTTCTGCGCCATCGGTCGCGGCGATGGTATCAGTCTTCTGCCGCTTGCGCGGAGACTCCACGATCTCTTGTTGTTCCATTGCGCAGTTGAGTCTGAGAAGTTGCATGGTAGTCGGAACGTTTTGCTCTCGCATCAGGAATAGCGCGGGAGGGCTAGCCCTCATTTCCGGATTGGGAAGACGAGTAGAAGTAAACAGGCAACTACTGAGGAACTCAGGTGTGTAGTCTTTCACTGAGTAGGTAACTACTGATATCCGAGTGTCATGGATTCCCTTGTTTCCACCACAGGCGTAAGTCAACTCGTTTCTATTCGCTCGTGGCGTGCCTACATCTTAGGATGAATGGTTGCACCTCTCACGCCACCCTCTTCATAGTCAATCTCCGATCTCATCAGCTTGAACACAAACAGGTCTCGCATTTACTCAGATCCCCTTCTCAACCCCTATGCGTGATATGCGCTATCGAGGGGGTAGGGTTAGAGGCCGTCCACGAGACCCATAACAGGACGTCGTACTCACCGACGGAGGGATCCAACCGGTTTTCACCGACGGAAGTGGATGTGCAGGACTCGTGGGTGCATCCACAATGGATCTAATGGAGCTACTCCGGTTTGTTCACCGCCGAGATCTTAGGATTGAAATGGCCCTGGAACCGCTCGCAAATCGACCGGATCAGCATGGGTGACAATGCAAATGAAACGTCTTGTCGAGACGCCAGGGATGAAGGTCTTCAAGAAGTACTGAAAGGCTGCTCGCAAAGTGGCTGCGACAGCGGTAATCCAACTACATGACCGCATCAGGGCAGGGATGAGGAGAGCGACACCGTGCACACAACACGAATACTGCGCATGCTAAAGCGGCTTTGGCTGAAGGCGAGGCAAATGACTGGACCTAGACACGTGGAGTGTGAAGAGATGCGATCGGGCAGAGCGACCACGACAACGACAGCTTCTCGGTGATGCAAGACCTTGGCGATTAAAAGAGGATGTTATGTTGGGAGGCTCGCGATCGAGGGGCCGCGATCGAGGGGCTGCGATTCTCCCCGACCATGACGCCTGCTCGTCTACTCTACACGGACGATACGTACCATTTCGAGGTCAAAATTCGGGCCGATTCCTAGCGCAGTGGAAGTACACAGAGCACACCACTTTGCTTCTTCAGAACCACTCCATGGTGCGATTGACCTCATGGTGAAGACCCGGGAATATCCACCACCGTATGGATTGAGCCTACCTGGACAAACCCTACCCCTTTGGAAACACATCGGGCCACCACATGGACCACAAACTTCAATTAAGACACCCGCGACAGCATTCTATTGGATTTTTCTTGGCATGTAGGGCAAAGGGGTTGAAGGGGGAAAAACTCCCCCTTGAGACGATCTACCAACATCGAACCGGTTCTCACCCGAAGCTCCTCTCGGATGCCAAAAATTCCAGCTGAGGGGAGGCTCGGGCTTTGACGTATAAAGACCTTGATATTTTGTGTCGGCGCGTCGTGGCTACCCTGACATCATAGCGAAATTCTCCGTCCAGCAGAGAATCATCTCGACGTGGAATGAAGGCGCTTACTCGCGTGCCTTTCACATTTGCAGTACGCAACGAACCCCTGCGGGCGCACAGCCAACATACTAAGGTACTTGAAAGTTTGAATGCGAGGTCAATCCTGTAGAGACGATACCTGCCGCCAGCCACATTTAAAACGATACTAAGATATACAACTATGCAATCATGGCCAGGCAGTAGTGAAAATGTTTAAACGCTGGATAAGTCATGCATGATGAGAAGACCTGGAACGAGTTCTGCGGGGTTTGTCTACCAATTAATCAGGAGCGACGGGCATTCTTCGCGTTGCGAGGCTCATTGCTTGTCTGTCAACTCGGACTCCATAGAATGGTGGCATCCATCCATCATTCCTCCGGGCAACGCTGGAGAATGCCAACAGCCACCGTCAATATTTATAGTTGATGTTATCCATCAAGCCCAGAGTTTTCTTACCCAGCCGTCTGTTCCTTTAAGTCAAGAGATTACCCTGGTGGTTAAGTGCTTGCGACAGAGTGTTGACCTTTGATACCTTCTCCTCTTAAAACTGTAAGTTTATTGCAAGTTATATTGGGCCGCTACGGCAGACTTCTGACCCATAACAGATATTATCTATTCAATATGAAGGGTATCGCTTTCATCGCTGGCGTATTGGCCACCTCGGCCTCTGCGCACATGCAGATGTCCAAGCCCTACCCCATCCGCAGTCCGTTGAACAAGGATTCCGACAGCCAAAAGGACTATTCTTACACCAACCCTTTGCAGTCATCCGGTAGCGACTACCCTTGCAAGGGCTATGCCAAAGACAAGTTCGAATCGCAGGCCACTTACGCCCAAGGCCAGGAGTACGAGATGGAGCTTGAGGGCAGTGCGACTCATGATGGCGGCTCCTGCCAGATCGCCCTTACATATGACCAGGGCAAGACCTTCAAAGTCATCGAGTCTATGCTAGGTAACTGCCCCATCGACAAGAAATACAATTTCACCGTTCCCACCGATGCCCCCAGCGGCGAGGCTCTGCTCGCCTGGACCTGGTTCAACAAGGTCGGCAACCGTGAGATGTACATGAATTGCGCTTTCGTGACCATCGGTGGTGACTCCAAGGGCAAGCAAGTGCCCGCTGTGGCCCCTGCTCATTCCAAGGCAGAGGGCAAAAAGGTCCATCACATGCAACAAATGGAGCACGCCCACGAGGCTCATGTCAACCACCCTCCCATGGAGCACGCAGCTCACCCCAATGCCCAGCCCAAGGAGCAGCGTGATGTGGCGTGGATGGAGACACAGAGCAAGGTCGCCAGCTTCGACAGCCTTCCCGATCTCTTCGTCGCCAACGTTGACCAGGAGGGCAAGTGCGTAACCATTGAGGGTGAGGCTGTCAACTTCCCCAAGCCCGGTGACAACGTTGTTGGTGAGGCATCCGGCAAGGGCTACAAGTGCTCTGGCAACGCTCCTTTCCTCGCTGCCAGCGACTCCAGCTCCAGCACCTCTGCCTCCAACTCCACTTCCTCCAATTCCTCTGCCTCTGGTTCCTCTGACTCCAGCGCCAAGGGCACCAAGAACAGCACGGACAACAAGGACACCGAGGCTTCCAAGCAGACCAACAACGAGCACAAGAAGCCCAACACTACTCGCAGCGACAAGGACAGTCAATCCATGTCCAAGATCGCGTCCGCCTTCGGTACCCCCTCCGCTGACCCCCGTGTCGCTTCTACCGAGGCCACCACTAACAACGCCTTCAACAACTACGTTGGCAGCTGGTCTTGCCACGACGGTGAGATCATGTGCTCCCCCGACGGCTTCTCCTGGGCCATGTGCTCCAACGGCAAGCCTATCTACATGGGCTCCGTTGCGGCCGGCATGTCATGCCGTTTCGGCCAGATGGTTCGCGCTGACCAGGCCTGGTAATCTAACAACTTCTATTCTTTTCGCCTTCTCGATGAGAAGACATCCCTTTGTTTCACTGACCTTGCCGACTGGGTCGGTCGTTTTCTATATTTTGTCATTGCCCTCGGACACGCTGTTCAGGCGTTGACAATGACCCACTGATGTCCCCAACGCTGATGTCTTATGTTTGATTGATATTCTTCATGATTGGTGTCCAATGTTTAGCCGCATGCGGAATGTTTTGGGGTTTTGTTGTACTTCTTAGCTTCAGACACAATACACTTTAATCTTTATCTAGATGTAAAATCTTTATTTGCTTTGATAGAACCGTGCTATCACAATTGATGCCTCTACTTGCACCCCTTCTCTTGTCCGTCGAACCGGTCGGCAGGATCGAACGCCACGCCAAAACTCGTTGCCGTTATCCAGGATTGACAGGCGAGTGTGGTACTAAAATTATTCGATCCACAGATCTATGTTGATGAAATCTTGTACGGGTAGCAAATCCAGTCTATCTGGGTAATTTATTCGTATCGTCAAGAGTTATGATCGCTTGGTCATGACCAAAAGCACAAAATGGGAATCTCATAAAATCGGGGCAAAGAACGCAAATCTAGATCAATGTATTTTCGAAGCAATTCACCAACGGATAACCTTGGCAGGGAAGTACTCGTTGATGAGCTCCATGTAGTAAGGCTTCAGCTCCTCCGCGCTGGGGATGCCGTCGCTCTTGCTGTATAGGTCGTAGGGGTTGAAGGCCTTGACGGCACGGAGCATCTCCTTGTCGTGCGCATCCATGAGCTCGTGATAGGCACCGGCGTTGTGCCAGGGGTAGAAGGAGTGGTACCGGATCATGGCGAGAGCCTCGTCGGGTAGAGTGGACTGCTCCTTGGCGATGTGGTAGAGGTACTCGTCGTGGCCCCAGGAGAGCATAACCTTGTCAAGACCGCAGCCGGGGCTGTATATGCCAAATTTGGTATCGTAGATGGAGTGGCCATAGTCCTCATTCTGCTTGAATGAGTCGCGGCCGTAGATGATACGCTCGTCGAAGCCGCAACCCACAGGGAAGGTGTCGCCGACCACGTCCCACTGGCCCTCGGCGTCGAAGAAGAAAAGGAGCTTGCCCAGGTCGTGGATGAGACCGGTCAGCTGCATCCAACGGGGCTTGCCATCACGGCGGATGGCCTCGGCGGACTGCAGCAGGTGCTCGATCTGGGAGAGGCTGGTGTCTGGGTCGGACTCGTCGATAAGAGTGTTGAGCTTCTCCATGGCCTCCCAGATGGTCATCTCGGCACGGGTCTTGTTGTGGAAATCGTGACGGGCCTTGAGGTTATAGGCGACAGTCTGTTTGGTGTGCTGCTCCTGGTAGAAGTTCTTGACGCGGTCGCAGGCGTTCTCGTACTGGCGGAAGCCAGACTTGTCCTTGTTCTTGTCGAACTCGGACGCCTCATAGAGGTCCTTCTCATGCTGCTGCTGCTGCTGCTCCTTCTTCATGTTGGCCTTGAGGACGTTGACCTCATCGATGGCATCGGACATCTCTTCCAAGGCCTGGCCATCCCGCTTCTTGTTGAAGACGGGGACCGGTGTCTCAGCGATGGCAACGGGTGCCATTTTGAATGTATGAGATGGAAGCCAAAAAATTGTGGAGTCAATAGAAGAGAAGATGAGATTGCAAAGTCTGTACAGAAATGACTGATGAACGAAATTCGAGCGAGTGTAGATGCCTATATAAATACCGGTCACCGCGGGGGGAGCGAATCGCGTCTAGATTTCCGATATCGAGTGATGCAAAGCGGGGAAAGTTGTCTTGATGGACAGACCATTTCCCCAAGGGATTGCCTACGATCCTCCATGATTTCTTGCGGGTAGAGCCATCCTGAGGGCAACATCACGGATACCAGAATCCGAAATTCGAAGCCCTACCAACGTCTCCACTAGAAGGGACCCCAGCATCGAATCAGAGACTGCAATGATGTCAAGCGGCGCCGAACCGCCAGAAATAGAAAAGAACACGAAAAAGGAATCGACCAGACGTGGATTTCAGTTCCCGATGCTGACTGATGCCTTGTTTTCGTGTATTCCATTGGTTATCCTCGGGTCCTCCTACAGTATGTTATTTCTCAACTTAGTAACGGTCGCCGAACCACGTCACCGAGGGGCATTGTGTACTCCGTTGCCGACCAGTTGACAGGAACGATCTCCGAAGCTTAGAGCTTAGAAATCTGGACTTAGGATTCTGGGCTCCAGGCTCAGGACACCGGAGTATCCGAACAGAATTTGATAACCTCGGAATCATGTAATATGACGATCGAGGGGTGGACGTGGAGAACCACCTGATCCGCGGCCAAACCGCTTAGGTGATCGTGGAGCATGTCCCCAAGACATAACTAGAACACTTGAGATGAGGCTTTCCTAACACTAATTCTACATTCCAAGATGTTATCTCACAAACTTATTACCAAGGTACGGCTGAGTGGAGTTTGAGGGATGTTGTTTAATTGCAATTTGCGTACATTTGTGATTCACCGCGAACAGATATATCATGGCGGACTACCATGATGTGAACATGGGCAAACTTCCAAAATCTCCGCTACTTAGCCAAATGAGGTAATTCAAGATTCAAATGTTGTCAAACGCCGTCGGCGAAGCCATCACCTCCGGCCTCCGTGTCCACCTTCATAGAGTCCATAAGACCGCAGACCTCGAACAGTTTCCGCGGTCCAAGCCCCTCTGGAGTTCCAACAACACCTTCTGTCTTTAGGTGCATCAACGCCGACCGAATGCCTAGATAAGCTGAAGCCAGCGATGCAAATGAGAAGATCATAATCCGGAATCCCATATCCTCCGCTTCCTGGGTCGTAATCACTGGGCTGGCCCCGTTCTCCACCATGTTGAGGAGCAGAGGCCAGGGGGCCAAGTCTTGAACCGCCTGGCGGGCTTGCTCCTTCGAAGTGAATCCCTCCAGAAGACCAACATCAGCTCCAACCTCTCTGGCTGCTTTCAAACGACGAATGCATTCCTCGTAGCCGTGCTGCTGGAGAGCATCAGTCCGTGCAATGAGAACAATGTCCGAGTGCAACCGGTCCTTGGTGAGCTTGGCGGCTCGAATTCGCGTCATGTACTCATCGAGACTGACCACCTTCTTGCCGGCAAGGTGGCCACAGCGCTTGTTTTGAACCTGGTCTTCGATATGGAAGCCAGCCACTCCTGCCTGTATGTACTGCTGGACGGATTTAGATACCATAAGAGGTCCTGTAGGTAGCAGAAGTCAGTTCCCGCATTATCGATGCATTCTTTGATCCCTCCTATCTATAGGTGCTTGCTGCCCTCACCTCCGTAGCCATGGTCCATGTCCGCAATCAATGGAGGCCCAAATGGATCGAGATTTGCGATCATCTCGGCATTGGTCCTCATGTCGTGGAGTTGAGCCAAGCCCAGATCCGCCATCCCCAACCGGGAAGCGGTTGTGCCGGCGCCGGTCTGCTTTTTTGTGAGCATTGAACACGTCGAGTAGACAGACCGGCACTGGTTCTCCTACCATGTAAAGACCCTTGAAGCCCAATTCCATGGCGACTCGTGCGGAGAGGCCATCGTAGACGCCTGGACACACGATCAAGTCCTTTGTGTCTCTAAGCATTCGACGCAGCTTAGAGGCAGCGGGGATGACATAAAGAGAGACGGTAGGCTCATGGCGCGTCCCGTTTACCTCGTAGTAACCATCTTTCTCAACAGTGATGGTGATAGTCATGATTGAATTGATGAAGTGTGTGAAGAGTATGACTTCGTGGATGTGGCTGAGCTGTGTGACACGTTCTTTCACTCGGGAGCGAAAGGAGGAAATTTATATCTCTGGCTCTGCTTCCGACGGAATTTGCTCCGATACCACCTGGGAAACAAATATGCGATTGACACCAATAACACCTATTCATGATGGGCCAGAAGACTCGGATGAGAGGCGAGAGGTCTTGGTGTCTTGGAAATGCAACATCTCGCCCTCTGCCAAGACATAACTTATTGTGTTATCTTCAACTGAGGTCGTACTGATCCGACCTTAACAGTCCGGATGACCACGCTACCCCCCAACAGACCCACTGGGGAATACGGATCATCTACAACAATCCCACGAGATTCAGAAAAGGTGATCAAATCAGTCACACGAATCGCCAGATTGTGCAAGAATCATGAGCTATGCAACAAATTGGTGGCTGTAATATCGAACTTGGTAGACCGATCAATTAATATCGCTCAATGTAGTATGACTCCATGCGCGGAGTTCTGAGATAATCAGATAAACAATAAATCTCATCCCGACGTCTCTTCAAGACATAAGTGTGGGCCGGGTGTGCTCGTGGGACGTATTCTTGCAATCTCACTTGCATATGCAGGACCATATATTGGTCCGAAGAAGGGGATTTTGTTTGAAGAAAACCGCTCGGCTTGGCCGAAGACTGTCTCCTCAAACTCTGATTCGCCAAGAACCTCCGCAATTCACCTCCGGGAGATCAACGGACTAGAAGAGGCTGTTCAGGTGGGTGCAATTTTTGAACTAGGCCCTAGGACGTGTCGAGCTAGCTATCTTACGCGAATACTCAAGAGGTGTAATCAATAGGCCATAAGGAGATACTACACGTTGCTCAGACAAGAAAATTGAAGCGAAGAATAGACGGTATCTATTCAGCATGGTAGACCTAGCTCCCTGGCACGCATAGTCGCACGCCTCCCGTTGGTGGATCCCAGGGCAAGAGTCGCGCCGCCGAGAAGCTCGTCATCAAGGACTATTCCTCCCGAGCACAGCTTGGCGTCCTCGGCGCAGCATCCAAGTCTAATATCAGCGCTCGAGGCATAGGTCACGGCCCGGACTATCAATGACCGATATGAAGTGCACCGAGAAGCGATATGTAAGATAGTAGCTAGCTCAATCTTACAGCCGCTTATGCAGATTGCCGGGCTTGGTCTTGCTCAGCGAACCTATCTGCAGAATTTCCCCTCTTCTTGGCTTTTAGAAGGTGTTGTATCCGGGTAAATAGAGTGGCGATGCTGCTGATTAGCCGTCGGGATGCTTTATTCTGACTACTACCGTCACCAGTCGGTGCAGATGATGAAAAACTGTGAGCTTTTTTCAAAGATGGCGATTGGGTCATGCGTTTCTCTCGGCGGGCGTCCATACATGAAAAACAGTTGGAATCTTCGGATACCTTCAAGAAACTTGGAGATCATCCGTTCATCCTTTTGACGAGGTGGATAAAGCCATGGTAAGAACAGCGATGTTGAAACCCTCTGGCAGCACACTTGAACAGACATCCATGCTCACTTGGGCAGAACAGCTTATCCATCTTTTGAGCCAGGCTACGAGAACCTTCGAATAACTTTTTGTACAATAGTAAAAATTTATCTAGTTGCTTTAGAATGGATCTATAGTTTTGACAATTTGAATTATATTTACCTCGACTTAAAAATTTCGCGTTGGATTCCTACATCCAATTCTGAGTTCGAGGGGGGTACTAAAAAAAGGTCTCGCTGAGTTTGCTTTGTGCTTTGTCGCTTGCAAGGTTTCTTTGCCAAATGGTCATCATTCTTAGAGCTCTGGTATTCTCTGCACCTTCAACGGGAACAAAAATAGCCATGTGCTCTCCATTCCATGGGTGTGTTCTCTTTGTTCCTACACTGTCGCCTACCTCGCTTCTCTTTCTGCAAAGTCATGGCTCTACACTGTAATCAGAAAGCAACACATCAAAAAGGTGAGATGCTCATCATCTACTGCATGTCTTCTGAAGTCGACTTCAGTCATCACACTGGTTTGAACTTGGGAACGTCGCCCAATATGGCTAGCCAGAGAATCCTAGGATCTTTTCTTCCGAGGCAGTGTTGGTTGAATTCGTTATAATCCATTGTAGTCGTTCAAGGTTTGATTCAAGGCTTTCGTGTATTTCATTGTTTCCCTTTATGTCCAAACCCGTTGATCTATTCTTGGATTGTTGCTTAAGTGAAAGATGAGTGCCCGCTAGGTCGAGGTCGAGGACGGAAATGAAGAGATTGATTGACCCTTCCTCGTCATAACCAACTCACATTTATATCACCTCTCATCCATATCACCTTCCGTGCAGCGTCATGAATGGGACTACAAGCTTGCTGCGGGCGCAGGTCGAGGAAGTGTCTCTATCTGATATTTTCCTTGAACTTCTGCACGGAAGGGCTCTCTGTCTCGCTGTCGATCCTCCATTCCAGCCTCCCAGCGCTTTTGGTACATTCGATTTCTCCACTGGAACACGCGACGAGCTCTACGAGTGGTCTTCACATCTCTCTCTTGCTCAAATTCCAGCCAATCTTCTCATTTCTGTCTTCGACAGGCTCTTCTTCATAGGAACTGAGTTCCCTCACCTAACCTGTAGCGGTATACATTCGCTGCATTTTCTCAGGTCTTCGTGCAGAGCGATCTGTGATATCGTTCATTTATGGCTTGAACGGGGCGAGGTCCAAAGCTTCTTGCGAGAAATCAAAGATAACATCCTGATTCGTGGCCCCATGCAACTCTCACGAAAGAACGCGGACTCGTTCCGCGTGCCGAGAGAGAATACGCTACCTTATGACACCGCAGCGAACTGTGTGGATTGTTTGAAGTTTCTCGTCGAGCACCGCCTCGTCGGTATCGAATATTACGACGAGACGGGGAGAAACTATCTCCACGCTGCTATCGACAACGACAATAACGACTGCCTGCAATATCTTCTTAACAATATGACCCCATCAGAAGTTGATCGAAGCACAGATATCAACCTCAGTCGGCTATGCGGACATCCTCTTGTTCAACTAGCCGAAAAGCGTAACCAACGCGGCTTTGAAATCGTCCTACTACAGCTCCTTGGGCACTATAATCCCGCCGACCTATTTACCGACGATGAGTTCAAGCTCAAGCTGTGCGCATTCATTTCTCCAGAATTTGCTGAACAGCTCTTTGTCATGGACCTGAATGTCGGCAATGCAAAAGACGAGCTCGGAACGACTTCGTGGCACGCCGCAGCGCAAGGAAACCCTCGCGGAGAGGATTTCATGATCTGGCTCTTAAGCCGTGCGGGGAACGAGCCGACTATCAGAGACCATAAGGGCAATAATGCATTGATGCACGCTGCGAAAGGAAATCGAGTTACATCTATACAATGGCTGTGCAGCTATGTCGACCCGATGGAGCCCTGGGTTGACGTAACCATACAGAGAAGCCAAGGGGGACCGGCGTATGCACTCAGACTCGCTGCAGAGTCAATGGAAGAGAACAGCCCAGATATCTTCCGCGGTATAATGACGCGCATGCCCCGAGACTACTTCGAGAACATGCATAACTCCATCTCCATTTTCAAATTGATCTGCGACACCCTTGCTGCAACACGACGAAAATTGGCTATGCGGCATCCGCAACCCACGGCTGCCCACCGGAAGGAATGGGAGAATGCCTGGCGTGTATCCGCTGCCAAGTGTCAGAAGCTTAGTAGTCATCTCGAGAAGAGGATCTTTCGGCGTGGCCCTGGCGAGTGGCATGGCACGCATGCGATGAGATTAATATGTGAATATGCGCGTGATTTGGATCTTCTGATGCTGGTGCAGGGCATCGTGCCCCTGCCACCGGAGGGCAAGTTTTGGTTCCATATTTTCAAGAACCGAGAGAGGGGAGGAGACGGGAGGTGGCCCTAGTTTAGAGCAACCTAGATGGACGTCTACTTAGCACATGGGATTATTAGAGTGAAAATTGACATTGATGTAACATTGATATTGACTCTATAGTTCTGTCGGTCTCACAGAGCGGTTAAGGAGGCGGTCAGGGTAAAAAAGAAAAGCCTGGCAAAAAGGCCGGGAAGCCCCACTGTCACTCGCATTTTCCACGTTCGATTCTTATTCCTCAACTATTCAAAATTCCGCAATTCGGTGGAGAGCCTTCGGCAGCGGCCACACGCCAACTCCCGGAAGCTCGGGATTGCGATTGACACAGTGCCGGCGCGGTTTTGGTTCGCCGGTATTGCCACTCGTCTGCTCCCCACCAGGGTTGGACATGGCCATTCAGATCAATGGCTGGGATGCCCCAGAATGCGCGCCTGGTTAAACGTATCTGCCCGGCACGTGCCGCCCTTCTATGCCGGAGCTACGCTCTCCCCACAGCTGCGCTGGAATAGCATCGTGCTTTTCTAGATGATCTGAATGATCCGTCCTGCAATTGCTCGGGCATTGGCCTTGAATTCTCCCATCTCTGTTCGATTCTTTTCCCACACTGCCCCCGCCGCCATGAAGCACCATTTGATGGTTGGGACGTGGACCGCCCCCGGGCGCATCTACACCGTTCAATTTGACGACGAGGCCCTCACCCTCGAGCTGGTCAAGACCACCCACATTCCCGAGGCCGAGCCCATCTCATGGATGACCTTTTCTCATGACAAGAAGGCAATCTACGGCGCGGCTATGAAGAAATGGAACAGCTTCGCTGTCAACGGGCCGACCGACATCGTCCACCAGGTCTCTCACCCGGTTGCGGGACATCGTAAGTGACGAGGCGAAGAATTGGCTCGACATCCTTCATACTCTCAAATTGTTTGGCGCTGACTCGGTTTTGTTCCTTGCACCAGCTTTAGCCTCCAGCGTTGAAACCAACACCCGCGCCATCTTCGTGCTTGCGGCCCACAAGCCTCCATACAACGTGTACGGCAACCCCTTCTACAAGCATGCTGGATTCGGGAACATCTTCTCTGTGAAGCCCGACGGTGCTCTCGACACCAATGTCCAGAACTACGAGTACCAGGAGAACACGGGCATCCATGGCATGGTGTTTGACCCCACCGAGACCTACCTATACTCTGCGGATCTGCTGGCCAACAAGATATGGACACACAAGAAGGACGCGGAGACCGGTCAATTGACTCTGGTCGACTGTCTTGAGGCTCCCGCCCCCGGTGATCACCCGCGCTGGGTCGAGATGCATCACACTGGCAAATACCTGTATGCGCTGATGGAGGCGGGCAACCGCCTGGCCGTCTACGTGATCGATGAGCGCACTCACAAGCCGGTCTTTACCCACATCACCTACCCATTGCTCCCCTCTGGTAAGTTTACCTGCTCACGACGCATGCCCTCCGGAAGCTAACCTATGCAATGCCTGTAGGACTGCCTCCCCGTAACAAGTATCGCGGAGATGTGACATTCACCACTAAGAGCGGTGACTACCTTTTCGCGACCACCCGGTCCAACCACTTTGACGTGACAGGCTACATTACTGCGTTTAAGCTGGGACCTAACGGTGAAATTGAGCGACAGCTCTTCATTAACCCTACTTCTACTAGCGGCGGCCACTCCAACGCTGTCAGCCCCTGCGACTTCAGCGACGAATGGGTGGCTCTCTGTGACGACCAGCTGGGCTTCGTCGAGATGTACCGCTGGCGCGACGAGACCCTGGCCCGCGTAGCCCGCGTGGACATTCCGGAGCAGGGCTTTGGCATGAACGCGATCTGGTATGATTAAATGACTATAGATGGTATCTGGACGTCCCAAGTCCCATGTAGATATGAAGTGAATGGAATTAAAATAAGCTGAATACAACGATAGTAATAGTCATAGTTCATAGTCATGACAATAGTGATAACAATAGTGCTAGTCATTGTGACACCCATGGTATAGTGAAAATCAAAAATGCGGAGATCAAAGAGGGAGTTTCGGCAGTCAAGATCGGTTGCGCTCAGCTTTCTTCCGGTGAGGGGCAACTATCCACTGCCGGAACCACTTCGTCATGGATCAAGTGAATAATGGGCTGAAGTCCTACTTCGCCTTCACTTTGGATGTGAATCGCTGAACTCTTCTTCCACGTCTCCTTATTAAATCCACCATGCCTACTACCTCCGGCCTCCTCTACGTGACAATGCAGCCCAAGGGCTCGCTGCCGGACACCCAGTTCCACGACTGGTACAACACCGAGCATGGCCCTCTGCGACTGCGTCTGCCCTTCATCAGCAACGGATTGCGCTTCCGTGCGACCGACGGCGAGCAGCCCGAGTACGTGGCGCTGTACGATATCACCGACATGGACGAATTGACCCGCAAGACCTACCTGGACCTGCGAACGGATCTGATCAAGACGGAGCGCGAGAAGAAAACCATGGCGCAGATTGATGTTGGTCGCTTGCTGTACGACCTGGTGGATGAGCGAAGCTCCCCCGATTACCGCCCACTGGAAGATCGAGCCGATACCGATGCCGAGACCCGCGGAAGCGTTATGATTGCCGTAACCACTACCACGCACCCCGACGCCGAGAAGCAGGCGGAGCATGACCGCTGGTATCGCGAGGAACACTTCGAGATGCTCTCCCGCGTGCCTGGCTGGCGTCGTAGCCGTCTGTTCGTTACCGCAGCCATTGACTCCGCGGCTCCGCGCGAGACCCTGGCTCTCCACGAATATGCCCCTGTCAACGGCCTGGGCGGCGAGGCCCACCAGGCTGCTATGAACACTCCTTGGCGCGAGCGCCTTGTCAATGATGTGGTGACCTCTAAGCGTCGCCGGGTTTACCAGTGGTACTACACCTTTGGCCCCGCCCCCCGCGAGCTTTCTTCCCTGGCCGCTTCCGACGTCGTGGGACCCTGGTCCTCGAACGACGGCCGTACTCGCACCTTCCCCTCACCCACACGGCCGGCAGTCGAGTCCTTCGTGACCACCAAGGATGGCGTTGAGATCCCGTACCGCTTGGAGGGTAGCACCGACCCTACGGCTCCCGTGGTGGTGCTCAGCAACTCAATCTTGGTCAACTGGAACATCTGGGATCGCTTTGTCGACTCTTTCTTTTCCCGCAAGGAGAATCAGCGCTACCGTGTCGTGCGATACCTGACTCGTGGCCGTCGCTCTGCGAGCGGTGAGCAGCCCGTCAATGTGGATGTGCTAGCATCCGACCTGGCTACTCTGCTCGAGGCACTTCGCGTGCCGCCCAAGGCCGCCCGCTTGGTCGGTGTCAGCCTGGGTGGTGTCACTGTTCTTAACACATCTCTTCTGTTCCCCGAGCGCGTGGGGGCGTTTATCGCCTGCGACACCAACTCCTCTGCCCCGGAATCGAACCGCAAGGCTTGGGCTGATCGCGTCGCGATCTGTGAGCAGGAGGGCTCCGTGGACCCCAAGACCAAGGAGCCTATTGTCGGCGAGCAGCTGGCTGAGGTGACTACGCGACGCTGGTTCGTCCCGGAGTCGTACGAGACTCAGCCCGAAGTGCTAGCAACAGTCAAGGAGGCGGTGCGCACCAACAGCCTGAAGGGCTTCGCACACAGTGTCCAGGCTCTCTGTGCCTACGACATCCGTGACCGCATGGCCAATGCCACTGTGCCCGGCTTGTTCGTGGCTGGTGCAAATGACGGCGTTCTGCCTCAGACCATGCAAAAGATGGCGGCCGATCTGCGTGGTGGTGCTGAGCTGAAAATCATCGATAAAGCGGGCCACTTGCCTATGGTTGAGCAGCCGGAAGCCTTTGCAGAGGTTGTCACCGAGTTCCTGAGCAAGATTGATGGTTGAGATCTTTGTATGCTACGTAGTGTTTAGAAGATTTAGATGGTACTTAGCGAGAACGAATGATGTTTAATGACCATAGATTGATCATGGATAGCAAGGTCGAGAAGCAAGGTCGAGAAGTTCTTTAGTATGAGGACTCCGCTTCACAATTAGGTGAGGGAACGGACGCCACGCTCACTGGAATCTCTAGTTGACCCCCAAGGAACGGGAAAGCATCTGATATTCAATTCAATCTTCGCATTCCTTGGTGCAGAGGGGCAAACAATCGATAAAAGTCAGACGAATTGCACGTCTTCAGGGGTTGAGACCGTCATATCTCCAAACTTGTCCCTGAGACGATATGATTTGTTCAATCTGCCCGGCACCGATTGCCCTATTTGCCCGGGGGAAGCATGGGTTCGTGACAGCTGCATCTTCATCAGCCAGCCCGCTTGCAAATGCATCCGTGGCAGCAAACATCATTCGTTAGGAGTCAACAAATTACCGTTGGCTTCGTGTGGCGACTCCTGAGGAGCCTTTGCGTGGTACCAAGCAGATCCCAATTGATTGCCCTCGTTCAGCAGAGACAAGCTCGTATTGACTATGGCGTTGGGGGTGGACGGGTACCTAGAGTATTTAACAGTTCGCTCTTCCCAGTAACCGAAAGCGATATGGTTTAAGCAAGTGTCTGTTGAGGCAAATCACCATGGCTCCTATCACTTTAGACTCCAAGCCTGATCCTTTCGCCAATGGAATTTCTCATCCACCCCAACCCGACTTGATTCGGTCGTCTATGAACCTGGTACTTTTTGAGCGCCCACGGCGAATCCTGAACCTGGTCGAACATCTCAATGCACCACCGGCTGTCCAGGATGAGCCTTCAGACATCCAATTCCAACGTCTACTTCAATTGACCTGGCTAGTCACCATTCGTGCCTTTTTGTCATCTACCACCCTATATATCGGAGAAAGTTACCATCAGGGATACAGCTTCGTTGGGGAGACACATGGGACCGTCGGATCGCCCACTGGACAACTCCATCTTGACACCCAAGTTACCGTTCTGGAGCTTTTCCAGCAAATGATCGGCAGTCTAGATCTTGTTTCAAAGGAGCAGTCCTCAAATGGTGTGCTTATAAAGAATGGCAAGGGTTCCGAGTTCGATTGCACCATCATTTATCAGACACAACCAGTGAAGAATCAAGGCTCTGACACTCGATTTTGTATGGGCTGCCAGGCCTGCTGCTCAACGACCGTCAAGTCATCAGAACTCCAGCTTTCACCCGGTGGACTTCGTCTCTATATTACAAAAATGCCAGACAATCGTTTTCGGACTCAAATCGAACCTAATTCCAATGGTATTAGCATGCCACTTGCAACAAGCCTTCTTGACACTTTCAACCAGGCGCTGTCGTCTATTTTCGACAAGCCCACCAACTTAGTTGGTCTTGTCGACCTATGCTCCCCCCAAGACATTGCTCTTATCACGAGTTTCACAAAAGACCTTGCTCCAGCGCAGGATGTGCTACTCCATGATCTATGTCTACGGCACGTGGAGACCACTCCCGATGCACCGGCGGTTCGTTCGTGGGATGGTGATCTGTGTTATCGTGAACTGAACGAGCGGGCCTCCAGATTGGCACACTGGCTGGTTGGGCAGGGAGTCGGACCTGGAGTATTTGTCGCATGTACTTTCTACAAATCAACGTGGGCGATTGTGGCTCGCCTGGCAATCCTGATTGCTGGCGGTGCATATATCTGTGTTGATGCGCATGATCCTCCGCCGTACCTAGAGTCGCTGTTGCAGCGAACCCGAATTCAGATCGTGTTAACTTCCGTTGGCTTTGGACAAAAATTCGCTGATCTAGTGAACACCACTTTTGAAGTAGGCGAGTCCTCGCTTGAACAATTGCCATCGACAGTAGGAGTACCCTGCGTCAGCGTCTTGCCCACGGATCCGTGCACGGTTCTATTTACCTCTGGAAGCACCGGTAATCCCAAGGGAATAATTCAAGAGCACCGCAGTTACGCATCTGCTTTGACTGACTATATCCGGGTCATGAAAATGGGTCCCCATTCCCGATTGTTTCAGTTCGATGCATATGCCTTCGATATCAGTAATAACGACTTTCTGGCCCCTCTTATTGCCGGGGGCTGCTGCTGTGTGCCCACGACATCGCTTACCATGGAAGCACTGATGAATGATCTAAATGAGCTGGAAGCCAACTTTATGTTTGTAACTCCATCTGTTGCCATCGATATCAATCCCGATCGCGTACCAACATTGAAGACTATGTGTGTTGGTGGAGAGCCGGTGTCAGACGCTGTGCTGGCCAAATGGCTTCACCGGGTGCGTCTTGTGAATCAGTACGGTATGGGTGAAGTGGCCTCACTCTGCGCCTACAACCCCGATCTTCGGATGGGCCGAGGGGCTGTCGTTGGGCGCCCTGCGAGTGGAGCTATTTGGATTGTCAATCCAGATGCACCGGATCAGCTTATGCCTGTGGGCGCGATAGGAGAGCTTGTGGTGGAGGGACCCCATGTCTCCCGAGGATATCTAGATCACTTATCGGGGATATCCAATAACTATTTAGATGAGCCACCTGCCTGGGCAAAGCAGCTGCATCCCGAACGGCCGGCTCACCGAGTTTATCGCTCGGGCGACCTGGGTCGATACAATCATGACGGGACCATTGAGGTGATCGGTCGAAAAGATAGTATGTTAAAGTTGGATGGAGCCCGAGTGGAAGCTGGTCAGATTGAATATGTCTTGCGCCGTCAGCTAGCAACTGGAGATGCGGCCGTGGTCGATCTCCTAGGAGTAGTAGATGGGGTCAGTGACCCGATCCTGGCGGTGTACTTGTATCTGACGAACAACCCGATGAACTTGGAAACAGGTCCGGTGGAGGACATGCAGTTTCGGCCAATAACCGACCGACATGCCGCCTCTGTATTGACTCAATCTCTCACTGATGCGATTAGAGGAGTACTACCGCCTTACTATGTACCTAGCCTCTTCTTGCTTGTTGACCGCGTCCCGCGGACCAAGTCAAAAAAGACTGATCGTCGAAAACTCCATACATTGGGGCAAGACTATTACATGGCACATCGGGAGGAGCTCAGGGAGATCACGGTCTGGCCGGAGTGGGACTGAGCCGTGTTTGGTGACTAGGGCCTCACCCCGATATCCAGGTTACTGCTCTCAGCAGACATTGCTTTTGGGTTTTCTGCTTCGCTTCTCACGTATTTATTATGTTTTAAACGTGGTGTTGTACCCTACAGAAATTGCATTTGAGGTATTTAATTCCAATTTAGAATTGCAGGGAACTTGTGATCTAACTCGAACGTACATGATAACTATTTAATGTTGTGGTTGGTTACCATGAGCCAATAATAGACTTTTACTGACATTCCATCTCTCAATCATCTTTACAGAATCTCTCAGATTTACGGCAAGTACGACTCATTTGGGAATGATATGATTTGCTACACATATGCGCACCTTGGACAGCAGCATGTTTCGCACCGAGAGCCATTTCCAAGGTTGCAACGGGGCTCAATCATTTCCGTTAACAAATTGACTCAATATATCCAAACTCGCAGGTGCCCTAGGTCCACCCAGCGTGTCATCCATCTTCCAGATGTCATGTGCCTTGTATCTTCAAGCCTGAACCGTGGAGTTTCCCGAAGACAGCTTCTTAGCACTTAAGGTTGATTGCTGTCCGGTGGTTAGCATTTTATCAATAGACGGAGTGCTCGAGGAACTAAAAAACGTACCGTTGGCATACAAAGCATATGTGTCGGCATTCAAGACGGCGCTGCTACTACTCAGGGACGTAGCAGCCGAGTAGCCGTACCCTAGGTCATCTGTGCCGGGGCTGTACACTCCTGGAGCGTGGGTGAATTCATGTAGGGTTGTGGTGGCTCGATCCTGATCATGGCAGCTACTAGCCAGGTCGGGCAGGTCCGAATAATATATATCACAGTTCGCAATCACATTCAAAGAGGGCAATGTGTAGGCCAGCACATTTGACTCGCAATAACCGTATGCGTCGGTACAGTAGTACGTGGTGGAGCCGGAGTTAGTCGACTGAGCCTCTTTTGCTACTGCTTTCAGACGAGCAGCCACAATCTGACGCGTCGAGCTAGATGTCGTCTTGAAATATTCGTTGAACTTCGACGCTGATCCGGAGAGGGCGGCTTGCGCAGCGGCATTGGCCAGAGACGCGGCATTGCTCAGTGCTTTGTCAAGACTAGCCTTCTTGCCAGAATCGTTGCAGCTCTCCTTGGTCCGACGCGCCAGCGGATTGATTGCCTTTGTGACTCGAGATGCCTTGATGGCATCCACTTCGATCTCGAGCTCGTTCGAGTGGTACGGTAGGTATCCAGAGACGGAGTCGTTGTTCACCAGAGGCACCAACCCATTGGAACGCAGCAGCATAGGCCCGCCGGAGGATAGATCACTTGTTGCAGCAACATCAAACACATCTTCAATAGTTTCTCCCACTGCAAGGGTCGTAAGGGCCTCTGGCGTGAGGCCCTGGAGTTTGAAACGGCGCTTGATGCCCTCAAATGCTACCTCGGCGTCTACATTAACAATTAGCATCACAATCAAAATTAAGGAGGATCGAGAAACGTACTGTCTTTGAAAACGTCGACTTTCTTCACAGGGGCACTATCACGGAAGAAGTTGAGGTGCACAAAGGTCACCTCCTCGTTACCGGCATTCTTCACCACGGCTTTGATCCGGGTATGGTCTACTTGGCTTAGGGTGATATCCAGGCCCGACACTTGGTCAGATTCCACCGGCAAAGCACATGCGTACTGTGCGAGGGCCAATAGGGCCGTGGAGAAGGCAGTAAAATGCATGACGGATTGGAGTGATGCAACAAGAATCGAAATATTTCACGAGATAGATTGAGATCGTACTTATTTGATGGTGACTCAAGGTTGATATCTTCCAACTTTCGGAAGGGCAACACACTGTGCTTTATAGAAAACCAGACCGTCTTGATATCAAAGAGTATTCCTGTTCTAGAGAAGTTCCTATAGACCGCGTGCCCAAAACTGATCGCCAACCCAGATAGCTGAGTCGAGAAGGTAGCATTCTGCTGCTGCAAGCCCCTCTCATTTTGAACCATATATTGCTCGTTATCAATGTTGATCATCGAGAAATCTTGAACCTCATCTCATCACTGGTCGTAGATATCTTTGAGGAGGCCCGAGAAGCTCGGAGGAGCCTTGAAGCGCACGGAAGCTTCTTGCATGGGAATGGCTACCCTTTCTTGGCCCGACGGAAGCCCGTATCATCTATTGAGGTCTGAGATACGTGATCTTTACCGAATGGCGCTAAAGACTCGATAAGTTTGATACGGAGACTTGTTTCATTCATTGGCCTTAGCCTAGCAAAACGAAGATCTAGCCGCCCATAATTACAATTGCTAGCATCCTCGTACAGGTAACTACAGTAACGAAATCCTGAAATATTAATTAAGACGTGCAACATACATATATCTATGTTTCTAAAGTGAGAACGGACACTTTTACGACCCTTAATTTCCACTCCCATAGACAAATTGAACTAGATGTCTGCAATGAAATGCCAAGGCCGTGAACTCTGGATTTTCGTCGGACTCCGGCGCCAAGATACAACCCAAGCCTCCCTAAGCCACTTCAAGCTTAAATTTAGAGTCAACTATGTCGATTCGGCCACTTGACGACTTCGGAGATTGCACCTAACCCGGACCTATGCCAAGTCAGAGAGGGGAGGGTTGCACCGAGGGAACCCCGGAGCCAAGCCTTGTTGCACAACTTGGCATGCGATTCTGATTAGGAGAACACGGAATTCGTGCTCATAATTTTTCATGATTATGGTGCCCCTCTTTCCTGTTTTTATTTTTCATCTCAACTAATCTACCACATAGGCTGTTGTAGTGTGTGATGTTCACATTTTGCTACCGCACAGAATTCGCCATTTTTTCCCTTCTTTACTCTGCTCACCCTTTGATCAGGATGCAGTCTCTATCTGGGCTTCAAGTCAACCTGGCTTCTCAGCAGTTAGCAACTGAGGCACTTTCACCCTCCACCGTGCCTATCACGGTATCCATTTACAACCCCGCCGAGTCACCGATCACCATCCTCAAATGGAATTCTCCGATAGATGCTCGTGCCGGTGTCCTAGGTGTCTTTGATGTCTGTGATACTGGAAGTGGGGAGTCCATACCACTTGACATCATCAAAATATCACGAAAGCTCCCACCTTCTCTAGATGACCTAGTGGAGATATCCGGCGGTAAAACCGTGCACTTCACTGTTGATCTGCCTGGAGTTTATTTCCAGAAGGGGCATGAGTACTCCGTTTATGCAGCAGGAACTTGGCACGCTGTATGGGAAAAGCCACGGTCGGATGTGACTGCATCCCAACTGACTGATTTGGGGAGTGCAAACCGCGGGGAATTTCACTCCAATGTTGTTCTTGTCAAACTTCAATGACCGGGTTATTTTTTGATGGATCCTTTGCTGGGGAAAAGAGGGTTGGGTTGTGCCTCCAGGCCGAGAATAGTTCAGACGCAAAGATTTCACCTTTATCGATCACTTTAGTCCTAGCAGCATTTCAAACATCTCTACAGCTGAACCATCGGAAAGTCCAGCCACGAAAACCAACATCGTGAAAAATCGTGAAACATCAAGGTGTCAGAAAACTTGCTATTGCCATAAGCGGACTCCAAGCCCCTCTTTGCAGTGACATCTTCTGCCTCTCCCACAATGCTTCACCCATCTTTCGCGGGTGCGTTTCCGAACAGCCCGTTTCTCTACTCCTACTATACAATACTATTAGTTCCATGAAGATTATGTGTCAAGTTGTGCTCGCATCGAATGGAGATCGTAACGAATGAAATCTATCATCCGCACCCCTGTACGTGACGATGGTGTCAGCCAGTCTCGGCCGGGCATAGCGGTGATCACGGCATCAATTTCGTGCCTTACTCCCAATGCTGCAATATTTGTAGTCATCTCGGAAGATAAAGATCAACAATGTGGCTTCATACACGTACAATCTTGAAAGGTGAGAAATATCCTTGAGTAGGGCAAGTATGAGAGCCCCTGGGCAGGTAAAGGTACGAGTGGTGATTACAGTGGGTCTGCGCGGGCCGTTATCGCTATCGCTGGTATCGCCGATCCCCGGATTTCTTCCCTTCTTTAGTCGAGCATTAATCTGCACAGACAGCCACGACAATGATTACTCAGCAGGCCAGCCTGCAACCTTCAACCTTCAACCTTCAACCTTCAACCTTCTTCACCCTTGAACTTCTGCATGCCAATCCATGGCAGTGCTTCAAGTAATACCCAACACAAGCTCCAAGACATGATGAGGGAGGAGCCGGATCATTCCGGCCCCCACGCCCCTTTACTTGCCTCGGCCGACACACCCCCGGTGCAAGACCACGATGACCAAGCTCTAGCGTCCGAGCTGAACTATTCCGGTGGATGGTTCATATGGATCCTAACATTCTCCGCGGGTATCAGCGGACTTTTGTTTGGTTACGAGTGCGCAATTCCCCCATCTGGTCATTACCGCTGTGATCTAGGCTGACGACTCCACACTCCCAGCACTGGCGTCATATCCTCTACCCTCGTGACCATTGGCTCAGATCTGTCCAGTCGTCCACTGGACACCCTTGATGAAAGCCTCATTACATCCTGTACGAGCTTGTTTGCGTTGGTGGCCAGCCCCTTCACCGGGGTCCTGGCTGACAAGTGCGGCCGGCGGCGTGTTATCCTTGTTGCAGATGCCCTTTTTGCTCTAGGCGCATTAATACAAGCCTCCACGAGTAATGTGTGGGGCATGATATTAGGGCGCAGTATCGTTGGGCTGGCTGTTGGAAGTGCTAGTGCCGTGACTCCACTGTAAGTCCATCGTGCCGTCTACAAACAGTCACCAAATATAGGGCTTATTGATATCCCAGGTACATTTCGGAGATCGCACCATCGCATGCAAGAGGACGGCTCGTCACAATCATGTGCCTGCTGATCACTGGAGGTCAAGTCGTAGCATATATTGTCGGTTGGCTGTTTTCCGAGACCTCCGGCGGATGGCGTTGGATGGTGGGACTCGGGATGGCCCCGGCATTTCTACAATTTGCCTTTCTTCTCATCCTGCCAGAAACACCCCGCTGGCTGGTGCAGGCAGGTTTCGATTCCCGAGCCATGAACGTCCTGGGTCAGATCTATCAAGACTGTCCCGACCGTGACCGCGTTGTGGCTCAGGTCATGCGCAATATCAGAGGTGAAATTATCCAGGAGGCGTTGGAGATGGACCAGATGAATGCTCCTGGTACGAAATCACAGTGGCTACATGATGCCTCGCAGCGTGCACATGATCTCTTTTATGATGGTGGCAACAGGAGGGCCCTGATAATAGCCATGATGCTCCAGGGGCTTCAGCAGCTCTGTGGATTCAACAGCCTGATGTACTTCTCAGGCATCATCTTTACGTCGCTCTCGTTTTCCTCGCCGACATTGACTTCTCTGACGGTCGCAGTGACGAACTTCACCTTCACCCTCCTTGCATTTTGGCTAATCGATAGGGTTGGAAGACGGCGTATTTTGCTTTATTCAATACCCGTCATGATTCTCGCGTTGGGCCTTTGTGCCATTGCGTTCTCTTCATTAGACATTCCATTTGACGCTCACCCCAGGCCTCATGGCGATGACGCCGACAGCCAGACTTCGTTTTACCCCCTACTAATTCTATTCTGTTTAACTGTCTACACTGCATCCTACGCTTTCGGACTTGGCAACGTGCCGTGGCAGCAAGCAGAGTTATTTCCTCTGAACGTCCGTTCTTTGGGATCAGGTCTCGCGACGGCAACGAACTGGGGATCAAATTTCATTGTGGGGCTCACCTTCTTACCGATGATGGAGTGGTTATCTCCCACTTGGACTTTCTTCGTCTATGCCGTTGTATGCGCATTTGGATGGGTGGCTGTAAGGGCAATCTATCCGGAGATGAGCGGACTTGGTTTGGAGGAAGTCAAAGGCTTGTTGGCAGATGGATGGGGTGTGGAAGAGAGTCTCCGGCGACGACATGGCTTCCACGGGCGTCAATAGACTACCAGGAAGCCAAATAGGGTACTTGAGATAAAATTTTCCAGCAATAATATTCTCATTCAGAAAGACCGAAAATTGTCTTGAACCTACCGTTGAATCTACCGTTCAGTGGAGTTAGTTGTATCATTTCTCCTAGGAAGCACCTGTCATCAAATGACCAGAAGACCTACAGGTAATCAGCATAACCGGTTACAGAGGTAGTCACTAGGAAAGGAAGAGTGTGCGGAGTGGAGCTATGTTTATTTTGTGAGATTTGATCATTTTAGGGTTCAGAAATAGAGCTTAAAAGAAGCTCGATTTCCTACCAGTGTTAGTGCTACTCTAAAAACACCGACTTGGCCTGCTAGAATGTAAAGATCGAGTGTGGTGTGTACAAAACGAGCCTGGACGGAGAAAGGAAGTGGGCTGCGACCTGTCATATCCTATTGTGACAATGTCTCATTGTTTGCCGTTCAAGCACGACAATACGACTTGACAGGGGTTTCAGGGGAGTAATTTACCTCAGATTAACATATTACATGATATGGTTGGGGTAACTAAGAGTCTGCGAATCTGATTTCGAGTATGATTCTAAATACAGCAGAATCAATATTCTCAGAAATTGATATCTAGAGCGCCCGATGGTCTCCCAGAAGAGGCTTGAAGGCGTCAACTTTCAACTTGGCCAAAGCTATGCGTTGGCACGTCCTATAGATCACGAATACCATCTGCAATGCTTTCTTCGAGAGGAGTCCATCCCTTTTGACCAAAGAATTCCTGCAGAAGCTTCTCGGCTTTGCCCGCCGGTGCCACATCAGTCAAGTCTTGGCCCTCGTCCGACGGTGGATCAACGAACTTGCGGTCAGGCCGAAGTCTTTGAAGGGTCGAAATAGTGTCAGTGATGTTGAACGGACCTGCAAACGCAAATATACGCTGCGATCTAATATTGGGCGCGAGCAAAGCAATGGCGTGAAGGCGGGCGGTGTCGACAACATCAACATAGTATTCTAAACAGTCCTTGGAGTTAGCATTGTCACTCGATCTGACAGTGTAACAACTTCCAGATAGTTAGATTGGATAAGACGAAAATGACTTACGAGGTGTCAGAAAATCGAATAATCCCTTGTCGCCCTTCAGAAGTCCTCGAATCATTCCCATGGTCGAACCGCCAATTTCCTTGTGAAGGATTTCGCCTGTCTAAAACACACTCTGGTGTCAGATCTTGCAACTGGGAATGGATATGAATTGATACGTACGTTGAAGTTGGGTAGGACTGCATTAAAAATGAATTGAGGGTTGTGTTCTTCAATCCACTTCCAAGCCGCCTGTTCGCCAAGTGTCTTGGAAGCTGCATATACTAGATACGCCTTATCGGCAGTTTTCACATTTGGGTCAAATGCAGCTTTCACGGCATCTTCATTCCAGGTACCTAAAAACAAACGTTCATCAATGTCAACCCCTTTTCGCCGGCATTGCGATAATGAAGTAACGAGAATGAACTTACTTTCATCAACTCGAACTCCTTTCTTGTTTACAGCAGGAACTAGAACAGCAGAAGACGACGATGTCAAAACAAATCTTTTGATAGAAGAGTGTCTGGAAGCAGCCTTCAGGACATTTTCGACTGCTCGCACAACCCATGGAACGACGGAATTCGGGTCATTATTGAATGAGACATCAGAAGCCTATGATTATCGCATTAGTTGGATCAGAAACTAATGAACAAAGGTTTCCTGGTTTCATCTCTCTAGCTATATAGCAAAAAGACGCGAGGTGACAACGTACCACATGAACTATCCCAGATGTGCCATCCAAGCATTTGTCCAGCATCTCCTGGTCATCGAAATTAGGAAGAATGAAAGACTCGAAGACACCCTGGCCATATTTTGTTTCAAACAAGACGTCAAGCCACGGCTTCGGGGTGCGAATCGTTCCTCGAACTCGATATCCAAGTTGAAGTAGAGTGTTAACAACATGGGAGCCAATGTAACCATTCGCCCCCGTGACAACGACCCATGATCCCGCGGGAAGACCAGTCAGATTCGCCATTTTAAATAGGGAATGGGAAAGACGATGGGAAAAAGAAGTACTCCTGACAATTATATACCCGGGCGCAGGAAGATCACGTAGTAATCTATGACGTCGTACATGTCGACTTCAAATTCTCCCCAAATACGTTCTAATTCTACCATGCGAATCGTTTTTTTCTTGTTTTTTTTTTTCTTTTCCCCTCAAAATTCATGCGCGGATATAGACTATGAATGGAGCCGATTTCAAATCACATTCTCCGTCTCTATCGGAGAATTATCGGCTCGAATGCCGACTTGATTTCAAATCATTGAGGCCTTTCTCCGCCTCTATCCGGAGTGATCGGCGGGCCGGATTTGCAAATTGAGATCCCGAGGGGGAATTCCGGGCAAAGAGAGTATATATGTATTGAATAACATGACTATAGAAGGGGTGGAATAGATACCACACGGACAAACGGGAAAGGCAGAAAGTAAGTAAACGTGAGTGTAAACCCGTAGCAAAAAGTGCGCGATTTCACAGAATCATCGGTTCAAAAACTTCGGCTTAGAAGGCCTGCAGGGATTATCGTAGGGCCAGCCTCATAGGCACCCAAGATCAGTGTAGTAAGCGAAATACCGTGTAATCTCGCGGCCCACTTAGGCGCATATCGTTGAACGCTTGATAAAGCTTGTTGGCCCTGCGCAATAGAAAGCAAAGTTGTCATACATATTAAGCACAGGTGTCTTCGACGTAGTCGGTTGCAAGGCGCGAGGTAGACTCTTGGTAATATTAAAAAGAAGCAATCACGTTCGCCGCTGGGGTATTTTAGAGTCTAATTAGAAGATAGCGGGGCTGGTAGTTGAGAAGAGTTCCCAGGAGCACTTTACCTTACATGAGAATTGATCGGTTTACTACACATCACCGCCTTGGCAGGAGCCAGATGGCCAGGATCGATGGCCACATTGACGATCCCAGTCCTTTCTTGATGGAGGCTAGCGTGTTGCATTTGAACGCGGCGAGCTTACTCAGGCCGCTTAAATCTTCCCTCGGATCAGGCTTAGTGTGTGGGCCAGGGTGTTTATGTAACGCTCACGGAGCAAGTCAGGCCGTTTAGGGGCGTTCTCAATTCTGCTCCGTGAGCGAAAAGTGGCAAGGACTGAGCACTAAACGCAAGAGGAAGACCGAAGGTGGTTTGATGGCTCCTTCCATTTTGTCTAGTGTATTTATTTGTGATTTGAGTCCAAGTGCCACTTTCATAATGCCTTATCACATCACAATTTACCAAATACTCATCCCTACATGTCATTATTATCTTTGACTAAATCACCTTCGTTCAAAACTTGGAGACCATTCTTTTTCTCCTCACGTCTGCGTTCGCGCTTGTGGAGGTCCTGGCTTGTCCACATCAGGATTTAATCGAAAGGTAGAGGTAAATAAATTCGTTAAACGAGAGGGCTTAGGGGCTGAGGGAAGGCGTTCGGACATTTTCGCGGCGTGGCGGTTAGTGAATGGATTGGTATACGCAAGGAATCATTCAATCACTGACCGACATATCGAGGCGTTGGCGAGGACGAATTTCGAGGTTAGGGCACCCCATATTCCCAGGTGACGGGGGGGGGGGGGGGGGGGGGGTGTCATTACGGGAGGGGATCTGTGAAAAATCAGAGACATCGTGCATGAAGAGACGCAGATTTTGTGCAAGCTGAGGGCATCTCCGCCTGTCATTGCGTGTCGTTAGGCACTGGTATATACTGTAGGCTCATCACCCGTCAACGACCAGTCATGTCGTACAGTTGCCGTTACATACCTTCAGAGTCAGACCACAATGGCTCCACCCTTGTCATTGAAGATCATTGTCAGAAAGGAAGAAGACTCAAGTAGATGACATACAGAGACGATTCGAGATGAAGAACCATACGAAGCCAGAGAAATCGATGAGCGGTGGCATAATCACCACCGACCGCGAACAATGCTTGAATCTAAATCTAGCTTTGATGGAGGTTATTGGACGAACTAAGAATACGGGATGCCAAAACATCATATTCCAGCCCTTCGAGGTCCTACTCGATCTATGACTTCGGGGACAGTACCCATACACTGGAGATTGAAGTGCTTCATGTGCCTAGAATTGGGCAAATTTCAGTACGCGCGGCCATGACGTATTCCCCTAGAGTTATTTGAAGCTGTTGGGAAGGATATCTAACAAGCTGATTGGATGAACCATCGTTCAATCATGATTACCACTATGGACAGGGCACGAGCTGTTGACATAGGCGGGGAGTCGGAATCGGAATCGGAATCGGGATGTGGGCCACACCACAACTGTCGACCTTGAAGGTTCCCCACGGGGAAATAAGTGGAGGTCGTATACGACACCAGATACAAATAAAGTGCCACTTCCACTGTATGATGAATCAAGACACAATGCAGATCATTTGGCAAGACTCGGACAATTACGAAGATGCGCGCATCGGACGCGTATTCAACCATCGTCGCCCGCAACGATTCCCACTGGCCGTGGTCAAGGCAACCTGCGAAGATGATATCGTCGCCGCCGTGCAGCTCGCCGTTGAGCGCAATTGTCGTGTTGCAGTTCGATCAGGTGGCCACTCATGGGCAGCGTGGAGTGTGCGTGACAATTCCATTCTGATCGATCTGGGCAACTTCAAGCATGTCGAAGTGGATGCAGAGAATCGTATTGCCAGAGCGACTCCCAGCATGACGGGGAGAGAGCTCAACTCGGTTCTAGTTCGAGATCACCAACTCATGTTTCCTGGCGGGCATTGTCCCGACGTCGGCCTAGGAGGTTTCCTATTGCAGGGTGGTATGGGATGGAACTGTCGTGTGAGCATCCATTCTTCCCGCTGATTGATCTGACTAACATGATCACAGAACTGGGGCTGGGCATGCGAAAGAGTTCAAGCCGTTGACGTTGTTACAGCCGAGGGCAATCTGCTGCACTGCAATGCCGAACAAAATCAGGAGTTGTATTGGGCCTCACGAGGGGCCGGACCAGGTACTTTTCGTTTCGAACAGGTTTCCTCGTTCTGTAGCTAACCCCCCGTTAGGATTTCCCGGAGTTGTTACAAAGTTTCACCTTCGCTTGAACCCATACCCCAAGAAAGGTGGCTTTCGATCTTCTGGCTATATTTACCCTATTCACCTCTACCGTGAGGTATTTCGATGGATCATTGATATATCTCCCAATTTCGATAACGATACAGAAATTGCTGCCATCTCACATTTCCCTGAAGGCAGTAACGAAATGCGTTTCTTCGTTCTGTTTGTCACCATGAAGGACTCGGTGGAAGCGGCCGAGGAGGCACTTCGTCCTGCTCAGCAAAGTCGGCCCGCTGGGACTGTCGAGGAATGGTTCTCCAAGGAAGACAGTCTTGACGAGCAATACAACAATCAGGCAGGGGCAAACCCTGAGAAACATCGCTACTGTGCCGATAACGCCTACATTGCCGATGACGCCGATGTTCCCGCTGTCTTGGAAGAGGCATTCACCACACTTCCCCATCGCAAATCATTCGCGCTGTGGTATGCCATGAACCCCTGTAGCCGTCGAAAGCTCCCAGATATGGCACTTAGCATGCACTCGGACCATTACTTCGCCCTGTATACCGTCTGGGAAGAGGAAAACGACGATCGACGATGTCAAGACTGGGTTCGGAGCGTCATGGAAAAGGTCGAACAGCATTCGGTTGGAGCTTACCTAGGAGATTCGGATTTCCAGGTGCGCAAGACGAAGTTCTGGGCCGACGAAAATGCCAAGCGCTTGATGGAGATCCGACGTCAGTGGGATCCGACGGGAAGAATCTGTGGATACCTGGATCAAGGAGACGTGTCGGGCACTCAAGGGTTGGGCAATGCTCATGAGTGGAAAATGAGATGAATCATATTCGAATGTTTGGATTAGACGGCCACCGCAAGACGTTTATCTGGTAGTACAATATAAATGTTCATATTCAGCTCACCGGTGGTGGCTTCCCCTTAAAAATGCTACTCTTGGACAGGGTGCGTGTCCAGGGTTCTTTAGCACTGATTTTTCCTCTAATTTCCCACGTAGGCATTGTATGAATGCCTAGATCATTTTTTCCTTTGCCTGAAGACCAAAATTGTATTTTTAAATTTACACGTTCCCCCAAAATGCACAAAGAGCTTCCATGTCATTGATTTATGTTTCCGCCAACGATGTCAACACAATGATATAACAGAATACTCTAAGCCACTTTCCATATAGGCATGAGTCAACCCCGACATGGAAAAGTTTACTGCGGCATCCTATAGTGAGGGCATAGTAAAGACACCTACAATCTATCTAAACTTTTTATCATCGATGGCCAGACTGAGCGCGATTTGAACTCCTGTGGAGGCTTGAAACACCCGATCAAACTATCGTAAGGATCACTAAAGCAAGGTGATGAAGTAAAAGAGGCAGAAGACATCCAAGGCCCTTAGATGATGTACACGTTATCTTTTAATGGGTCATCGTTGATGAGTTTCTTGGTCTTCAATAAGTTTTTCTTCTCACTGTCGGGTGTCTCGGCTTCCAGGTACTGCCAGGTTTACTTTCATATCCTCCATCATGTCCTGATCTTTCACTTCTGGTCTAGTGCTGAATCCTCCGAGACCAAAGCGGCGAGGTCGGAGTACCCCAGGTGCTGCAGTGATTTATAGTATGGCAGCGGAATTCGTGAGTTCGTCATGACCACAGAGTTCCAGCAATGATCAGTTCTTCTACGAATGTTTTTGGCAGGTTGCAGAATGAAATCGAATCTTTGTATTATTCAAAACCCGTTGAAGTTATTCATGGGATTCATCTAAACCCCAGATTCATATAGTGTTTCGTTCCTCTTTGATATCATCATGCCTTACTCGTTCTCCCTGACATCAATAATGGTCGTCTTGAACTTCCGGGCCGAGATTTTGCGGTTGAACAAAATGTCACTCTCACGGTACGAGCGGTGCTTGAGCTCAGGAAGGAAGAAGTAGGCCATCACCCAGCAGACGCAGGCGGTACCTGCCCAGACGTAACCACACTTTCCTGCAAGGTTCCATCCGGTGGTGTTGAGCATCTTGGAGGCCAAATAGATCATGGGGATCTCCGCAACGTAGTAGGCAGCACGACCAACAGCAGTGCTCAGAGCACGAAGACGGACAGAGGACGTCTCGGAAATGATGGTGTAGGAGATGGGGCCGCATGTGCCAGCAAAGACGAAGGAGATGAGAATACCAAGGACGGCCTGAGCGTAGTTCGTTGCCGTGGACTGATGGACAGAGGCGCAGATGCCGAGGATGACGAGCAGAGTGATGTTGGTGGCTGTGCCCCAGAGATAAATGGTTCGACGGCCGAACCAAGCAGATAAACCCCATGAGCCGACGTTGGCCACAAATTGAAGACAGGAATTGATCAGATTGAGCTGGAAGGCTTTGTCGGAGGATATGCCGGCTTCTATATGGGGGTCAGTCATATGGCCCGCGACAAGTTGATGAAGGCAGGCTACTCACGCTCGAAGAAGAAAGTGGCCTGGTTGGCAATCAGATTTCCAGCAAAGTTCTGCGACGCGTACATTAAGCAAGTGATGGCCGTTCGTCGCAAATCGGTACCCTTGAGAAGGTCAAGGAGGTTCGGCGCGCCACCCATCTGAGCTTCGATCTCGACAGTTCGCTCCATCATGGCAAGTGACTGATGTGCATGCTCTTCATTTTTCTCACCAAGGCGCTTGATCGAGCGAAGGGCTTCCGCTTTGCGTCCACGACGAATCAACCACCATGGAGATTCGGGGGCGAGGAAGATGAGAATCAACAGAGGTGTCTAATCCAGTCAGCTCGGATCGCGGATCAGAAAGAAGGTACATACGGGGAAGATCCACTGCAAGGCCAGAGGAATTCGCCAAGCCCACTCATTTGCTTGCTTGTTGTAGCCTAGGGTGGCAGCGGCGACAATAATCGAACCAATCGACCAACTCATTTGCAAAGTAGCCGTGCAGGCGCCTCGAAGGGAAAGAGGCACAATCTCACTGGCATAAGCAGGGGAGTTTGCAATGAAGAAGCCCCACGGAACACCTTCCAAGGCTTGACCGACCGTCAGGAGGGCGAGAGAGTTGGCAAAGAAGGAAATGAAAATTGTTGCGTTCATGAGAACGAGGGCCAAGATGGTAGTCCAGCGGTAACCGAGACGGTTGGTGACAGGACCGGCCAAAAACACACCGATGAAAGCACCACATTGCCCGGATTGGAAAAGAGCACTCTGCCATTTGGTTGGAATAGAGTATGTGTCAGGGCCGGTCTGGACACCGTACACTTTTTGAAACTCTTTCAATGCGACAAAGTTACCGTTCAGAAACATGTCGAACGATTCCATGACCTGTGAGGCGTTAGTGTCTGCGCCGGAATAAAAGGCAACAAAACTTACGATGGTGAAGCACATGGTAAAGGCCCAGAAACAAGCCCATGGGTGTTGCTTTGCAGCCTGCCACACACCCATCTCGTGCTCACGATTCTCACCGTCAAAGGCATCGTTCATGAGATCCGCGTTCACCAAAACCTCGGAATGCAGCACGTCGGCCTTTTCGACCCGAGGTTCCATGTCGCCCTGGTATGACCCATCCTTTTCATCTTTGATACCCGACATTTTCGGAGTTCTCGATGGACAATGGGAGGAAAAGTGAGAGGCAAGGAGGCCGAGTGCCGGGGGTCTTATATTTCTGGCCGCATCTGCATATTCCCGATTACTTCGTAGTCCCAAAGCTCACCGAGCAGTGGCGATCCGATGGGCAGGGGGTGTGACCTCCGCCGGGCTTTTTCCCGTTTCCCTCCAGCTGACGCCGAAAGCGAAGGCGGTGGTTGCAACGGGTTGAACATGGCGCTGTTCATCTGGGACCCTATTGGACTGGATCCTCGGCTCTGACCAGACAAGGCTAGCCACTGCCGATGGCTTTGGGAAATCCGCTGACCGGAGGGGTTGGTGGCGTCGGCTCAATTTACAGGGGTCCCTCGTCCACTGGGTAGCAACGGACTGTGCGGGATGGTTAAATTCGGATTGGGGGAGATGCGGGGGCCCCGGACAAGCTTTTGTTGGTAGCTTCCAGGGTCGAGATTCACGTGTATCCTCTGGGGTCAAGACTCGCGGTAACACGGCACAGTTTGAGGTTCAAAGAACAGGACCAGAAAAGGACAGGGCCCCATCTGAGGCCCATGTCACCACGCAGCCGGGACGGTCAGGTGCATGGATCGCGATGATTTGCCATTTTGACTCAAACAAAGTCGGTTGGATCGCACTCTGAGTCTGTTCATTGGTGGAAACCGAGATGCAAGACCCATACCCTTCATAGCCTAGTGTGAACGCCTTTGGAAACCCGGGGCAGAGGGGAGATGTGGAGGACGTGGAGGATGGGGAGATGTGGAGATGGGAACGGGCAAGGTTACATTTCGGGTCTAATGGATTGACGAGGCTTACATTTAGCTTACTTTAGCTTGGAATTAGCTTGGATACAGCTAAGATTGAACAAACATTTATCCGTGTTCTCTCATTTGAATCGGACGACTCTAAGTCTTCCAATACCGGCTTGTCTCCAGATACTTCTAGTCAAACCGGATCAGACATTGAAGATAACGCCAGTCGCACACGGGATGCCTTTTTCCCTTCCAAGTCTCTGAAATCTTGCGGTCCTCCTCATATGGGAGATTGGCCTGATCTCGGTTTTCTTCCATCCCAATTCTATCGCGATCCACAATCGCTTTATCCGCGTCACTGTATCGACCCAGCGTGAGCCGTCCAGCCTGCATGGCAAGAACACACAACGCTACGGCAGACCAACGCTCGCGGACGCGCATCTAGAGAACTCGAATCTGGCTTTCGAGCCCATCCTGGATTATGCTGGCTCTTGGGATGAAGCATAGTGGGATTTGGTCGCGACTGACGTTGTCTTCAGATGAGGCTATCTCGAGGAGGAACCCTAGTTTTGCACTGAGAGGGACTCATTTGTTAATGACCGTGCTACAGTCCCCCGGATAATTCTTGGGCGCTGGATCTCAGTCCGTTCCCCAGCGAGGAGCGCAGCGAGACAAACCAGTCTCGGTGAGTGGTCATGGTAGGGACCGTACCTTGTCTGGAGTCAAATGGACAGTAGAGGATAGATTCTAGATTGTAGAGGGTAAAATATATTGTGACTCTAGATGGTAGATGGTAGACGACCGATCAGAATGGCATCAACTTGAGAGCCCGTATTAGACCGGCGTCAGGTGTCCTTGCTTATTCCAATCTCTTTCACGAAGACCGTTGTTGGCCACCAAAGAAACAGAGACGTGTTTCGAGTCCATGTTCAGACCGAAAGAACCATTGGAACCGGGCACGGATGATGACGACCAAGTTTGAGACGAGCCCGGTGTCCATGAACTGGTGTGAGTGGCTTTGTTTGTTTCTCTACAAGACTACGTGGGGAGGCCTGGGATCATCTCATGCAGCAGCAGTAGTCCAGGATCATCCTCCTACGCTCTTTTTTTATTCCTCCAGGAATGAAACGATTGCAGAATCTTGCGCGCAGACGTTGTATGTACATAGCAGATCGAGTGCGGTTACGCCTGGATCTCTGCTTTCATGGCGACCACTTCGCCCGGTGCGAGGATGTCGACCTTGGCGATATCTCCTTCCTCCTGTAGCAAAACCCGATACTCTTCTCCCGCATACAGTGGGCTCGTCGCACGGTATGAGATGTGCTGAGGGATGATCGTCGTCGGATCTGCAGTATTCCGGCTTCGAACGTCCCTCCACAGGTCCAGGATAGAGATCAGGTTCAGAGGGCCATGGACCACGATGTCCCGGTGTCCCTCCACATCACGCGCCCAGGGAAGAGAGTAGTGGATTTTGTGAGGGTTGAATGTCAGGGCCGAAAATCGGAAGAGCGTGACGGGGGTTTGCACCAGCGTGCGAGTGTGAGTGTTCCCTTCCGTGATGGTCGATGAAGGCTTCGGGAGAGTCAGGTGGGAGGTTGAGGATGAGGACGGCGCGCTCGACGGGGCCGAGGCAGCTGTTGCAGGGAGAGCTTTGCGGAAAACCCAGTTCCTGTATTCAGTCAGTCAGTCAGACTGCGAAGGCCAGGTGAAGGGGATGACAGACCTTCGATCAACGATGGAGACCCCCTGCTCATTGGCAAATTCCTTCTCCACGCCCACCACGATCATGTCCTCGCCAGTCTTCTTGACTACTTTGGACTCAGCGCTGAGCACCCGTGTGGTCTCGCTCACTTGTTGTCCGACGCGCAACGGGTTGGGCTGCTCATCAGCACCGCGCGGCCAGAGCACCTCACCACCCGCCCACATGCGGCGCGTGAACGGTGCCTCTGGATTGTATGACGCATCGGTACCGTCTGTGCCGAGCTCTGACTCCAAGAAAGCTGGGGTGAAATACACGAGGTGGTACCCAGGCGGCACTGGCGTATCGAGTGGAGGAGCAGTTGGAGTGTTGGACAGTGAAGGCGACCCTGGGAAGAGGGAAGGCCGGTTCAGGGTGAGGCTGAGAAGCTGTAACTGATTGGCATCGAGAGTCTGAGTGCGTGTTTGAGGTCCCAGCGACTGGAAGCGCGATAGGAAAGCCTCGGCCACGGTCGCAGCGGGCGCATCATTGTGCTGGGAGGTGGTGAAACGGCGAGCCGCGTTCAATGCACGCGGACGGAGGTGAGGGCGTACCTGCGCCAATGCATACATGATTCCAATTCAAAGTCTGTCTGATCTTGATTCTAAGTTCAATTTTAATTTCAGATCGAAATTTAGACTCCTAGGCAGACTGGCGCATCTCCAAATCTTTAAGGCGTGGAGAAAGGGCCGAGTTGCCGCAAGTCGGCTTTATGATCTATGATCTCATCTTGGATTCAACAACCTCAATCAAAACTTTTCAGTCGTATGGGTGGTTGGGCTTTGAAAGAGAACATTCAATGTTTGGAATTCATATTTGGAAGATTGGGGAATTTTCATTCTATACGACCTTCGAAACAATTCATGGGTCCCCCTGGATATGTTTAAGCAGCGACGTTGTATATACAACCTGTACAATGTATATCTATTTCCCTTGTAGCACCTCATCCGTCGTGCGAACGATAATGTCGAACGCATTACGCACGTACTTTTCCTCTGCCATCGGGTTCGCACTCACTACACGGATCACGTACACCCCGTCAATAACTGTTGAGGTGATGAAGATCTCGCCCCGCGAGTTGATCAACTCGTAGACCTTCTTGGTGATACTATCGGCCACCTCATCCTTCTCGATCGCACCCTCGGACAGGCGAGAGGCCTGCGGGTCCTTAATGCGGAAAACCGTCAGGCAGAAACCTGGCTTGGTGACGATCTCGAACAGATCTGACCGGCCCCGAACGAGGTCGGCGAAGACATTACCAAGCTCGATGGTCTTGCGGATGTGGGCCTTCATGCCGTTGAGACCGTAGCTACGCATGACGAACCAGATCTTCAGGGCTCGGAAGCGGCGGCCAAGTGAGATAGACCAATTGCGGTAGTCGATCACGGTGCCCATGTCCGAGTAGGGGTTGCGGAGGTATGTCGGGGTGATGTCAAGAGCGTTGGTAAGATCGAGACGATTGCGCACGAAGAGGACACTGAAAAATATCAGCATGAAACACAACATGACATGTCGATGGCCGAGACTCACCTGGCATCGAAGTTGACCAACAACCACTTGTGCATGTTCATATTGAAGCTGTCGACTCCCTCCGTAAAGTCCTTTGTAATATACTGCCACTCATCAGCCACCAGAGACGCGCCGGCGTATGCGGCATCAACGTGAACCCAGATCCGTTGCCACGCGGGCTTCTCCTGCAGCACTGCCTTGATCTCGGCAAAACGGTCAACACTGCAGGTATTGGTGGTGCCAAAGGTCATGGTCAAATGGTACGGCGTCAGCCTATCCCGGTCACACTGCTCCAACACCTCGCGCAGACGGGAGGCGGTCATCTCCATATTATTCTCCAACCCTGTCGTCACGCTGCGGAATCGAGTGCCCGCAATCAAGGCGCCCTTGGCCGCACTGCTGTGTGTCTGGTCACTCGCGATGGCCACCAGGCGCGGCTGGAGGTCCATCTTCCGCTCTTCGTATTCCATTGTATCCTCCTGGAGCCCTTCAGCCAAGACCAACTCCCGCACTCGCCTCTCCCTCGCGGCCACCATCATCGTGGCGATGGCATCACTGGCACTGTTCTGGATCACGCCGCCGCCACGGTTCTCCGAGGTACTCAGGAAGCACTCGGGCAGAGCCAAAGCGCGAGCAACCCAATCCATGACGATAGTCTCTAACTCCGTGCAAGCCGGCGAACACAACCAGTTGAATGCTGGGGCCGTAAAGGCCGCCGAGTACATCTCACCTAGGAGGCTCGGGTAGGTCACACTGGCGGGGTAGTACGCCATGAAGTTGGGTGACTGCCAGTGTGTCAGACCCGGCTTGATCTTGGAATCAACATCTTCCTGAATCTGCGCCCAGGCTTCTCCTTCAGCGGGAGGGTTTTCGGGAATCAGAGGACGGAGGTATCCGGGATCAACGGCTGGGAGGACTCTGCGCTCGGGGACAGTATCGAAGTAGTTCACGACTGTAGACGGTTTTGATCAGTAATTGGATCACATTTTGGGAGGAAATGGAAGCGCACTATCATCGATGGCCGAGTGCGCGGCAGTGCGAAATTGTTCACGATCCATGATTCTTTTTCGCGGGTGCGGGGGAGTTTGACAGCTGCACGGTCCAAACGAACAGAAACCCCAAGAAATCCCAATAATGTGGGAGGCAGAGGGGAATGAAGAGCGAAATCAATGGTTGTAAGGAGTGCAGAGGCAATTGGGGTAATTAAAGAACGAGGAAGCAATTCAAGGTCGTGGTGGGATGTCAAAGTGCGTCGGAATCAATTCCGTGTTCCCGAGTGTCAATTTCGATTTCCATCTCACTGGTGATACGCACCCAGATGCTATGGCCACGATTTCACTATCTGTGGGGTCGAATTGAAACTGCGAACCGTAAACATGGGCATTATATCCCGATTGACATGGCCTGAACGTTCGAATTGGCTAATCGGGGGTGTATTCGGCTTGCATGCATTCAGCGCTGGCGTTCAGGGGTGACTAGCATTTTCCCTACAGTTGAATGGCAGACTGAAATGGTTGAGACATTTTTCTATCTCTTCTATGTCTATGTGCTTTTCTCGTAAATCACATTCTCGTGACGCATGGAAAAGAAAAGAAAAGAAAATTAAAACATCGCTTGTAGACGCAGGTAAATCATTTTCAAAAGGAAAAGCTGCTCCCATGCGCAATTAGTCGACATACTTGGGAAGCGTCTTCAGGACGCCGTCCCGAGCAATTTCCTCCATGGCCGTAGTAAGCTGCTCGAGGAATCGCTTGTCATTGCGCAAGTCATCACCGAAGAGATTCTTGACGCTCAGCAGCTCGGCCGGGTTGGTGCCTCCAGCGCGTGCCTTTGCCTGCAATTCTTCTCTCATCGGATCCTCCACTTCGAAGGGCTTGCCACTGTCGTCGACGCCCTTGAGATAATGGAACCAGGCCGCAGCGACAAAGCACAGACGGCGGAAGGGGCCGGTAACCCAGATCGCCTCAGCAATCGAGGGCATGATGAATTGAGGGATCTTTCCGGACGCGTTGAGGCAAACACGAGGCAATTGATCCATGATAGTGGGGTTCGAGAAACGCTCGACGAGGGTATTGCAATATTCGTCAATATCCACGCCCGGAATAGCAGGCAGGAGTGGCTTGACTTCTTCTTGCATCATTTGCCACACCAGCTTGCGCAATAAGGGGTGCTCCATGACCTCGTGAACATATTTAAAGCCGGCCAGCTGACCAGGATAGCCAATAGCGGAGTGACTTCCGTTGAGAAGACGCAGCTTATGCTTCTCGAACTGCTCGACATTGTGCACATTCGTCACGAGCTGAACGCCGACCTTATCGAACGGCGGGCGGCCGTCGGAAAAGTGGTCCTCAATCACCCACTGCATAAAGGGCTCGGTCACGACAGGCCATGCATCTTCGATACCAAAGTTCTCGGCAAGCGAAGCTTTGTCTGCGGCGGAGGTCTGCGGTGTGATGCGGTCGACCATGGCGTTGGGGAAGTGGGCTTTCTCGGCAATCCACTTGGCGACCTCGGGATTGCGCACGCGGGCAAACGACTCGAGCATATGACGGGTGATGGCACCGTTCTTCTGCATGTTATCGCAGGACATAACGGTGAAGGGCTTCAGGCCCTGCTCTCGACGGCGGACCATAGCAGCGTAGAGGAAACCAAAGGTAGTGCGGGGGGCCTTCTCGTTGGCCGGATCGAGGTCGAATTGGATATCGGGATGCTCGACTTGCAACTCGTGGGTGTTCTCGTTGTAGTAGTAACCGCTCTCGGTGATGGTGAGGGAGACAATGTGAGTATCCGGGTGAGCCATCTTGGCGATGACGGCCTCACGGTTGTCCGGGGCAAAGAGGTAGGAATTGATACTGCCGACAACATTGGCGAAGCTTCCCTTGGCAGACCGCTCAATGACCGTATAGAGGTGATCCTGGGATGACAGGACGTCGCGCATGCCGGCATCGAAGGGTTGCAGACCGACACCGCAGATGGCCCAGTCAGTGCTGCCATGCTTCTGCATCAACTGGTCGACATAAACGGCCAGATGGGCGCGGTGGAAGCCGCCCACACCAATGTGGACAATTCCCTCCTTGACGGCGGCGCCGCGCTGGTAGGTGGGGACCTTAACCTGGGCCTCGCCGGCCGTGGCGATTTGGGACAAGTTCGCGCTGTTCAGTTTGAGAGGTGCCATTGTGAATTTTGAATTGGAATGACAGGTGAAAAGGAGAGAAGGTAAGAAGGAGGGAGTGAAGGAGGAATGAGAGGAGTGGAATGCCGGAAGGCAGGAGCTAAAGAAGGTCACCGCCGGTTTCTGACAGACACAACATTACATCATGTGGGCTGAGTGGGTCAAGATGGAAACAGTGGATCAATGTGGCGATCAATTCGCGGGTTCTGCTTGCCATCGTGGGTTTTCCTGGGGTTTCGCATGCTTTCGATCTGTTCACATCTTGGAAGGGGTAAGAGCTTTCCGAATCAAATTTCCCTTTCCTTTGGGTCGCGCAATCTGAATTTTCACCCCGTCTCTGTCCTCTCTGGTCCTCTGTCCTTCCTCTTTTCTTTTCTTTATTTTTAATTTTGCTTTTAATTTTTGATTCGTATTCAGAATATTGTTTTTTTTGTGGCTACAATAGTGTCTTAGCCCGACCTTCCCATTGGTTCCTAGCTCGTTCGATTGGCGGCCTGAACTATAAAGCGATGCGTTGAGAGGGCTTTTCGCATCATCTGACTCTTGACACGGCCTAGAACGTTGACCGCCTCGAGCACCCAGTTCAGGGGTACCAGCCCTAGGTCATAAGATACAGAGGTAACTACAGCAGCTATCTTCTGAATTCGGATGGGCAGACATCTTTGGAATTTCAGATTTCTTTTTCCTTATCGAAGTAAGCCTTCCGTGGGTGGAGAGGGTCGGGGGTATCGGATTTGGAGGAACCACCTGCCCAGGTCCGCAAGGAGCCGCACAATATATCCTTCTATTAATAGACATGCGCTACCTTCATGGCTGAATGGCAAACCTTCAAGTCAATTTATAGCTGTGTTGCTATCGTTGTATCCCGCAACTCATGTTCCTGAGTAGCAGGACTCAAAATCGCAGATGTGGGAGTACATCGATGCAGCACTTGAGATGAGACAGGTCGATGTTCGCAGCTTCTTTAATGTTGTCTTGAATCACGAAGTTTGTGCCTTTGTTCACTTCTCGAAACATTGGACCAGTTTGTCCGACTAGCCTTTCTTTGTTGCCGCCAGTTATCATATGTCATGAGCATACATCTCAAGATCATTGTCAAGATCCTTTCGTATTGCAACCTGTCCTTGCTGAAAGAACAGTACGTCTCGAAAGTGGTGCGACCACCTACACTCTTCGATTGGTTGTTCAGCCTTCATGCCAAGACACACTAATCTGTATTCAGGATGTTTTCGGAGCATCCCTGTCAGTCGAAGCTATGTTGTTCCTCACGTGCGGGGTTTGCAATCCTCTTCTTCACCAGTACCAACAAGCAACACAGTTCTCCCATTAACGACTAGCAAGAATGAATCAATACTATGGCTCCGACTGGGACACCGGTGACATGGAAGGCTTGGTCTCGATTGGCTCCCACAAGCTCTATCTATCCGCATCTGGACCAGAGCGCCTGGCCGGGGAGCCTATTGTCCTTCTTATGCAAGGCCTCGGTAGCACCATCGATGAATGGGTGGCCGTACGGAAGCTTATGCTTCCCTTTGCGCGATGGTTGAATTACGATCGTTCGGGGATGGGCCGCAGTGAAAGTCTCGCTCAAATGCCAGAAAGCATATCCGCAGAATCTGTGGCAGCCGAACTGGATACTTTATTGAAAAACGCCGGCATCGCCCCTCCGTTCATCATCGTCGGACATTCTTGGGGAGGCATAACTTCGCGTGAGCTTCTTAACCTCAGGCCAAATGACATCGTGGGTATGGTCTTTGTAGACTGCAACACCGAGAGCTACTTCGACGACGGTACTTGGGGACTGGAGGTGTTTGAACCCATGATGGGTGGCCAGGACTTCAGTCAGACTACTGGTCTCGCGACCTCCCACCTTTTATCCAAAGATGAATGGAAGTCGTTCTATAATGAACAAATGAATGAACGACACCAAAAGACCGAGATGGCCGAATATCAAGGGGTAAAGACAAGCGGACGGGCTTTAGCCCAGAAGAGGCAGCTCGAGAATCTCCCGCTGAATAATCAACCTGTGAGCGTGATCATCGCAGATACGTCAAGCGATTTCCAAAGAATTTACGACTGTGGTGTCGCTGCAGGCAAAGGAACAGAAGAAGAACGAGCAGTGTATCTCACGCACCTTGCCAGGCTGCGAGAGAAGAGTGAGGACTGGCAGTGCGAATTGTTAAAGCTCTCTCGTCGAAGCAGGGCTGTTCGCGTGAAGTGCGGTCATAATGTGCAGATGCTCCAGCCTCAGCCGATCGTGCAAGAAATATAATGGATCTTGCAAAATTGGAAGTCACGTTCAAGCGAGTTTAGTCTGGAGATATCCGTTCATTGAATTTCAGGTGACCAAAAGCCGAAGGCCCACGGAACCTATGTTGAGCAGAAGACACATGAATATTCGAAGTTCCATTTCCCTCTGCACTGTTGCAAATTCAAGCTCTATGATTTGACTTGTTCGCATCACTTGGGAAGTTATAGGTGTTCCTTGCTTTGCCATTGCAGTCACGAGACATGGACTCGTATTTCACTAATGTAATCGAAGGTAAGTCTTTGTTATACGAATAGTGATATTCCGGACCTAATCTAATATAAATTAACGAGCTTTATCTCGGGAGCAGTTAAACCTGAGATTTGTCGGAATTCCAGAATCACGATCTGCTTTTATCTTTTGAACTTTGACACGCGATTCGATATTGTTGAATCCGCAGGGAAAAGAAAAATCGTGATGCATAGCACATACTTTCAAGGAACAGTAAATGCGAGAAAAAAAATTTGGATCGGGTCTGGCACTCTTATATTTGTTGAAATCATCTAAGCGCCATTTGAACTTCTCAGCTTTTCTTTTCCCTTCATTTTGGAAAACATATTTAAAACGATATCTACCAAACTAGCTCGTGGCATCCTTCTGAACTTCTCTCCTCTCTGTCTTCTCCACCGAACCACAACGCATCGCCATAGTCTCTAAGGATAGCCTCACCTGACCTAATTGAACGCTAAACCCCCCTACCCCCCAAATAGTCCAACAAAGGCTTTCCTTGACATTATGCGCAAGTTCAAGGACAATCATGATGACATTGAAATTGAGGGGTTATTGGGGCCGGCGTACGACGAACTATAATACTAGCTTCTTTGAACGATCTATTGAGACTGAGTACGCCAAGTTTCTGAATTCGCGCTCGCCCATTCAATGAGGTCGAGCTTCCACAAAAATTCAAATAACTAGATATGAGAACTGATCGAAATGTGAGTCCGGAAGTAGAACTACTAGGTTCACGCCACTTAAGCCGCCACGGACTGGCCTAGCATTGATTGGTTGTTACTCTACCCAAACTCAACATCCCGGGCACCGCCCGGATTTCACTCAAGCCACGCGGAAGAGGCGGAAAACGCTTAAAACTTTATGATGGCTTGAAACTCAATCTTCGCAAATAGATTAAATCCCTCTGATGTCCACATTGTCCACATGTACAGGTGTTTGGGTTCGGTTGTTCAAGGCGATATGTGGGGCCGATTTGATCGCCGCCCGCAATGCTTCAACCCCGCCGTAATGACATGCCGCATTGACGTTTGTGATCTCGATTTAATCTGAGCTGAGGTTACTCATTGATACAATACTTCGACAGCGCCCCATCTAGGGGGCCATCTCATTTCTTTTGGTCGCAACTACGGGTACTCTGCAAACCATGGCTCTACTCGAGGCTATATGATGCCAGACCGGCATCTTGCCAAGGTTCCAGGGCGAGCGCTGCGACTGATACCCCTCGCACAACTGGGACCGCATTCACTCAATGGTGTCATTGACAATCGACGGCAACTCCCGTACTACCCCCAAAGATAGCGATTCTTACTCAGTCTGAAGTGTTAAAAACATGGTACTGTTTACCACCTGATAGCTCCGCAGCGAGAACCCAGGATTCAGGTGTCTCTAAAGGCTCATGTGGATTCCTAAGAAGCCAATAAGGCTGAAAATATTTACGTCGACCTCTCCAGACCTTCTACCATAACCAAAATTTAACCAGATACGGTTCACTCAATGCACAAGCCCCAAACCATTCTTTCAAGGGAGCTCTGCAGCTTTCCTTATGGTCAAAGACGTCACGCAGAGAGAACTGATCAGCAAAGGCGTTCATGAATATGGCCGATGATCTCACTGGCTTCGAAGACTAAAAGTTTCCCCATGTATAAAAAGCAGTCAAAGTCACCAACAATTTGCACTTTGTTAGAATTATTCGATCTTTTCTCCCAGTAATCACCATTCTATGAAAACTTAAACAATCATCATGACTGTCAAAGATGGTGCTCGTTTTGACTTTGTCGTCGTTGGAGGTGGCACTGCAGGCAACACTGTTGCAAGCCGTCTTGCAGAGAACCCCAATGCCACCGTTCTCGTTCTAGAGGCCGGGGTGGGTAATCCTCATGAGATAGATGAGATTACCACTCCTGCAGAGGCGATGGACCTCCGCAACAGTAAGTATGACTGGGCCTACAAAACCACCATGGTCAAGCGTGACGACTATGAGCGCGTCGAAAAGCCCAACACGCGCGGTAAAGCCCTTGGTGGAAGCTCTTCACTTAACTACTTTACCTGGGTACCCGGATGTAAGCCTACCTTCGATATGTGGGCCGAGTATGGAGGTAAAGAGTGGACATGGGATCACCTTGTTCACTATCTCCGAAAGAGTGCGACCTACCACGACGACGAAAAGATATACCCCGAATACCTCAAGAAGATCGGCCTAGGCGGTCCTATTCCTATCGCCCACTCAGAACTCATCCCGGAGATGCAACCATTCCGTGATCGGCTCACGAAAGCGTGGAAGTCGACGGGCCAGCCGATGACTGATAACGTCTTTGATGGCGAGTTAAATGGTTTGACCCATAGTGTCAATACTATTTATAAAGGCCAGCGTTCCGGAAGCTTCTTGGCCCTGCAAAACAAACCTAATGTCACTATTCTCGCTGAAGTTCACTCCAAATGTCTCGTTATCGATGAAGCCGACCGGATTTGCAAGGGAGTGACCGTTATCACCGCGTCTGGTGATGAACTGAGCTTCTACGCTACTCGAGAGGTGATTATCAGCGAGGGCGTATTTGAGTCCCCTAAGCTGTTAATGCTTAGCGGCATCGGTCCAAAGGAAGAGTTGACCAAACATGGTATCCGCACGCTCGTAGACTCCCCCCACGTTGGCCAACATTTACTCGACCACCCGGGAGTCCCATTCGTGCTAAGAATGAAAGAAGGATACGGTATGGATGGCCACATTCTTCGCAAGGGCCCACAACATACAAAGGCTCTTGCAGCCTACAAGAAGAACCATGGCGGGCCGATGGGATCTGGATTCCTGGAGATGGTCGGATTCCCTCGCATTGACAAGTATCTAGAGAAAGATTCAGACTACCGCAAAGCTAAAGCTGCAAATGGCGGTGTCGATCCCTTCTCTCCTCTTGGTCAACCACATTTCGAGCTCGACTTTGTGTGCCTGTTCGGCAGTGCTTTTCAATGGCACTACCCAACCCCTAAGACGGGCGAGTACATGACCGTTATGGTTGACCTTGTTCGTCCCGTCTCTGATCCTGGCGAGGTGACGCTCAACAGCGCCGACCCGCTGCAGCAAGCGAACATCAATCTGAATTATTTCAACAATGATTTAGATGTGATTGCTATCCGGGAGGGCATCAGATATAGCTACGATATCCTAAAGCACGGAGAGGGCTTCAAAGATATCATCGAGGACGAATATCCCTGGGAAATGCCCCTGGACGATGACGCGTTGATGAAGAGAACCGTTCTGGATCGCTCTCAGACTTCATTCCATCCCTGCGGTACAACCCGCCTGTCGAAGAGTATCGACCAGGGAGTGGTGGATCCGGGCCTCAAAGTGCACGGAATCAAAAACTTGCGCGTGGCGGATGCTTCTGTGATCCCCGTCATCCCCGACTGTCGAATTCAAAACTCGGTTTACATGTGTGCGGAGAAGGGAGCCGACATGATCAAGGCCGACCACCGGGATCTTTATGTACATTGACATTTGCCCCATAGAATGTTTCGCTAAATTGTCGGGGGGGGGGGGTTACGTGCTTTCTGGTACTCATATGGGAAAAATTGAAACAGTGGTTACATATTTCCTGTCTATTAATGAAATCTATCTATTAATGAAATCTATTGCTACCAGTTTGCGCCTGAGCTAGAGAGTAATTGTCAATCTCAAACATATTACTTGGGAATCGAGATGCTTGGCTTTATTTCTCCGAATCAAGTAAGTTGAGTACAAGAATTCTCATTAAAAATGCATCAGTTGACAGTAATTTTTCTATCCTGTATGCAACCATACGAGTCTTTATCTACTTTTTGTTCTCGTTACTCTTTCAACATTCTGATATTAATTGATATTTCCTCGCAAGACAAAGAGAAAGACAAATTGTTCCCGCGGCGGTATCTATCTTTGGAACAGAGCATGAAGGACCGAGATAATCACTATTATATGATATAAAGCACTGATACATCTCGAGCGATAAATTAAGATCCAGGCTATTTCAAGAAGACTTTGTAACAAAGAGCGAGGCTATAATAAAGGTGTTGAAACAATTGTCTTTTAGCCCTCGAGGATCACGGTTCATTCCCAGGTTGTATCGAGGACAGTATAAGTCTCTTCAATTCGAACCTGCCATGACGTAAAATCATTCCAACATCGAAGCTTCATACAACTCAGCTATCTAGAAGGTGACGACTATTCACAAGGCATTTTCAACCAAATATCATACTGAGGATTTTCCGTCTCGAGAATGGAGAATGATTCGCGACTCCGGCAAGACATTGTTCTGTCCTCTATCATTTTGATACAAACCTTCAGGCATATCAAATTAGACCCTTCATCCTTTGCTTGCCTCTTATTAAACGGGGTTCACAGCGAGGATGGCCTTGTTACCATCCTCACTAAGCAGGAGATTCGGGATGTGCAGTCTGTGATTGACTGTATCTTCGCAGGTGAATCCCAAACATCCGACCCGTGAAGTGTACGGCGCCCCGCCGGGATGTCCTTGTTCGACATGGTACTCCTAGGCAACTACATCCTCATGCATGAGATGGCAGTCCACGTCGATGGCCGCATCGAGTTCGTTCCGACAGACCCGCAAGTTCGCGCGACGAGAACTCACACCCCTATGCACGATCTCATTCTCACCTTGGAAGATCTTAGCCCGGACAATCTCTCCGCAGACGTGCTCGAAGCAAGTGAGGACCTCTGGTGTAGCGAGGACATGCCGATCTTACCAGAGGCGCGGAAGCGAGCGACTCGATCTCCACAAGCGACTCTCTCCAAAGGCGCTACGGTCGCTGGTACAGTAAGTATGGTAATATTACCTGAATCCATACCGGATGGCGGCCAGAAATGGAACCGAAATGCGATGAACATTTCCATGACATCTCGATGATCCTAACTGATGATGTCAACGAACAGGCAGGTTTTAGTAATGACGCCGACAGGGGTCGAAGACAACGACAGGCTACCATAGTGGGCATCGGTCATGATGTGTCCAGGGGCAATTTCCTGTTCGGCTTTCGGCCAAGGCTGAAGTGGATCTCTACAATCGATAATTTCCAGCGGCTCACAGGTCCGGAGTTTGTAGGTCCACCGTTTCCCAGATTTGTACAGTACTGTACATATCCGCGGATCTGCCGGTCAATCATAGGGCAGACCCGACGATCCCGTTCCCAGGCCGTTCCCGTACTGGTCCTGTTCTCGCCGTCATGGATCGTCCAGAGGGTTGTTCTTTCAAACATAAGATGGGGTGCCACTTGTGTGAATGGTAGAATGGTAGAATGGTGTGCCAAGATCTTTCGAAGTTGCCTAGTCTTGCATGGTCGGGCGTCCTACTACTCTCAGGTCCCTAGTGAGGCTGCGTCTTGGCCCACTGTTGGAACCCTAACCAGTTCGTTCCTTGTTCTCTTGATTCGCTTGGCTCTGTCCTTTTTTTTCTCTTCTAACATCCTCTTGAAGGGCTGACGATGCAGAAACCACGCCTGTTGTCTTGGCTGACTCCAAAAAAAGCCATAATTGCCACTGTCACGTTAGTGCTGTTGCAGCTGTCGTTTCTCCTTCTTCGCGATCGTTCCATTAAATTACCAGGTGCCACATCCGTCGAATCTCTTGGCGGGCCCGTGTCTAACAGTCCAGTGTTCCATAATGGGTCGGCTCGGCATGTCGCTCAACAACTTGCCAACCTTACAGAGGCATACACATCACATGCAGTCAATTCCAGCGTCGGCCTCGTCCTCGCGTCTCTTCGTAGCGATGATTTGACATGGCTTCTCGACTATTGTCACGAAAGGTGGGGGCGCTTTCTATTGTTGCAGCTTTTAAACGGTTAACTTATAGAGTCAGTGGTAATACACCCTTTATCTACACCACTGAAAAGACTCCCGAACCCGGTCTTCTCGTTCCTTCAACTCTACGCGGTCGAGAGTCACCAGCCTACCTCTCCTATGTGGTGGATTTCTACGATCGTCTCCCCGATTACTCCGTCTTTGTGCACGCATACCCCGAACAATGGCACAACGATCTCTTCGGTCCGCTCACCCACAACACCCTGAGAAACATCCGCTTCGAGTCAGTCGACGCGCATGGATACGTCAACCTGCGATGTCAACAGAACCCGGGTTGCCCGTCAGCTGTACACCCGCTCAATCCCACACAAGCTGATATCGACAATCATGACATTCGCGCATACTTTTCCGATGCGTATCAGCAAATATTCAATGTCTCTGTAGATAAGGTGCCCGGAGAGATCGGGAACGTGTGCTGCGCACAATTTGCCGTCAGTCGAGACCGGATTCGAGCACGACCCAAGGAGGATTATCAGCGGATCTTGGATTGGGCAGCGACGACGAAATTGACCGATGACTTTGGCATTGGCTGGGTCCTGGAGAAGTTGTGGCATATAATCTTCGGGATGGATGCAGTGCAGTGAGTTTGACCCTGGTGCATGCTCTGCACCCTTCACTGACAATGCATATACAGTTGCCCTCGATTTGAGCAGTGTCGCTGCGACACGTATGGGTGGTGTGGACCTTTGCCTTCGGGGGAGATGTTACAGGCAGTCACGAAGAGCGACCACTGAGCTGCGCAGTTCCCCCAAATAAAACCATACATATATGAAATGATATACGTTTTTCTCCAGTAATCAGGTCATCCGTTAGACGTGATCCAAGCCATGCTTTGCCTTAATTTGGACATTGTATATTTCCATAAATATCTTTGGCTCCATCCGGGAAACTTTGGTTAGCCCATGGTCAACCTGATGATTCCATACTCCATGGGATCCTGGGAGTATGTACCTAATGTCTATGCAACTAGGTAGCCTGGTTAGGCACATGTGGCCCTCTCAGCGCCGTGGTATGTGGTTCATCTCACACCCGTGCAAAGCACCGGATCTATCCAGTATAGACTCCCGAGGTCGGAATCCCCTCCTTTCAATCCGGTTCAATTCAAAAAGGACAGTGCATGATACACGATGAGTGGCTCAATGGCTGAGCGGCCCGGCAGGCCGTCTCGTATTGGGGACGGCTAAACCTCGGGCTGTCACGATGAATTGCGGCATTCGGATCTTTATTGTAGGGGCCTGTGTTGCAGCCTCACCAGTCTCACCGCCCGCCCCCATGGAAATGGTCCAGACGCGATTTGGACCTATGGGAAAGATCCTTAGACATATTCACGAGATGTCCTCCCATATCCTTGCCCAAGAGACATAGCACAACTCTCCACTTACGACCATGAAACTCGTAGGATGAAGGTGAGGGGTTCGGCAGAATGGAAAAAAGATACCAAAGCCGCTATCGCTAGCAAGTCGGCGTCATCTCCGTTCCTTTTCGAGTAGGCCGTGAGACTCCACCGTGATGCGAGGCCCCCTCCTATACGCGACTGGCGACAGCTCCAAGCCGATCCAACTGCATAAAGGATGTCTTTCCCTACCCCCTTCTACGGTCATAGCAGACTCGAGGGTCGAAAGCTCCAAAACACTGCACTTGATTCCTCCCGCTGTGTGCCCTCATCTCCCTGATTGCGTCATAGGCCTCTGGCAACCCACAACATGGCTCCGATCGACGTGGAAAAGGCGATTGAGGAGCTAACGCTGGGTGAGAAGGTTGCTTTGACAGCTGGTATGTTCCTTCCAACTGATCTGGTCTAAGCGACGATACTGATTCTACCAGGACGCGACTTTTGGCACACAGCTCCCATCCCCCGCCTCAACATCCCTTCCTTGCGCATGTCCGATGGCCCCAACGGCGTTCGCGGCACCCGATTCTTCAATGGTATCCCGGCTGCTTGCTTCCCCTGCGCCACCGCGCTAGGTGCAACGTGGGACACCGAGCTGCTATCCCAGGTCGGTAAGCTTATGAGCGAAGAGGCCATCGCCAAAGGAACACACATCGTGCTGGGTCCGACGATCAATATCCAGCGGTCGCCGCTAGGTGGACGAGGGTTCGAATCCTTTTCTGAAGATGGAGTGCTGTCGGGGACGCTGGCCGGGCATTTCTGCAAGGGAATGCAGGACAAAGGTGTCGCGGCCACGTTGAAGCACTTCGTCTGCAATGATCAGGAACACGAGCGAATGGCTGTCAATAGCATCCTCACCGAGCGTGCCCTGCGCGAAATATACCTGTTACCGTTCCAGCTCGCCATGCGCATCTGTCGCTCGGCATGCGTCATGACCGCGTACAACAAGATCAACGGTACCCACGTCAGCGAGAACAAGGCCATCATTGAGGATATTCTGCGTAAGGAATGGGGATGGGATGGCCTGGTCATGAGTGACTGGTGGGTTCCTGAGATTCCAAGCTCTGTGGAATAAAGCTGACATCTCCACAGGTTCGGTACTTACAGTACCTCTGACGCCATCAATGCCGGCCTCGACATAGAGATGCCTGGCAAGACCCGTTGGCGCGGAGAGGCTCTTGCTCATGCCGTGTCTTCGAACAAGGTCGCCCAGTTCAAGCTCGATGAGCGTGTGCGCAACGTTCTCAAATTGGTCAACTGGGTTGAGCCGCTTGGTATCCCCGAGGGTGCTTCCGAGAAAGCCCTGAACCGACCCCAAGACCAAGCGCTCATGCGTCGCGCAGCTGCCGAGTCAGTCGTCCTTTTGAAGAACGAGACCGAGGTGCTTCCGCTCAAGAAGGATGGATCTGTCCTGGTAATCGGACCCAACGCCAGGATTGCATCTTACTGTGGCGGTGGCTCAGCTTCACTCGCTCCGTATTACACTGTGAGTCCATTAGAGGGAGTATCGGCGAAGAGCACAGGAGATGTCAAGTTCACACAGGGTGTCTATTCTCACAAGGAACTACCGCTTCTCGGACCACTCATGAAGACTGCAGATGGCAAGACTGGCTTCACTTTCAAGGCCTACAACGAGCCGCCTAGCGTCGGTCAGGACCGTGAGATCGTGGATGAGCTACATCTCGTCGGATCCATTGGGTTCCTAATGGACTATGTCAACCACAAGATCAAATCAATGACCTTCTACGTCGATATGGAAGGATTCTTCACCCCCGAAGAGGATGGACTATATGACTTCGGCGTTACCGTCGTCGGTACTGGTCGACTGCTAGTAGATGACGAGGTGGTCGTTAACAACACCAAGAACCAGAAACAAGGCTCTGCTTTCTTCGGCACCGGGACCATTGAAGAGCGCGGTGCCAAGGAACTCAAGGCGGGTCAGACATATCGAATTACGTTCGAATTCGGGAGCGCGCCTACTTCAGATCTTGATACTCGCGGTATCGTCGCCTTTGGACCCGGTGGATTCCGCTTCGGTGGCTCTCGACGTGTCGGCGAGGAGGAGTTGATTGCGACCGCCGTTGAAAAGGCCTCCAAGGCTGAGCAGGTCGTGATCTTCGCAGGTCTCACTAGTGAATGGGAGACCGAAGGCTACGATCGCGATCACATGGATCTGCCTCCGGGCAGCGACAAGCTGATCAGTCGCGTCCTAGCCGTCAACCCGAATGCCATCGTAGTGATCCAATCTGGAACTCCAGTGACGATGCCATGGGCAAAGGATGCCCGTGCCATCGTGCAGGCCTGGTTTGGTGGGAACGAGTGCGGCAATGGTATTGCCGATGTGCTTTACGGCGATGTCAATCCCTCAGCCAAACTACCAATCACGTTCCCACGTCGTCTCCAGGACAATCCTTCATACGTCAACTTCCGCTCTGAACGAGGTCGTGTTCTCTACGGCGAAGACATCTATGTTGGCTATCGCTTCTTCGAGAAGAGCGACGTGTCACCAGCCTTCCCCTTCGGCCACGGTCTCTCCTACACTACTTTCAGTCGCTCCAGCCTCAGCATCAGCACTGTTCCCGAACAGCCGAAGTACTCGGAAGCCGGCGAGCCCATCACTGCTGACGTGACCGTCACCAACACCGGGTCTGTTGCGGGTGCCGACGTTGTCCAGCTCTGGGTCATCCCACCGACCACGGATGTCAATCGTCCCATGCGCGAGCTCAAGGCTTTCCAGAAGGTTTTCCTTGAGCCTGGGGAATCTAAGGCGGTGCAACTCGTCGTGGAGAAGAAGCTAGCGACGAGCTGGTGGGATGAGCAGCGTGAGCAGTGGATCTCGGAGAAAGGTCAGTACCGGATCTCGGTGACTGGTACTGGCACAGAGGAGCTGCAGGGCGAGTTTGAAGTTGGCAAGACCCGGTTCTGGCTTGGCCTGTAGATACACATTACGATTTTATGCAAGTATAGCTATGGGGTCTGTCTATGGGATCTGAGGTATACTATTTTATGGGATGAATGAGACGATTTCGAATCACCGAATTCTACTTGTACGGTACTAAAAGTGCCCCAGAAGGCAAATGGAAGAGAAAGATCGACTTTGCTGTAATTTCATCTTGAAATTATTAGTTACAGCAAACACATAGAAACCAAGGCGGTGAGGCCCCATCGTCCTAATGGCGCTAATCGCCGCCGCAATCAGCTGCGTCAAGCTCCATGAGACAAAAAAAAAAAAGGCAAGAAAACAACAATAACCATCTATTACAAAGGCACCTCCCCATCTTCAACCATAATGGATGTTCCAACACTACCCTCAGCAATGAAAGCCTGGCTTTACAGCAGCACAAGTGCGGGCCTGGAGAAGAACATGTACCTGGACTCGTCCGCGCGTGTTCCGCCCGCTCCATGCGGCGACGAGGTGCTCGTGCAAGTCCTCTCGAGCGCGCTCAACCCAGCCGACTTCAAAGTCCCTGAAATGGGCCCACATGCCCGTCACCTTGTCATCGGTATGCCAGCGTCCCCCGGAATGGATTTCTGCGGGCGCGTGGTGACTAGCGGCCCCGGTGCGGGTTTCAAACCAGGCCAGCTTGTCTATGGGTGCCATAGCATGCCGATGAAGTTCGGTGCGCTCGCCGAGTACCTCTCCATCTCGGCCAAACTCATTGCGCCTGTTCCTGAGGGCGTAAGTGTTGATGATGCGGCGAGCCTAGGAATTGCCGGGCAGTCGGCCTATCAAGCCTTAGATGGCTATGTGAAGGAAGGCGATAAGGTGTTTGTTAATGGTGGATCTGGAGGGTGTGGAATTTTTGCAATTCAAATTGCTAAGCATATGGGATGTTTTGTTGCCGTGACTTGTTCGACAAAGAATGTTGAACTATGTTATAGGCTCGGGGCCGATGAGGTTATTGATTACACGGCTGTCGGTGACGTTGTCGGGGCTTTGAAGAAGAAGGGGATTATCTATGATCATATTCTTGATCACGTTGGTTTGCCGTCGGATTTATACTTCCAGTGTCATCATTTCTTAAGACCTGGTGGTGTGTTTGTGCAGGTTGGGGCATCGGCTTTGACCACGTTCATTAGCAGAGTGGCCTGGCCTTCGTTCCTCGGTGGTGGAAAGAGGAAGTACGTCATCTTCTTCTTTAAAAATACCCAGAACCATACGGTCAAGCTTGGAGAGCTAGTTCAGCAGGGTGTTCTCAAGTTGCAGTTTGACAGCAAATATGAATTTGCGGATGCCGTGAAGGCATTTGAAAGACTTCGTTCGGGGCGTGCCAGGGGCAAGGTTCTTGTTCATGTGGCCAACAGTCAAGGCACATCTGCGGTGGTCAACGACTTTTTGTTTCAATAGTTGCAATTCCATCGCCTTGTCATTAGCGACAGCATCACTGCAAGCCTCTGCATCGAGAGCATTCAAAAATTGACCGACGCAGACACTTGAAAATGGGCATCAGCAAAAGCCGTATTCGGTGCCCAATTTACCGTCACCTTACGTTTTGGTATACTCCAAGTTTACACATGGACACAATGGATAGATCTTGTATGTTGCCAACATTCTTCTACTAACTTTGTTCTACCTTCCCTGCGGCCGGGATGATTCATCTATGACCGCTATCGTCCCGCCCTTTCAACAACCTCGGCAAATGGATTTGTCCATCTGCAGCCTTGCGCAAGTAAACTGCCAGCAAGTTGCTCATCCCCGCATCTTCAGCATGATCAACCCACTCGTTGAGTGGAATCACTTCAAACCGATGCCCCGTGTCCGTTTCCATCATAGCTTGAACCTCCTCTTTCCCAACCCGAATCTCACCACACTCATGTTGGTAGTGGACGCGACTCGAGTCTGCCACCGCCCCACCTGACAGGTGGACGGCATTAATGATTTGAGAGGCAACGGACTGTACAGCGATGAAATCAAAGACCCCCGACCACGAGCCCGAGTCCGGAATCTTTTTGATTTCCCGACAGAACTTCATCATATTGCTCATCAGGTCAAGTTCGGGTGCGTCGGTTCCGGTCACGCTCGATGGGCGGTGGATCCAAACCGGGAGTGCGAACTGTTGATTGAAACGCTCGACATATGCCTCGCCGACCCATTTGACTGCAGCGTATCCATCTTCAGGAAAAACGGGCGGATAGTACGAAGTCACAGACTTCTCTCCAAAGCTGTCTTGGCCAGAAAGGCGCGTGACACTTGCCGATGAAATGAAGTGGAAAGGAATACGCCGGGGCAAGGCGAGCTTCACAAGCTCCACGGTCGAGGCCACATTAGTCAACTTGAGGGACTGGTACGTTTTCATGAAGGAAACATCAGCTCCATTGTGGATAATCACGTCCGCACGGCAGAAGATGGATGCTGCATCGGAATCTGAAAGACCGAGTTGAGAAGCCCCCAAATCGCCCGGGTATACGTGGACCTTCCGGTTATTGAAAATAGGTGACAACTGTGGCTTCCTGACGGCGATGCAGTATATCGCCTGGACTCGGTCGTCGTCAATAAGCTGCCGAACAATTTCTTTCCCGATGAAGCCGGTTGCGCCAGTCAACACCACTGCTTGTGCCCCATGAGGCGCGATCTGAGTGTTGATATCCAGCTGCCTGGAAGAAGACGCTATCAACGACTCGATCTCTTCATCCCAATCAACCGGAACACAGTGGGCAGCCGCAGAAATATTTTGAATTCGGTGGGCCATCCCCTGGAAAGTGCTTGCTTCGAAAAGCTGATGTAAGGAGATGGAGACTCCCAGGCGACCCTTCACAAGAGCCTGCAGGGTCACCAAGGAGAGCGAACTGCCACCGACGTGGAAGAAATCCGATGCAGGACCAATGAGGTAGCGTGAGACAATATCCCGTGGAATTGCTTCCTGCCAAAGCTGACGCAAAGTCTTCTCAAGTGGCGCAAATGTCCGCTCACTGCTTTGTTGAGATCCCAATATGGGGATGGGAATTCTGCTAACAGCAAGTCTATCGACCTTTCCGGATGCACTCTGTGGAAGGGAAGGAAACGGGATGGTGGCTGATGGTCGCATGTATTGTGGCAATGACAAATTCGTTGCAACTCGATCGAGGAGTTCGTTCGTATCTTCAGGGTTTCTGGTCTCGGCCAAAACCACAAACGCGACCAGGTAGGTCTGAACCTCGTTATGCTGGGTGTTGGAACGAGGTGACACCACGCATTGGGAAATGATGTCGCCCGAAGCGCGAAGAATGGCGGTCTCGATCTCTTCGACGTTGATGCGAATGCCTCCAAGCTTGATCTGGTTATCACCGTTGATGCGTCCCAGCAAGACTAGGCTGCCATCTTGTGTGAGCCGCCCCCGGTCACCTGTGCGAAACGCCTTTGTCCACCCTTGCTCTTGGAAGAAGGGACTAGCATGTAGATCTAACAAGAAACGTTCGCTGGTCTTGTCATCCTCAAGGTAGCCCTGTGCAATACCTGCACCACCCACAACAACCTCACCGGGTACTCCAATAGGAACAGGTTTCAGGTCATCATCCACGATGTAAATCGAGTAGTTTGGCAACGTGTATAGCCATGAGGTGTTGCCGGAGTCAGCTAAGCGCACTGTGGTGTATGGCACTTCTCCAACAGAGCATGCCAAAGAGACCTCCGCAGGACCATAGGCATTGATGAGCTTCAGGTCAAATTTACGAAGCGATTGGAACTCCTTGATCACAACATCAGACAGGAATTCTCCACCAGACATGCTCGTGATCAGCTTTGAGTGCTGCAGCGCCGAACTGCCGTACCGAATCCATGCGAGATACTCCGTTGGCGTGGCAAGAGTAGTAGTCACATTGTGCGATGCAATGAGACTGGCAATGGCGACAGGATCGCCACGAGTAGAACTGTTAGCAATTACGAGGGTTCCGCCATTGCAGAGACAAACAAATATCTGGTACAAGGACATATCCCATGCGTACGAAGACTGGTGAAGAACTGTTTCTTTGCCTTCCTGAAGCCGCAATGTGTGACTGAATGCTTGGATGTGGTGCAAATAGCCGTCGTGGGATAGTGAAATTCCTTTTGGCTTGCCTGTCGAGCCACTTGTATACATCACGATGGCCGTTTGGCTTGAGGTCGCCATGTTTGGCACCGTGACTTGAGGAATATTTGAGAGAGTGCGAACAACTAGCATTTCTGCTCTGCTGTGGAGGAGGTGGAAATCTGACACAGTGGAAGTGTCCACGAGAACGGCTGCAATTTCAGATTCAGTGGCAATCATTGCCAGCCGTTCCATGCCAACCTTCTTGTCTAAACCAACGTAAGTTGCTCCAGTGCGCATGATGGCCAGAAGGGAGCATATCCAGTTTGCTCCGGGCGACTGAAACACCCCGACACGAGTCCCAGCACTGAACCCTTTGCTGAGAAGCTCATATGCGATCGATCCAACACGGCCATGAAGTTGAGAGTAGGTAATCTCAACACCGTTCTCTTCTTTCAAGGCTATATGATCGCCGTAAGCTTGGGAGATATCATCTACTCGATGCAAAATTGTGCCTGGCCATCGACCTCGCAATTCGGGGCCTGAAAGATGTTAGCAGCGGTAACAAAAATCAAATGATCCATGCTCACCTCGCCCTGCGACCAATGCTGCATTAACATCGTCGCTGGAGAACAAAGAAGGCCAAGATACTCTAGTTGCAGGGTTTTTCGTGAATTCTCGAAGCAGGTTGCAGTAGCTGCGAAGAAGAATGTCCGCATGTTCGGGGGCGTAAAGGTCTTCCTGGGCGAGAACGTACACCTCTATTCCTTCATTCCCGAAGTCGACGATATCCAGATGAATGTCATATGAAGTCTCGCCGCTTGCAAACAGCGACCCTTTTGCCACACAGCCACAGAAATTGCGAGATTCTTGAATCCTCCGGTAATTGAAAAAGACCTGGAACAGCGGATTGTGGGATGCTGATCGGGGGACATTGAGCTCCGCGAGAAGCACGTCGAAAGGCACCCGCGAGTGTACCATTGCATCTTGCGTGATTTTCCTGGTATCCCTCAGAGCCTCGCTAAATGACTGAGAGGTCTGCCGGTGGAATTTGATCGGAAGTGAATTCAAGAAAAGGCCGACACTTTGCAGAATATCACCATCAGTGCGCCCACCATCGGCAAGACCAACGCAAATATCATCAACATCGAAGAAACGTAGAAGAAGAATCTGCCAGGCTGTGAAGTAGAAATTGAAAAGAGACACTTTGAACGTTCGACAGCATTCTTCAACGTCGTCCGACAGACTTCGCTCGAGCCGAAAATGTGTCTTGTGGGAGGAAAAGCTTGAAACCGCCGGCCGTGCTAGTTTCAAGGAAAATGGAAGCAATGGAATTGCAGATGGAATTTCTGCAAAATTCTCTCGCCAAAATCTTAGGTCTTCTGACCAAGCCCCCGTATCGAGCTCACGTCGTTGCCTTTCTGCAAAGTCTGGATATTGCAGTGTATCTTGTATCAAAGGCAGTCCTTTGTACATGGTCTCAATATCAGACCATAAAACTTCGAAGCTCATCCCGTCCATATTGATGTGGTGAAACCCGAAGATGACCCAGTGATGATCAAGTGTCGAAGAAAGAACTTGGACTCGTAATATTTCTCCTCTAGCCACATCAAAAACGTGGTTCTTCATCCGTTCAGCAGCATTCTCAATTTCGATCTCGGTGGCAACAAATCTATGTTCCAATCTTAATGATGATTCTGACCATATACCTTGCATATGTTGATTCTTGTCATCTGTGAAGAAATATGTCCGCAAGGCTTCGTGACGTTGACCAATGGCCTTGACTGCTCTTGCAAAATGATCCACTCGGAGCCTTCCAATGAGCTCAAAAGTAGGGGTCACATTGAATGCAGTCTGATCTGGCACAAAAAGCCTCAAAAACCAAAATCGGGACTGTCCAAACGACATTGGAGTGATTCTTTCGACCCGACGCATTGAAGTCATGGGCTCCTCAATATCGAGTGACGATGCCGAAGAATTATCCTCGCTCTGATCCGAGCCGGAGTCACCTCCTTTCAACGATGCATGTGAGCTGCCAGTTCCACTTTCTTGACCAACAGCTGGCAGATACTCGAGGTGGAAGCTCTTGATCTCATCCGATCCTCCTGAACTTGGCACAATTTCAGGAGTTTCTTCAGATGAAATGGGGCTTTCAGATTTCCGCTGCTCTGTCTGAGGTTCCATGGGCGCTTTTGCGTCAACTTCCCCTTCTTCAGTGAGGTTTGGAACTAAGGACTCAGAAAGAAGACTTGCTGCTACATCAAGCAGATTGCGAATTGATGCCGCATTGAAAATCTTTAGCACGGGGATGTCCACACCCAATTCCTTGATAAACCACGATCGAAGGTCAACAGCGATCAAGGAGTCAACTCCCAGTTCATCGGGGCTCGAATCAAGGTTAAGCCTTTTGGAGTCAGCTTGCAAAGCAGATTCGAGCTTTTGTAGGAAGAATTCTGTTATCATTAGCAGGATAATACGAATGTGACGGAAACGCAGAATTCTCACCTTGTAAAACCTCCATTACTTCGCCCTGAGAGGTCGACTCAAGAAGACGAATTCTCACAGTAACCCCTGCCTTGTTCTTCTTATCCCCCGCGACGAGCGTGTTGGATTTGAACACGAGATGTTGGAACATGGGGTTAGACACCCAGTTCTTTGAGTCGTCATCGTCGATTCGAAGGCCACTGCACGGCGCAAGGCTGCTAGCTCCGTCTTGACAAGCGAGGACACCTTCCGCAAATACCTCCTGGAAATCTTGTTCAGCCATCCACGAGTGACCAACTCGGTACAGATACGATTGCTGAGCCATGTTCAACTCCCGCGTGACATATCCATTGCCCACTATGGCACCTATATTGATCGCTTGCCCTGCTAGGCCCCGCTTCCGGCGCTGAGCAGCTAGGCTAGCCATGAACATGTTCGCAGCGTTGTAAGCGACCTGTCCGGGGTTGCCGGTGATGGCAGCCATTGAAGAAAAGAAGATCATGAAATCCAAGGTATTTTCTGGGAAAAGTTCATCTAACAAGAGACTGCCATTGACCTTCGGCTTGATTACCTTGTCATAGCGACTGACGTCTAGATCAAGGAACATCGTATCTTGAAGAACCATGGCCCCCTGCGCAACACCTCCGATTTGAGGCATAGATTGGAGTATCCGGCGATGAGTATTGTAAACAGAATCACGGTCCGTGATATCTCTGTTATTGTCAGGGGATTAACTATCATAGGAAGGAGCCAAGTGCGAAAAATATACTCACAATGAGAAAACGCGTACAGTACAGCCGTTTCGTGCTATACCTCGAACCCAATCATCGTCAATCTTGGGATTGCGGCTGGATAGAGCAATATATCGAGCGCCTTGACGGGCCATCCACTTGCACAAAGAAAGACCAAGCCCACCGGTCAGGCCAACCAGCCAATATGTCTTGTCCTTTGCAAATGTAGCCACCTTAGTAGCAGGGCGAATTTGGGCAGGAAGACGAGAGCTGTCCCAAGAAACTAAACATTGGGAAAGTGATTCTCGGTTACCTTCAATGAGGCCCTTCAAGCCTAACTTCCTATATTTCTGCATGTTAATTGGCGTTTGGTCATTGTAAGCTCTGGTCCAGGTTTTTTGTAATTGCGAGAACACTTGGTCCATTGCTGACAAGGATGAGAACCGGGCTGGCTCTCCGGTAACAGTATCTTCATTTTCAACGAGACAGTCCTTAAGCAGTATCTCTTTCAGGGCTGACATAACAAGCTCATCGCCCCCGGCGTTGAACAACAGAGCGACACTGTCTGTTACTTTGTTCATTAAATCTCGGCGCGTCATATGGCGATGAATATGAACCCATGGCCATGATAAAATGCCCTCGGTTGTTGTAAACAGAACCAAGTTGACACCTCGCTGATTTGCGTACTGTGTCAACACAGCCGCCATTGAAAAGTCCGCATCCAGGACAGCCACTGTCTTCCCTGGGAGAACCCTCTTGACAATGTACTGGGCCAAGAAATGAACATAAAGACTGAGCATCGAGCAAACTGCATTGTCTGCGGACTCCCCGCATTTGATGACCCAAGAGCCAGGTACTCTGATGCGGGAGTCCAATGTCTCGGACAATACAACTACCTGGCTACCATCCCGAACGTCATTTCCGGTCACCAGGAATAACTTTACTGTCTGGGTAATTGGGACGGGGCGGAGTAGAGAGTCTGTGACTTCAATCTCAAATTGGTCAACAGAGAGGAATGAGCTGGGAGGATGACTTGTCTCTAGAACTTGGTAGCCTCTCTCAGACTTCTGAATGCTGACAGCAGACTGTTTTCCATTGACAATCTTGAGAATGAGCCGCTTTGTGGAGTTGTACCTATCATTTCGCTCTGGGCTCGGTCTGAATCTTGGGATGAGGGTCTTTCCATCTCTCAGGGTCATTTCTGGCTCCATGTACCACAATATTTCGTTCATTTTACCCTCTTGACTCCAAATGTCGGTGGCTTGAAGGCGAAGCAGTCTGAGTGCGATCAGGTCACCCTTGGCATCATCAAGGGTATGCAAGTTAAGGGACTGAATTTGTAGATGATTCATCTCCATGACGAGGGTTCTTTGCACACCCGTGAACATATGCGCAAATGGGTTATCTCCTTGGGCACCGTATCCCACCCATAGGATGATCTTGCATTGCGTGAATAACTCTTGGAGCGACCTCAATTTCATCGGAGTCATGGAAACAAAAACATGATCATCCAGCTCAGCCAAGCTGAGAAGAGTCCCCATCGTTGGGATTTGGTCAGGGATAATGTCGTCGAAAGAAGGAGAAACACCGATGGTGCCATAGTGTCGACCAACTGCATTAATGATGTCTGTGATGATCGTAGCGGTCTTAGCGGTCTTTCCACCAATTATTGTGAGACTTTCAGCCCCGAGAACATCTTCATTTTGCATCAATGGATTGCGCAGGAAGCTGATGCGACTGTCCACGGCTTGAGTTACCATGACCGAGAAGGGGATTGGTAGGTCTGGGTGATGAGGCACACAGGCATCGACACCGGAGAGACCACTCTTGCTCATGAGCTCGCTCCACCTCTCAACAGAAATGCATGGCGACAAAACTCGCCCTTCTTGATGCCCTTGCCACCAGCCGGGAAGTCCACCAAGAGTCAAGCCGAATCGCATCACATTCGGATCCGTCAGTTCCATTAAAATGAAATATCCTCCAGGTTTGAGCAGTCGACGAACATTGCGAAGTGTAGCTTCAAGATTCCTGGTTGCATAAAGACTGAAAGTTGCAATGAGAACATCATACGACTGCTCGGAGAATCCTTGCTCAGCTATGTCTCTCTCAATATCGAGAACTTTGTAAGCCATTCGTGCCTGGTACTTGTCAAACCTCTCTCGGGCGATATCGAACATAGAGTCCATGAGGTCCGTATATGTGTAGGAAGCAAACGCTGTATCCATCTCACGAAGTACGGCTTCGGTAGACTCGCCAGCACCCGCACCTTTAAAACTATGTTAGTGTCTGAAAGGCAAAAGTTCAGTTGCACTTATCTCACCGATTTCCAAGACATTTATATGCGGATAGCGATTGCTGATCTGACCGGCGATCCGAGCTACCTCATTCAAGTAAGACTGCGCCCCAAGTGCGTTGAAATAAACATCCGAGAGCATGTTTTCCTGCATCCAAGTATCCAGCAGGTTTATTTGCCCCCGAACAATTGAAGGAAGAATCTCGCCCACAGCTGTCATGGACCTGACATCAATGCTATCTTGCTGTCTAAAGCCAATTAGATTGATTAGAGCTTATTGAAGCAGATTAACCTCAACATACCTTTGTAGAATCTCTGAAATCGTTTCTTTGGTATCATGAGCCCATTCCGGTCGCGCAAATGGGTGATTTCCAGAAGCGACAAGCGACACGCAATGAGTGGCGTAAGAAAGGAGGTGTTGGTGGTGCCATGCAATCCCCGAATGATCCGTCTGCTGGAAGGAATAGTGTAATTTCTTGAGATAGAAATGCGCAACACGTTCAAGGTCCAAGGATTGTGAAATATCCTCTTTGAACCAATCCGCAAAGTACATTTTCCTTCCAGTAGGTTCCTCGAGGGCCCATGTAAGTTCTGTGAACATTGTTACATCGGTCGCAGATGACAGAGGAGTTAGCGGAGTTGTATGGAGCCCTTGAAGCTGGACAACTGTATATCGTCGATCTGCAGAGTATATGTCCACGTCACCTGATAGCTCCGCAAATCTACAGTTCGCGACTGCGGAGTAAAACCGAACATTTGTATCCGGTCGAGCCAGTGCCACGCAGCTCCATGGGTTGATTCGGATCCGATCAATCTTAGTTGGTAGGGACAGATTGCGCAAGCGTCCATCGCCAGGGAAACAATAAGCCAATATGACAGACTGGATGGCAGCATCCAAAGAAGCCGGATGGATGATCAAAGGAGCCTCGGCACTGTCATTGGTTGGTACAGCTATCATACCGGCAGCTTCATCCATTCTTCTGCTCAGCCCAGAAAGTGCTTGGAACGGCGAGGTATAATCGTATCCGAGTTCTGCTACTGAGTTATAAAATCGCTCAGCGTCAAGTTCCAAGAATGAGTTAAGGTCTCTAGAGGGTGGTGGCAATGCATCGTGTGTTGGTTCGCCGAGAAAAATTCGGACCTGAGCTGACGCATGGAGAGACATTGAAGATGATCCTTTGTTGGCGTCGGAGTAGCAATTAAATGACGCCACCAAGGTGTTGCTGTTATTCTGAGTGACCGTGAGAGTAAAAATAACTTCAACTCCGGAATTTTCTTCCAATATCAAGGCTTGGCCAATTATCACATCCTGGAAATCAATCAGGTTTATCGAATTTAACCCGTATAGCTCTACTGCCATTTCTGTTGCTGCTGAAATGTATCCTGCAGCAGGAAAGACCATTTGACCTTGCACCTGATGACCCATCAGCCATGGAATTTCACGTGGATTCAAGTAGTTTCTCCAACGAAGCTCTTTGTCTGTTCCATCGGGACATTTGACACCCAAGAGAGGGTGGAATTTCTGATTTCCAGCTCTGAAGGTACTTGAGATGCGAGACTCATGCCAATAAATGCGATCATGGTCCCACGAGTAAGCGGGAAGCCCTTTCAAAAGTCTTCGGTTGCGAGTATGTAGCGAGGCTTTGCTCTCAAAATCTGCAAAATTAACCGCATCCTCGCCGAGTGAAATCCACAAAGCGCCAAGGGCAGAAGCAAAAGTCTCGATGTCACTTTTGCCCCGACTCAGCATTCCAGAGTAAGGCGGCATGTTGCCAGACACTTCCTGGATTGTCTGCAAGGCAGGCCCTTTCAGCGCTGGGTGGGGTCCTATTTCCAAAACAAAGTCAAAGGGCCCGGCAGCAGCAACAGCGAAGCTCAGAGCCTGGGAGAACATCACAGGATTGATCATGTTGTTGCTCCAATACGTGTCAGTCAAGCTGTCATGAACATCATCTATGTCCTTGCTGTAAACACTGGAGAACCATTTGGTCTTGCTTGAAGACCGGCTCTGGATCATAATACCACATTTTTGCATGGCTTCAATGTACGGAGCGGCACAGGGAATCATGTGGTGGGAGTGGTATGCTTTGTCCACTTTAAGCAGGCGCGCGAACTTCTTTTCGTCTTCAAAGATCTCCTTGGCCTCCTCGATAGCATCGGAATCCCCAGATAGTGTAACACTGGCAGACGAGTTGCTGGCAGCAACGCATATTCGACCCTCGAGAGTTGGCATACTGCAAAGTTCTTCGGCGTCTTCAAGGTACGTCCCAACTGCCATCATTGCACCCTTGGCTCCAGCCCGATCTGGTGGATTCTGAAGTGAGCACCCTCGGTAATACGCTATCCTAATGGCGTCCTCGGCGGAAAGGTAACCAGCAGCATAGGCCGCTGCAATCTCACCGGATGAGTGACCAACAACAGCCGTGAAGAAGACGCCTGCCACGCGCAGTAGATCGACAAGCATTACCTGTACAGCGGTACAAAGTGTTTGCGAGAAAAGAGCTTCGCCGATACGAGATGAGCCTATATCCTTCAGAATTTCGTCTTTAAGGGACCACATGGGACGATCATCTTCCGGGAGTGCTTGAAGGGACAAATCAAGACAGGCGATACAATCGGCAGCTAACGAAGAGTTCTTCAGCAGCTCAGCTCCCATCCGGGCCCATTGAGCACCCTGGCCAGTGAATATTCCAAGCAGCTTGGGCTTTTTGATGCTCCTTGTTTGCGTTGCTGGCGTGAGTTCTGAGGGTGAACTGGCAGCTCTGTCCAGGCTTGCGGTCAATTCGGTGGCACTCGAGGCGAATATAGATACTCGAACAGGCAATGTCGAGCGACGACAATTCAAAGTCCATGATAGATCGTGGAGATCCACATTGCTTCGGCCTTTGAGATATGCTGCAAATGCTTTGAGAGTCGTGAGGAGCGACTTCTCAGTGGAGGCAGAAAAATTGAAAGGTGTCAGCATAATTCTTCCGGCTTCAGAAAGCTGGTTGGTGAGCAAATTCTCATATGCTTCCAAGATCGCATGAGCGTTGGCTCCTCCGAATCCAAAGCTGTTGACACTGGCTCGACGTGTTGTTTCGCTTGTCAGGTCTGGCCATTTCTCTGCAGAGTCTGCAATCAAAAGATCATCATAGAATGGTCGCACCGATGGATTCAGTTCATTGAAAAGGAGGTTGGGGGGAATCATGGCATGTTGCAAGGCCAAAGATGCTTTGAGGACAGCAGCCAATCCAGCCGTGCCTTCAGTATGTCCAATAACCGTCTTAATCGATCCAACATACATGGGTGTGTCTTGACTGGTCCGTTTATAATTGGCTGCTGGTCCGAAGAAAGCATCGCTGATAGCTTCGGCCTCGACCGGGTCGCCAGCAGGGGTTCCTATTCTGGTAAGACAAAGGTATTATTTCCGAATTATGATCAACGTACCGGTTCCATGGGCCTCAAAATATTGCGGACGGTCTCTCGGATTAGCCAAATCCAGTCCTGCTTTAGCATAAGTTTCTCGAATGAGATCTGCTTGAGCACTGGGGTTGGGCATGGTGATGCCCTTGGTGCGCCCGTCCTGGTTGATCCCGGTCTCACGAATGAGACACTCTATTTGATCGCCATCGGCCAGCGCAGCGCTCAGACGTTTCAGAATGACAGCAGCAATTCCGTCACCCCGAGCGTATCCATCTGCGTCCTTGTCCCACATCCTCGAGCGACCTGTAGGAGAAAGCATTTTCAACTTGCTCTCGGCCACATACTGCTCCGGCCCCAGTAGCAAATTAGTTCCCGCTGCCACGGCCACCTTGCTTTCACCATTTCGCAGACTCAGAACAGCCTGATGCACCGCAATCAGACTGGAGGAGCAAGCTGTGTCAATTGTCATGGACGGCCCATGCCAGTCGAAGAAATAGGAAACACGGTTTGAGAGGATACTTCTGGCCGTTCCAGAAGCAAAGTATGTCGGGAAGTTTTGAATATCTCTGCCCAAGAGATCCGCATAGTCATTTGTCATTAATCCGACATACACCCCCGTGTTGGATCCTTGCAGTCGCTCGATGGGGATGCCGGCAGATTCCAAGCCCTCATAAACGATCTCCAACAGAAGTCTTTGCTGGGGATCCATTGAGTTGGCTTCAATCGGTTTGGTGCCGAAGAAATGCGCGTCAAACAACCGGTGATCATCGGACAATAAGTAAGAATGACGAACGTTGCTGGTTCCATGGTGAGAGCCATCTGGATGGTAGAATGCTTTATGATTGAATCGACTCTCGCGTATTTCCGTCAATAAATCTCGAGGTTCCTTGAGCAGCTCCCAGAGCTTGGCGGGTGAAGTTGCATCTCCTGGAAATCGGCATGCGCTGCCCACGATGGCGATGGGCTCGGCGCCAAGTTGATGATTGTCGGACATTATGCTTCAATGTTCCACAATCTGTCAACGGCCCGGTGCTACTGGTGAGTGACCTTCAGTTTGCAATGAAGATCTAGCAAAAGTCGACCGTGAATCGGCGAACGTACAATGTGCGTCTCCTTCGTGAATTGTTCGGCAAAGAGCAGTACATATCAATACATCGAGGCTCGCCCTGGTAGTCTAAACTTCGGACAAACATTTGAATGATCAGATCAGGTCCAACTTGTCGTTGCAGTCAGCCACATCCGACTCCGATAGAGCGCTTCCAGGGAGAGGAAAGAGATAAACGAATCACAGTATGACTATCGAGATCTAAGCCAAGGTTCACAAAGAGCCCCTGCCTGAAGTCGCAGGCCGCTCCACTCTCCGTTGCATTCGATGCATTTTTATTCCCTGGCCATGAGGCTACCGAGCCGCCCTGGCCAGCTGGTTTGAGTACTGGGCCGGTTGATGTCCCAACGACAGCCGAGTCCGACTCCGACTCCGAAGCTTGCCCTGTGAGATCATAAATGTTGGATGTGATCAGTCACTGGACAATTAAAACATCTTTTACAATTTGCTCAAGCGACATGCTGGGCAAAATTGGAACACGTACCCTTCCTGTGGGATAACTGCCGTCTTGGCTGCAGTGGGGCTCATTGATGCGAATGTGCATATGGTTACGATCACTGGATAGTTTGTTTGGTTCACATGAAGTGTCTGACTAGACGAAAGTGTAGCTTTGAGGCTAGAAAGAAGTCGAGAAGTCGAGAATTACGCGACAAAGAACGCGTATGGCCTCATTCCTCAGGTGTCAATTACCTTGTTTTCACCACCTCGAGGCACCTCCACGCGAGCCCTAGGATAAGGTATGTTAGAACAGTTTTGTTTTCAAATAGCTAGGCTTTCAATTTCAAATTAGAATTCTTCTGATTCAGGTCTTCGTTCACATGCTCTCAAGGGTTGCGATCTCAATAGACATAGAACCATGGGTCGGTAAGCACGGCGCACAAGCAATGCGATGCGCGTGCAGGTACAGACGATGGTTGTAGGTTCCAGATGAATGTATAATCAATTTGGTTCTAGGATGGGCATCAACGTTCCTGGAAATCTGAAACGGCCCAAGTTGCGATGTGAAATGCGCCCCGTCGTGCACAGCGATCTTGATCCCTAGTCTGAGCAGGGAACATTTCATAGTGCCTGACAAGGCGACTGTTGGGTCCACAGGGACATCCCAACAATCTATGTTCTGAAATCGGCCATTGATTGATTGCTGGGCTCGGACTCATCTTGTAAGTTCCTTCTCAAATACGTTCTTGTTCAAGTCCGCAAGTCTGGTGCGATTTACACGCTCAGATCATCTTCCATCCTACGCCAGTTTTTCCAAGTGAAACAGCTCTGCGGGGTATCTTGATTCAAATGTCGGTATCATAAAGTTATGGGTCGTTAAGTAAAGTATGAAGAGGTACAAATTGTCGCCACCTCAGTAGATGTATACGAACTCATCGTTCTCTCGATCTGTGAGATCCTCGATCACATGGGATCCTGCGTGGGCCACGCCCTCTCCAGCCTCGTCTGCGTTCTCTTCGGTGCCGTGGAAGTTGCTCTGCATTGAATGATCGATGATCTGGGCGCTCTTCCCATTACGAACTCGACGGCGAGCCTGTTGTTGATTGAGGAACCACAAGTTGGCCCATTGGATGAACACAACAGCGGTCATAGCGCTAAAAATACCCAAGCAGGCGCGCAAACCAGGGTGATAGCCGGGCGCATCCTTCGAAGCAAACAACAGGGGTCCCACAATGTTGCCAGCAGAGCTTGCCGCGTTGTACAAACTCATGGCGACGGATTTCTTGGTGCTCCCCGCCGTGTTACCAATAATCCATGTGACAACCAACGGGTTGCCACCGAAAAGGAAAGACAGCAAGTAGTAACCCGCAAGAAGAGCACTTTGCTCAGATTTGGTCCGAGCGACTGCATAGAGAATGGCAAGACCCGCAACCACGGGAAGCATGAACGCGGCCAAGATGGCGCCTTTGACTCGTGCCGTTCGAGCCAAAAAACTGGCCAGGAGAATAATGACAAACTGCAGAGCACCAAAGGGCATCGTCAGCAGAGTCGTTCTGTACTTATCGTAGCCCAGGCCGCCGAGGATGAGCGGGCCAAACGTGTTGGTTACGCTAGCGCCGATGTTGAGGAGCATGGCCATTCCGATCCACAAATAAGTCTTGAGTTCCAACGCCGCTTCGAAAACATGGTTGAATTTGAACTCAGTATTACCAGTGCCGGTTTGGTTGGCGCGCAGACGCTCCACTGCCTGTGCCTTCTCAGTCTCGGTCAGGAAGCGTGCTGTCGTCACGTCGTTGTCCAGGCGCCAGTACACGATCGGGGCGGAGATGATGGTCAAAAGACCCACAAAGAGGAAGATACTACATGGCCAGGTCAGTCAACGATTGGGATCTCCGTTGAGGGGAGGCAGACTTACATTTGCCACGGGAATAGCACGTCAGACTTGATGTGGGCCAGACCATACGATAAGGCGGCGGCCACGATGGTGGCCAGTCCGTTGGTGCTGTACCATGCTGCGATGCGCAATGGCTGCTCAGCACGTCGGTACCACTGACTGGTGATGACACCGAAGAGCGGCAAGCATCCGGCCTCAAACAAACCAAGGAAAAAGCGTGCAGCCATGAGGGAGTTGAAGTTATGGCACGCTGCCATGCAGGCTTGAGCGATTCCCCATCCTAGGCACAAGGTCGGCATGAGGATCTTGGGTGGCACCTTGACGATGAGGACGGAGGAGAAGGGCTGCCAGACGAGCTGAGCAATGGGGGCAATTGATCCCACCAGGGAATATTGATTCCCTGTCAATCCTGTGTCTTTCTGCAAACCAAATGTGGCACCATACCCCAACACAGACTTATCCAAGATTTGTAGGAAGTAGACCCAGATGAGCACCAAAAGAATGGTGCGGTCGGTTTTGCGACAGATGCGCTTACTCTCCTCCTCAGTGAGCGACATTCGAGGTCCGGTATCTTCATTCCCTTTCCCCATCTCATCATGAACGGTATTTGGCTTGGACATCTTGTTGATCTGGATCATGGAAAGGGTGGCGAACTGAATCTTATATCTCACCCCGAACAACCGTGAACCCCCACGCCCGGCCTCTGATCATGGCACGATCAATGTGGGGGATGCTTTCCCCGCGTTCCCAACTCCCCCACGACTCCGCTATTCTTCGTGATCGTGTCCAATCACTTGGGTACATGAGCTGTCCACCGAGTGATCTGGACGATATTCTATGACGAAGGTGGAAAACCGGCCAATCTAAGGCACGGGCGACCGGCTCAGCTCGCATTCAACTTGCCAGGATTCGGGCTTCGTGAGTGGGGGCACACATTCCGAAGCTGGGCGTGGGATTGAGGAATGCTGGAAGGGGACGAGGTAGGACGCAGTTCGAACTTTTCTTCCTAGGCGAACTTTGTTGGTGCTTTGCCCACAGGGGCATCTCGGCCTCGGTTGAAAATCTTGCGAGCCTCGGTGCGGTCCGTACAGTTGACCACGGTTGTCTAGTGGGACTATTCGAGTCTTAGGAATCAACAGGTTTTGGTATTAAAAGGATTTCTTGGGTAGGCCTGCTACGCTCCAGGAGCCAGTCTCAGGTAGGATGCATCTAAAAGATATACAAATAAAACTCCAGGCTTTTCCAGATGCCCCTTTTGATGTCCAACTCAAGGTCCACATTACTCGTGTCTTCAAACGTTTCAAACGTTACTCACTGGGATCGACGTCATACTCTACGTCCGTCCGGATGATGTATTTAGCCCCTTTTCGGACTCCAGTCCCTTCATGGAGCAAGGCACCATTCGCCTCTCCGTGCGGGAATATTGCAACGGCTCCCATCACCGGTCGTACCGGATATGCATTGAGGATTCCCTCTCGCGCGGCCGGCATGAAAAAGGTCGTCTCTCCACCCTCAAACTCATCGTTGAGATAAAGTAAGAAAGTATACATGGAGCTTTGCTTCTTTTCTCTCGGTGAAGAGTCGTATACATAAGTATCATCAGGGAGGATGCCGGACGGCGGCCAAGCTCCGTCGATGTGGCACCGATACTCGGCGCCAGGAACGTATCGGTACACGCGGAAACGCCGGTTGATGCCTCGGACCAGCCGCCCGTTGATCGACGGCGGCACGTAAGGGGAGATACGCGCCCAGAGGATATCATGGAAGGCGGTGTCGATAACCCAGTAGAAGTTGTGGGCGAGGATGCTAATGTCTCCATCTTCGCGGAGGGGCGCGTCGGGCAGGAAATTGACGGACTCGCCAGCGGCAATGATCGCCCTGCACTCGGCCGGGGAGAGGACATCCATGGCGAGGCCTAAGCCCGGTACGGCGGGATGTGGGTGGTATGTGATGGACTCGTTGACAGGAGATAGAGGAACGGCATTTGGGGCGGTGGTATAGAGGATCGCGTCGTGGTGGTTCGGAGGTTTGCGCAGAGAAGCGGGGGTCTTTTCTATAACGCGAATGGCGGAGGGAGATGCCGGTGCCTCTTTCAGGATTGATTTGTCGACAACTGAGGCGTAGACCTCCAGCGGTGCCGTCGACGGACGGAGATCCCAGATAGACTGGAAGGCGATTGAAGAGGTGGAGGTTGAGGTGACAGCGGTCGGACTGGTGTCGATCGGAGTGCTAACGCGGAGAATGGCATCGAGGACCGATAGGAGTTGAGTGTTCTTGTCTTTGCGATCGAACGCAGGCTGCGTCGAAAGGCCGCTGACGACATCCAAGTCTCGCACCCATCGACACAAGGCTCCGATCTTCGGCTGTTCACCTCTGATCCTCATCTCAGCGAGCAGGACCTTGGCGTCAGTATATTTTTCGTCGGCCAGAGCAGCGGTGATTCGAGCCGTCAAGTTGGCACCATCTGTTGAACGATTAGCTATGAATCAATCAATTGGGATGATCAGCGTACCAGCAGTGTTCAGACCCGTAGTGCAGGCTTGGCGGAAGTCATAAACTGCAACTCGGAGGTCCTTGCAAGCCTTGGACTTGGTCAGGCTGGGGTATTGTGCGAGCGCTGTCAGCGTTTCGATGGTAATTTCGAGTTCCTCGTCCGCAACGAGTGTCCGGAGGTGCTTGGGCTCGCCATCGGGAGGAGGCGTAAGAACAGTGGCCTTGGGAAGTTTCTGGGGAAGATCGACTTGCGCATTACGCTTGCGCTTCGCAGCCTTGGACTTGGCCATGGTAATTGAGCCTTGAAGGTGAGGAATGGAAGATTTGAGGTTCCGGGCGGGGAGAAAAGTTGGGACCCAACTATACCGTGATTATGCTCCACTTTATGATCTTTTGTACACTAATTATACCACATTTGCCACATTTGCCACAGTCCGAAAGGGGCTCAACCCCCAGTTCCCTGCCCCTCTTCTAAACTGCACCCAATCTGTATCTGATTCTACACCGTTAGTTGTCTCGTTGTTACGCTGGATGTTGAAAACTCTGTAGAAGAGCGAATGTTCTCTGCAGATTCTTAACGAAAAATATAACGATGCTAGTTATAAGTCCTCAAATCCATTTCAAATTGACATACCAAGCACATGACCTCGGCAGTGGCTTGGGAGATATATTTTCACCAGAGAGTACCTGTTTCATTCCCACCTACCACCACCGATTTTCTTTGTAGCCTAAATATTTAGCAAAGTCGACTTGCTAACTGAACCCATGTTTATTCATGTGAAGTAGGTGACTTCTAATTGAAACAGACTATCGCTGGGAAACGCTTCTGCCCCAGCGATAGTCTGTTTCAAGGGTACTTTCCGTGAAGAGGCACCAACGTGTACCGTCTTCACATAGTCCGAGATGAGCCAATTTTGGGTCACCGTGTCCCTGTTGGAAAGTTCCCGACGGGTCAAGTCTACTGTAAAGGTGACAGACTGGCCAGGCTGGATAGACAGGCGATCAAAGCTACGAAGCTGGACTGAGGCGTCATTAGGTCCACCCAACCCCACATACAGCTGGGCCACTTCATCACCAGCAACCTTGCCAGTGTTAGTCACCGTCGCGGTTACCGTATAGAGAACATCCCAAAGAGCCGGGTTCCCGCCAGGCTCGCCACTGGCAGGAAGACGAAGCTGCGAGGAGCCATCTTGGGCCCCGGCTGGAATATTGGCGGAAGTACCGTAGTTGGGGTCATCGGCGGACTTCTCCAAAGAGGTCGAATTGAGGTAAGGGTAGATAAAGTACGGCACTCGCTTGATATAATCAGGGAACAAATAGTCAGAAGTGTCATTTAGGGTCGTGCCCAGAATTGGGGCCGCCGAAGTCTTGCCCGTCGTGGCCATGTACTTCCCAGCATTGTGCTTTGTGATCTTCAGCTCCGAGTAGCTAAATTTGGTGTAGCTGAGGCCATAACCAAATTCATAAAGTGGCGTGATATCTCCCTTGTCGAAGGCTCGGTAGTCAATGAATTGACCCTCACTGAAGTCGACTTGCGGGGCACTCTCGCCGCTGTTGGGGACGTAGAGGATGTCGGTACCGTAGTTCTCGCGCGAGTAGCCAACAGTGAAAGGCAACTTGCCACCGGGTTTGACGCGACCATACAGCACGTCAGCAATGGAGATCCCGGACTCTTCTCCAGGAACGCCAGCCCAGATAATTCCTGTCACATTGGGGTTCCCGACGAAGCTATCCATCAGGACAGGACCGACGCTATGGATGATCACAATCGTATTGTTGCACTCGGAACTGACGGTCTGTATGAACTTGTCTCCATTGTTTCAGATAGTGAGATTATTGCGATCGCCAATATTGCCATCGACGTTGATGTACCCTTCACCGCTGTCGGCATTGACAAAGACGATGGCGACGGATGCCTGCGCGGCCAGCGCCTCAGCCTCACTGTAGGCATAGTCATCATATATGCCCTGGAATGAGCCATCCCCTTTTTTGTAAATCTCATTCTAATGGCAAATCCCGGAGTGATCAGGTATGGGAAATTCGCGGAACCACTACCCCATCCACATCCCAATGTTCCCATGTCACATCCACGGTCAGAACAGCCATTGGGCCCGTATGCACTAGCACCCGCGTCAGACCCGAAAACTGTGGTCAGCTTTTCTTTGCCAGTCAATGGCAGTGCTCCTTCATTTTTCAGCAAGACGGCACTTGCAGCACCAATTTCTCGAATCAAAGCTCCGTGGCCGTTGCGTACATCGACATGCTCGTTTATTACCGTGTAGCCCTCGTTGGCATAGAAATATTCGTATCCATAAGTTTCGAGAGTCCAAGAAGCGAAGTTGATAGGCACATAGCTGTCGCCCGCCCCGACATAGTACCAGACGGCCATAATCCGGATAGCCATTTCATCAACACGCCACCGGGGAACAGTGTCATTCAGTACAGCAAGGGTCAAGTTAGTGCCCCAATAAGACGTAGCAGAGTCAAAGGCGATATCACCCGGCATAGTCATATCTAGGCCGGCTAGTGCACTAGCAACGCCGGACATTTGAGCGCTCCAGTCGCTCATGACGAATCCTTAAAAGCCCAATTCAGCCTTCAGAAGCTTATTCAGGATGTAGCTGTTCTGGCATGCATAACTGTTGTTGATTTGGTTATATGAGCACATTACGGAGCCCATGCCAGCGCGAACACCATCCATCCATGGCCTGTTGCGTCAGCGTAGAATTCTCCCAATATGGCGAAAGTTAAGAGTGACCTACCAAAGGTACAGTTCATGCATTGTCACGTCATCAAGATTAGCACTATAGCTCTCATTGACCTGATATAAGAATCCATTCCCAGCGCTGCGGAAGTGCTCTTGCTCATAGCCAATAAAGTGCTTTCCACAGGCAATGACATTTTGAGATTGAATTCCGGAGATGCTCTCCGCAAACATGACTCCAGAGAGCACTGGGTCAGGGGCAAAACCTTCCCAGTTGCGTCCTCCCTCAGGTGATCGTCCCAAGGGACCAGTGACCGGGCCAAGCTGCACGGTACTGCCCTTGTGCTTGTGTTCGTACCCCATAGCTTGACCATGAGCATAGGCTAGATTGCGACTCCATGTTGCGACAACATTGACACCCATAGGGAATACCGAATTATAATCCGCTGATAAAGGTTTTAGTATATGAAATTGTGGTGTACCGGGGAGAGAGGATAGTTACTATCTCTGACCCCAACGGGAGAGTCTTGCATGCACATGCTCGGGATTCCGAGCCGGGAAACGGCTCCGTTCTGCCCGACACATCATGACAACTCCCAGCTATGTCCTTATTAGATTGACGAGATCATGATGCTAAAACAATAGACATACCCGATACCTGTTGTCAGGTTCACCTTCTCCAACAGTGTCGTCTGCTTGACAATGGCTTTAGCTTGGAAGTATGCCGCATCTCAATCTCCCAAGCCTTCCGCCCATGGCGAGGGATACCACGGAGGTGAAGTTTGATTTGACTTGGTGCCTACGGTAACTACGGGGTTAGTCGAATCAGTCGCATTGGAATACGTCGAAGAAGGCCACTGTTTCCGATTTCAGTCAGCCAGTGGTTTAAATCATCACTTTTTGCTTTCACTTACAGGAGACGTCGAGTTCCCCTCATCTAGCGGATTGGGCTGGTTGGTTTCCCCGTGAACTAAATTTAGGAAGAGCAAAAACACCGCGCCTAATTTGTACCACAAATTTTGAACTTGTATGTGAGGGAATATCTAGGAGGCAAAGTGTGTCTACTGTTCACAGGGCTATGAAGGCCTTTTTATTCCATTCACAAGTGGTCTTTACATTTGGAAAGTGATATGTCATTCGCGCAACCGCCGGTAATCTCCCGGTTCATGCCTCTAGCAACGAGTGCAAAGTCTCACTTACGGCATTTTGGTGACAAGCTGACATGTCTATATTCCACTTTAGGCTGTACGATCGATGACACTGCGTGAGGATGAAGTTTAAATCGCGATACTACCTCCCAAAGCCACTCTGCTTGATATGAATTGATCATAAGTAATGAAACAAGGAAACTTCATCATAAATGCCTAAAACACCCGCCTGGCCCATATCAAATTTTCCTTCCAGATCAAGAGGCATTGCTTCTTACTCTTCAGCGAAAGAAAATTGAGACCGAAAATGAGAAAGCCACAAGTCTTCCTTAATTTATCTTGAAGCCCCTGTTTTCTGACAGTCTTCGGTCTGCGAAAAACCGACTACCTTCCCCGCAGACGCTAGCAACCAAATTCTCAAAAAAGCTTAGCTCGACCAAGCTCCGGTCCTTGTTTACGCTAGTCTTCTGTCCCGCGATCTAGCGTCGTCTGGGCGTCGGAGATAGGATTGCCGCATTATCCGAAAGATTTATCGACGTTGAAAAGCCGAGAATTAACGCCAGTGGAACTCAATATTCCAGTTGTGGTCGAAGTTCCTTTCCTCGTTACCACGCCAGTGCACGGTCCCTTCAAGCCAAATATCACTGGAGAGAGGCCGATAACACGGCTTCCGGGTCTCTTAACCCGTCACAACATCCGCAGTAAATCCCCGAAGCCAAGAATCTGGGCGATGCATAGCGCAATCCTGCCCATTTACGGCGCGAAAAATATACTTTGGCTATCGTCCGAATGCAATTTTACTGACAAAATCAAGATGTGTGGACAAGTGGACTGATAGCCTCTATTCCGGGGAGGTGAACAAAAAGAGGAGAAAATCTTGATTAAAGCGACCGTGCGGTTATACGAATGCGACGGCGGGATGTTCAAGAAGTCCCATTCGTGACTTTCAAAGGCGAACGAAAGAGAAGTTCGTCTTTTGGCTCTTCGTTTGCCTCCACAACCTTTTCATTCGGCTCACCGAGCGCCTAATTGGCATTTTGCTTGAGAAAACGAACTCTCCCCAGGTTCCAATCCCCACGGGGTTGTGGGTCCCTGCCACCACTCCTTGTACCATTCCCCGTGCACTCGTTCCCCGGCCTGGAAAGCCAATCACAGAAACCGAACAGACAGATCCCCATATTCGCTCGAGTTGCTGCGCTGATAGATGTGCTGAGACCCTAGGATGATTTTCACCTGGTGTGTGGCCTCGCTTGCTACCCCAGATCTGGGATCAGCTGGATCGAGGAGATTCCAGATGAAGCTATTCCATTTATTTAGGCCCCCTTTCCGCCCCCTGTCAGCCCGCGCTATGGCACGAAGAACTTCCTTTCCCTGTTGACCGGTGCAACCATTCTCGAGCGTCCTGGTTTGAGGTGCATCCCGAATCCCGACCTGACTTCCTCTTCTCTCAAACTGCATGTGCGCGACATAGCCGAGTAATATAATCCACTTTCGTTGAGCCTCTGATCTTAAGTGGTGGCTCGGCTTGGCGATAGAAGGAATTTGGCACGAGTTCAATAAATAAGATTACATGACAGGCGTGAATTGCGTCGGCCAAATATCGGACAAAGGGTAACATCAAGTAGGCTCTGAGAGTAACGTTTTCAGCGCTGTTGGGCGTAAGCACTAGGCAATTTCGGAGCAAAAACCCTGGGGTAGGATTCTCCAAGCTGACGGAGGAGGCAATTCTCATAACCCAGCCAATCGATGGACTTCACTGGAAGAGAGGCTTATTCGCCATGATATTCGGAAAATGAACACATGCGCCCAACGAACGCCAAAATTTCATATACCCGTGCTTTTCTTCGGCCACAAAGGCTTGGTGGCGCTCGTTGCCCCACAAAGGCTGCGTCCGTTTCGCTTACAAGGGCGTACGGCATTTCCGATATATTATCTACCCCGATTCTAGCCAACTGCATCCCTAGCCTTCGATTTTAGCCCCATCTGGTACAGGGAACCCTGCCGTCTGAGATATCCTATAGGGCTTCGTTAGATGTGAAAATGGTGCTATGGGCACCGGGAGGACTGTTAGAGGTCTGGGCCAAGGTCCCCAGACCCCTAACCCCAGAAAGCGACCCCAGGAAGAGAAATCATACGGAGAATTTTGCCGACACAGCTACAGTATATAATGTCGCTGTTCTGCGACCGTGGAAAGCTTCCATGTTCTAGTTCAAATCCTCTTTCACAGCGTTTTCTACCCCATTGCTTCCCGCTTCCTACGATTCCAATATGGTGGCCAGCCAGTCTGTCGTTGGCCGTGCCAACGCAGAGAAGGCCCATGGTATCGTGGGTCTTCTCAAGAACCCTTTCGTTTTCTTGACCTGTTGCTTTGCCTCTCTAGGATGCATCATGTACGGGTACGACCAAGGAGTGATGGGTCCTATTCTGGTTATGGAGAATTTCCAAAATCACTTTCCGACATTTACGGGATCCACCATCCAGGGCTGGCTGGTGTCTGCTCTTGAGCTGGGTGCCTGGGCAGGTGCTCTGATCAATGGTGTTCTTGCTGACCGCATCTCACGAAAATATGCTATGATGAGTGCTGTTTGGATTTTCACTCTAGGCACTGGCCTGCAGGCCGGTGCTCAGACCCCTGCCTATTTCTTCGCCGGTCGCGTTATCGGTGGTGTGGGGATTGGTATGTTCAGCATGGTCATTCCGCTTTACCAGGCTGAGATTGCCCCTCCTGAGTTGCGAGGATCTCTGGTCTCATTGCAGCAGCTATCCATCACTATCGGCACAGCTATTGCCTTCTGGCTCGACTATGGTATGCAATACGTTGGCGGGACCACCTGTAACCCCGAAGGAATTTCGAATCCCTACCTCACCGACGGCTCCTATAATGCTGCCGTGAATAACGGCCACACCTGCCTTGGACAGAAGACTATTGCCTGGCGTCTCCCTCTGGCACTGCAAATTATACCTGCCTGGATTCTGTTCTTCGGCATGTTCTGGTTCCCATTTTCACCTCGTTGGTTGATGATGAAGCACCGCGAGGAAGATGCTCTCACTTCCCTATCTAAGCTCCGCCGTCTCCCTGCTGCCGATCCACTTGTCCGAGCTGAATTCCTTGAAATTAAGGCTGCTGTTATGTTCGACGAAGAGACCGAAAGCGAGGCTATTGGTGCTGGCGGTGCTTTGGCTCCTTGGAAGGCATTGTTTGCCCCTAATATGATGAAGCGTCTGTTTCTCGGATGCGGTACTATGATCTGCCAACAGTTCACTGGTATAAACGCAGTTTTATACTATGCGCCGCAGATCTTCGCGAGCTTCGGTTTTAGCTCCACGAAGCAAACTCTTCTTGCAACAGGTGTGACTGGCATCCTACAAATCATTTTCACCCTACCAGCTGTTCTCTACCTTGACAAGTTTGGCCGGAAGACCTTTTTGATAGTAGGCGCGATTGGCATGTTCCTATGCCATATCGTTGTCGCAACGGTTGAAGGTATATTCAAGCCGAAGTGGGACCTGAATATGGGGCTCGACCAAGGCCAAGGATGGGTTGCTATCGTTTTCATCTGGCTGTTTGCTGTTAACTTTGCCTACTCTTGGGGTATGCACGGTCCCCTCTTTTTTTCCCTCATGTTTCTTGGCTAATATCGAACTCTAGGTCCCGTGGCGTGGGTCTTGACTCAAGAGATTTTCCCGAATAGTCAACGATCTAAAGGCGTCGCGATTGTTGCTTCAACTAACTGGCTGTTCAATTTCATTATCGGTTTGACGACCAAGGATATGCTGAACACGATGAAATACGGCACATACATTTTCTTCGCCATCTTCAGTGGCCTCGGCGGTCTTTTCATCTGGTGGTTCGCCCCCGAAACCAAGGACAAGACTCTCGAGGAGCTGGATGTGTTTTTCGGTGGATCTGAGGCAAGTATTGCTGAAGCCGATCGCCTGCGTATGCAACGCATCAATGAGAGCCTTGGCCTCGCTGGTGTGGAGAACGTTGAGGATTTGAAGGTTGCAGTCACTAGCGAGCAGGTGGAGATGTGATCCAAATCCTAGGCTGCCACTCGCGATACGGAGGTAAATAATAGCGTGCGAAGATAGGCTCTCACGCCGTTGCTCAATTAGTATTATATAGGATAATGCAGGAAGCCTTTTGAGTTATAGTTCGTTTAACGGGCTGGAGATACGCATTCAGAGTCAGGTTTGATGTAGATTTTTTAAGATTTCGGGTGCATGAATCTTTCACGTGCTTGATCTATCTGAAGTTAAGATACGATGATAAGACGTATAAACTTATTTTGCACTTGGCACACTACGTTGAACAGTTGCAGAGCCCATGCGTGCCAATGCACTATCGTATCTGGATTAGCTTGTCTCAGCAGCCGGCCCCGATAGTGGAGTGACAGGCTAGACGTTGGTGCCGTCACCTAAACTATACATACCGCTTTGGTTCTTGTTTTTGAAAAATTCGATTACCTTTCAGATGCCATGAAGATAAAAGCACGTGATAGTTGATGCCCGTCGAATATAGCAAGCGGTCACCGTAATCAGTGGTATTGAAAATCCTGGTATTCTCTAATCCTTAAATCCGCAATTTATGGAGGAATGGACATGCAAACAATATAAACATAAGGAATAACACTTTTTCCGGCATCGGGGGATTTCCATGCCGACAATGCCTTTGGTGCCCAAAATGCGGCAACAAGCTCTACGGGATCTCCTATTGCGGTCGGACCGGGGAAAATTCAAGAGCACATATTCAATTCGTTATTCTCTCGGGGCCCCCACCACATCCCACGACACCAAGTGGGGTGGTCCCCATTTTTGCCAGAAGCGGCGGGTCCTAGTGCCCACGGGTGGCGGTGACCTACGTAGTAGAGCTGCTTCCGTTTAATATTTTTTTTTCCACCTGCGCACTTTCTTTCCCTTCATCTTTCTTCAATTCATTCACCTTTCACAATGGGACCCTTGAAGCTCAACAGCAAAAATCTGTCCGAAATCACCGCGGCAGCCACTGCCGCAGGCGTCGTGCCCATTGAGATCCCTACCTTCCCGCGGGGTAACGCGGTCAAGGAGGGCATCGTTCACATTGGCGTGGGTGGCTTCCACAGAGCTCATCTAGCTGTCTATGTCCACGAGCTTATGCAGAAGCATGGGGTGACCGACTATGCAATTTGTGGAGTTGGCCTGCAGCCCTTCGACGCTGCTATGCGCGACGCTTTGGGTTCGCAGGACCACCTCTACACCATTGTTGAGCGTTCCGCCCAAGGCAGTGTTGCCAAGGTTATGGGAGGCATCAATTCATACCTCTTTGCTCCTGACAACCGCGAGGCTGTTATTGCCAAGATGGCACACCCCGACACCCATATCGTGTCGCTTACTATCACCGAAAGCGGCTATTACTACAACGAGAACACCCACGAGCTACAGAGCGAGGACCCTGACATTCAGCATGACCTCAACCCTGCCAACGAACCTAAAACTACCTTCGGCTTCCTCTATCACGGCATGGCACGGCGCCACCAACAAGGGCTCAAACCCTTCACTGTCGTCTCCTGTGACAATATGCAAGGAAACGGCGCTATCACCCGCCGTATGCTTGTCTCCTTTGCCCGCCTACGTGACCCCAAGCTTGCAGAGTGGATCAACACAAACGGTCATTTCCCTAACGCTATGGTCGACCGTATTACCCCTCAAACATCCGCCGCCGATAAGGTAGGCCTCGCGAAGGACTTTGGCATTGAGGACTCCTGGCCCATTGTCACGGAACCATTTATGCAATGGGTTATTGAGGACCACTTCTGTGATGGCCGTCCACCCTTTGAGAAGGTCGGAGTGCAGATTGTCAAGAATCTTAAAAATGTGGAGGAGTTCGAGAAGCATAAGCTACGTCTGCTTAACGGTAGCCACGCTATCATTGCCTATGGCGGCCAACTTGCAGGCTACAAGTACGTCCACGAGGTCATGGAGAACCCGTTATTCAGAAAGTTTGTCTGGCAGATGATGCAGGAGGAGGTGAAGCCTACCCTCCCCGAAATCTCCGGACACGATACCGACAAGTACTGCGAGACACTTGTGGAACGTTTCTCCAACCCCCCGATCATGGACCAGTTGCCCCGTATTTGCGGCGGTGGAACTGGTAAGATTCCCCAATTTATCATGCCTACCATTGCTGAGGCTATTTGGGCCACTGGTCCTTTCCGTCGCCTATGTTTCACCGCAGCTGCTTGGTTCCACTATATCAACGGCGTTGACGACAACGGTAACAAGTTTGAGGTTCAGGACCCCATGCTTGAAGAAATTCAGACTAAGGCTCGCGCTGGCGGTACCAACCCTATGGAATTGCTTAGCATCAAGAGCCTGTTCGGTGATGACTTGCGCAACGACAAACGTTTCGTCGACACTATCACCACTGCATTGAAGGATATTTCGCGCGATGGTGTCATCAAGTCCCTTCCCAAGTACATTGACTAAGAGCCAAAGCTTCGAGTTCTTGGGATGGCAGAGTGCCTATGCCTAGTAGCGATTGTTTCTTCTTTTTTTTGAGCATGCGTCACGAAAGTGTGACTTTACGAAGGCGGAATATTAATAAAGAAAATGGCTGGAGAAAAAGCAAACATGTATATGGAAATCTGATAGATAAAAGGTTCATTAGGACTGTCGACGTATTGGACTTTAGAGTCAAAGCCGTGACAGGTGAGGTTCCTATCACTTTTGCATTTTCCCTCAAGTATTAGAAAATTTTCCATGTTCCGATCGGCTGATCGGCCAAATCGAAAAGACATTTAGAGCGGACTGTCACTTCCTTAGGTTCAGTACTAGGGGTTGTCCATCAGATGAATTTAGAAGCGTATGAATCAAGTTGCCCCTAGTGCCTTGCCGACCAGTGTTGATACTGTGGCATTGAGGACTCGTCGGATCCACGCTGTCATTCGGATCAGGAAATCGTCAGAGACGGTCCCCGGAACACACGATTAGACACCAATGCTCTGATTTTGCCCAATGATTCCGATAGCGGATGCTCATGTCAAAAACCTCCCAGATTGAATGCTGCAGTAGAAGACCCCGCGGGGTGCTAATTCAAGTGTCAGGACCCCAAGTGATACAAGGAGACACTTACTGTCAACTCCCGCTTGTGAAGTGTCGGCATGAATATCCCTCGGATGCCGGGAAAAGTGTTATTCCTTGTGTTTATGTTGTTTGCATGTCTATTCCTCTCACGTGGTTCACAAGCGAGTGACCCACCCCAAAATACCATACTAAATGCGATAAATAATAACCTTATATCTCAACAACTAAAATATAGTGTAATTTTAGGAAAACTGTCAAATTAGGATTAAATTAACCGAGACTTTTATACTAGACTTTCAATGCTCTAATTATGCAGGATTATATATATTGAGAAGAATGAACTTATGGTTGTTGAGATAAATTGTTGTTTTGGGGTGGGTCACTCACCACGTTAGAGGAATAGACATACAAACAACCTGAACACAAGGAATGACACTTCTCCCGGTATCCGAGGAATATTCATGCCGACAGAATATATCAGCCCGGTCCAGAGGTCAGGAGATCGGCATAGTAGGAGGAAACAAAGAGCAATACTAGCAGGGGCCAAGGAAAACACGGATGAAAAAGCGGCTATTGAGTGAATACAAGAGTAGTAGATGGCTAAATTTCTAAGTGTCATTGATTTTCTCTATGTCGATACGTCCATCTCCGAAACTCTTGATGTCTCTCTTTCACCTTCAAGCAATGATTCTTTTGTTCAGCACCACCCCGTAGCTACCATATCGATTCCACCCTTGATAATTAGGGCACTTATTGTCCCGCTATGTAATGAGTTTCGGTGACTTCATAATGGGGTTGTATTGATCGTAAGTCAGTACGGGGAATCCGGGGGAGCTTATGCTTTGTGGACCGTCGGCATCTCCCGATACCCCGATCACATGAGCGGGTTTGCTTGAAGACCGGCCGACGCTTATCTACGGTAATCACTTTACCTACTAACGTTAGATCTGTCCTTCCTACTTAGACACTTTCTCCACAATCAAGTATACTTGATTCGTGCCCGCATATTCTAGCTTCTTTCGTGGAGCACGATTAGTACGGGTGGGAAATCATACGTCTGTAGTTTGCTATGCGGGCTTTCGGTATCCTCTCTCGATCAAGGGAAGCCGCATGTATAGTACGATTAATTACAAATAGGACTATAATTATGGGTCCTGTCATCATTGGAGAGTGGCCATGTATGCCCCTCCCCCAAAAATTGGCTTATAAACTGTTCGCCCACCGCAACCATGTGCGCTAAATCTAAAACTAAGGAGTCACCATTCCTCGATTACAACTCGATCAAGGACACAGAGGCAGCTACGCGTACCTTCAAACCCATTTGCAATGGCTTCAAAGTCCAACGAGCTGGTGAATTCTCAGCACCATAAGCAAGAGACTGAAGAATCCACGATGGACTCGGTCGATATTAGCGCGGATGTTGTGTCGATGGAAGGGGTTGATCAAGTCTTAATGGCAAAAATGAATCTTGTCAATGATGTGTGTCACTCATTAATGCAATTCCAACGCAAATTTTGTTAACCAATACAGGCGATTGATCAAATCGGGTTTACTCCTTATCACACCAAACTATTTTTTCTCAATGGATTCGGGTGAGTTGTCTTGATCTTTCGCTTAACTGAAGAGCATACTGATGATTAAAATTAGCTATGGCGTCGACTCTCTACTGCTTTTCCTTATGAGTATCTCCGCAGACCAGGTAGTAGCACAGTACCCTCCAAAATTCACGCGAGGTGCGCAGCTGGGCTTCTATCTTGCTTTGCTAGTGGGTGCCTTGTTCTGGGGTAGCACGGCGGATATCATCGGAAGAAAATGGGCATTCAACTTTTCTCTGCTCATAAGTGCCATTTTCGCTATCACAGCGGGCGCAGCTCCAAGTTATGCCTCGTGGGCCACAATGGTGGCTATTTCGGCATTTGGCTCTGGCGGAAATCTGGTATTAGACACAACGGTTTTCCTGGAATATCTTCCCTCCAATAAACAATGGCTTCTTACTCTTCTAGCCGGATGGTGGGGAGTTGGCCAAACCGTCGCCGGCCTCATTGCATGGCCATTTATGGGTGATCATCCGTCTCAAACTCCTAATTATTCCTATATGCTAATTAAATAACAGCGGGTTATAGCTGCCCTCTTGATGGGTCGGTCCCATGTACCAATGCCAATAACATGGGATGGAGATATCTTTTCTACACTTGTGGAGCCTTGGTATTTGTCTTGAGCATGTGTCGGGTGCTAGTCATCCGATTCCACGAAACTCCAAAATTTCTTCTCTGCCAAGCTCGAGACGAGGATGTCGTGAAGACACTCCAAAATCTTGCTCACAAATACAACCGACCTTGTCCCCTTACCCTGGATCAGCTTCAGGCCCACGGCCATATTAACAGTACACATGCCAAAAATAAAGCATCTCTCGCCGAAGTGGCCGTACATGTACGAGGCCTGTTCGCTAATCGCACTATGGCTCTATCAACCTCTTTAGTTTGGCTATCATGGGCTCTCATTGGGCTAGGATATTCATTATACTATGTTTATTTACCAGAATACTTAGCATCTCGAGGGTCATCTACTGGTACAAGTTCGACCTATATCACATGGCGGAACTACGCAATCACCAATCTGTGTGCTATACCTGGCCCAATCATTGCCTCGTACTTCTGCGAATTACCCTTGTTTGGACGGAAGAGAACCATGGCAGTTGGGGCGCTCATGACAAGTAAGTAAAATCACAATATCGAAAGGCATTCGAAGCTCACGATCCAAGTGATCTTTTTTTCGGCTATACAGCTGTAAAAACAGGACAACAAAATATCGGGTTCGCCTCGGCCATCTCGGTATCGATTAACATTTATTACGCCACTCTTTACGCTTACACCGTTGAGGTTCTACCCTCTGCACATCGTGGCACTGGAAATGGCATTGCCGTTGCCTTCAATCGGTTAATGGGTATGGTGTCGGCTCTGATTGGTGCTTTTACGTCGACCTCCAGCTCAGTACCTATCTACGTGTGTGCTGCTTTATTGGGCGTTGCTGGTATCCTCGCGGCCTTTTTCCCCCTTGAGTCACGTGGGAAGAAGAGCATCTGATACAATATCAACTGTATTTAATTTTCATTGAGCATTTATCAAAGAGAGCGCATACATTTCAAACAAGTAGTTACTATAGTCAGTCTTTCAGAAAACGTCAAATGAGAAGCTCACTTCAGCCATATTTATCGTTCACCACATCTCAGCAATAAAAGCCCTGGAGCCCGACAAATGATATCAAAGGATTAGCAATCCCGACTCGATGTCATCAGATTCAAATAGGGGCTTGGCCAAATTGGTATCTTTCGGCTATCGCTTAATCTGTTTCGTTCAGATGAAGACGGACGGCACGGTCGGCCCCCGTCCGCTTCACCCCGCGTCGTTTTCGCCCCGCTTCCGTGGAAACAAAAAAGGAATATGCCCGCGTGATGGATCTAGCCTTGCGGGGATCCCTTTGCCTGGCCGAAGGGCAATCATTGCAGGCACACAAAATGTCTCTCCAAAAAGGCTATTGGTCATACCACATCATGGTGATAAGAAACTCGGTGCATAGGACACGCATTGCATAACACACACATTTCTATGTGGAATAGGAGATGAAAAGGGAAAGAATAAGAGAATAATCTTCCTCTAACATCAAGGCTCTCTTTGTAGCTCCTGGGGATGAAATATATTGTATTGCTTGTCGTTATTTCTTTAGCTATGTAAAAGTGAAAATTAGCCTGCTCAGAGTAGATCTATAGTTGAAACAATAGCCACTTTAATGCTCGCTTGAGGGGAATAAATGGCCAATAATATAAGAAAGCATAGATCACAAGTTTCCAATCTCCCATATTCCTCGATATGGATTTTCGTGATCCTGAAATTGAAAGAATGGGTCATGCGTAACATCCATGAATGACACGTCACCTGGGAATCCAGATGCCGCCCACGCCAATGGCTCCCGCTGTAGCGGTACTTCGTCTGAATCATTATTGATTGATAATGTATTTTGAATCCAAGGCCCGTGCTCTGGATTCTGAGATGGGCCTAGATTGCGCAATGTGCTGGAGTATGGGGGCAGCGCTTGACCTCCTTCTGACATATCTACCGCTGCGGCAGAACCGTGAAATATCTCAGTCTCGACCGTCAACTGATCTGGGTGAATGTTTCCAAGACTTTGCAAGAATGACGCTTCAAAAAGACCCTCGCCTGGAGGATCAAATGGGGTTTTGGTAGACTTGTGACAAAGAATGTCCCACATCAAAGCAGTGTCTATTGAGAGTGTTCTTCGGGGCAGTCGGCTATGAGTTGAATATGGGCTGACAGCAAATGCAGACTCAATAAGTCTTTGAATCTTTTGATACTGGTTTGTGTTAGAAAGATGAAGAATAGCCGTGGTTGAGGCAAACTTACGAGTGACTGGAGTCGGGACCATTTCCTCGCTAGGTCACTCAAGAACCTTGTGCAAGTGTCAAGTTTTTTCTGAGCAGATTCCCTAAGAGCTGGATCTGCAGCTCGACAGTAATAGAGGTGAATCGTGGCTGCAATCGCTACCGCGTGGCCAAGAAATGGGTCAGACAGCTGATACTCCTTATCAGCGACCATTTCAATAAGACGAACCGTCCAACTCGTATGAATAAGAGCCAACTCTGATGATGTCTTCCAGAAAGTGTTTGGGACCGCGAGCTGGGCAGATTGCTGAGGTCGCCAAGAGTAGAGAAAAGGGTGATTGAGGACGCTGTGGACAGCATGATAGGTGAACTGGAGATACAGCCAGGGACTCCAGTACCCACGGTCGCGATTCAATTCCGCGCGAGATTGCTCTTGAAATCTGACTGAGTCATATCGATGGGCTGTGGGGAAGTTAGTTTCGGTATCCATCAGGTGAGCTCCAATGATAGAATAGCCAGAGTCTATTGACCATGGCGGCGTCATATCTCCACTGGCACAATGCGAGACATAATGCTGCACCTCACTCCATAGAGTCGATAACTGCACCATGTAAACCCAGATCCCACTTCTAGATGTGAAGGCACCATTTTCTTGTGGGGTCTGGGGTGGCTTCAGTCCCATTTCCCGCGAAGAATCAGTGATAGCAGCCAGGTACTTCGGCCTATGAATGTCTCGCAGCATATTCAACTGCATACTGTGCGGTGCGTACTGCTGGTTGAGAAGATGAATGCTCCAAAATACCCTTCGCCGTTCTTCTAACTCCGGGGTAAATTTGCCCTCGTGCAATTCAATGTCGATCCCTGCGCACTTTGCAAGATTAGTAGCAAGACCAATATGAAGCCTTGCGAGATGAGTGTCATTGGCTGGAGACATTGTTAGAAACTTCTGGAAATGCCACTCATCAATCCAAAAGGACTCTCACCGATATATTCAGCCATTGCAATCAAGCAGAAGCTTTGCAAAGTCGAGATGTTTACTTTGCCTTGAGCTATACGGAACATGGCATAGCTGCGAGCAGCCTCGGCATATTGCCGGCACATTTGGTCTGTCCTTCCTTCGAGCGAAGGACTGTCTGAGTAACATAGGGAGAGACTGAGTATGCCGAATATCACCTCCTTGCGGCAGTTCTCTGGAACAGCTAAGTCTTCTGGGTCAAATAACCACAAAGGTTGCTTGTGGCAGTACTGAAAGTAGAGTGCAATACCCTCGGTCACAATGTGTTTTGGTGGCATTGCAACAGGCAGCCCATGATCACCTTGGAGCGCTGTCTCATCACTAGGCATTCTTCGTACAAGGGGTGTCTCTTGGAAGTCACTCGAATCTAATGTGTTCTCACGGCTATGAAGCCCACGAGAACGTGACTTTGGAGTGCCAACTTGATGAAAGGTCCTGTTACAGTCAGCAATGTAGCCTGAATTAAGAAATACAGCGTTTCTCACGTTGGGTCTTCAAGCATCAATTCCATTTTCTCCTCCAATTGCTGCAATCTGTCTTCCTGATTTGAATTAGCGCTTTCCATCCGTATCTTCTAAGATAAACCGTACCAGGACCCGATCGCCCTCGAGGGATCTTTCTAAGGCCTCGTAGCTTCTGCTATACTGGCAGCTTTGTTGCAGACGAGTACACGTTGAACATGCTGGACGCTCTCCAGGACATCGCGTCTTCTTCCGCCTGCAGGGAATTAGTAAAGAGTGAATGGAGGCATGGCGATCGTGGCTCTCACTCACCGACAGTTCTCACAGGCCTGATGGGATCTCTTACTGACACGATTATTCATAACGAGTACTGATAGAACAAATGATCGAGAAAATAAATGGTTGGCTGGTTTGGCAAGCCTTTTGAGGACGCGCGGGGTTATCGGGTTACGAGCCGTGAATTGTTCCTCGCCCGATAACACACGGATACGATCCACCCGCATCCACGGTTGGACCCACGCAAGGAAACTATACCGATAAGCGGAAAATGATGACATAACTCAGTGAATTATAGGGTTCCTGACATGACAAGTACGTGGCGGTAAAAATAATTTTATAATCGAACAGCCTGGCCTTTTCGAGCTGTATTATTTTGAAAGCTGGACCAAGAGGGTCCCTCCTAGAGCTCAATTCCGTGCCCTCTCCATCAAAACAAAGATTAATCTTGAGCCTGTAATATTGAGATTAATCAATCTGAAAACAACGAGTAGCTAGCTAAGGATATCAAAGACAAAAGTACTGTAGAACCATCGATGTTACCATTCCAGTTCGCCGGAGCCTTCCCCGGAGCATGCCAATCCTGAGCAAAAAGCCATATCCTCTGCCGTAGCGTCACCAGCCGACTGTTGCCGGGCTGGCCAAATCTCCTTGCTCTCTTTTCGTTCCTCGTCGCGATGGCTCTTCAGCAAATTTCGGACAGTGTTCTGGAAGAAAAGTGGAGCGCTCTCCAGACGAGGGTGAAGTTGGCCATTAACAAAGACACCGGCATTCAGATTCTTTTGAGCAGCGTTGCAAAGATGCTTGTCCTCGTCGAGAACTCTCTTGAAGAATGAATCAATATACTCGAAGTCGTTGTCCGAGGCCTCATTGTGCCGGTAGACCTCGTATTCCATGGAGCAGGTTCCTGCAGAAGTTGGGACGCATCGCATCATGTAGAAGAAATGGGGTCTGAAAGGCCAACACTTGTCAGAAAATGATAGTTGAAGGAGAAGATCTGGATTTGTAGTAACTCACGAAACCGTCATGCAAGCATTCGGAAAGTAATATGTACTTGCATTTTGGATATCATCATCCACTTTGTCCTCCTTTGGTCGAGAATAGTGTTGAATATGCCCAGGGGTAGAAATTGTATAATAATACGACAGATCGGCCAAATTCGCCACGTCAGGATGTGCAACGGTGCAGTGATAGCATTCGTTGTAGTTGTCGGCAAGTGTTTTCCAGTTATAGTTGCCATTCATCTGCCAGGTATGGTCGAATTTGTACTGGCTGAAGTCAAATTGCTTGAACCGCTCTTGTGTGTCGACACCCTTGAAGTCTTCTTCCCAGGAGACAGGATTTGGTGATGAGTCAAGATTGACCCAAATGAAACCCAAATCATCAGTATGCACATTAACAGGAAACAGGCTCTGGTTCTCCTTCTTAAATCCTGGGACGTCGTCGAACTTTGGGGCCTTGGCTAGTTTTCCGTTGAGACCATACGACCACCCGTGATATTTGCAAGAAAGAATTTTCGCATTGCCCTGATCCTCCGATATGAGAGGGAAAGCACGATGACGGCAGATATTGTGGAATCCGTTCAGGTTACCTTGTCGGTCAAGGCACAGCACAAAGGAGAATCCTGCTTCCTCAAATCGAAGAAAGTCGCCGGGCTTTGTGAAGCGCAGCTTGTGGGTAATTAGGATCCATTTCTTAGAGAAGATGGCTCGTCGCTCCAGCTCGTACATTTCTGGAGCACGATACCAGGAAGCTGGAAGAGCTTTTGGCGGTTCATCTGGCACCCTTGTATTTGGGACGGGCTTGTTGTAGCCAAACAGAGACGCTACTGCTGCAGCCATGGTGAATATTTGTGATTTGTACACGGCTCAAGATGGAAGTTGACAATTCTTGTGGTACCCGCCAATGACACGATATTTACGCATTTCATTTTCTGGTCCATTTCCGCTCCATTTAAACCCTCGGACCGAAGTGAGTTGAAGACCGCCGATCACGCGACAACATACTGAAAAGGCGACAAGTGGCCTGGAATTCATAGATTACATTGAATCGGAATCGTACCGGCGGCCAAATCGCCGTGTTATTGTGACCGTGGATATCTCCGTTGGCTGGCGGAGTCAGTGCGTGTGACGATATTTAGTCACAGCTGCGGAGCTTACAACGCTAGTGCGGCCCGGCGCCGTCCAGGCCGATCACGTGGACACGATCTACCGAACATGGTATTTGGGTACCCAATCACTGTTATCAGAAACTCGAAGAACAGCTACTTTTGTAAAATAAACATGCAAATGATACAAAAATCAAGAAAGAAAGCTTTACCGGCTTCCTAGAAGTATTCATGGCAATACCATTTCGCGTTGTTTCGACCTCTCCTGTGGGCCCTTAATGTTCTATTGTATTGAAGAGAAAGTCCGAGAAAACAAGATCTCATTGAAGTGTTCAAACTTATTCTGAAAACCAAATTGTACAAGATGGACTCAGAATAAACAGCCGTGTATTTTTCTTAGGCTTTTTGAAAGGAAGCTTACCTACTTGTTTGCCCGCTCAACGTATATATCTATGGGACGCGCAATTGCATATGGCCTTGCCCATATGTCCATCACGCAGAGGTCACCTCCTTTCATAATCCCACAGTCAGGCTATCTCGAAGTTTTATTTCTCGGGCACGACAATACACGTAAGCATTAGGTACGGATCCTTGCAAAACAACGCCCCCAATCCAGTTTTATTGCCAGATATCGCCGGGCCCCGTGAGTATTCCACAGCTGCCAACCCAATATCCTCCTAAGTATTTACAAAGATCCAGGGTCGACTCTAGGCCGGAGTGACATTGATATCTGCTCTTGGCCTTCGCTACAGCCGGGCCCACGAGACGGAACTTATCGATAATTGTACCCACGCGGAACGGTCCGGTCATGTGCACGCTGAACGAGAAGTATGGGAGTGCACTATCTTTGATGTACGGTCTACGTCCGACTGGCTAACAGACCTGAGGTATGTGTGGCAGTTTATTCACAGGTTTTCTCACTTATAAAAATCTTCATAGTCATTTTCAGGCCTCGGAAGCAACCTTGCGGACAACAACGACCAATACCCATCCGCCATTCTGCCCTACTCTCACGTCAAGTACTTCATAGCAAAGCACCATGGGTTCAATCGAAACATCCGACAATGCTTCGAAATTCATCTTGACAGCAGAAGCCTTGAACGAGGCGCTGCCTAAAATGCATGTGTCCACAAGAGCAATTCATGCCGATGACTTTGTCAGTTCTCATCGTGCTATCGCTCCTGGAATGCATACAGCGGTCAACTTCCGCTACGCACGCGACCCAGAAAATCTTGTGCCGGAGGAAAATAAAGACGTAAGTCCTTTGAAGGTTGATGTGGTTTTCCAAACACCCAGACTAATGAGGTGCAACAGCCGAACGCCCCTTATGACTCTCACGTATACTCTCGCTACACGGCACCGAATACAAATCGCTTGGAGGTCCTGCTTAAGAATATCATGGGTGGAGAAGTGATCACTTACTCGACCGGACTATCTTCTTTCCACGCTATGGTCGTTCTCCTCAACCCCAAAAAAGTATTCATTGGAGATGGATACCACGGATGCCATGGAGTTCTGGACATCATACACCGATTGACAGGAGTTCAGAAGCTGGACCTGACAGATGTTGATCAAGCTGGACCCGGCGATATGATCCACGTTGAAACCCCTCTTAACCCCACTGGCGAAGCCCGCAACCTTGCCTATTATCGAGCAAAGGCGACTGAAAAGGGAGCCTACCTGACTGTGGACGCTACTTTCGCACCGCCCCCGCTGCAAAACCCTCTGAATCTTGGAGCCGATATTGTGATGCACAGTGGAACGAAATACGTTGGGGGTCACTCCGACATGCTTTGCGGTATCCTGGTCATCCGCTCAGACCATGTTGAGAAAGGATGGCTGAAGACGCTCCATAAAGATCGCCAATACATTGGCAGTGTCATGGGAAGCTTTGAGGGCTGGTTGGGAATCCGCTCCATTCGTACTATGCAGCTTCGAGTGGCCCGGCAGGCACAAACGGCAGAGAGACTGGCTGCGTGGTTACACGAGGAGCTGAAAGACCCCCAGTCTCCAGTTGCAAAGGTTCTGATTGATGTTAAGCATGCCTCTCTGCAAGAAGACGATTTGAAGGACGGATGGCTCCGCAAGCAAATGCCTGGAGGCTTTGGTCCCGTCTTTTCCATGTGGGCCAAGAATCCGGACCATGCTCGTCGACTGCCTACCAGAATGTTTGTTTTCCAACATGCCACTAGCCTGGGGGGCGTGGAGAGCCTGATGGAATGGCGTACAATGAGCGAAGCAGGCTGCGATAAGAGGCTCTTGAGAGTCAGTTGTGGAATCGAGGAGTTTGATGATTTGAAGACCGATATTATTCAAGGGTTGGAGTCGATCCTGAGGGATTCCGATTAAGATCCCTGCCTTCAAACTACACCCTAGGGATGATCCCCTCACATCAGCTGAAATAGCTAGCTATTATTTCTACACATGAATTTAATTCGATCACTAAAACCTCAATACAATGTAGCGTTTCAGCTGACGATGTAAACCCAGATTCCCTAGATGTCGAGGGCATGATACCCTAAGAGTGTAACTTGAGCAACTCTACAGGGCTGCTGACAAGGTTAAGGACACGATTCAAGTTGACAATTGTTGCAGTCACACATCGAGGTTCTCTACGAGCCTATTGTGATAAAGACAAAGTCTTCGCTATCGTTTCAGAATGTTAGCAGCTACAATTAGAAGTAACGGGAGTTGCAAGGGTGAATAACTCAACGCCATGATGGAGATTTGCTTGCAAAATGTTAATTCCGAGACTATCACACATTTACATGACAGACAGTGAGCACACTGGCCGAAGAATAGGGTTTGAACAGACAGTCTGGATGGTTGATCAAGTGACCGGCCTTGTTGCGGGGACGGGGAAATTACCGGTCATCTGAGCGTATCTAGTGCAACGTGGGGGTGACTGACGGATCAACGCCGACTTTGCATGCACCTATGCAATAAGGCGGGATCCACTTGACCTCTGCTGTCATCTAGCCGATTCCTAATTTCACTTTTGATATTCAATCAATACGTGGCGAGTCACTTTATCGCTGGTGTATAGAAGTCACGTGGACGGACCGACGCCTATGGTAACATGGTCGAGGAAGGGGTGTGCAAACTCATAAAGTCGGGGCAGTATTCGGATAAAGTATCTCATATTGATCAACCCATTTCATTTTGGACAGGCTGGAAAATATGGATCAATACGACGTCGCAGTTGTGGGACTTGGTGTCCTTGGAAGCGGAGCGGCATACTACGCCGCCAAAAAGGGCGCCAAAGTGATTGCATTCGAGCAGTTCGAGCTTGGTCATGTACGCGGAGCTTCCCACGATACTTCTCGCATTGTTCGAACCTCCAACTTTGCTCCCGAATATGTCGCTCTTGCCAAATCTGCTTACAAGGACTGGGCCCAACTAGAACGGGATTCGGGCTACAAGATGCTGACAGTCACTGGCGGCGTAGTATTCTTCGACCCGGATTCACCAGTTCCAGCCAGTGACTTCACCAAGAGCCTGGATGATCAGAGTATTCCATATGAGCTGCTTAACTCCCAAGAAGTGAAGCGGCGATGGCCCCAGTTTGATATTCCCGAAAATGTCTCCACCGTGTTCACGGCCGATTCAGGCATCGCCCATGCTGCGAAGACAGTCAGCACATTACAAGCTATGGCACGCTCCCATGGTGCTATTTTGAAGGATAATACGCCTGTCGATCGTGTCACGCCCCAGGCTTCAGGTGGAGTTATAATCGAAACACCCAAGGGTCGATTCAAGGCCGCCAAGGTCGTTCTTGCAACTGACGCTTGGATTAACAAACTCCTCGCTCCCCTATCCGTCCATATCCCGGTGTCTGTTATGCAAGAGCAAGTCACATACTACAAACCCACCGACGCGGCTGCCTTTGAAACTGATCGTTTCCCTGTTTGGATCTGGCAAGGCGCGAATTGCTATTACGGATTCCCCTGCTACGGTGAACCGACCATCAAGGCCGGACGTGATTACTCGAACAACTTCATGACACCCGAGCAACGTACATTTGTACATTCACCCCCACTGCTCGAGGAGCTGACATCCTTTATGAAGGGCTTTATTCCTGATGAGGAGCGTCAGCCCCTGCGCACAATCACTTGCCAGTACACGATCACTCCCGATCGACAATTTATCATCAGCCCGTTGGACAACCATCCTGATATCATCGTTGGCCTGGGCGCTGCGCATGCTTTCAAGTTTGCTCCTGCCTTTGGTCGGGCGCTGGCAGAGCTCGCAGTGGATGGCCATACCACCGAGGATATTTCAAAGTGGGGAATTCCAAAGGCTGCTACTCTGAACAGCAAGCTTTGATATAACGGGTTTGTTTGTTAAACAATTTTTTATACGGCAGCGAAATCTTTCAAAATTCAAAGATATTGTTAGAAATGATACAGGAATTGCTTTGCATGTGTATTGAACATGATAGTAACGAACTTAAGATACAGAGACAACAGTTGGCATTGAACTTTTGGTGAATGTAACAGTCTTTCGACAAACGCACCAATATTTCCTTTGCTCACTCTTCTACCGATGGCTTCAAAACGTCGTGTCCCCAGTTCTTCCGCGACTGGTACCTTGTGCTGCTTGGGCTACTCTTAGAATGTTCATCATCTGCAAGATGAGGCTTGCAATAAGAGACAACATATCACATGTGACTTGACGTTCGAATCTTGTATTCCTGAGGCTTCTGGTAGGATTTTACTCGAGTATCCTAACAATCTTCCGACCACTGCATCGCTTATTATGAGACCCGGATTCCAAGCCAAGCGTGTGATTGCAATGTAGATGCAAAGCACAGACTTGCCTTTTACGACCAATCACTCCCCAGGCCCAGATTGTCTGGCCCATTCAAACAACTGCCCCTACTTCTCCTCCATCCAACCACAAATTTCAGCTGCAGTCATGTTGACTGGCTCGTTGAACTCGCCACCGCTTTGTTAATCCCTGCACAGGTTCAAATGCGGGGGCTCCACATTATGACGGGTTTGCTGTTGTTCACCATCGTCCCTTCGATCGAGAAAAGTCTACCCCGCTTATTGAGATTCAAGATTGGGTTAACTCAAAGAAGTAGCAAGATCCTAGATTCTGTTGATGGCAGCGTGCTGTAGACCTGACGTCACCGCTCATTGGTTGCCTCCACATAAGCTTCGGTAAGCTTTCCAAGCTTTGCCTTCCGTATCCTCGCAGATGCTGGGCCGCCGGCACGTTCTTTCGACTCATGTACCCAAAGTTCGAGAAAACCCGGAACTGCAGGGTACCCCGTGTTATTTCTCAGGTGGGCGGGGAAATGGCCCGTGCCAATCTATTTCGGGAAAACATATAATTAACTATTAGTTGCTGCAAATTAGAAGCCACCGCGGACTATTATTGATTTTCGCAAGTTTGCTCCAATAAGCCCACGGAGAGGCCGAGGTGAAATTCTGAGATGGAAAATGTCTACCAAGATCCCTGTACATGCCAAGACCGGTCTCGATAACTAGCTGAGTTTTGAGAGGTCGCGTTGATCATTCATGGCAGTGATCGGCGACTATGAATCCTGGTCATGAATTTGAGCTGACCCCGGACAAACGAGTCTCCCAGGGCTCTGCTGATTCTGCGGGTCCCCGCTCCATAATACCCCTTGGGACCCCCTCACGAGAGAATGACCCTTAACTTCATTGAATCGCCGCGCGGGGAGATCATAGCAAAGAGTTTGAAATTCGTTGGGGAACCCCTGCAGTCCCCCCTTGTCCATCCTACTATTTAGCCCCAGAGATCTCCCTTTGGAAGCGGCCTTGTGTGCTCTCAATCGCCAAAGATTTACCAGGTTATCTTGAGCACCATTTTTATCTTTCTCTCGAAGGTGAAACACTGCTGCAAAATGACCTTTGACGCCTTGTCCCCTGAGGAGGTCCTCTTGGCGGTTTCTAATGCTGGTGTCAAAAAAGGTAATATGAGACTGGACAAGGTATTCTTGAGCTCCACGTCCGCCGGCTGTTTACTTGCTTTTGCCTGTGGAACTTCTTTGAGCACCGATGCATCCCCTTGGTATCAAGATAATGCGCCGGGTTTGATTCGGACTATTAGTGCTTTGGTATTCCCCTATGGGTTGTGCATGATTATTTTGACGGGTGCAGACCTTTGCACCGGCACTTTCATGGTACGTCAAAGCCGGTCCAGATGGAATGAAACGTGCTATGGATGGTCTGTTGACGCTCTGAGTTTCCGAGCAGTACACCACAGTAGCAGCTCTCCAGAGACAACTTCCCTGGTGGAAGATGTTGATCCACTGGGCAGTGACATTTTGGGGTAACTTGGCCGGGTCGCTTTTTGTGGCGATTCTTATCTTTGGATGTGAGTACCTTACCGCCTTCTGTGGCGAAAACACTTGAATCCGAAGCTTACTGTGAGTGTCAAGATGGTGATGTTTTTGGTGCAGACCCATATAAATCAGCAGTCATTACGTTTGCCACAAAAAAGCAGGTCACTCCAGACTTCCACATGATTCTGCTGCGTGGAATCGGATGCAATTGGCTAGTGTGCCTCGCCTGTTTTTTTGGTGCACAGGGGCGTAGTCTTGCGTCCAAGATCATGGGTATCTGGCTTCCAATTTTTGCTTTCGTATCTGTTGGATTTGATCACGTTGTTGCCAACATGACGTTCATTCCATTGGGTATCTGGGTCGGAGCACCGGATATAACTGTTGGTCTTTACATCTGGAAGGGCATTATCCCGACGTTGATTGGAAACATTCTTGGCGGGGCTATTTTCTGCGGTGAGTTCACATCTTCTTCCAGTATCTGAATTACTCGACTTAATGAATGACAGGGACATACTATTGGTACATGTACCTTCTCAATTTTGATGACCTAGCAATTGCAGGCAACAAAAAGACCGACGATCCAGTGGGGCAAACCAGAGTTTCCAAAGAGAAGAATGACATCGAGGCTTCTGCGGAAAGCTCTCACCAAGTAACAGCTGTTGGCCCAAGCCATTAAAGCGATACAATAGACAGTTGGCTGCATTTGAATATTGATCTACCGGCCTTTTGTATTTTGGTACACACAACATTAATATGCCTAATGTAATTCGATTGATGGCCAAGCCCTTGATTTCTACAGTTGTTTTTCGTAAATTTTGTGAGTTGTAATTGTCAACAGGTACAAGTTGACACTTCCATTATCATGGAAACTTGATCGGATGATCTCCTCGGGGGGCAAGATGAGATTTCGAGCGATTCTTTTTCATGATAATCCTATGGTGTTCATCAACATCTACTCTTCGAGCCAACCATGTCATACTGTCTTGCCGGCCTACGAACTCCTGCCGCATCGGAGCTCCACTTTCATCGGAAAGTGAGTAAAACTGTCTTGTCTTAAAGTATTTATTAGAAGGAGACAATCTTGGCTGAAATCAACATTCCACAATGAATGTACCTCCTGTGTGGGCTGTGAATAGATATAACCGAAGTCGTCAACATTGCTCTACAAGATCTCGAAAAACCCCTACAGGTTCCTCGGCACTTGTGATAATCTTGCTTTCTACTTCTATCATCATGCCATACATCACATGTGCATGATTTATCCTATATCCTTCTTCGCGGGTAGATGGCGCGAGTGACGGCAACAATCACTGGCCAGTCCGTTGGACTGCCGGGCCTAGCGCTACCCGAAATTAGCAATCGACAGCAGAAGCAGAACTGGGGTTATAGAGTTGGTGTTCTCACCATTTAAGACTTCAATCGGAAGTACTCCTATACGAATAAGAAGACTCCTATACGAATCAGAAGGTATGGTACTAAGTTTAAGTCTTCTTCCAAGCATTCGGACGTTCCGTGAATGGCTACCGATGGGGTAGTTCAAGAGTGGGCAACCTGCGCCTACTTCGTCGCAGTTAGCCCTCATTCAGAATTTTGTCTCTTCAATCATTCATCATTTTGGACTCTCTACCCTCGTGTTCTTTTCAGGATTAGCTATCTACGTCTTCGTAGTCGAAAGGCATGCAATGCATCACTTAGCACACCATCTTGCGTGATTCTGGCAGAATCGGAGTTCTCGCCGATTTGCCGACGACCCGAACCCGAACACCACCACCAGCTGGGGAAAGCTGGACAAACACGACTTTCATCCCAGGCCAATTGCCGACCGCCCGGGGGACTGCGCTTGCTCGATGCGACCGGCCGAGGCGGGGACACGCGAACACCGGGTTGACTCCCGTGCAACGAAGCATATATTAAGACGATGATCGCATCTAAACAGCGGTTCATATTCAATATTCCAATTCTTGGAATTCATCAAGAACCATATACACAGTACTCTTCAAGCTTCACTGTTTCTCAGCATGACTACAGCCGTGGAGACTGCTACTTCGCAAGGTCTGGCCTTGAGCGGGGCCGACACCGACAAATTTCCAGACGGCTTGAAGACTTCTGGACAGCATCCCCCAGTGTATTCTTGGGTCCGTCCATATGCAGACTTCCCAAAAGTACATACAGGCCCTACCGTCTGGAAAGCCGAAGATTATCGCAACAGTCCCGAGCTATGGACACACCGATTCAGCGATAATGAAATCCAAGAAATAAGCGCGGCCGCAGATGAATTTATCGAGATGGAAATACCGTTGACTGGTATCTCAAAGGTGAAACCCCTCTTCCTAAATTGTCATCTTGCTTCCACTAACCTCTTGCACAGACCAATTTCGCACTTCCAAATCTCTCGCGACGTCTGGAGGAGCTGCGGAAAGACTTGATCGACGGCAAAGGATTCTACCTTTTTAAGGGTATCCCAGCCCAGCAGTGGAGTCTCCAAAAGTGTGCGACTGCATACATGGGTCTTGGCACTTACCTTGGATACTTTGTGAGCCAAAATGGCCGTGGACACGTTCTTGGTCATGTTAAGGATCTGGGAGAAGACCCGACCAAGACTGACCGAGTTCGCATTTACCGCACCAATGCTCGGTAAGTTATGTAGCCCATCATAGAAAATTCGGATGGTTGAGACTGACAACTTTCTCAGTCAATATTTCCACACTGATGGGTCCGATATCGTGGGACTTCTATGCGTCGCCAAATCCATGTCTGGTGGCGAATCAGACATTGCATCAACACACCAGGTCTTCAACGTTTTGCAAGAAAGACACCCCGATGTTGTCCAGACACTCGTTGAGCCCAACTGGTACTTTGATCGCAAGGGTGAGACATCAGAGGGCGAGGAACAGTGGATTCGGGGCAGTATCTTCTACCTCGAGAACGAGCGTGCCGAGAATCCCCGAGTCTATGCGAGATTCGACCCCATGAATGTGACTTCCCTGGCACGATTCAACTCTGGCCCAAACGCTCAGATCCCCCCTCTATCTGAGAAGCAAAAGTACGCAATGGAGGTGTTCGAGAAGACCTGCGCGGAGCTTTCACTTCATATGATCCTGGCGCCAGGCGACATCCAGTTCGTCAGCAACTCGCATGTCTTCCACGCGCGAACTGCGTACACCGATCACCCCGCAGGTGCCGTCGATGAGAATGGTAACCCTGCCCGTCGTCGACACTTGATGCGCCTGTGGCTCTCTGCGCCTGAATCCGAATCTGGCTGGAAGCTTCCCTATCATGATACCCTAGAAAAGAAGCGAGGAGGTATTCAGGTCAATGATCAGCCACCTCATTGTCCTTTGGATGCGGAGTAAATATTGTATAATGAATATAATTCATGTTATTATGTGACGTCAACTATTCCTTACAAATGCCACAAGTCGTGGACTTGTGATGAACGAAGCCTTTCGTTTCAGCCGCGCTGGTAAAGTAGGCCGCTAGGGGCCTAAGAATTGTCTAGGTACTTTTCGAGAGGACCCCTTAGGAGACGTGATCAACTAATTGGTCCAGAACTACATATGAATCTTCTAATTTTTAGCAGACGAGTTACACATGTGGACATTGAATTAAGGGAAGTCCCCCTATGGCTATGATTCCCAAAGGAATACATGCCCAAGTACGTTCACGATTCAACAGACTTTTCATGACCAAATCAAGATAGCAGCATCCAATTTCCGGTATAGATGCAATTGGATCAACTTTGCTGTGGGAATGGGAAGACGGGCAGCCATGGTTCAGCCTGTGTTGTAGGATAACCTCCTGCCCACGGCAATAAGCCGGCCGTTGCAATCCCAGATCCGACGGCAGTATCTGCCGGTTGCCAAGCCCATCCAAGATCAGACATAAATAATGTTTGGAGTTCCTCTAGGCTTGCTTGACTTGATTCATGCTCGTTTTGAGCCGCAGTGGCCGTCTGTACATAATCGATACGATCAATGGGTGACAGATTGGCATCTGCACTAGAACAAGGTCTTGCGCTATTTGGAGCGGATGACGTGTTGGCTTTTTCTGGGGCATGCCTCTCTGGAATAGACTTGCGCGCCATGCGGAAGATGGACAAAGGGTTAAGAACGTAGTCAGGTGCACTTTGTATGGGGGTTCCTGGTACACTTTCACTGCTGTGGAAATCCAGGTTAGTAGTTCTCCAGTTCTTGAAAATTAAAACCTGCTGACCTTGGATCTTCTCCTTCAATGGACTGGTATGGGTCATCGGGTATGCTATTTGGTGCGATGACCTCGGAACCAATTCCCGAACGATCGAGCATGGTCTCTGCCGCAGAACACTTTCAAGAATAGAAGACGCAGTTAGCCACCCATTATAGAAGTAATTTCGAGACAAAAGGGATTCACCAAAGTATTTGCAATGCCGTTCAGGTTTCCCATAACGCCCAGGGCATGGATATTGCTTTGTAAGAGGGGAAGTGTCTCCATTATGATACTCTTAGTATCTTCCAAGCTGGGATCCAGAATCTGCGTGAGATGATATACCATGATCCGACAACTATCATATGTAATTGTTGGGAGCCATGAATCGGCTAACATTCGGGTTCCATGCCGGGCTGCCTCTCCGATAATCGTTGCCAGAGTTCTCGCGGCATCAAACAGAACCTGCTGTAGATGATGAAGGAATACCTGATGCTCTGGTGGGAAATCGAAGGCAGCCCGAAGTTTGTAAAGGGCAGGAGCACCCAGTCGGTACAGATCGCATATCGTTTGGTAGTGGGCACAGTGTAATACACAGAGCGCACCAAGCTGGGATGAATCTTTCCTTATATAAATGGCACTAGGGGTGAATTGTAAGCTGGCTGGCAGAGACTCGTACCATGCGCGGCAGTCTTTGTCCAGAATCGCAAATTCGGAGCTGGGATCCCATGGAACCATCGCATCATCAAGATGCTTAATGTATCTGAACTCAACGTTATCTCAAATTCACTCAGCCCGATTATGCGGTAGAGTTCATACCTTAGAACTCGCTTCCGAATAGAGATATGTCTGATGAAGTAGGCCATTATGCCCATGTTTGGTAGCAGGGTCGCTGTATCAAACTCGCCAGGGATAAACTTCAGCCAATTACCAGGCTGAAGTGTTTCTGTGAAGCACGGTATTTGCTGCGTGAAGTTTCTCTCATTGCAGGGAAGCTGGATCTTCATATCATTTTCATGAACGAGCGTGAGTTGATCCACTCCGCTACCCACGAGAGAATCCATTACATAGCAACTCCACATCAGTCGCCTCCTTGACTCTTTTGCTGTAGTAGAAGGGCCATATTCGTTGTTTTGACAAAGGAGATCCGTATTGTACTCAAGGTTAATTTGCAATGCCTGGGCCATGCGTGTGATGAGTCCGCTGAGCATAAAAGCATTTGCAAAATTTCCCATCCGGACTGCATAGTCGTGAAGCAGAACAGATGCCTAATCTCATGTGAGCAATCAGAGATTTAGGATATATGGGAGGTGTGGGATTCACCATCAAATTTTCATTCGTGACCATGTCTAAAGTCTCGAGAATCAGCCGCTGAGCGACCTTGGCCCACTCACTCCCGGCCGATAGCACGGATTTTGATGGAAGCGGAGAGATAGTCTCACTGTACGCTAGTGCGTAGAATCTACAGGTGTTCCCATTAGCATCTTGGTGATCTCTGCGTTGACTTTAATAGAGGTTAGCGCTTACTGGCCACCAAGCGCACAGATAATGTGCAGCAGAGCATTGTTGTGAGAGCTTTTCGAAATCTCTTTATCCAGTTTCTGCAAGAATGATGGTCTATGAATAAAGGCAAAACATCGCAATGGATGAATGTTGTTAAAGTACTCCTCAACCAGAAGACCGATTTTCCACGGGGTTGGAAGGTGTCGTGCATTCAACCTGCAATGATTCTTAATGAACTTATCCATCAAAGTTATTGTATTTCACATACCATTTAAGGGCCGAATTTTGGACCTCATTTGTATCTTCTGTAAGTGACTGCCGAGGTGAGAAACATGCAGGTTGTGATGCATGGCACTGCTCCGTAGACTGCATCGAAACTGGGTCAGGATGAATGCTAGGAGATTGAGAATCAAAAGCGGGGGTGAAAAGCGAAGTTTGGCTATCTTTTGTAGTCCCCTCGACGCGTTGGATCCAGTTAGGCTGAGAGGATTCGGAGTAAACACAGCTCAGGCCCTTGTCTTGACATCGTTGGCACACGGGTCGCTCCCCGGAGCACTTTGTCTTGGATGCTCGACATGCTGTGCAAGAGCGATATGTTCTTTTTCGTTTTGAGCTCTCGCCCCGAGATTTTGCAATCTCTTGAATTTGAGGGGAGGTGGAATAACCTGAACACACCAAGCGAAGGCGGGCGCAGTTTCCACATTCTCCGGGTCGTTCATCACACTTGACCTAAAGGGCTCGGTTAGACCAACATGGAAATGGGTTATTTGTGCTCTCACTTTGCGGGCACGACATGTGCGACAGCCTGGGAAGTATTAATGATAACCGATGCCGAAGTAGGTAGAGGCCCACTCACCGAATCGCGACCGAGATGCTTTCGGAGTGCTTGAAGTCATGTCGCCTTAACATCGCGATACTTCCGAGATACTTGAACACGAAGCAATCTGAAGAGTGAGGGGATTCGGGTCATCGGAACCTGCGCGGGTCGTCGGTTCTCATGGTGACATCCTCGTGTTCAATGACGGAATTGCAGAAGCGGAGAATGCGGGGCGATCACCATTGCCAAGGACTCATGTGCTTCATGTTCATCTCGAAGCTCAACTCGTGAAACCGCCTTGCTCGAATTATCGAGCCTTGAAATTCCCGCCGAAGATCGACTTTGTCTAATTGTGACCTTCGAGCAACTTTCATACCGTTCTCAACAGATCGTCGTCCGATGCAGTCCAGGGGGAACTTTGAAAGGAAACCGGGCTCGCAAAGCGAGACTAGAGGACGCGTAGGCAAGCTATAGAATTTTTCTCCTTTTAAAATTGCCTCTGTCCTGTGCTCTAAGCCTCGTGTTCTTTTACTTCCTATCCTTCTCCCCCTTGCTACTTGGGCTCGGAGGTAATCGAGGATGAAGAGTTTGACGTCCATCTGACCCACGACACTGCGATACCTAATCCCCCACATGCGCTGCTCAAGGAAATCTTGTGTTTGAAACGTATTGTCCAGGAAAAATTTTTCACACTGATACCGAGACCTTAACCTCCGACACCGGTCTGGCCGCATGCAATATTTTAAATCAGGCGAATTCTTGTTTCACACTGGCTCCTGTAGCATCGGGGGAGTCGGTTTCGTGTATTATTTTGTGTGTCATGTTTAATTTCCTTAGGAACAAGTTTTGAATCGGACTCAAAGCTAGCCAGAAGTTACATTGCCCGATTCCTCTCCGTCAAGCTCTACCTTTTCATTTGCCTTTGGTTCGAATGTACCATATGCTTGATTGATTTCAGGCTATTTGTTACCAGAGGTCATCAAAGTTTATATCTACTAGTTCCGCCGTGGCTTTGCTGCGAGGATAGAATTCATTTTACCTCGCTGAAGTAAAAGCCCCAATGGGTCGCCCGAATGACATCCCCTCGACTCAGACTGTCATCCTCCAAGATGAAGGCGGTATTCTTCAGATTACCCAGAACTCCCCTATTCCAGAACTTAGTCCTCATCAAATGCTCGTACGTACCACATCTGTTGCTCTGAATCCCTGTGATTTCAAGATGCCTCTAAGATTCCCAACGCAGGGTCTCTGGGATGGGTGCGACTTTGCCGGGACAGTTGTGGCACTGGGAAACGAAGCAGTTTCTCAGGGGCGATTTTGCCTTGGAGATCGAGTTTTCGGTGCTGTGCAAGGCTCAAACCAATCGGATCCTCAGTCTGGAGCCTACTGTGAATATCTTAGAGCTGAGCCGGATTTTACTTTCCATGTACCAGAAGGGATCTCACTCACGATAGCGCCAGCTCTGTCATGCACGGGCATTGCCACTCTCGGAGTTGCCTTATTTTGGTCCCTTCAGCTTCCGGGGAAATTGGACGAGCCTTCCATCATTACTGAAGATGTTTTAGTCTACGGAGGTAGCAGCACAATTGGCCTCATTGCCATTCAAATGCTGAAGCTGTAAGTGATTACGCATGGTGATGCCGACGACTCAAAACTAAATCGAAATCTCTCAGTTGTGGTCATCGAGTAATCACAACCTGTTCACCTCATAATTTCGAATTAGTAAAGTCTTACGGTGCTGATCTCGTTTTCGACTACAAATCGCCTACCTGCGCGCAAGAGATCCGGACAGCTACCAAAAATGCACTCCGCTATGTCCTCGATCCTTTTGCAGAGTCAAAAACAGTGCGACTATGCCAAGATGCTATTGGCAGGACCGGTGGAAGATATTGCGCACTGGAACAGTACACAGAGGAGCTGATCTCTCGAAAGACGGTCAAACACGAGTTGGTAATGGGAGGTGCTATTGCTGGCAAGGGCGTGAATCTACCTGAGCCTTATGGTATTCCACCCAGACCAGAGATTGCGGTGTGGGCACGTCCCTGGTATCGCATGCTGCAAACGTTGATCGATACGGGCAAACTCAGACCATGCCCCCAGGTATTCATCCCTGGGCGTTTTGATGGAATCTTGAAGGGCCTCGAGATGCTTAAGAAAGGAGATGTGTCGGGTAAGAAGTTGATTGTCTCTCTTGAACAAAGTGCATAATTTGTATCTTCTTTTTGTGGTATTCTTGCAGGGAACTCTCACTTCAATCCATCTATTCTATGAACCTAGAAGTAAATGTATTTCAACCACAGTAAGAGGTTTCTTTTATCCTCATTCTTTCGGCTTTACTTGAGATTCTCCTTTTCCTAGTAGTCAAATACGTACGAGACATCATAGGTAGTGGGATACATACTTGTCTTTTCCCGGATAATCGAGGATGAAATAATGTTCATGTTACGTTCTGAACTGACTGAACTTTCTCTCACGGAAAGGATCCGAAAGAAGGATTAGAATGATAACGCACTACTAATGGCTAAACCTGATAGTCGTAAACCATTCTGGCCTCCACCCTCTCCTTGTCATTCCAGGTGGAAACATTTCGGGTGAGATACCGCTTCTCATTAACAAGCTCAAATGCCCAAACAACTTGAGCTTCCCATCCTTTGTCTGGATTGTCAGCAGATTCGTTAATAACGATCTTCGACGGGTTTGCTTTCTCCAGTCTCTGGCGTAGAGTCTCGTTGCTGATGTTCGCTACATTGATATATTGCAGTCTCATGTTGACATCACCAAAAATAGGAAGCGAAAATTCTTGAGGCTTTCCGTCCAGATGGTACGTTCCCATGCTATCAAATGAACCAGGTCTGACGGTCTGCTTTATGTGAAGAGTTATAACTGCACCGGCCGGAGAGTCAAGGCCAGAATCGTTGACAGTAAACTCAGCAGTTGTTCCATCTGGCAAGGAACTTGCCTGTTTTATTTCCAAAGACAGATTGGCATACTTGAGAGCCTTTCTAACGAGCCACGGCGCTCCTTGCTTTACCATGACCTTAGCATTTTAGCAGTATAATATCGATGATATTGTCTCCATACCAGTTCAAATATCTTGTCGGGGTCATCCGACAGTTTCCTATTCTGTTTATCTCGTCAATTCAATATGTCCAATGTCACGGGTGGACACTATATACCAGATTCCAGGTGCCTACCAAATTGGTCGCACCTTTAAAGATAGGAGCTGCCATAACTTCTCGCGTCGCGTCAACCTCTTGTAAATCTTGACTTCTGGTGCTGTGAAATTTTCATTTGAGATGTGGAGCCAGGGAAGGGCGTCCCTTAAATACAAACTGCCCTCTCCCGGGGTATACTAGGCGCTCGCAATAATGCTGTGCAAAATCGGACTCGGCCTCGGCCTCGGATTATGCAGGGGGTCAGGTTTAACCCCTATCATGCGCATCGGGATCAGCAGTTTGTTTCAGCTACCCGTAAATTTGAAAGTATTGTTCTCTATATTATTTAATTCTAATGCCATCGAGAAATTTGCTTGGGAATGGACATCATTCGTCCTCACTTTGTGTGGAGACACATTTTTCCGGCTGGATAGAATCATATTATTGACATAACGACGATTATATTCGTTTATAGAATAGGATAGCACAAGACAACATCACATGTTGACTGGGTCTTTCAGAAGTTGCCGAAGACAGTTCATTGTTTCCCTCAATGGGATTCCATGTGTGAATTGTTCCTGTGCCATGATATGATCTCGTATATATACCAGTGGACTTTCATCCAAAATGAATCTCATGGTACTTATCTCACCATCTGGCTCTCGTGTGGAACCTTGGGACATTCCGAGAGTTCGTTCAATTTTAACTAGCATGCTGGAGCCAAGCTCAATCAATACCTGGACTTGAACAGTCAAGTTTTCATCCATGTGAAACTGACCAAATCGTAAGTTCGGTAGTAGTAGATACGCAGCAGCATCGGCAGGGGGTATAATAAGAAATAGTTGATAAAGTTGTGTAAACACTGCTCGATACACGCGGACCAGGTGGCAATAAGTTCCGAGCATGCTGAGTGCTGTCGATATATCGCATCTTTGAGGCTCTAGGGCTTTTGCTTGTTCCTGGGATGGTTCCATCATGGAGGAATATCCAGAGTCGTAGGATGATGTTGTTCTTTCGCCATCCTCCACACTGCTCCCCATGATATCTGTAGGTAGGGGCTTCGTATTGTGTTTGATCCTGAGTGCCTCTTGAGATGAATCGAAAAAATTGGTTAAGTTGAAGGAGTCTTCCGCAGCGCCAATGCCCATTTCGAGAATTTCCAAGAATTGGGTTGAGTGGCTGAGCATGCGAAAGATGGGCAGATCTAGTTTCCCAACCGTCGGGCTGGAATCTCCTCTGAGGAGAGACGAAGACCCCATCATTAGAGAGCCAGATTCTAGAAGTTCAAGGTCTTCGATCAAGTCGAGATTCAACTTGAGGAGTCTTTTGCGTACACCGAATGGGCTGATGGACGACCAGTCTGTTGTGGTCAGAATCGGCGGCCCATCCTCCGCCTTCGGTATCGCATTGTTTTCCCACGGAGAATCCCACATCCCATGCATGATGGGATTTGAGGGCTGGTCGGTGAAGCTGAGCGTCCCTGTGGTTGAAGGGGCGCCTCTCTCGGCGATCGGCTCATTTTGAAAACTTAAGGATCCATCCATCATAGCGGCTTGTGGAAATGCCAGTTGATCTGAAAGACGATATTCCGGATCAAACATTACGTCTTCTGTTGAGGGCTGTTCTCAAGATAAATTAACACACGCGTCGATTTTGTTTACTTGCGGTCAAAGAGGACTCACAAAATCGTAAGACCCCACTCTCCAGGGAGTGTAAGGGTTTTTACATGGCTCAGCAGGGAATGACGAAGAAGAAAGAAACGGCATTTGCCCCCCGATGTTCTCCATAGAAGGCAAATCTGCTGTAGATAAAAAGGGAATTAAATCCCGGCTCCTCCAACAGCTGGAATATTGAGTGTCCTGTCTCCGAGATGTCCCAGAAGATGCAAGTGGTTTCCTCACTTTTGAGGCAGTCGATCTATGGAGGGCAGATATCGGCATTCGTTCACTGCTAAGAACTGGATCACACTCCTGGGATAATGCGCCGGAGTCGACTTTTGAAGTTAGGTAATTGTGAGCAGGCTGCCCAACACTTGTCGTACACACAACTTGAGCTTTGAGACACCTTTCACACGACCTACCATTGACTTGGTCACGTTCACAGCGGAGTTTGAATCCACGGCACCGATCGCACGCCGACCTTCGAGACTGTCTATAATTGAAAGCTGAGTGCATGTTGGACTGAAAATATGTTGAGATACTTGATGCTATAGATCGCTGTAAACCACAGTCATAATCCATCGAGGGGCAATATGTATCTCAATATTTTGTTTTCATGAAGCATGGTTCTACACCCAGGAATACCACGCCTGAGAAATGAAATATTCTAATGCGAGCCATCTGTAGACTAGACCAAGCGCCAGCCTGGAATGTATACGGTCGTATTGGAAATAGACGTCCATGGCATTGGGTCATAGAACATGTGTAGAGCTTGAAGTATCAACTGAACTTTCTTCTTATAGCACACCTCCCTGGGCCACGGGCCATTTTTACCAGTCATCATATCAAGCTTTAAGTGACAAAGTAATAACTTGAGACAACGAAGCCTTCAAAGAGGTGTCCATAGATACTGCAGTATGATTTATGCACTCCAATGACTATACCACCAGCTGTGTTAGGCTTCATGCATGGGCTAGATCTCACATTCATTCTACATAAAGTGTAGCAACTAAATGGATCCGTTCGTCACGCCGTAATCTGTGCTAAATTCCTTTTAAGAACCTATGATTTTCCCCTTTCCATCCGTAATAGAATATGCAGCGACTTTTCGAACAGACAACGTCTGCCGAGGCGCCTTTTTGGGTCATTCAGGCGATCTCTTGGGTATGAAACATACATTCATCCCAAGTTCCATGAACCTATGCGAATGGTCCAGGACGATCGACGCATTGTGGGGAGCCCGATTCCTTGGGCCGCTGAAAGCGGATGCTGGGTCGTCCGCCAGGCGACCGGATAATTAAAATCCGAGCTGGGCAGGGATATAACATAAAGCCATTAGCATTAGTGGGGTTGCTTGGTATTGCCGCGTGCTGTTCTCACACCGACACTTCTGTTCCCGACCACCAGCAACGATGTGTTCCATGGCATCGTCCATAAGCTAACACCATGCACAAGGGCGTTCCACCAATGTTACTCAGATAACAGCCTCCTCAGGATCTGTGGCACTCTTCCAACCTATTTTTTAGGGAAAGGAGAGGCACGTCCTTCTGTCCTACACCTCTGCATAGAGCCTGGTCAGCTTGCTCAGGGACGTGTGGTCTTCCCAACGGTCCTTTCATTGGAGAAGGGAAAGATTCTGACTCTGTCGATGTAGCACAGCTCTGTTGATAATCGAGGGGCATTGGTAAAATTCAATCAATTCCAGAGAAATTTGACTGAAGGTATAGTTTGAAGAGGTTGAACTGTGCTGGAACTATGTCAAACAGTAAAATCACTTTTATTCGCATGGTATCTTCGCTAAAAATCGCTCAAAACCGACTTCTATACATGAATACGTAAATATACGGGATTTGACAGCCGTGACCTGAATGTCTCGAGCTCATTTAAATTAAAGGACTGGAGGAGCGACAAACGAGTCGGGAATCCCCTCGAAGACCCAGTTCAGGGAGTCGAAAACTTCAGAGAAGCCAGCTTCGCTAAAGAACGCGCCGCTCTCGTCGAACTGATTGGGTATCATCAATGATGGATCCTCGAGGGAGCTGTCCTGCTGTCGGCCAAGGGGTCCTATTGTCGAAATATCTTGATTCGCCGCAGCGACTGCGGCTGGAAAGGCATGACGTGAGTACTAAAACAGGGGAAACGGTGTATATTGAAGCTTACCTTGCATTTCTTCGATGCTTTTTACTGGTCTGAAACGCTGTCGCCAACGCCAGACGGTGTCGTAGACGTGACTCATGCTCATGCGGCAACGAACTTTGAGTTGTAGACCATCCTCTCCAGCGGGCTCCGGGCCAGTCGCATTCCACATTTGGGCAAGAATATCAGCGAGGCGGATTGGACGATCGTGATCCATGACACTGATCCTGCGAATGGCTGAGATAGCACCGTTGAATAGAAGCTTGCCATGGTTGAAATCGATGTGTCGGCTGAAGCTACTCTTTAATAGTTTCATGAGAGCAAATGCCGCAGAAACGATCATCTGGAGAATGTAATTGGTAGAATGACCGATCAGTTCCCCAGGTGACGTTTCAAGGTCTAGCACCCGCCCTAGGAATGAGGTTGTTGCGATAAAGAGCTTTGTGAGATCATCGCTTCGTGCATTGGAGCCCAGGAACACGAAGTATCGAAAGTGCAACTCTGCAGCGCGAAGATGGATCATGTTGATTGCTTGGATAGTGTTAGTCCAAAGATAGTAAAACTTATTTGACCAGGTCTTACCAGAGATGCCGCGACCAAACTCAACTTCCATCTCTCGTAGCTCCGTTTCAAGAATTTGTACAATAACAAGCTTTTCCGCGCTGATAAACTCCCCCGGTTCAGGCTTGCTGCTATATAAGGCCTTAGTGACACGGTCGCAGAACTTCTCAATGCGCAACCTGATCATCAGATCTTCGGGGAGGCGGTAATCGGCATCTTTCAAGGAGGGAGGCTCAAGAGCCCAATCATATATTGTGCTAGGGGGCTGGCCATACCCGGTGGCAACACTATCCAGGAAGTCAATATCGGCCGATAATGTGATAGACGTTTAAAAGACTCACTTCTGTGCGACAATATTGCAAATCACCCATGTGTGCAAGCGATCCTTGAGTGCCTCTCCTTGAACTTCCATCTGGAATGTAGTGAACTCCTCTGCCTGCACTGGGCGGTGCAGTCCTAGCTGCATGGCGATTTGCATCATGAGACCACTAAGCATGAACGTCGCATCTGTCCGTTGACTCGTTGTTGGAAGAGGCCATGTGCACAGTACACAGAGTGCTTTGACAACTCGGTAGTCCTGTGGAACACTGGTAATTGTTGACCATAAAAGTCGACTGAAAGGTCCGGAAAGGGCACTCAAAAGCCAAGGCTCCGTGGGGGACCTTCGGCTGGCCACACAAATGATCGTCCAGGCCAACAAAGGGCATCGGTGAAGATAGACCTCCGGGGGCTTTGGGGGATTCAAAAGTGGAAGAAAAGGGTGATAGTAATTGAAATATCTTGGCTACGAGTCAGTTTGGGGCAAATGCGAGCGAAGGAGATAACCAGTGCTTACTGTTCAAACAGTCGTGCCACACGGGCTCGCGAGAGAGCGATGTCTTCCAATCTCCATGGAGTGTTCTCCTCCTGGGACAAGATAGATCCATCTCTTTGCATCGTGATTGGAGTTGCAATGGATGCGTGCTGTTCAACAGGCACTGATACCGGCCGGGAGCGCTCAGCGGGAGCTGAGTCGCGCCTCTTGAAAGCCTCCTCTGAGCATTGAGAAAGATCATCACCCACATGAGACTCGGCTCCTTCCTCCTGCTCTGGATTGAATGCTAGGCGGCGGCGGAGATCTTGAATCTCCTTTTCCATCTCCGCATTGCGTCTGTACACAGGGTCAGCAAGGAATCAATGACTCGAAGTTAGGGATAAGACCTTCTCTTAGAAATTCGCTTGAACGATTGTTCAACTTTACAGTCGATCCCCAACCTGCGGCAGCGCGAGCACGCCGCGGCCGGAGTTTGGACAATGTCACATCGAAGCTGTCCGATGAGATTGCATCAGCGTGGCTGTTATGGGACGGGCAAAGGGAACTGGGCGAATTAAAAGTCGATTGGGGCGATGTATGTGGCTCACCTTCTGCTGCTTACACTCGTTGCAGGCCTTCCGGCTACCACCTCGGCGCTTGCCTGTGACCGGCGGAGTCTTCTCCATCTCGCCAGATTCGGGGCTCCTCTGCATAAAATCGAGCTGGGGTAGTCGGGGGGACCGAAAGTCGCTCGGAGGAATCAAGGGTGGCCCATTCGGTGCCAACAGGTGCCGATACTCCAAGTCCATCAGGGTCGGCCGTTCATCCGATATAAAACCCCGAACATCAGCGAGTGCTCTGGGGTGAGAATGTGCCGGAAATCGGAGAAATCGGCATATTCTGAAAGGGGGGAAGTTGGAGAGGGTTGGGCACCGCCGTTGATTGGTTGCCCGCTTCAACGAAACTCGGCGATTGCTGACTCATTCTATGGCCTCAGGCAGTAATGATGATGTATTGCCTCAGGCAACGAACTTACTGAATATGGAAGCCTCAATAAAGCCGTCCGGCTAAGGGATTCTCCGTCTATTGTCCCTACCAGGGCTCGAGTAGTGTTTACAATCTCAACCGGTGTCTTGTCAAACATGAATTTGATTTTTTTTCAGGGTCTTTGATATTATGCGACTCCAGGTTTGAAGTGTTTGGAAACCTTGAAAGCACTTGAGGCTACGAACCTAAGTATCCAATCTGTACCTTAGATATCGCTTTACGCAAAAAGTTATCGGAACACTACAATCAAAGTCCAGCTTGTGGTGAAAACATCACATATTTCCATCGAACTTTCCAACGCTCCCCTGTATCCTTAATCGATTGATGCGGGATGATACTTTGGTCAAGTTTTCTTCACACTCCTCTGACATTGCTAGGTGCCAAACGGGGTTAGTAGATGCCGAGGTCCGAATGCGGGGAAGCCTACCTATGCTGCAATGTTCAGACATAATCTTGAAAATCATTTAAACAAGCACTTGTGTGTAACATGAAACAATATAGGTCTGTCTCACGATCGCCAGAATGAATTTTGATCTACCGCAAGATCTAAAATCCCATCTGCAGTCCATCGACTCCTTCATCAAGTCTACAATTCTTCCTCTGCAGCATTCCAATGATAACGATCGTTTCTTCGACCACCGCCGCGAATATGCTCGAACCGACTGGGAGAAAAATGGGAATCCTCATCCAGAATGGGAAGACTTATTGGGTAAGCACCATGTTCGCAAAAGATCAACGCAAATCTAACATCTCCACAGAGCAGACTCGGCATCTGGCCGATGGAGCAGGCTTCTACCGGTTCGCACTCCCCAAGCAATATGGTGGCCAAGGACATCAAGAGACAAACCTGTGGATGTCTGCGATCAGATTTCACCTGTCATCACATCCCGTCTACGGAGGTGGCCTCGGACTCGCAAATGATCTACAGAATGAACACAGTATCATCGGAAATTTCCCGGATGTTCTTATGATCCATCATTTCGGTAGCGAAGAGCAGCGCCAGACTCTCATTCCTGCGCGTCTTCGTGGAGAGTTTAGAACAACATTCGGTTTAACAGAGCCAGATCATGGCAGCGATGCGACGTTCATGTCTACGGTTGCCCGTCACGAACACGGTGGATATGAAATTACGGGAGCGAAGAAATGGCAGACTGGCGCTCATCATTGCACACACTTCCTTGTATTTGCAAGAACCTCCGGCATCTCGGGGTCTGCCAAAGGAATCACAGCCTTCCTCATCCCTCGTGACACTCCTGGTATCCGGATCGCCAGCTACGAGTGGACACTCAACATGCCTACCGACCACGCGACCGTGGAGTTCAACCATGTTTGGGTGCCCGAATCAGCTATCCTCGGAGCTCTTAATCAAGGACTAGCCATTGCCCAGACATTTGTGCATGAGAACCGTATACGCCAGGCGGCCAGCTCCTGCGGCGCCGCAAAATTCTGTTTGGAACGAAGCATTGAGCGTGCACGCTCACGCAAAATCTGGGGAGAAGGCAGAATGTTGGCCGACAACCAGGCCATTCAGTTCCCAGTTGTCGAATTGATGACTCAAGTAGAGATGCTGCGTCTACTCATTCTGAAGACTAGCTGGGAAATGGACCGTGTTGTAGCCGCATGCAAATCGGCCGAGGTGCAGCAGCCACCGTGGGTTGCTATTGAGCGTGAGCTAAGCGACCAAGTCGCCATGTGCAATTTCTGGGCGAATCGACTCTGTTGCCAGGCTGCGGATCGAGCGATTCAGGTGAGTTCCAGAGTCCGAGCCTACCTCGTCGGTCACTGACTATCTAGATTCATGGCGGCGATGGATACTCTCGCCACTATCCCTTCGAACACATCTATCGCCATTTCCGACGCTACCGTATCACAGAGGGTGCAGAAGAGATACAGATGCGCAAAATTGCCGCCTATATTTTCGGGTTTGTAGGGCCGAAGAAGAAGAAGTTGGAGGCTATGGAAAAGGCTAAAGCCAAGATTTAAACTCGCCCCCGCTTGTTATGGACATGGACCCCTTGCAGCGAATGGGAGGTCTTCGCGATTCAGAAACCCCAGTCCACAGGAAACTCCAAAGCCGCGTCACCTGGGTGGTTTTGGTTTTGGAGTAGGTTGCAAGTCACGTTTCATAACAGCCGGATTCCAAGAGTCGTGCACTCATGGACTTATCACGGAGGAAAAAACTCCGTGCCATCGATTTGCGCATACGGCACGTGACCTTTGCTTGGCGGTACATCTTGCTCTTTGTCTACTGAAGTTGTGGGGGGTAATGATATTAAGTGTAACATGGCGTGTGAATCAAAGCTTCACAATCTATTTAACCATGACATACTCTAGTCAGAATAACTCGCGTTTGTCTTCGTGGGTAATGGTCGTGTTGTCTTTCCTTTCTGGTTCCCTTTACATAAGAAAATTGCCTCCGGGCTTAGAAAAGTGGGCCGACATTTGCTTTAGGAACCCACCGAAGCAAGCGAAAACGGAAATCTGGCGGCCATGTAGGGAAAAAAAAAAAAAGAAAAAAAAAAAATTCGGCTTGGTTTCGGGATCTAAGCTGCCCATCTGATTTTGTTCTTTGCTGGCTCAAAGGTCAAGGTCAAGGTCAAACAACATGGCCTCTGAAGATGTTGCCAAAGTCACCAGCGAACCGCTGAAGGATGAGAAGACTCCACCTGCATACAGCAAACATGCTGCGCAGGATATTAAGCCCAGCGACGCGGAGGAGAATGATAACCCGGCAGCTCCTCCGGGAGAGTTGAAGCGCAAGCTCAAGAGTCGGCACTTGCAGATGATCGCAATTGGTATGCTCTACTTCTTTACTATGACTTGCGCCAGTTAATATACTAATGAGTGATGATAGGTGGAACTATTGGCACAGGTGAGCGACTATCAGCTCGAAAAACAACCGCCAAATCTAACCAGCCTAGGTCTCTTCATTTCCAGTGGAACGGCTATCGCAAACTCCGGTCCAGCAGGCGCCTTGATTGCATACATCTTTGTCGGATCAATTGTCTATTCGGTCATGAGCTCCCTCGGTGAAGTCGCAACCTATATTCCTATTCCCGGCGCCTTTACCTCCTACGCCGCTCGTTTGATCGACCCGAGTCTCGGTTTTTCTATGGGATGGATCTATTGGTTCAATTGGGCTTCGACGTTTGCTGTCGAGTTGACTGCCACGGGAACGATTATTCAATACTGGGACCCGAGCTTGAATATTGCCATCTTCATCGGCGTTTTCTGGGTATTTATTACAGCTTTGAATTTCTTGCCGGTCAACTTCTACGGTGAATTAGAGTTCTGGTTCTCGACTATCAAAGTGGCGACCGTCATCGGCTTCATGATCTTCGCAATCTGTGTCGATGTGGGAGTCGGCGAGCAGGGCTACCTTGGATTCCGGTACTGGCATGAACCTGGAGCCTTCAACACTTACCTTGTTCACCAGCCGGAGTCCGTAGGCAAGTTTGTTGGATTCTGGGCAGTGCTGATCCAGGCCGGTTTCTCATACCAGGGAACCGAGCTTGTGGGTGTGGCAGCGGGTGAGACTGAGAACCCCCAGAAGACTGTTCCTTCGGCAATTCGCAAAACCTTCGTGCGAATTCTGTTATTCTTCGTCTTGACGATCTTTTTTATCGGACTGGTCGTTCCCTACACCAATGACAGACTCACCACTGGACACACCAACGCTTCTTCTTCACCTCTGGTCATTGCGGCAGATCTTGCCGGAGTGAAAATTCTCCCCAGTCTGATCAACGCGGTGCTTCTGACCGTGGTATTGTCTGCCGCAAACTCCAACGTATATAGCGGCAGCCGTATCTTGACCGGATTGGCTCATGAGGGATTCGCGCCTAAGATCTTCGCCCGAACCACCGAGGGTGGTGTGCCATACGTCAGCGTCATATTCACTGCACTATTTGGCCTCTTGGGTTTCATGAACGTGTCGGAAGACGCAGGACAGGTTTTCAACTGGCTGGTGAACTTGTCGAGTGTCGCCGGATTTGTGACTTGGTCCTGCATCAATGCCTCCCATATCGCATTTATGCAGGCACTGGCTGCACGTAAAGTTTCTCGCGATACGCTCCCATACAAGGCCATCCTGCAGCCGTATTTGGCTTGGTACGGTCTTTTCTTCAACGTGCTTATCGCCCTGACGCAGGGATTCACTGCTTTTATTCCCACGTTTAACGTGACAGACTTTTTCTTTGCATATATCTGTCCTATCGTGTTTGCGGTGCTGTACATTGGCCACAAGCTGATCACGCGGTCAAAGATCGTTCGCTCTGCAGAGGCTGATGTTGACACTGGTCGACTTCACTTCGAGAAGGAAACCGGCCCTCCCAAGAAGTGGTACTGGCAGGTATGGGGCTGGGTCACCAAGTAAATTGTTTCTTGGTGTCATTTTTGATGCATAACGTACTGTCACAGCGGGGGCAAGTTTATACTGGGCATTTTCTGCAGCGACCTTTTGCCTATATTTAACGAATCATTTCAAAGAACTATTATTATATCACAAGTCCCAAACATTAATCATATGTTCTCTTGCGCTGCAGCAAGGTGATGTACTCCCGGTCCTACCGGGCGATCCAAATTTCCAGAGATCTTTCCGGCGATCTCAATGTCCTTTCCAAACCGAATCGGCTTGCCACTCACTCATACCCATTTCATTTGGCGGGCCACCACCGATAATCCACCTACGAGCGCAGTTGCGCCCGTGCAGACCACAAGTGTGCCAAAGCCACTTCCGTAAGTTCCCCACGCACGGCTTTTCCAGTGATCTGCCTTGAGCAGTACTTCACTGAGCGGGCCACTGACCACGTTGCCTATTCCACGGCCGGTTTCCATGAATGGAAAAATGACTGTTGCATCTGCTTCTGGGTTTGCTCGCTGAATCTCATTGGAGACGCCTGACCATGTTGACGAGTATCCACCGGCGAGTAGACCATACGCAATGCAAAAGACGTAAAGCGTGGGAATCGTTACTGAAAAGCCCCAGATGAAGAAAACTGACAAGACGGTACCGACAGTCAACACCAGGATGCAAGTGGTGATATGATATCGGTCTGACAGGAATCCCACCACCACACAACTCAACACCGAAGTTAAATTGACGAGCGTCACTGTGAGCGAGGACATGAACTCGCTGGCACCAAGGCTGCGAGCGTAAGTTGGGAGATAGATGGTGGGAAGGAAGAATCCTAAAGCCTCCACGGTGTTGCCAAGCTGGTAGATAATGTATACTTTGCTGTATAGGAAATTGAAGCTGAGTCGATGGTGGCACACACTCTCGCGGATAGGTAAACGAGGCCTGTGGAAGTAGAGGAATGGGGCAGCAAGGATGAACAGTGCCACTGCCGAGATTCTAAGGGTGACTTTAATTCCGTATTGGTTGAGAAGCCATTGGATAACCAATGGGAAAATCACTCCAGATAATCCTGAGCCCGCCTGTTTGAAGAGATTAATGGGATTGTTCATTCTGGTACATTGATTTCCCATCACTTACCCAAACGATTCCAAAAGCAAGGCCCTTTCGCTTGCAAAACCACTCTGACATAAAAAGAATCGAGGGCGTATATGCTAGACATCCACCCACGCCAAAGCCGATTCCTTGCGACAGAATTAGGTGTGTCACGTTGGTCGAGAACGAACTGATGGCTAGTGAAAGACACATGATCACCACGCCTGCGGTCGATACCCAACGAGCAATACGAGGCACCATAATCATGACCACGATAGCTAATGGAGCAATTAAATACGCAATACCCTATGAATCACGTCAGTCTCGCCAGAGATTGCATATAAGAGTGGTGTGCTTACCATGGCACATGTCCCGATAACAGCAATGTTTGCAGACCCTCGAAATGGATCGTGGGCGCTATAATAATCTTGGAATATTCCGAACGAGAACGCATACCCTATTTCTGTCAGTGTTCCTGGAAATATTTTGAGCTTCTTCAAGTATTAAACTCACCCCATACCAACGCTTCGAGCATCGCAGAAGCTATTAAAAATAACCATGCCTGCTTCCCCCCATCTACAGGAGGTAGGCCATCTTCCCTGCTAGCGTACTCGATATCACCTTCTTTATAGGATGGTGATGATGATCCGGTATCAATGCTGTTTGTCGCGATACTTGGCGGGTATTTCTTGAAATCGGTCTGACATGATGTTGGACTTTCATTTCGGTCATAGGTCGGCGAAGGCATTTCGAGCTGGAGATGATTTCTTTCTTCTGAGGCGAGTCCACTGTTTCACCGGCGGAAATAAAGTTGAGACACATGAGAGAACAAGCTATATAAGGAGTCAAATAAGCTTGTAGGAGCTCCGAGAAGATGACGAAACAAATCTCCTAGAATCAGATACCTGCTCCAATCGGAACGCCACTAAGCTCATAAAGAACCACATACTTGGCATCCGGGGGGGTGGGGGCTCTTAGTACCCAGTAATGTGACGATAAATCCCTAGATCTGCTCCGTTGAGCACCTCCAGCAGCTCACGCGCTCAGGGTTGAGATTTTCTAGCTTGTGAATACCGACCGTTCGCTTCCAGCACAGTGCTAACCGCAAAACACGAGTGCCGAGAAAGATGATCTTTTGAGCCATGAGCCTTCATCGCTGCGTATGACGGAGCTTGAAGAATGACTGCAGCCCTATGATGATCAGCCCAGGCTGTCAGTCGCCCCTTCGAGATGACCAAATAGAGTGGATACCATGCGCATTGGTAGGGATCTTGAATGAAGAAGTGGAATGTTGATCACCACCCATGAAACATCGAGATTGGTCATTTCTGACAATAGGCTTTTTATAAAACGCGCTTCTTGCCCTCTCATTGGGAGCAGATACAGCACAAGGGGTACTACTTTGGCATAATTGTCTTCCCTTCCTTGGCAATTCACAGGGTGGGGCAAAAAGCTACGCGTACAAGTTACCGTTCTGTTAAGGACGTGCTTGAATGGAGTGTTAGAAATTCTTTGAATGGAAGCTGGTTATATCCAGGTACCATTTGTGCAAGGGATTTGCCCCTTTTGATTATCGGCTGGAGAGAGGTAACCGTTGAACCAACCCCTCGATAGCGTCTGACCAACTGCGATACATTCTCCGGTGCTGAGCTAGCATAAGCTTGCTTGGATTAAAGTTCGAATTACTTTATTTTTATTTTGCCAAGGTTGGTCATCGTCTTGCAGATGATTGCCTATGAATTACTCTTGACATCGTCGGCACTAGCCAGTCGAATGGGGAGAGCTCCATGTTTTTTCTTGAATTCTTGTTCTTCCGTGCGGTACAGTAATTCTCTCACCTCCTATCCTCAACGCCCTCCCCCCTCAGAAAGACATTCTCTGGGGCCATGGGAGCCGATCAAGAGGCAATGGAAGAAAGACGAAAAACAAAGAAAAAAAAAACGAATGCCCTGGTACCGAACAATTTTCACCAAAGCAGCTAACTCCAAGACACAAGAATGCAATCGCGTGGAGTACGCGATGTTTACACAGAGCCATGGGAACAGGAGGTTAAGAGCCGGTATTAGGCTGTCACAGCTAGGTACCGTACGTAGAGTAGTACGTGACATTCACGCAAAAAGGCATACGAAATAGGAGGTTAAGAGCCGGTATTAGGCCGTCACAACCAGGTACCGTACAGGGATTTGTGGAGCCGCGGCTTGGGCAGCCTCCATCACAGATCCGATCGGTCGGCTTGCCGAGATCACAACCGAGGTTTGAATTAGCAGGCGGAATACCGGCACGGAACTCCACTCGGTGGACACTCCGCTCTGTTCTCGGGCAATCACGATGCTTCATTGCCTATCACTTCCCATGCTGACGCAGCAGCAGATGGTGCTTCGAATAGTCGTGCCCATGATTGCATGATCGTCCTTGAAAAAAAAAAAGTTGTTTTTTTCATTCCTAGTCCTGAAAAAATCATGGGACAAATTACGAAAGTCATGGTCAGCGACGGAGTTGAAGCACCGCGCACGCAGCGTATCCCGCATTGGCGCATCTTGACTGATCAGGGAGTGGTTACTCCCGAGATCATCGAGTATCCCTACGCTGGATCAGGTACTGAAGATGACCCATACATCGTGGAATGGATCCCGAACGACCCCCGGAATCCGATGCATTTCAACAATGGCCTTAAATGGTTGTACACTGTGCTAGTCGCCTTCGCCACCTTCGCCGTCTCACTGTCCTCATCTGCCTACGCCGGTGGCATTTCGGAAGTCCTCTCAGACCTGGACGTGAGTGAAGAGGTGGCTACTTTGGGTGTTTCCCTCTTCGTGTTGGGATTCGCTGTCGGACCACTACTTTTTGCACCCCTTAGCGAGCTTATTGGACGGCAAATTGTCTTCATCATCACTTTCCTGGCACTATCGGTCTTCTGTGCGGGTGCAGCAGGTTCCCAGAATATTTGGACCTTGATTATTCTGAGATTCTTCGCGGGATCTTTCGGCTCATCGCCTCTCACGAATGCAGGTGGTGTGATTGCCGATATCTTTCCCGCGGACCAGCGCGGTCTGGCAACCAGTCTTTTCGCAGGCGCACCTTTCCTTGGTCCGACCTTGGGACCGGTCATCGGGGGTTTCCTCGGTGAGAATGCAGGTTGGCGATGGGTCCAAGGGTTCCTGGCTGTTTTCACCGGTATCATTTGGATGGCGGAAACGCTTTGCATCCCAGAGACGTATGCACCTGTCTTGCTTCGCAAACGAGCGGAGCGCCTATCGTCTATTAACGGCAAGGTATATCGGAGCAGATTGGACATGGAACGCGGCAAAGTTTCCGTTCGCGATGCATTCACTACGGCCCTGGGCAGGCCTTGGATTCTGCTCTTTTCCGAGCCTATTGTTCTATTGCTGTCGCTTTACATGGCAATTGTTTACGGAACACTCTACATGCTCTTCGATGCATTCCCGATCGTGTTCCAAGAAATCCGGGGCTGGAGTGAAGGCGTTGGCAGCTTGCCCTTCCTTGCCGTGATGATCGGTATGATGATTGCAGTCGCCCTTAACATGTACGACAATAAGCGCTATGTGCGTATCCATCACCAACACAACGGATTTGCTCCGCCTGAAGCTCGTCTCCCGCCTACCATGTGGGGTGGTATCGCGATCCCAATCGGCCTGTTCTGGTTTGCCTGGACCAACTCCCCTTCAATCCCATGGATTGTGTGCGTTCTCGCCACAGCCCCCTTCGGTTTTGGAATGGTCTTTGTCTTTTTGGGAATCATGAACTATCTCATCGACGCGTACACCATCTACGCCGCATCGGTCCTCGCCGCCAACTCGATCATCCGTTCGTGCTTTGGTGCTGGCTTCCCACTATTCACGACCTACATGTATGAGAACCTCGGTATTCACTGGGCATCGTGTGTGCCGGCATTTCTCTCACTCGCATGTGTTCCATTTCCCTTCATCTTCTACCGCTATGGGCCCAGCATTCGCCGAAAGTGCAAGTATGCCGCTGAGGCGGATGACTTTATGCGATCACTCGCCAAAAAGGCTCACAGTAATGACGTGGTCGAGGAGAAGCTCACAGAGGCTATTGAAGACAGTGAGCTTGTACCGGTGCGCACCGAAGAATCTCAGGGGCGTGAGTCTATTGACTCTGACTCCTCGCTGGAGCGGGTTGAGACGACGTATGAGGCGAACCCTTACGATATTGATCGCGTGAACACGCGGAACTCGGCGATTACTCAGAAACCGAAGTCTACCAAGAGCGGTAGGTGGAAGATCTTTGGTGCTGGCAAGTCCTGATTGCCCCGGTTGTTGAAGATACGTTGAAGATACGGCATCTGGAATATCAGCGGTCACAGTTTTTGGAGGATATGGTTTTGTTACAAAATACCCGATCATAGAGTTTATATACATTAATTAATTCATTATTTCTTTACATCAAAAAGGATGTCACGGATGACATGACCTCTTTAAAAATCAGCAGCATCAGGCAGTGAGTTAGGGGTGTCATAGCGATACTCGGAGGTGATCAGATCACCAAATGATGGCGACCAATCCACGCGCGGCGACAGGCTTTCCAAGTCCCAGAGTTCAGAGAGGAACTTTAGAATTGAGGTATGCGTGTATTCGCTATCTCCTTCGGCAGGCTTACCCTGAACCAGCCCCTTTTCAACCCACGGAGAAGCAAGGATCGTGGGAACACGGACCCCCAAGCGGTCAAAGTGGAAAGTGTAGCCCCGGCCATCGGGAGCCTGCTCCGTATAGGTCAAACTGTCACCAGCTGGAACATCAGTGGGCGGAGGCACATGGTCGGCAAACCCGCCGTGCTCGTCCCACGTCAGAATAAACAGAGTCTCGTTCCACTGGGGAGAGTTGCGCAACGCCTCGTAGACACCTTTCACGAAGGTTTCGCCCATGTTGATTGGAGATGGTGGGTGCATCGACATATAGTTGCAGCACTCTGGGTTGATCCAGGTGAACTGGGGAAGTTTACCGGCCCTTGCATCCTGGTAGAAGCGCTCGATCGGCAACACATTGCTCTTGCCGTTGGAATTTGCAGTCCATTCATAGAAGAGAGCGTCTGGCAAGAAAGGCGGATCCGACCTTGTTGAATTCTCATAGTTACTCCAACTGATTCCCTTCTCCGACAATTGTTCGAAAATGGATTTTTGCGGAAGGCCCGAGACGAGGAAAGTGTTGTCGTTCATGCCGTGGCCGTACGATGTGCCCGAGGTCAGATACGCTCTGTTGGGATTGGTAGGACCCGGAACAGCCGCGAACCATCGATCGAAGAGGACGAAGTTCTCCGCCAAAGCGTTGAAGACGGGGATGTGTTCAGGAGGGAAGTAGTCGATCACCTCCGCTGCACGGGTCAAGTTGTCTTGTTGGTAGGAAGCTCGCTGCTCGGTGATGAAACCATCCATAGAAGATGGTGCCCTCGCAAGTGGATGGTATGTGCCGAAGATCTGCATGTTGATCCCCGAGATGCTATGATTTGGATCATCTGTTGCGATATTTGCTGCTTCGTTGCGGGCGCAGACTTTGGCAGAGTGCGAGCTTGACACATTGGCCGGGTTACAGTATTCGCGGTCCACTAATCCGTCAATACTATCATCATAGGTGAGACCACCGGCGAAATGATCGAAAGACAAATTCTCTTGTACCAAAACCACAACGTTTTTCACGTTTTTCAGCCCTGATCCTCGCGGGCGCACTGCGGCGCCGAGAGCAAAAGGAAGAAGTGCCAAGGATAGAAGCATAGCGAGTTTTGTGTAAACTGCAAAGTACGAAAAGCGAGGTTCCCCTTTAATATTGAGCTTCAAACCCGTGCAAAGCTGAATTATGGCCGCAAGGATTCGGAACGTATCACATCACGGTGTAAGCCTGTAGATCCCAACTTTCCCCTCAACTTCCCCACCCACGGGGATCGCATGCTCCATTGGAGCCCTCCCATTGGCCCGCCTTGTTACTCTGAAGGGGCTTGGACGATGCAAAAATACAGAAAACTGTCAAGTCAGCCGGGTTTCAAGTCTACCCTAATAGAGTGAACTGGAAGTGTTCGAATCCAAACGAAAATTGAAAACAGCGTAGTTGTTAGCAGACATGGAGGGCGCAAAACAGTCATAGCGCCCTGTGGTTTAAGGTCTCAGACCATTACTAGCACATACAAATGCACTGCCGACAGTTCCTTCGCGGTAGCTTTCAACCACGGATTCGATTGAGGCCTGCAATATAAGTTAGCGAAAGGGGTGGTTGAGATCAGGATCGGTCCTTACATATGTTCCAGGTCCAAGAAAGAAAAGGCCAATGAGGATCAAAGAAACATGGGCGAAAAGATCCACCCAACCACGAAATCCCCGCGTCTTGTAGAAGCCTGAACCGTAGTCCGCGTGGGACAGACGGAGACCGGCCACTCCCCAGAAAATAAATCCGAAGAAAGAACCAAACACGGAGCCCATGATGGACAGGAGACTGTTGAAAAACGGAATAACCTCTGCGACGACCCATGCCAAAATCCAGAGCACTAGCAAGATTGCAACCCACGAAGCCCAGCCCACAAAGGTATGATTGCCCACATGATCGGTGCCGTCAAATAACCGGAAGAAGATGAAGCGAGCGGAGACGGATGCATACAATACTCCTAAAAATAGAAGAGTCGGCACCATGAATGAGAATGAGACCTTCATGTAAAGGTCGTTGCCTAGTGAGCTAAACGCCATATCCTGTATGTACTGACTCCCAGTGAAGGCGTAGACAAGAGCGCCAAATACGCTGAAGAGTACAATTTCGGCGATCGTCACAACAGTGACAGATTTCCAGAAATCCTTGGGCTCTTTCATTTCCGCAATGAAGCTAGGAAGCGTTATCTGGCCGATGAAAACAAAACTGATGTTCAAGAAAGCCCCGAGACCTGCCGCAAAGCTTGTGCCAGGAGCGGGAATGATGCGCACGATCGGGTCTTCTACCGGCTTGCCTCCGGTGTACGGAAAGCCGATACCAGCGAAGACCACCACCAACAGAATCGAGATGAATGTAAAGATCGCCGAGAATGTCGCGATTTTAGACACTCCGCTGAACGTCCGTGGCAATGAACAGACAAAACAGGCCATTGCAGTAATGAAGGCAAAAGTAATGGTGCACACTGAATGGTCGGTCATGGTGTTCAGATATTCGGCACCTACCAAGCAATGCAATCCCTAAATTCAGGTTTAACTAGAAGTTCCTTACCCATTGTTTTATGCGAGCATACCTGGATGAAAGTGTTGTTCAACAAGAACATGACTGCTGTCGCGTACCAGGCAACTTGAGAGTCCCAAAACAGGCGCTTCCCAACGTCGCATACATCGCGAACATCAGGATATCGCAGACAGAAGCGCCTGTGATACAGTCAGATTCCCACTTCGCCTTAGAATAGAAAATACGAACCAAATTAAGATAGACGTATATTGAACAATTAGCGCAACGGCAATCGTCAGTATTAGCCCTGGAACAAGACCAATAACAGAGTATGACCATGGAAAGGACATTATGGCAATACAGATATACTCGGAAAAAAGCAAAGCAGCCGTCTGTGAGCCGGTCAGCGATCAGCTCTGCTCTTCACCAGCGAGATACTCACTTTCTGCCAACTGCACGTCCGATACTTGATGGTATTTAAGGACTCAATCTGGATCTGATGACCAACTGGATCGCTTACCATGGAGGCACCATCTGCCTTGGCTCCATGGCGACTGTCTTGATCCTCAAGATCGATCTCAGTCTTTTTGGAAGCAGGTTCATGTTCCGGAGCGCTTTCCGCAAGGTTGCGTGATTCAAAACATTGCCTCATTTTTGCACGAACACATTCCGTTGGCAAGCTTAAGCTGGGGCTTGGTATCTACTGTGAACCAAAGATGGGTCAGCTGGGAGATTCTTGGGGTATACTGCAAAGTGGCAATCATGAAATGGTCGCAAGTCGGTAATCAAGGTCGTGAATTAGGGTGACCCTAGACCGTTGAGCTCAAAAAGCGGTTGCGTGGTCTGTATTTAGACGAGTTGCTTCAGGTAATCCAGCCCGGCGTTGAATGGATATTTTCGTTGCAATGGGAATCATACGGCAGGTTCGAGGAGATCAAGGGGATGGCAATGAGGGGTTTTTCGGTGTGTCGGTGTAGCAGAAGTAAGGTGGGTGCTCGCATATTTGTTTCTTCGGTTCACGTAGTTACTGGGGGTGATCCTAACTGGTCGGGAATATCTCGCACACGCTTCCGGAATTGGTTAAGTTTTCCAGCAATTGCTTGGTCCGTTCTTTTGTAAATCCCCTGACACAGCCCGCCTCAAACGAAGTCTGTGCACCCAAAAGAAATTCCTGTCACAAAGTGCCAAGTTTTAGCTTCTTTTTTATGCCAATTGATGTGCATACTCTTGCTGAAATCATACTTCTTTTCAGGGTCAACCGGCCTCCTAACGAATCGTGAGTTGCATTATTGGTGCATGAACATGTAACGATAAATTCGCAGGGTGGAACAGAGGAAATAGCAGATGTAGATCAACACACGAGTTTGTGGTGCGGAGTCCATCATATACGAAAAGGGATGGAGCTTGGAGAAGCGGGGGTGGGTTTGAATACACCGTACGCCATAACGGAGGCTGTACTGTTGATCAAGTCGTGTGCCTAGCTTGGTAGTTTCATTTACCTGCCAAGTAAGATACAAATCATGTAATGAAAATGTATTCAACCTTCTTACTCGGGTTCAGGTTCCTGATCAGAAATCGTGGATCCAATTTTAATACCCATTATGGCTCTCCGTTCGCACTGAGGCGCAGCGATTGCACTTGGAGAAATATAGGACTCCATTCCACATGCACCAGGAGAAGGATCTAGGGGTGTGAAAAGAGCGGCTCGACCATTCGTGGCTTCAAGTGTGGATCTTGACCCCGATAATCCCCACTGTCGTTGTAGCGTTAATAGTCTTTCTATTCGATCAGCCCTGCAGTAGTTTGGAGACGATGTCGACGTATAGAGAGCTAGCTCCTATTCACAGGACTAAAGGCCCAAACAGAGACTATACGATCATCACTTCTATTGGATATTGCGTGACGATAGGTCCTTCGGAAGTCTTACCTGAATGCGTAGCACGGTACCGGCATGGCTGCCATGGTCAAACCTATCAGTGAGACAAGAATCACATACTTGCCCGCACAGTGATAGATGTTTTTAAATTCAGATATAGGAAACTAAGTAGCAAGCGCATCAAAGTCTTGGCTGCGTGGGAAGTGGCCCGTACTACTCACTCACGTACCGAGGACTCGATTGAATGTCACGATGTCGGTTCAAGAGTTGCAAAGTTGAAATGTCTCATGTCTCAAAATTCCAAGAAAAACTACACAATAAAAATCTCAACATAATAGAAGGCTGGGCTTTTGTGCTACTCAGAGCTATCTTGAATACTAAAAATGTAATGAAGAAAGATCTCCAGATGTTTTTGGTGTTTGAAGCACCGAACGAAGTAACTGGGTCTCTACAATCCCCGCCCGGAGTTGGATCTGCATAGCGTTGGATATTGGATCTTGTTAATTCTGGGATGGATTATTATTTAAACGATTTTTTTAAAAAAATCAAGTTATACAAAATCACAAGGGAGAAAACCCGGGGAAAATACTTGATCTGAGAGTCCACCCAACTTGTTTGGTGGCATGTCTTATTTGGCGACTATTTCAATTCTAATATCAATCTCGGGTTTCTGACTAGGGTTGAATACCGCTAGTTACCTGGTGCAATCATGTATGGTGACTATTTCTGAGTAAGGAATATAGGATTGCTAGGGAAGCCCGAATGAGTCTGGCACGGACAGTTGCCGATCATGACTAAGAAACGAGCCTCAGCTTGCAGCCTGGAAGACATCTGCCGGATGGTCGTAAAAAGAAATGCATCGGACCTACAGTCCAGAATTCTTATTTTATTGCACAAAGTAAATAGTATACGAACAAGCCAATAGAATCTTCCGTGGAAGCTTCTAACATGATTACAGTGGCTTGAACAAGCTGACATCGTATGCTGACGGGGCCTGATTGGACAGCTCGTTTAAGATGAGGCTAAATTTGGGGCCAGAACACTTTAAATATGCTGCCTATTGCTTCGCCCCGCTGCAAAGCTGCATATTCAAGTATCATAATCCTCGTAGAAAATAATGGGGAACATGCTATATGTACCTCGAGGAGCCAGCTGGTTGAAGATAATCCCCCATCCACACCACGAACATTCAATCCTTTCTACAGCCGTAGGTCAACTAAGAGTTAGACCTAGAAAATTCTTTTTGAATCCTTTTCCACCATGACCTCTACGGTAACATCTGCTGCAACAAGTACGAGTGTTTCGTCGACAGCTTCTGCCACTTGTGTCAACAACATTCCTCCTGGCAAGAACGGCTATCTTCCCCCAGAATCTTGTGATGCCGTGCTTTATTATGTGCCCTCATTCGCCGCAGCAATTTTATTCTGCGCACTTTATGGCCTGACAACTATCGTACATATAGTTCAAGCAGTGGCCTACAAGAAAGTATAGCTCTTCTCACTGGAGTCTTTAGTTTGCTCGGCTAACAATCCACGCAGGGATATGCATGGGTCGTCATCATGGGCGCTGCCTGGGAATTAGGTGCATTCGTCTTTCGTACACTACAAACACGGCATCAAAATAGCGATCTGTTCGACACAGGGTACACCATCTTCTTCCTCTTGGCACCGATCTGTAAGTCGAATCTTGAGATAGAATAAATCCACCACAGAAAGATTTGAATACACTAACATGAGCTTACCAGGGATCAACGCCTTTCTTTACATGACCCTCGGTCGCATGGTCAACTTTTTCCTTCCTGACAAAAAACTCGGTCGCATTAATGCCCGTCGCTTCGGACTGATCTTCGTCTGTCTCGACATTCTGGCTTTCATGGTACAATTGGGTGGAGCAGCTCTCTCATCTAACACTGGCGAGAGCATGAAGACGGTCATGTTGGGACTGCACTTATATATGGGCGGTATTGGCCTGCAGGAGCTATTCATTCTCTGTTTCTTGGCTCTGACAATCCACCTGCACCGAAAACTCCTGCAACTGGAAAGGAGCGGCACAGAGACTGATCTGCAAAAGCTAAGCCATGGCTCATATCCCTGGCGATGGCTGTTCTACACCATCTACGTTGCTTTGGGCTTGATCACGGTATGTCAGAAGAATCCCTTGTTGTGATGAGTTGTTGCTAACAATATTCTGTAGGTCCGGATTATCTTCCGCATTGCTCAATACGCACAAGGCACATCGACCAGTAATCAAATCCTCACCCACGAAGTATACGAGTATGTGTTCGATGCAGTGCCCATGTTCTTGGCATTGATTGTGTTGAATGTCTTCCACCCTGGCCGCATTTTGCAGGGGCCCGACTCGAAATTCATCAAACTCACTCGTGCGGAGAAGAAAGAGAAGAAGAGAACCGCGAGAATGGAAAAGGAGCGAAAGAAGAGAGGGAGCTGGGGAAGCGACGACTCCGCTTCCTACTCTCTTCAGACCCATGGCACCCGAGGACACGCGCCAGAGTATTCGGGTCACGAGTATGGGGTTTGAGCGATTTTCTGCATTCTTGAGCGAACATACTATAGAGACTTCCCTTTCTTGTGCGCAGTTCTTTGCTGCACCTGCAAAATTTTGTTTCTCATCTGAGAATGGGAGTTCAGATAAATGCGATAGACCAGAGTTGCTTTAATTTTTCTTGAATCATGCCAACCTACGATTTATGGCCCGTTCTCATTAACCTATCCATCTTGTGGCACCCTCCACATAGTAATGGGGTGGATCATCATCCAGTATTTCAAGACGAGTGTCTCTCTATACTAAGGAATCGGTAATGGTAGTACGGTGTCGACTTAGAATCTCATTTAACTGAGAGCCCGAATCGCAAATGTATGCGTACCCGACACTGCGAAAATAACGCCCGCACAGCTCGCTAACGGTCGGAACAGACCCGACGCCAGAGCGCTTCCAATTGCCGCATTGGGCGAAGCCCCCTCTCTGCGGAGGGCCCCCGCAATTGGTGCCACGACATTCAGGAGTGACGAAAGAGATGACTTCTGCCGCCGATTCGTGGGTCCTGGGGTGCTGGCTGCAAATCATTCCCCGGCTGGGGGTGTCGACTTAGGTAGTGATGTATACCTTTGAATGTAGAGCCCGAGGCATCAATGCCCGGACAAGATGTACTGATAGCACCGAGGCAAGAACTACATACACGCAATTCGATTGTGTTACAGCTACAAGATAAAGGCAAGGAAAGAATTAATTAGAGTATCAATCAGATTGATGCAATGCTCGTAAAAATGACGATATTCTCGTCGCATGATCTATGTAGACCCGATTTTCCCCCACCAACACCGAAGACTATGGATCAATCAAATCTTTCACAATTCAACAAATTCGCCGCGAAGGAGCTCGCCTCCTTTGATTTGATCTAAGTAGTCCGCAACCTTAGCTGTCAATGTCTCGATATCGTAGCCAAAGAACTTGTATGCCGCCTTGCCAGGCAGACTGTGACCGAAACGCTTCACAGAAATGCCCGCATCCGCGTACCGCTCCCAGCCGTTCGGCGCATACGGCTCAATAACCACGGCGGAGATACCCTGATGCCGACGAAGAGTATCACGCTTGTACTGGAGTGTCTGCTGCTCGAACAGGCGCTGGCAGGGGAAGCTGACAACCCGAGCAGTAACACCCTTCTCGGTCTTCAGCTTCTCGGCTACCTCCAAAGCAAAGGAAAGCTCGGCTCCAACACCGATTAGGGTTACTGAAGCTGATTCATTCTCCGAAAGAACGTAGGCGCCGAGTGCGACACCATCACGACGAGTGTTCGTAAGCTGGGGAAGGACTTGGCGCGAAGTCGAGATAATACTTGGGGTCTTCTTGGCATTGATAGCAGCGATCCAAGCACCGGCAGTCTCTTCGCTGTCGCCGGGACGGATATAAAGCAGGTTTGGCATGGCACGATACAATGCAGCCAGTTCAATGGGCTGATGGGTAGGGCCATCCTCACCCATGCCAATGGAGTCGTGAGTGGCGACATGAATAATCTGGAGATGTTGCAAGGCGCCCATGCGGACTGCTGGCGCGGCGTAAAGGTAGAACATGAAGAAAGAGGATGTGACGGGGATGATGGTATTGGGGGCATAGGCCGCAAGACCGTTGGAGACAGCAGCCATTGCGTGCTCACGAACACCCCAGTGAATATAACGGCCAGAGTAGTTGCCGTCGATCTTGCAGTTAGTGCGCAAGTCGGGCTACGGATAAGGTGAGTGGGAAGAAAGTGTTGAATGGAAAGGGTCAAAACTAACGTGCTGGAAATCTACCTTGCCGGGCCAGATCATGTTGACCGACGGAGATAAATCGGCCGTGCCGACCATGAAGGTCTTCAGCTCCTTCGCGATAGGGTTGAAGACGAGACCAGATGAAGCACGCGAGGCAGTAGGCTTCTCGGGGAAGTTCGTCGGGATGTACTTCTGCCAGTCTGCAGGCAGCTCGCCTCGCACACGGGCTTGGAACTCTGCCCCAAGCTCAGGATATTCGGTCGTGTAGTTGTTCACCAGCTGATCCCATTCCTGAACATAATTCTGACCGCGAGCTGGTAGCCCCTTGAAAAATTCACGAGCGGTGTCACCAATGACAAAGTGATCTTCCGGGTCAAAGCCATAGAGAGTCTTAATATCGGCAACACTGCTGGTACCATATGCAGCGCCGTGAGCGACGGCAGTGCCAGCGACGCTGCTGTCGAGGCCAATGACAGTGCGGACATTGATGAAAGTAGGCTTGTCTTTGGACGCCCGTGCCTGCTCCAAGGCGCTTACGATTCCCTCGATGTCGAAACAACCATCTTCGACGTCGATCACATTCCAGCCACAGGCACGCATCTTGGCGTTCACATCCTCCGTGTTTGTAAGATCGACGGACCCGTCGCAGGTAATCTGGTTGTTGTCATACATGACAGTGAGATTGTTCAGGCGAAAGTGACCAGCAAGGGAGATTGCCTCGAGGCCGACGCCCTCTTGCAAGCAAGCGTCACCAATCATACACCACGTGTGATTGTCAACAACATCATAACCGGGGCGGTTGTAGGTGGCAGCCAGGTTCTTGGTGGCCATGGCGAGACCAACTGCGTTCGCAATACCTTGGCCTAAGGGACCTGTGGTGACTTCAATACCCTCATGCTCGATCTCCGGGTGTCCAGGGCAAAGTGCATCCACGCGATCTGAGTGGTAGGACTTGAGCTGCTCGAGGGTCATAGCTTTGTATCCGGTCAAGTGTAAGAAGCTGTATTGGAAGAGACAAGTGTGGCCTAGGTGGTAGGAAGTCAGTTTGTTGATCTCAAAGCTGCAATGCCTGCATTTACCGTTGGAAAGAACGAAGCGATCCCGGTTGAAGAAGTCGGGAGTGTGCGGCGCATAGCGCATCACATACTTCCACAGAGAGACACCAATCGCGGCCATGCCAACGGCACCACTAGGACATAGTCAATCTTCCGATCACAAAACAAACACCACGAAATCAAACCTCAACATACCCAGGGTGGCCACCGCTAAACTGCTGGCAGAGATCTGCGATCAACAGACGGAATGTCTTGAGAACAAGATCATGGTCCTTGGACAGCTTCTGCACCAAAGGCAGAGCTGAAGGCACCGACTTGTGAACATGAACACCGTTGGTAACAGTCATGATTATAATACGGAGAATGAATTGACATGGGCTACAGCAACGGGATCGCGAGCTTCAAATACTCGGACATGGATGTCGACAAATACAACCCGTTCAGGCAGGCGCCGAATCGGGAAACTTGAACCCACTCACACAAAATAGGAAGTTTCAACCACCTCGCGTGGATCAACATGGCCACTTTGCCGACAGCATTCATGTACTTAAAGAATTATTCCTCTCCATGTCTTGCACTAAGAGCTGATATAGAAAGAAATCTTTGGAATGGCGCCGTCAGTACTTGTAGGTCAACCAGGCGAGCAACCCATTGCCATTGCTCCAAAACCGCTCAATAAGACGGTGATACAGACCTCCACCCCCAATCCATCGTTACAAGTGACTGCCGACCATCACTTGAAATCGGTGAACGCACCAGTCTATGCGCCCGGGCGAGGAGAAGTACTCGTTCACATCAAAGCCACAGGCATCTGTGGATCGGATATTCATTTTTGGAAGACTGGCCGCATCGGATCTCTGGTGTTTGAGGGTGACTGCATTATCGGCCATGAGGCTTCGGGGATTGTGTTAGAATGTGGTGAAGATGTGAACAATCTAAAGGCTGGTATGTATTCTCTTTTTTCGTCTTTTTATGCAGCAAGACTTTGCAGAGTGCTGATATATTTGGGCTAGGCGACCGAGTGGCCGTGGAGCCTGGAGTGCCCTGTGAGCACTGCTTCTTGTGTGATGAGGGACAATACAACCTTTGCGAAGACGTTCAGTTCGCTGGTGTCTATCCCTACCACGGTACAATTCAAAGATTCAAAGTGCATCCGGCAAAGTGGCTGCACAAGTTACCTGACAATGTCAGTTTCGCCGAAGGTGCTCTGCTCGAACCACTTTCGGTGGTCATGCACGGCATCAGGTCCACGGGGCTCAGCCTGGGACGGGGAGTTGTAGTTTGTGGTGCCGGTCCGATTGGCCTGATCGCTCTGGCCGCAGCTCGTGCATCAGGTGCGCACCCCATCGTTGTCACGGACTTGGAGCCTAGCCGGTTGGCCTTTGCCAGGGACTTTGTTCCTTCGTGCATTACCTACCAGGTGGATAGGAACAAGGATGCCCAGGGAAATGCCCAAGCCATCCGTGCGCTATTCGGAGAGTCTGAATACGTGGCACCGGACACGGTGTTGGAGTGCACCGGCGTGGAGAGCAGTGTGTGTACAGCGGCATACACTGCGAGACGAGGCGGCACCGTGATGGTGATTGGAGTGGGCAAAGCGATGATGAACAATTTGCCTTTTATGCATCTTTCTCTTGCCGAGGTAAGTGAGCCCTCCAATGGTTCTTTTTATATCAAATCGAGTACTGATATTTCTAGATTGACCTACGCTTCATCAACCGCTACCGTGACACGTGGCCACCAGCGATCCAGTGCCTCAGTGGCGGCATCTTGGACTTGAAGAAACTGGTCTCGCATGTTTTCCCGCTTGAAAAGGCCGAGGATGCTCTGCATCTCTGTGCCGATCCTCGCAACGGTACCATCAAGGTATTGGTGGTAGATGAACAGGAAGCCCGATTATAGACTACAGATAAACAATCAACGAATACACGTACGAAGTACCCAGAGCTGCTTTACGGGGCCCATGAGAAGCCAAAGTATGTTTTGACGAAGTCGAATCAGCATTAGAATACTAACGGGTCAATTTGTATTTTCCTTCAGAGCCGACCGGGCCAGAAGGAGGGTTCGTAGCCTATGGAAAGGCACATGGTATCATAGGACTATTCTCTAGTATGGACGCTTCGCGTGGCAGTAGATCGATGTGATGGGAACGGGGTCGTCATTGGAGTGGTCGCCGGGGCTTAGCACCGTGTTACGGCCAGTGCACAGTGGGCCGCTGGGAAGGTTGAGTGTCAGGGTCTTCGGGAATTGGTCGCACAAATATTGACTTACGTGAAAACACGGCAGTGCTTCTTGACCGAGATTGTGAAGACCTCCCTGTGATGGATTAGAATGATACCTGGAAGGTGTGAAGTATAGCGACATACTCCTCATCGAGATCGTGGCAATCCTCAATTGGTACATCGACACCGTAGCTGCGCTCTGAAGTCTCCAATCCAACCTGATCTACCTGTTAGTGTGGTCAATATTGGAACAGGAGGATCAAACTAACCATCGTCTTGTTTGGGTCCTTGGCGGAAACGGGTAGGAGCATGAAGCTCAGCAGAGCGAGTTGCTTGAGGCCGTACATGGTGCAGATAGCAGTCCGGGTGTCAGTGAAAGGTCGAAACCGGGATGTCGGTGTTTATCAAGAGACCTCGAAAGGGCTCCCTTGCATAGAAGGGCGACTGGATTGCAGGGGCGCCGTTGCAGGAGTGACTGGTTCCTGCAGAGGGATCGGAATGATCAACATGCCATCGTATCCCTCGTGCAACGAATCCATCTTTTTTATTCGGATGTAGTATGGTCTGTTTTCTAGGGTAGTGTTGGTGTAGGTGTTGGTTGAAGTAGAAGCCATGCCGAAGGACAAGGACAAGGACAAGGACACGGACAAGGACACGGACAAGGGTGTAGACTTGCCGGATTGAGAAACTGGCCGACCTGCCTCTTCCCCACACTTTCCTCCAGCTTCACAACTCAATTCAGTTCTCAACTGAACGAGGGCCCCGGCTCTCGTTCTAAGCAGCAATATCATGGATAGCGACTGGCCTGGATACAGACATGCGCCCGCATATACTCCCTCCGATTCGACCGATGGTCCAGCCTTCGCGTCGCCGCTGGGAACTGCCAGCTGGGGCCACGATGGGTTCTCGCATGACCCGGGATTCCTGGCTTCACAGGAAGAGCTGCGATGCATGCTCTTCACAATCGCACAGTCTGCAGCGCCAACACGGGCGGGGAGCCCCGCTGCACAGGGCCACGCGAGGGAGCTGCCGCACGAGACGGAGCGCCTACCGCTCCGACCGGCGCTTTCCAATACCCGGCGAGTGGAATACTTGAAAAACTATGTAGGCCAGGTAGCTCCATGGGTAGGTGTTTCGATCAGACACGGCACAATGAAGATTCAAAGAAGGGTTACGATCGTGCAGGCGAAGATCGTGCGCTGATGCCTTCTCCTTCTAGCTTGACATGTTCGACTCGCAATGCACCTTTCGCGTCCAGATTCCTGCCCTCGCTCGTACTTTCCCGGCACTGCTCTATGCGATTCTTGCCATCTCCGCACGCCAGATGGAACGAAAGGAAGGAATACGAAACTCCTTTGACAGCATCGAATTGTACCAGGAGGCCATTCGTCTGCTGAGCCCGCTGTTGCAGAACCCGGACCCAAAGGTCGTCGCAGCATGTGTGCTGCTATGCTGTCTGGAAATGATGTCTGCGCGTGCCCAAGACTGGCGCCGTCATTTGGAGGGATGTACTGCGCTCTTCGATGCCTTTGGGATCAATGGGTTCAGCAGCGGGTTGTTACAAGCAATCTTCTGGTGCTACGTGCGCATGGGTAAGCAACTAGTTGCTCTGCGATTGATGGATGTATTGCTAATGCGGTTATAGATGTATGTGGCGCTCTCATATCGGATGGCACTCAGAGCACCCTTCTTCGACCGAGCAAGTGGCTCGCGCCGGACTGCAATGAAGACGACGCTAGCCGACTCTTCGAAGCTGTTCAATCTCCAGACATGCAGGCTAACTATGCCGTCTATCTCTGCGCCAAAACGTGCGAGTTGGTCTCCGATCGCACCCAGTTCGTGGAGTTGGCGGCGCAGAATGAATGCACCGGGGAGACCTTCAATCATCGTTGGCTTCGACTCTGGGAGGATTTGCAACAGTGGATTCAAAATCGCCGACCGGAACTATTGCCAGTGCACACCACTCAGACCAAGCCATTCCCGCAAATCCTCTTTCTGCACTGGGCGGCCATCTCATCAAATCAACTGTACCACACTGCTTGCATTCTGCTTTTGAATATCATGCCAAAATCTCTTAAACTACAACCTGCGCCTACGATCTCGGCTTTGTGGCACGCGCGGCGAATCTGCGGCATTTCCCTGGCAAACCCACACCAGGGATGTCTGAACAACGCCATTCAACCCCTCTGGATAGCCGGGCGTCTGTTCAGTCACGTCTCCGAGCATGCGATAATCATCGACATCATTCAGAAAATAGAGGGGGAGACGGGATGGGGCGCCCGTTGGCGTATTCGAGATCTGGAACTTGCCTGGGGCTACCAAGTGCCTCGCAATTGGGGTTCCAAAGACTATAAATCACCCGCAGCTGACTGAACCAGCACTGGAAGTTGATGAAGTATCTTCCGAGCGAACTTGACGGTCTACATTTCAAGAAGGCTCCATTCCGCTCGTAGGTCTTCCGACAACCTCCCAGCATCCCACCCAGTGACCTTCTGGATGCGCTCGAACCCACGAATAATCTCTTGCTGCTGTGACTCGTGCGTCATGCGGCGGGACGCCATCAGAAACGAAGCCAAGAGACATGGATCCCAGCATTCGCGCCGGTCGTTATTAAGGGCAATGCTGCAGATGCGCTGCGCATGCCACAATGGCGACATTGTCACCGAGGTCAAACCATTGATCCGTGCTGTGCGTGGCTTGTTGTGAATCAAAAGCAGCATGGCCGTGTGGTAAAGTTGGTTGGCGAACACCCCTCCTCCACTTGCATAGAGCACCAGAGGAAAGCTCTGCCGCGAATCAGCTGTCTGGTCCTCAATCTCAAGCTCCATCATGGGTTGGAACCCTTGGGGGCGCTCCTGGTGCCATAGCTCCAATTCCTCCATCAGTTGCATCCAGGTTTGAAGTAGAGGGGATTGCGGGGATGGGTCTATACTATGCACAAATTCTACTGCTCTTGCGCAAAGCCAGAGAGGGCGATGGGCGAAGCAAAACACGTTTGCAAATGGATCAGCCTTAATATCTTCACCCGCGTGATAGGGGAAAGAAGGAGGAAGCGGAACTTGAATTTTGGTATCAGTAGCCAACGCGGCTGCGAGATCTGGATTTTTAGGCGTTGTCAGTCAAAAAGTGCTCTAGGCGCAAAATATTTGCTGGGACTTACCGAGTCTTACAAGCAGCCAATAAATCGCAGAAGTCAAGTCACGGCCAATTGCATGTGGAGCGATTGTTTCCATCAGCTCCTTGCCATAAATCCTCTTCGGCGACCATGCACGAAATATATCCGTGGTACAATTCTTCGCTTCGTTTAAAGCACGCAAGAAAATGAGGTTTGTAACGTCCAAGTTGATATCTGAAATAGACGGGGCCCCAACCGCCTTGTCGATTCCCGTACTTGATAGCTCAGGACGTTGCAGCTTTATCGAGGCCTCCGACAGAGCTAGGACAGATGCCCAGATTGGCCGCGATATCATTGCCAATTGCAACCCCTGGATTCCAAAGAGCTGGCCAAGGTCACAAATGTCCAACTAGTCATATCAGCTGTTCATTCTCTGTTTCGTATATAGTAAGCAAACTCACCCACGGGGCAACTTCGTAGCGAAAGTGGCGAAGTAGTTCGAGGGTCTCGATTGGTGATAATTCATGGCTCTGGTGTGACAATTGAGATATCTGGGCTGGAGAAAAGGCCGTTGCAGAGCCCGGAAACTTTGACGGAGTCATCACCTGGCCCATTGGCACTTGTGTTGGCATCGATGAGACACCAAAGTCCGATAACCTCAAGTCCGGGCCCAGCACATCACTGGTACTTGTTCCCAGTGCCAATAACCCAGCGACTGCCGACTCGTCATTATCGCTGAACAGTATTGTATTAGGCTGTGAGATAGGGGTCACAGAAGGTTCATCGGACGACCAAAGTGGCAACTCGACATCGGCTCTTTGCGTTGACCTACGTGTGGTTGGGCTTGTAGGTTCATGATATAGCTCTGGGGACTCTTCGCTCCGTGGGGATATCCCACCTTTGACCTCGCCAGAGTCGTGACTCTCCTGTTCAGGGTCTTCATTGACAAACTGTGACTTGATCAGCAGGGTCCTACATTGCAGTCTAGCAGCACGCACCCGAATAGCGTCGTAACTAGCAGCTGCAGTTTCGACCTCTGATGGCTGCACTGTCTGTGCATTCTTCATCAAAAAAGTGAGCTGCGGCCCGTATTGACACTGGAAGTTTCTGTCAACACAATTGCGACACCGCGGTTTGCCTTCGTCGCCTGTGCCTTGGGTGAGCTCTCGCTAAAATCACTAGACAAAGATCACTTACACTTCCGCCTGCGAGTCCTGCAACGCATACAACCTGTTCGACATCGCGTGAGCCGCCGGGCCTTTTGCTTCGAAACGTCCGCCATGGCTCTACGCTGTTGACGCTGGCAATGGTGGAGACGATGGGTAGCTGGAATAGGAAGGCGTACGCACCATCACGTGGCCTGAGTCGGCGAAACGCCTTTCCAATTTGGGATATCGGATTTCCCTTTTCGGACATCGCGCAGGAAGCTCCCACTCCGAAGAGCGTCCGAATGTACTCTCAAGATATGATCTGTCTGACCATTCTTCTCTTGCTTAATTTGATTCACAACTGGAAGAATTGGCATAAGGGACTGGCAAGCCAGTTTGCACACTATGGGAATTCAACGTTCTCATCTGAACACGATATATTTAACGAACTATTTGACCGATCAATCTGGAAGATTTATGAGAATCAAGTTATCACTGAGCTCGATGAAGCTGGATCCATGTGGAAATGGCCTTTTATTCACTCAAATATACGACCATGGCTGCATCAGCTTTGCTCCCACTTTGGCATCATCATCGCGGCCCGTATTGCACCGCTCCAACAGGCCCTTGACAGATGTCTGGGCCATACGAACAATCTCCATCTCTTTTTCTCGCCCTCCAACCGCCAGCTTGCCATCTTCTACTAGGATATCTCCATTCACCACCGTTATTTCCACATCACGACCGGTACATCCGTGGACAACCGTGGTGACCGGACTTACTGCATGACTGAAACAGTCGTCGCTCCAGGGTGCAGCCCCGAGTCCACCCCGCCCATACGGATCTATTACAACAAAGTCACCCTTCTTACCAACTTCAAGACTTCCAATTTCTTCTTCCAATCCCAACGCTCTCGCTCCGTTAATGGTGGCCATCTCCAATGCCACTTCTGCTGGAATGAGACTCGCGTCGTGATTGACACCTTTGTGAAGGATCCCCGCCAAGTGCATTTCTTGAAACATGTCATAATGATTACAGCAGGGCGCACCATCCGTTCCCAGAGAAACGTTGACAGGCGACGAATTAGATAACATAGATGGAACCGGAGCAACACCAGAAGCAAGCTTCAAGTTGGAAGTCGGGTTATGAGCCACCGAGGTCTGCGTGTCCGCTAGCAACGGAATATCAACATTGTTGTCGAGATTCACCATATGTGCCAGAACCAGTTGATGGGATGTTTTGCCGTGTTCAGGTGCACTCATGGGCTGGGGACAGAGCTTTGCATCGCGGATGAACTCCATTGCACTGCAACCGTATGTGTCGCGATAGATGACGCGATCGCGAGGAGCCTCCGCGCAGTGCATCGTGGCCGATATTCCCTTGCTGGAACATGTTTCGCCAAGCTGAAGATAATGCGATATTGATGTGCCTCGAGGTGTGCCTGCCGCAGCCCAAACGTGAATCCTGCCGTCGTGGCTGTTGTGATGTTTCCGGTGTGCATTGAGAAGCTCTGGTATGGACATTGCAAGCAGGTCGCGGTCTCGCGGGTCGGTGATTGAGAGTTGGCGATTGGTTTCTGTGAACTTGACCAGTTTTCCCTACAGCGCGCGAAATGAAATATTAGCAAGGCACTAACATCGGACAGGATTTGAGCATACAAGACAGCCTCTGATACCCATTTCACCGACAGCAGAACAGATCTGATCAAAGCCAGCGCGGTAGGTCAACATTGGGTCGAGAAAGCAGGTTGTGCCCGTCTTCAGCATCTCGGCCATAGTCAGACGCGCCGCATGGAACCCATCGTCGTCTTGAAAGACGGCCTCAAGGGGCCAAATCGCGTCGCAGAGCCAATTGTGCAGTGGCAAATCTTCAGCTAGCCCTCGAAGCAATGATTGAACAAGATGGGCGTGAGTGTTGATCAACCCTGGAATGATGATTTTGCCTCGGCAATCAACCTCCCTGGTGCCAGCGGGCAAAGCTTCTGGGTATGGACACTTTCCAACGGCGGTGATTCGGTCGCCCTCGACACAAAGATATCCATTTCGAATGATCTCCCGCCTTTGATTGACTGTAATTATCGTCGCGCCATAGAAAATCTTGGATGGAGGAAGAGAGACAGCATTCGCCATGATGACTGCAAATTGCGCGAAAAGTACGAGAGAAACAGAGAAGAGAAAGACAGAAGAATTTAGCTGAGGAGCTCGTCAAAAATTTCCCTGATTGATTGCCTATATGGACTCGTATTAAATCAGACCCTGATTCCTCCCAAGGGACTCTGGGGCGACAACGCGGAGACCCCAGAACCTCGGCCGACGCTAAGCAATCTACGTCTTATCTCCGCACTTTGATACCGATACACAAGACACTTGGACCATCGATATGATGCAAAGATACTGTTATCGTAACCATCGCCTCAACTGTCAAGGGTTCGAAGCTGGCTATATATCGGAGGGCATGGAAGGCCGATCTCCAGGCCATTTTGTGCCAAATGCCAGCAAGTCCGCAGACTCTCGAGACCATACTGCCTTAGACACCACCAATGACCATGGATGATCAACGGAGGTCGCCGGAGAAAGAAAATGTACATTTGCCGGTCACTACTTCTTTTGATTCGGGTGACAGGGAAACACAAATTATGGAAGTCTCGCCTATCGCCGAGACCCGATGGCAGTACCTTCGTCGATACTTTACCACAAGAGAGGGATGGATCGGAGACTACGTATGAGAGCTGCCTCACTTGTCATCTCCAAAGCTGACACGAGCATTCACAGGATTACGTCTATCTTGTGACCCCCAATATCTGGCCCTTGAACAAAAAGTACAAGGATTATGAGGCACCGTTCTATGGATTGAACGATGAAGTCCCCATCCTACTCACGATCATCTTGGGTCTGCAGCATGCATTGACCATGATTGGATCAGTAGTCTCGCCACCACTGGCGATTGCAAGCGGTGCATTTTACCTGTCGGCGGAAGAAAGCCAATATCTTGTCTCAGCGGCATTTATCACCACTGGAATTGCAACAGCTCTGCAAGTGACTCGGGTGCATCTGACAAAAACACCTTTCTTTATCGGCACCGGACTTCTCTCGGTGGTCGGACCAACATTTGATATCCTTGCAATTGCATTCAGTTATACCGACATGCGCTATTCAAATGGAACATGCCCTACCTCTTCCGATGGCTCCAAGCTTCCGTGTCCCGATGCATGGGGCGCCATGCTTGGTACCATGCTGTGCACTGTTTGGATTCAAATAGTGATGTCCTTCGTTCCACCGAGGACACTTAACAGAATATTCCCAAAGGTCGTAACAGGCACACTTCTTCTGCTTGTCGGGGTGTACTTGATCTCCAATGGAATGGAAAACTGGGGAGGTAGTTCTAACTGTAACGGTGGAACGGGCTATTATGCACTATGTCCCGACACCGCAGCACCGAAGCCACTGCCCTGGTAAGTGAAATATCTATCCCACTTTTATCAATATCAAAACTGACTCTCATGATTAGGGGAGACCCGAAGCTCATTGGTCTCGGATTCAGCGTGTTCGTAACAATAGTCATCGTCGAACTTTTCGGATCGCCGCTCATGCGCTCTGCATCGGTTGTTCTCGGACTTGCAGTTGGGTGCATAATATCTGGAGCAACTGGATATTGGTCGCGCGATAATATCAATGCAGCCCCGGTCGCAACGTTTCTCTGGGTACACACCTTCAAGTTGTCAGTGGATGGAGCATTGGTATTACCGCTGCTCATCATGTTTATCTGCGAGGCAGTCAGTTGCATGCCAGATATTTTGGCCACAGCCGAGATTTCAGGCGTGGAAATTGATGGTATTGAGTTTAACAGCCGGATTCAAGGCGGAATTCTGTGCGATGGCCTGGGTAGTCTGATTAGTGCCTTGGGTACGGGGTTGCCGATGGTTAGCCAGGCCGGAAACAACGGTGTGATCTCTCTGACTGGATGTGCTGTAAGTTTTCCCATGACCACAGGTACTGGAAAACGCTAATCCGAGTCAAATGCAGAGTCGAAGGGCAGGATGGTGTGCTTCAGGATTCTTGGTTCTCATGGGAATCTTTGGCAAGTTTGGTGCAGTCTTTGGCTCCATGCCCCCATCCGTGCTTGGAGGAATGCAAGTGTTGCTGTACAGCACAATTGTGGTCGCCGGTATCAGAGTTCTCAGTCTGGTTGAATTTACACGACGCAATCGCTTCATTCTGACCACTGCACTGGGCATTGGGTTCATTGACATCGTGTCAACCAGCTGGTTTTCGAAGATTTTGGATTATAGTGGCTCAAATGTGCGTCTGCAGGGCTTTGAGGAAGGTATCAACTTGATGGTCGAGACACCTTTCATTATCGCCGCTGTTGTAGGAGTCATAATGAATCTGGTTCTTCCATATGACGGAAACAAGAAAATGGACGGGCGTGAGGGACGACCAGCACTCCCCACCTAGTCATCTCACTTGGGAACCAATGTATCTACCGAATTAATTTGAATGTTACCCAAATCAAACGATTACTACCTAAGTAAAAAATGGAGCTTGTCAATTATGTTGTTCATGGGGACTAGGCGTTACGTGGTGGTAGCGAAACGAGACGGCCCGTCTCACGGACCGTCAGCTCACTACTGCACGGCCCGCCTCTTAAGTTATCGCATGTCGACACGGAAGACGGGCCGCGCAAGGTGGGTGGGATACAATGCCAATGCCTATATAATGCAATCTCCGCTGAAAAATTAGTGACCATGAATTTTTGTTTTTTTTTCATCTTCATTTCCCAATGGACAAGAACGAGCGCATTATCATCGTCGGAGCTGGTGTTTTTGGTCTCTCGACTGCGTTGCGACTGAAGGAAGAGGGCTACAATGCAGTCACTGTTCTTGACCGTTCCATGCCTCCTGTTTCAGACGGCTCCAGTAACGACATTTCTCGTATAATTCGATTCGACTATGGTGATCCTGTATACGCCGATATAGCCAAGGAGGCATACGATCTATGGAAGACCGACGACTACTCGGATGCATTCTACTCTGCTCCCTGCTTCTGGGTGTGCCAGGAAGGGACCCCAGAGGAGCCGATACAGCTTCGTGCGCAGGAGTACAGCGAAAAGACTAAGCGCGTCCTGACTGAAATCGGCCAGGAATGGACCGCCGTGAAGACTGTTGCAGAGGCCAAGCAGAGATTTCCTCAATTGACCGGAGAGCTCGCCTCTCCGGGATTTGATGGCTTCTATAATACTGCTGCTGGCTGGGCTGATGCCGGCAAGGCTATTGCCCGTCTCGCATCTCGATGTGTGCACGCCGGCGTGTCCTTCATTACTGGCCCCAACGGCCAGGTTGTAGACTTTGAGAAGGCCCCGGATGGATCGATCACCTCTGTCAAGACTTCAAGTGGTGTCGAAATTGCTGGTGACAGATTCGTTGTCGCTACCGGTGCCTGGACAGCCAGCTTGGTACCTGCGTGGAACTCGATGCTTGCAGCTGGTCAAATCGTCGGCTATATGAAGCTGGCGCCCGAGGAAGTCGTGGAACTAAGGGATATTCCCATCTATTTCAACTTCTCCACTGGCTTCTTCTGTTTTCCTCCTCACGAGGGCACTGGATACCTCAAAGTTGCCTGTCACGGCTTCGGCTATACCAACTCCAACTCGTCAAACATTTCCTCTCCACCCAGCAAGCCGCCTGCGTCGCGTGCCAACTTCATCCCGGAGGATGGCGTGACCAGACTCACATCCGGACTGAAGAGTATCTTCCCCCAGTTTGCCAACCGAGGCTTTGAGCGTGTCGGCATCTGCTGGTACAATGATACCCCCCACTGGTGACTTTATTTTGGACTACCACCCTGAACACAAGAATCTCTTTATCGCCACAGGAGGCAGTGGACAGTAAGTGAATGTATATTAGCCCTTTCTAATCCCTCTAGCTAACAACACCACCTTAGTGCATTCAAGTTTCTGCCAGTGTTGGGCAAGTATGCCGTCGGATGCCTCGAGCGCAACCTCTCCGACAAGTTGCTCAGCAAGTGGAAGTTCCCCACTCAGTTCCGAGAGCGCTTCCAAAGTAACATATTCACTGGGGATGGGAGCCGCGGTGGACCCGAGCGTCGTGAAATGACTGGCAGCGAGAAGGGGACTTTTGATGCTGCGTTGACGGCTTCTGCTCGCCAGGCTAAGATCTAAGGAAGCTTCTACGATGGAAATGGTCCACCAGCGTTCAGCCCTCTGCACATAACACGATACCATGAACATCATCTCATTGCGCACTCGTTTTCTCAAATTATCTTTATGAATATTGAAATCGAGTCATTTTTATACAAGGGCAACCATCTCAGGTGCCTTTTTCAGTCGATAGAATTTCAATCCAATGTCACTGCTACTTCAAGTCCAAATTCACAAAGTTTATCGAAGTACGTCGTAGAGGAGTATATCCTCAAGGCCTCACAGATGCTCAGTGAAGTCTCCAAAGATCATCCAATCAGGTATATCAGGAACGGCTGCCAGAGTGTTATTGCTGACGCGCTGTGAAAATGGCCAATCTGATGACGGCTCCTCTACCGGGTGAGATGCTTCTCCTATGAGAGTATGATGACTCTGAACAAGAAAATTGGGAGTATCTGAGCCTTGTCCCTGGACTTTCGTGGGTATTTCGTCGTCTGAATCCTGTCCCGGGGAATCGGGCTCATTTGTGATCGGTTCTTCATTGCCAGGAGCCAAGCGTGCAGTACTTGCTGGCTGTGTGAAGCTTGATGAGGTGAGATCTAGAATATCCCACATCAGAGACTCATCCTCGCTGGACATCCTCGGTAGGTTTGACGGGGTTGGCATAGTAGACAAGGCTCCGGAGAATCCGTCCTGATTATAGAACAACGACCCATAGTTTTGATGCCGTGCAGCTAGTTCATTCACCCTATTAACCTAGGCATGAAAAGTCAATAACTTTCTTTCGCTCATCCGGGCTATTGGTCATTACCAGTATTCTCATGCTCTCCCAGTGAGAAGAGAGCTCAGTCATAAAACCAACAAGTATACGATATTCCTCGTTCAGGAGCAAAGCGATTCTTGGATTCTTGTTCTCGGTATGCTCAAGCTGGATCGTAGCAGCTATCGCAGCCAAATAGCCAAAGAAAGGGTCACAAAGTCGCATATCAACCTCGGCCATTTCTTTAATAAACCGCGCAATCCACCGAGAGTGAATCAAAGAAGTCTCGAATGACTTTTGCAAGAAGGTTGCGGAGAAATTTCCTTTCATGTGACGGAGTTTGATCATCGTAACAAAGGGGTGATGCAAAAGACACTGTATTGAATGGAAGAGGAATTGAACGCAGAGCCAACTCGACAGATAAGGATGAGACTGTGGCTCTTCCCGAGCACGTCGTTTGAAATCGACATTCATGTAGCGATGTGTATCCGCGAACTGTGTCTCAAAGTGCATCCACTCGGACTCCAAAATTGAGAGGGCGGATCCAGTCTGCCATGGAGGTAGAGGGCTTGTCATGAAAGGCTCAAAGACCCATTCTGTGGCCTTGCCCCATAAGGCGTACAGTTGAACGAGGCAGGCCATAATGCCTTGATCAACCTTATGTCCTTCTTTGGTCGATCTTTTGTGTAATGATGCTCGGACTGTCGAGCTCCCCATGCTCGACGACGGAAAGAGGAGGGTGAAGTGATTGTCAGAAAGACATAATGAATAACTCCGCGACGCGTTGTAGGTCCGATCGAGCATGAAGAAAGCCCATGTTATCCGCCGCCTTGCTTCAGCTTCGGATCTGCTCATTTCTGAGAGGTTTCTGTCCTGATTGAGTCCAAGAAACTGGATGACTCGCAAGCCAATGGCCACGGACGCACATCCACGGTGTGCATTCCCATCAGCAAAATCTAATTGAGCATTCAGAAAGGTTCCTTGAAGAAAGGAGAGTCCTGTTTTTCCATCCTGGTACAGAGAAGATAGCAAATTCCAAGCTCGCTCAGCGCATACTTTGCCCGTCGACCTTTCACGGCCTACCAATCCAGGTGAATCGATTGAAAGGCGACAGGTGAGGGCCACTAACGGGTATGCGATATCCGAAGGCAGGTAGTATGCGTTATTCAACAGCCAACTCTTGTCGAATACACAGTATGGTCGGTCATGGAAATAGCTCAAGTAGGTTTCGACTTCGGCTTGGACGAAGGAGGATGGTAGAGGGGAGCTTGTAGATGTAAATCAGAAAATTTGTATCCGACATACAGTGTGATGTCTCGACATACCAAGAAGAGGCATTTTGGGCGTCGGTCGAAGGATCAGCGGTGGCTGGGATAGCCTCGTGTTCTCGCTGGAACTGATCGGTACATTCAGGCAAATACCCGCTCAATGCCTCCGTCGACGGCTTAGTCTGGGGAAGACGATCTCTGAAGGACGCAATATTGTCAATAGGTGATTTCCGTCTTCCAATAAAAGATTGCAGCTAACCGGAGAAGACCCGAGATGTCATTGAGTTGTTGTTCAATCTGCTGCAGTCGCCGCGAGTTCGAAGCATCAAAGTTTCCTGTCTGAAGGCGAGAAATATCAGAAAATGACCGTACCAATGTGTCAATGGGAAGTTGCAATTTGAGTATACAAGACGCCGAAAGATGTGTCATTTGGGCCCGGTTCACATTACGCACCTCATTGACTGGCTCGGCACTGAGATCTTGGCTGTGAGTCGAGGTTGCGCGATTGTCTCGCGCTTGTTTTGCAGCAGCTTGAGACCCGTACGCGCAGTGCTGTCCTAATCGCTGGCATAGCGAGCACGCCGGCTTCTCACCAGGGCAACGTGCCTTCTTGCGACTATGTGGAGTCTATGGTCAGCCAACTCTTTTTTGCGCTCGGCCGTGTTCCCTGCGGCAAATTGAGAGTGGACCTACCGACAGGGAGCGCACGCTTGACGGGTGCGCTTCAGAGAAACCTTGTGAATTGTATAGTTGTCATTAGAGGAGCTCATCTCACTGCATGGGACCGCGACACGAGAATTGAAGATCGAATGACGCTCGATCGGAGCTGAATCAGCAAGGAATGGAGAAACTCCGCGTGCCGTTGCGGATTAGGTCAGGCAGAGTTCGCCCGTCATCGTGGGTCCAGACTCCACCATGCTGTGCGGGGTACAACAGCAAAGCCTTGCCCGGCCGAAAAACAGAGATAAGACACCTTAGGTCCACAATTACAAAAGTATCATATAGGAACACAAAGGAAGCATTGGGAGCAAAGAAAAAAGATTTTCGTAAATGCCTACATAGTCTAGGAAAGCTCTAGCAGAGGACAACGATAACGAGGAGCTTCATGACTCGCTGGAATAAGAATTTAGGTCCGTGCAGTGGACTATGATACCCGATGCGGGAATGTGTCCCTTTTTTAGCCTTGCTAGGAGCTATCTGACACTCGGTAGCCACTCCCCGTCTCCGCCGGCAACCGGTAGCGAAAGCCGATACTTGGATATACTTCCTGGGGGATTTACGCGGTCCACTTCCTCTACACAGCATGAAAGCATTGTTTGGTTTCATCTTCCTTGTAGTGATGAAAATCGTCTTGGAGGAAGCCGATGATCCTCAATGTCTAACTTTCATCTGCGTGCAAAACACTGCGGGAATCGATTGGAAAACTAGAATTTACTAGGTCTCTAGTTGTAGGAGAAATCACCTATGTAGCTTCCTGCAGCCGCATCTACCTAGTCAAATAGTTCACAGGAACAACTATATATCGTCATCCCGCTCGGCTGTCGTGTCGGTCTAAAGTAACTCTCCTGATCGACGGCATGTAGACTACACGAACTGTACGTTGATGTGAATGAAAAAGTTGTAAGCACATTCTAAGACACGATCACACAGGGCAATGTAATCCGATGCTATTTGTCATGTCCTTTTCAAGGGTTTGTTGCATATTCAAAATTACTTCAAATGATAGGTGCTTTGTCTGCGAGGGTTGGCAAAATAGGATTAAAGCAGTAAGCTGGTTATGCATGACCCGGGCCTACCGATGGCATGAGATTCACCAATTGTGTCCGGTAACACAAACATGTCCCACTATTTATGGTCGACACAACCGCCTGCAGTTGACCTAGCACCCATAAGTTGACAGAGCAGGCATTTGTAGCAGAAGCAGTGACGTCGTCTGCCCGCACGGTGGTGAACTTAAGAGATTTAGCTCCAGTCACGCAAAGATAATGTCATAGCTGGGAGCCATGGCGATATTTGGTGAAGTCGTTCCCCGTATTCAGCGAGCCGGAGTATGCTCATGTGATCGGGATTGAGCTTGCATAAATTCATGCAGATGCATGTGGATCGTGGGGTTCAACTCGAAAGGGAAGCTTTCACGGTCGAGAGTCCCAGTGCCTTATAAGGTTGTGCCCTGGCAAATGTTGTTCGGGTGTCGGCAGTCATCAGCGGTGCTCCACAAGTGATCCCATGAGCTGTCTGGGCTTGCAAGGGAAATATACTGGCTGGGAGAAAGCGCAGCAGTGCGAGGGCATCTGGAACTAGGTACACCATCGGCACCAGGACATCTCAACTGACAGTGCACCACTAATTTTTTACAATTTTCGCTCAAAATAGCTAGTGCTTCCATCAATTTTGTAAACTATATTCCGCTGGTCATCGGGATTTCCAGGTCCAAATGTACCAGCTGACGTGAAGATCGGGGGTGTGAGAAGGTTCAAGGGAAAGGTTATCGCGGCCTTTTTGCTTGAGGTGAAGAATAGAAGAACTTGATTCACGTTGGTTGGTCTTCAAAGTACCCTTCAGGCTAGCTATTCTCAGAAGAAGTATCTCGATCTTTGTTTTATGGTAAGAGCAAGAATACCACAGTATTGGAGGCCGATAAGAACGGAGTGGCGGCATCCAAGCCGGGTGTGACGGCCACGGATGTCTCCCCGCTCTTCACTTACCTGCACTGATTGGAAGCCGCTAGCGCCCGAAATAGAACAATCTCCCGATCCTGTGATCGGCCCTTGTCTGTTGAGCCCCGGATGTATACTATGCTACCCCACTGAGAATTCAGAGTGCTATCATAATGATCCCGAAAGAAAATTATATATGATGTTGTTTGCCCACTTGAAGCTATCATCAGTTCCGCCAAATCGACTCCAAATTGAAATCATCTCCACCTAACACCACTTAATATGTCAGCGATGCTGAAGAGCTATCTGGGCTTCGGCGAAGCCGCAGGACTTCAAGCTGTTAAGAATGAAGGCTCCCCACTGCAGGCTATTCCGGCCTCATGGTATACTTCCGAGGAGATGTTTGAGCTTGAGCGACGTGCTATTTTCTCTCGCAAATGGCTCTTGACCGCACACAAGTTGCGTCTTCCCAGTACGGGCGACTACCTCCGATACGACATTGCCGGATACGGCTTCATTCTGGTTCGCGACCGCGAAGGCAAGATCAACGCATTCCATAACGTCTGTCGCCACCGTGCCTTCCCCGTTGTGACCGAAGAAAAAGGCACCTCAAGAATCTTCTCCTGCAAGTATCACGGCTGGTCCTATGGCTTAAACGGCAAGCTTGCCAAGGCACCTGGATACCAAGATTTAGAAGATTTTGACAAGAACAAGAATGGCCTTCTCCCCATCCACTCCCACATCGACGCGAACGGCTTTATCTGGGTGAACTTGGACAGTGCCCCCAAGCCAGAGATCTCATGGGAAGACGACTTCAAGGGCATTGACCTGCAGTCCCGCTTCCAAGACTTTAACTTGGAAGACTACGAGTTCAATCACACTTGGGAAACTGAGGGCAACTTCAACTGGAAGGTTCTGGCCGACAACTACAACGAAAGCTCCCAGCAGACCACCCGTGATGTTCCATCCCTGGCCGATCTTGGTGTTGAGGGTTCTGCCGACTACACCAACGCAACACCAGAGCAGGTGGTCAACAACCTCAAGATTGCCAGCACCTACTACTTCCCCAACGCCACGATGACCGTCTCGCCGCACTTTTTCTTCATGCAGCGTTTTGTGCCCACTTCACCCACCCACTGTGTCACGCGCTACGAGGTTTACCGCAACAAAAACTCTAGCGATACGGAGTTTGAGCTTATCAACCAGGTCTATAAGCGCGTCATGTCCGAGGACAGGGATCTCTGCGCGGAGAACCAGAAGGCTCTGAAACCTCATGGCGAGCTCCCCGCAAACATGGAGCAAGGCTCTCTCTATTTCCAGTCCGTGGTTCGCGATCTTCTGACTGAATACCGCGCGCGCGAGGTAGCTGCCGGAAAGGAGGTCTGGCCGTCTCGCCAGCCTGTTCCCGAGGGTGCCCTGACCACCCAGGAGGACATTGACTTTTGCACTAAGCTTGAAGCCCAGAGTCAGGCCAACAAGAGCGGTGACTGCTCTTCAAAGCCCGGTGGATGCTGTGGAGGAACAGCCTGTGGAGCGGTCACCGACAACGGGACGTCAGCCAACGAGACCATGGTTTGCTGATCTTGACATCTTTATTTCTATGATCGCGTTCAAGCCTGAAGATCTTTCTGTAATTAGATTCATTTCCCAGCATGTGACGAATAATGCCAGCTACTTCCATGACGTGTTCATCTTTCTCCAAATTGACTCCAAGTGGACTGGCTTCCCTACCAAGTAGAAAGAAGTTGTTAGGTCTGGAGTTGAAAGATAGTGAAAGATAAGACGTAACTATGAGATGGGCAATTCAAGGGTCGCCACTCGACCCCGCGCATCGTCTCTTGAATCCTTCGACTGATTTTCAGAGAACTCCTATTATTTCTTATCATCAGAATCGATCATCTTGGATCATGCCTGAACATCGCTAGTTTGGAGTCGTTCCTAAGATCCGTCACGATTGAATCATAAGTCGGTGTGGGTCTGGGTCTGGGTCTGGTACCGGTGTCCAATAGCCCTCGGCCGCACGAGGATCTGCGTGGCCATCATCCTCAGCCGCCTCAAAAATGGCCCTGCGCTTGTCATACAGTTCGCGGTGTCCACGCCGTCTCCTACTTTATTAAGTCAAGTCACCAATTTTTGATCTCTACGTGGCTCCAGTCATCGCATGTCTCAAACCTGCGCGGTCGCTCTGGTCCATGGTCCCATCGATTCCACCTGACTATTACGGCGATAAGCGTCAATCACCAGTCTCGTGGACACTCTTAGTTAACTTCCTTGTAGGTGGCTCATGTCCATGTGACCTATTCTTCTGTTGTCCGTAAGTTTGTCCGTCAGACTTCGGAGGAGACGGAGCAATATGGAATGAGGGTGCAAGCCACTTGCCACTCCTAGCCCTGGAAAGTGTATCTATTTTCAGGCCAAGTCTGTACTATGCGTGTTCCACCGGCAGATAAGGCTGGGGAAACTTTTCGTTAAATTTAAAGTCAGCGAGTGCGCGGCAGTCGAATGGTCATATCAAAGTTTAAACGGCCGCGCCTATTCGATCGGACGTTTCGTAGGCACTACAAGATCATAGGGCGATAAGGTGATCATAATATGGATCGGCGACCGGGATGTTTCAGATTGCTTTCAAAGGGTGTTCGACTTACGGTTGAAGCTGGGTAATTTTGCCTTTTTGAGAAGGGTTTAAAGTTACATCGACTAGTGTGAACACACGGGCCGTCTGCTTGCTTCTGACGGATGGTCATGGTGCAGGACACTAAGGCCCCTGCACGATCTAGAATACAGCTAGTCTTTCTTAGACTGTCCAGGCTTCTTCGTCTCCGCGGGTGACGCCCACTTGTTTGTCCAATGCACTTCCCCGCTCTTAATCACGCCCCCTCATCGTCCCAAACTCCGTTCCTGTTCTTTTATCGTTTCTTCACCCCCTCTCTGGTCATGTCCATTGTGGTCTTTTCTTGCCTGATCAGTCACATCGCGCCTCTACGGTTGTTTATTCCTTTATAATTCTGCTTAGCCTTATCCGCAGTGACCTTCCCCGCCCCTGGCCTTCAACACGTCATACCATGCCGCGCGATAGCAATCGGGGACGATTGCGTTCGCATGAAGCCTGCCTCAATTGCAGGTAAATTTCCCTCTTCGTGTCTTTGATAAATCCGCCATCTCACATTACCTAGGAGAAAGAAGACTCGATGCCCAGCTGAGAAGCCAGCCTGTTCAAGTTGTCTCAGACTGAACCAGTCATGTTTATACACCTCAGTGCCAAGGGGTTCTCGTAGTGGTCCATCGGTAAGATACTTGAACTTCGCTTTTGAGGGCCACCCAGTATTGATATCCTGGCTAGGCCGATCGGCTGGCATACCTGGAGGAGAAAGTGAATCTCATTTTGAGTGGTAACGGGTGAGTTTGAAACCATTCCCCCTACACATCTTTCCTTCCACAAACTGACTGATCCCTTATTCAGAAATCTCCCACCAGCAGAGCCGCAAACCCATCCCCCTACTAATGACATCCCCGACACCACTTATTCCACGGCCTCCTGTCCGTCATCTGGCGACATGGGTAATAATTTCAGTGATTCTTTCCTGCTTGGAATGGGCTTCGACGACTCGAAAGTCAACCCAGCCTCTCGAATATCGCATGCAGTAGACCTCTACTTCCAATACTGTCATAGACAACCAATATGGTGTCTGGATCGAGAAGAACTCAAGGATCCAAGCTATGTATCCGAGGAACTAGTTTGCAGTATTCTCACACTCACGTCACGGTTCTCGCAAGAACGCGATGAAATGTTACATTACGGTGATACTGCTCGGACACTAGTCATGCTTCGCATTGCGAATGGCACGGTCGAGCTCGAGACCATCGAAAGTCTCTGTCTTCTTTCATACTCCTCTTTCCTAGGTATGACACTGATTCTTGCATGACGATGAACACAGATCACTTACCAATAATAGACGGAAATGTGCCCCTTGGAAGATTTCACCTGGGCCTTGCACTTCAACTATGTCGCTCTGCAATGTTAGACCTGAATTCAACATACGGCGTAGAATGCCCCTCCATTGAACGGAAGAAGAGGCTCTTTTGGAGTCTCCAATCACTTGAACAGTGCTACGGTCAAATACATGGCTTTCTCAGCGTTCCAGCAGATGTTTTGCGTTCATTTTACACAGCCAACGGTGATGAGCCAAATCTTCAGAAGAACCCCGAGCCAAAGCCTCCACCCCTCCCAACTGATGAGATTGGCTGCTCCCTTCCAACCGACACTGGCATTTGGAGCTTGGCACTACACTTTGGATGGGTCTGGAGCCGAGTCAGATCGTATGTCTTCGACTGCGCTCAGAGCAGGCTCAAGGAACCGTGGCGGCACGATTCAACTTATGCGATGGTGCTGTCCGATTTGACGGAAATCGAGAATAAGCTCTCCATGTGCCACCGATACGACTTCGTCAAATTCTACGAGCGTCGAGCGGATGAGTTGAGAATGAACAGAGAATACTGGGCTCCCTGGCTCAAATTACAATTCACCTATCATTCCATATTGACCGTGATGAACCATCCCTTCCTTTATATCGTGGCTTCTCAATACAATCACAACCTCACGATCCCGAATACCTTCTGGAGGCGATCTTCGGAGCTAGTTCTTCTTCATGCTACTTGGGTCGTTCGTATGATCGACATGGTAACTGAGAAGAAAATGCGACTCATCGATCCATTCTTTGGACATGCAGCGGCTATTGCAGCAACAGTACACCTCTACTACTGCTGTGCCGCTGATCCGAGGTTAAAATTCAAGTCAAAAACGGATTTTGCAAAGTGCAGGCGATTCTTGAAAAGCTTCGTCACTTTTTCTCCCGCCTGTGACTCGCTGGTACGTCATTTCCCCTACTGGAAGATAACCAAAACTGACGGCCCTAGGATAAAACCCTTGATAAGATGACGCGAATTGCATCCGGATCCGAGAAAGTGGACTTTGACTGGGAACCATCTAAGATTCATCTAAGTATCCCCCTAATGTGGGATATTCTCCAAATCAACTGTACACCAGATTCACAAGACACATCAGCCTCTGGATTATTACACTCCTCGCTTACCCCTGCAGTCTTTCCGCAAGAGACGGAGAATCTAACCTCCACACTCGAAGTCATTGTTGCAATGTCGCCAGAGGTCAATGTCAACACGGCCGATGGAGGCTCAGCTGCCCACATGCCACCAAACCTACCACGCATGTCTTCCTTGCCAGTCTCGCCAGCAAATTCCAACCCGGCATTGGGAGAAAAGCTCATGGCACCTGCAGACAGCCTTATGGCCAACACACCTTGGTTATGGACTGATCCTACTCAATTTGTTGATATGGATAGCATTGGCTACGCCGAGTCGGAATCGGCTACGGGCAATGGCGATGGCTTTTCCACCTGGTGGGACTTTGGGAATTTATAAGAGTATTCAGATTCATTCATCTTCATTCCCGCTTGACGAGACTTTTCAGGTCCCAAAGAAAAAAAAAGCCCAATATCGCTTATTATTCGGAGGCAATTCAAGCCATTCGCCCGCCGCGACATCGAACTGAAGCTCTAACAACTAGCGCCCAGATGGCCCTCACGCGAACAAATCCCCAATATTATGCCGCAGCGACCGTCTTCAACTTGTCCTGCAACGCAGCAAAGTTTCTTTTCATCGCATTCTCCGTGAACTGAGCTCCGGTGACCATGGGGTATTTCTTGAACGGGCCCTGGATCAAGGCATCCTTGCAGGGCTGGTTGAAGTAGGCGATACTATACCGATCACCAAAATAATCCCCATTCTCACACGGCGCCTTCACGCGATGGAAAGTGGACTTGAAGCGATCGTCCGACCATGACATGAGTAAGTCCCCAATATTACAAACGATCTCCCCCGTCTTCGCCTCCAACTTGGTCCACTCGTCCCCAATCCCAAACTCGGTGACCACCTCGCGCCCAGGGCAGATCTCGAGCCCACTCTGTCCTTCTTTCTGAAAGAGTAGAGTCAGGAAGTCCCAATCAGCATGTGCCCCAGCGCGATGATACACTTTGCCATCGGCCTCCTCCGGCAGCGCAAAGTAATGAAGTAGCCGCATGGTGGTTTGCGAGTCCGGTCGTGAAACATCATGACATTTGATGAAGAAGTCATCGGGGAAGCCCAAGCCGCGCGCAAAGCACCGCATTAGACATTCTGAGATTTTCTGCACCCGGTGCATGAACTCCAGGGAGGTAGCTTGAAACCCTGCTAGCTGATCCTCCCCAGCCCAGAGGCCCTTCATGTTCTCGCCAAATTGCAGCTGGTAAGATTCTTTGCTGTCAGGCTTTCCAGTAGATGGTCGAATCTGTGAGTTCTTTTCCCATCCCACGTTGTTTGAGTTCCACGGCACGGTCGCTTTGGCGTCGTCAGGTAGGTCGAAAAAGTTTTTAGATGTCTGGAACATGGTCTCGATGTCTTCTTTCGAAAGACCATGATCGATCAGTGTAAAGAAGCCGACTTTCTCCGCAGCATTTATGAGCTCGGCCGTGATTGTGTCGATGCGATTTTCAAAATTAACCAAGGAGATTTGAGGAATCTCGCGGCTGACATATCGGGTCTGAGACATAATGTTGGATATCGTTCGGTTGTAGGGCCGACCTGCCAGGTGTCTAGAAAGAAGGTTTGACGAGGTTGTTGGATGAACTTTCCTCTAGAGACAAAGCTTCGTAGATATATAAATGGAAGTTTCTTTAGACCGATGCTTGGCCACACACGCATGGCCCCGCCTTACTTATCTGCCAGTTCGGCCGACCCCTCAAAAGCTCGGCCGAGGTGGTGGTGTGCGGGCGACCTATCAAATTGAGCAGGGAGTCATGCAGTCAGCGAGGGTGCATATTGAAAGATAGAGAGAGATTAGAGGCAACTGAAACCTGATGATTATTCACGTAACTTCGGAGGAGCCGTAGTTATTCGCTCAATAGATACATTGCGAGATACGAAAGACCTCAAACGGGCATGACCGTGTGCTTAGCGCTTAACCTCACTTGGGAGGGACCTTAAAATGTTCATCAGCATTCAAACACCCATCTCCAATTTTTATGTCCTGGGCACATTAGCTCGCTAGTTAATCACATAATTTCGTCCGTGTAGGGAGACCGGCCCCTTGGTATTTGATGGCATGTGAGCAGGTAGTTTATTGAGCATTTTCTTACCAAGTGCTTTACAAATGGCGCCCATAAAGTCCTTGAATCCATACGTACAATGAAGCGTTACAAGGTTCACGCTATTTCAATATAATTTCCCAGCGACGATATATCATAGGTGTCGAGTATGTCACAGCAGAAGAAAATCAAGCAAACCAATGATAAGACAGATAACGTAGGGCACGACATATTTATATCATTCCGGTAAGCGCTCGGTATCCCATCTGAAAGCACTAAAGTCTCACAAGGCTCCTAGATGGAAGGTTAGTAACCAATACTTGTGTTTGATTGTGTTCGATGAATACCACTCTTCAGGTTGAGACCCCGCGTATTGCTGGACTGATACAGGGCACTAGCAGTGAAACCTGCGTTCCTAATCTATTGACCGATCAATATAAGGCAATCGTTTAGATAGTTGAACGCGAGTATAAACGGTGTACATGCTATGCTAGTCGCGTGCCATGGAAAGTAAACAATCCACTAACAATTGATGAACAAAACAATGTTAAATTTCAACTCGAGATGACTTGACCTTCCAGATATTGTTGTGCTAAGGCACCATTCTGGCAATCCCGCTCTGTGATTTCTGTCCGTTTCATGATGAAGAAAGGATGGAGCTATGGCGTTGTTGCAAACGCGGATATGGAGAAACACTTGATCCGCCTCGCAGCTGCAGCGAAGCGATGCGTGCGCAAGGTGATTAGCGCTCTAGTGTGTCAATAGTAACATGGAAAGGTTTTTGGTCGACAGAGTATGAAGAAGTAGGATTCTGTCTTCTGGTTAGTCACTAAACTACTGCTTTTTATATCAGCATTGGCGCACTACGGCGCCAATCACCGCGGTAGTGTCCCAACGCGCCTGGAATCCCAGAGCTGCTCCCGATCTTGGAAGGCGAAATTACAATCCAACTCGCTTTAGCGACCCCGAGGCACTGGACTGATCTTCAATCAACGCAACACCGCGTCCAGTCGGGCAAGCCGTAGGATGTCTCCCAATCGCGACTCCCTCACCAAGGGAGAAAAATCTCTTCAAGATCACTCCAACCTGCTGCCGCGAAAGCAGCTCATACTCTGCTTGAGTATTGTTTCTCTCGCCCAACTCATCTCTTTTATCGATCAAAATGGTATTTCCACCGCTCTGCCTACCATCGCTGCCGACCTGGATGCCCGCAACACCATCTCATGGGCTGGAACCGCATCTCTTTTGGCCAACACGACCTTCTCAATGCTCTATGGGAGGTTGTCAGATATCTTCGGTCGCAAAACTATCTTCATCTCAGCCATTCTACTACTCGCGATCGCGGATTTAGTCTGTGGCTTGAGTATGAACGCGACCATGTTCTACGTCTTCCGCGGAGTCGCGGGAATCGGCAGCGGCGGGATCACAAATCTTGCCATGATTATCACTTCCGATGTTGTCACCCTGGAACAAAGAGGGAAATATCAGGGGATCATCGGGAGTATGATCGGCCTGGGTAGTGTCACCGGCCCCTTCCTGGCAGCTGGTTTTGTCTTGCGATCGACGTGGAGAGGGCTGTTTTGGCTTTTGGCACCGCTTGGAGTGTTAAATGCACTGGTCGCATTTTGGTTTTTGCCGTCTAAAAAGCCGACTATAACCTTCAAAGAGGGAATGAAGAAAGTCGATTACCTGGGCGTGTTAACGTCTTCGATCGGAACGATCTTCCTGCTGATTCCCATCTCTGGAGGCGGCGCATATTTTGCCTGGAGCTCACCACTGGTGATCAGCATGCTTGCCATCGGCGCTTCATCGCTGATTTTATTTGTTGTTGTTGAGTGGAAGTTTGCTAAGATCCCCATGATGCCAGGTAATGTAAAAACCAGATCTTCATTGGTCTCCTAGCTGACAAGGCTACAGTTGCTGTCTATGGCAGACCTGCGATCGTCATTTTGCTGGTTCAGAGTTTCCTTCTCGGTGCTGTGTACCAGTCAACGGTCTATTACATCCCTCTCTACCTTCAAAATGCACATCGGTACTCTGCTATTGTCTCTGCCGCTATCTTTTCTTCTCTTGCCGGGATTCAGGCCATCATGTCGGCACTCTCCGGTCTCTGCATCACCCGATTTAAGAACTACGGACAGGTCATTCGGTTTGGTTTTGCAATGTGGACGCTGTATGTTATTTATATACCCTTGATCAAGATGAACACTAACAATGAATATGCAGCGGCGCAGGCCTCATGCTAATATTCGGGAGGGATACCAATGCGGGTGTCCTCGTCATTATCCTACTTATTGCCGGCGTCGGCGTAGGCTGTGTCTTCCAACCGATGCTAGTGGCTTTGCAAGCGCACTCAACAAAATCCAGACGCGCAGTCATCATTTCAAATCGCAATTTCAACCGCAGTGCTGGCGGTGCATGCGGTCTCGCCATTTCGGCGGCCGTGCTACAGGCACAACTTCGGTCGACTCTCCCAACACAGTATTCAGATCTCGCAGACTCGCCATATTCCTTGCGTGATTCCAATGACTCTATTCCCACATCTGTGCTGGATGCATACATGTCTGCCAGCCACCTGGTTTTCATCATACAAGTCCCGCTGATTGGTGCATGCTTTTTGGGCTCGTTGTTCGTGAAGGATCGAGGGCTGGCCCCATTAGATGAGAAACCAACAACGAGCAATATTCAACCTGTTGGCGCAGAATCTGGAGGTATACAGAATACCGATGGAGAGCTGCGACAAGTTGAGTCTCATAACGGGGAATCCTACGAGGGTCATAGCAGTGTGGCGCAAAGCAAGGATAAAAGGTCTTAATTATAATATGGTATATATTTTCCTATAGATCTGTAAAAAGATGCATGTCATGTTCTGTCTCTTCATTTTGACCTTCTTTCCTTTCAGTCATCTTTGCTCGGGGCCTCGGCCGAGGCACCAGATAAGGAAATTCAAGACTCTGATTCTCGGGAATCACAGTGGGAATCACAGAAAAGACCGGAAATGGTCTGTGTAGCTAACCATCAATAACTGGACCTCCTAGGACAATATTAGCTGGGCATAATCACGGCGTAATGAAATGAAGAGACAAGAAGCTGCCAAAGATAAGGTTGAATTCGTAATCGCGGTCTTCTCCGCAGATAAGACGTAAGATGAAATGCCTCCACTTCCACTCTTCATCCTCTCGAAATGAGCAGCGGCATTCACCGAAAGCGTTTGGCTTGCGTGGAATGTACTCGTCGTAAAGTCAAGTGCGACAAGATTCTTCCATGCCGTAACTGCGCCAGAAAAGGCACCCCATGCACTCGGCCGCGCGAGCGGGCTTCCCCGAACCCCAGTGTTGCTGCGTCCGAGGGACATGAGCGGCACATTTTTTTTCGGTCGAGCGCAGATTCTCCACAGGTGATTGAGAGGCTTCAGTCTCGGGTCAATCAGCTTGAGTCGGCGCTGAAAGAAGCTACCGAGACCGCATCACGTCCGACCATACCGAGGCCCCAAGTGCAGCTCAACAGCAATTCATTCTCGCCGGCCGAGTCAGTTCCAATCGAAGCCTCTCCGAGAACTCCGCCTACTTCGACTCCCACGGTACATACGATACATACCGAGGCAGAGAATACGCCGAATGAAGTGGAAGATGCAGCGACAATCCTTGAATTTCTAGCCTGGGGTCGCCGCAAGGATCCCATTTATCATGATGAGATCGCAAAAAGAAACAATATTGACCATTCTCCCGGTGATATCCCGGCGGAGGATGACTGGGATGATATCCGCACGCAGCGGATATCCGCAGGATCATTCTCTCAGGCCCTACTGCCTACGAAAGCAAAAGTCTATCAATTGGTAGATTACCACTGCACATGTTTGCTATGGTACCATGGGGCGTTTCACGCAAAGACCTTCATGCAAGAGCTTAACGAATTTTATGAGAAGGGAGATGGCCGCGTCGATGGGTCCTGCGTCAATTTACAATGGGTATCCCTTCTGTTCGCTGTCCTCACGGGGTCCATGGCTAGTGCACCGTCGTCAATGGCACAATCATGGGGATTCCGAGGACGAGAAAGAAACTCTCTCTCTAAGCGCTGGCTTAAGGCCTCGATCGCCTGTTTGCATGAAGCCGATTACATGGCGTGTCATTCTATCTACTCTGTCGAGGCAATAGCGACTCTTACTATATCCGCACACATGCTTGGCCATTCGAATGGATTCTCGGTACTCCTTGCCTCGGGTGTTCGCATAGCTCAAGGACTTGGACTTCATCAACTTGGCGAAGAAAGTGATGCTCGGGCGACCGATGTCGTAGGTCGAGAAGTTGGCCGGCGTATCTGGTGTCAGCTGTGCATTCAAGATTGGTTTTCAATTCCATTCACCGAGAGCTATTTGATTCATCGGCTAGGGTTCAATACTAAGAAACCGCAAAACTGCAACAATGATATTTGCAGTCTTCCAGAGGATCATCCGACCGTGACCAGCTACTCGCGTTTATTCTACGAGATTGCAGCGCTGATGCCAGATCTCCAGGATGATGTCACCTCGTGCAACACTTTGTACACCAAATATGAAGAAGTCCTGAAGTACGATCGACGACTGCGCACTTTAGCAACACAGCATCTTCCATATTACTTGCAGAATGTACATTTGGATCCAGCGTGGCCGTGCTACGTGCCATGGGCACGACGCAGCTTGGCCATCAGCTCTGCGCACAAAGTGATCATGATCCACCGAAAGTTCTTGAGCTTGAGCTTCGTGAACCCAATGTTCGAATTCACTCGCAAAACGTGTGTGGCGGCCTCAAGAACAATCATCAAGGAGCAGAAAGAGGCTACTCGAGATGGTGGGCCGATGTTGTGGATTCATCAAGCGTTCAGCGTCACTGCAAGCGTAAGTCATGAGTCTATATATCAGTACCAGGTGGATAATCTTCGGTGAACTAACAATCAGAAGATCATTTTGTGTCTAGAAATGTGCCATCAGCCCGGCCCAGACCGCCAATCCGCCGAGCATCGGCAGCTCATTGAGGATGGAATTGAGATCCTTACACACTGCGAGTCCGACATGATCGCTCGACGCGGTGTCTCCCTCCTCAGAGCAATGTTGGACGCCGAGCAGAAAGGATACAGAGAGAGGCAACAGGTCGCAGAACTTCGCGGGTCACAGTTGCTTGGTGTGGACGCATCGCGCGACGGCATGGACATTGCAGGTATTATTCGAACATTTTATCAACGGGATCAGGCAAGTTCAGCCCGACCGATGCTTCCAAGTCGACCACCATGGAAAGCGACCGGGCATGAACATTGGAGTGAAATGACAGGTGATGAAACGGGCATGATGCCAAATGTGGATTTCATCGCGCCGCTAGGAGTTGATTATGCGGAAGGGCTAGATGATATCCTAAGTTTGGCAACTAACTACCTTAATTAGATTATGAGTCTGACGATGACGATGAAGATGATGATGAAGCTCAGTTACGAGTATTATGTATCGGGTTCTTTTGGGCAGAAGGCCACGGTGTATATCCAAGAAGCTAATTAAATATGATATGTACGCGGCAATGAGGGAGGGACCTGCCCATATCACAAGTCGCATGCAACACTTAGCAATCCAAGTTCAAACAAAATCGCCAAGTGAAGAGTCTATCCCCATATCACAGTGAATCTTCACTGTTCCTTGCGGACCTGGGTGACGGGCGCTTCGTAAATGCGGCGACCGTGTACCAAGTATTGGACAATGGCGAAGATGACCACAACGCCAAAGACAAGGATGGACCAATTCATGCTGACGAGTGTTGGGTTGTTGGTAGTAGGGAAGAAGGTGAAAATAATGGCGAAGCAGAGATATGCGACCGAGAAAACGTTGATGGCGAGACCGAATTTGCCGAGGGAGAAGCGGGACCGGGGAATACCACCCGGTTGGAATCGGGCGCGAATGAATGCGAGAATAGAAAGGATATAGGTAGTGAAAAGAGCGGCAATCATGACTGAAGCGACCGCGTTGAAGGCTGCAGTGGAGCCGATGTTGATCAAGCTAAGTAGAACGGTGATGATAGTCGAGACCAGCACGGAGACGGTGGGGATCTGAGTGCGCTTGTTGACATGAGCCAAGGAGCGAGAGAAGGGAAGCGCATTGTCACGAGCGAAAGCGAATGTTTGTCGAGACGCTGTGGCGAGAATACCAATGGCACTGCAGACTTCCATGATGAGGATGATTGCGGCCACGCCGTTAGTGGCACCCACCGAACCGGTGGCATGTTGAACGGCTGTGAGAAAGGGGAAGCCACTGCTAGCGCCCAGAGCGGCCTCGAGGCTGCCCATGTTGTAGAGGAAGGTGATCAGCATGATGAAACCAAGACCACCGTTGATTAATGCGGTGGAAACCATGCACCAGGGCACGACGAAAGAAGCATTCTGCACTTCCTCGGCTAAGGAGAATATTAGCACTGTGATACTTCGAAGGCACTGATTTACTAACCCATGTGAGTAGCGGCATCGGGGCCAGTCCAGGAGAAGATAGGAGTCAATTGGCCCACCAGACAGGCTAGACCTACACTCGACCAGCCGCCCGAGTTGGTGAATTCTTGCCAAACAGTATACCCAGACGCCTGCTGCGTCCCAGAGGACATTCCCCAGATGACGGCCATGACAGCAACAAATCCGCCAAGGTGAAGGAACAAAATCACACCTTCCAGAGGAGGCAGGAACTTAGCCCCGTAGGTGTTCACCAGGGTTCCGACGGCCGCAATAGCAATCGTCAACAGGGTACCGTGCCAGCGCTCGAAGCCATAGACATAGCCCGAGTCACCAGAGTAGTTGAAGACGAGCAGGCCCTGGATCAGGGTACCGCATAGGAAGCAAATACTGGCATACGCCGCTTGCCAGCCCAAGACGGACAGCCATCCGGTTAGATAGCTGAAGAAGCGCTGGTAACGGGGAGCGGCAAACTCGCTAACCCAGTGATATTGACCACCGCTCGTGGGCGAGATGGAAGAAATTTCCGCCATCGACACCACCGAGGCGAAGAATCCCACAAAGGAAGCGATATAAACGTAGACCATGCCGGCGCGGCCACCGTCGGTCAGGCCATAGGCAGCGGTGCTATAGGGGAGTCAGTCGGGATCGACGAGAGGAATCGAGGAAGCTCACAGTAGGATCGATTCCCACGAGGCCATTAACGTGGTAGTCAAACCGAAGATCGAGTAGAATTTGAAGTTTCTCTAGAAGCTGATCAACGCGCTGCTCCGTCAGTCCCCGCATGTGGAACTCACCTTAAACTCTTGGACCTTGCCCATGCGCTCCATGTCGAGATCATCCTGCGCGCCTGCATCCAGGCCAACCTCGTGGGCGACGATATCCTTATCTCCCGCCATAGTGAATGTATAGTCGGAGCGAAGAGAAGATGCGAAAGAGAGGAAAAAAATGGACGATCGGGAAGTTTAAGGGGGGTTCTTGCGCAAAAGTTGGGCCTCGGGGCCAATCACGGGACTGCTCGCCGGCATCGGTGGAGACGGATGAAGTCTATCGTGCGCAGACCAATTTGTCGATCTTTGCAGCTCTCGGTCTCAGAGCATGTCTTGGACCTGTCCTAGCGTGCGCTAGGACTCTTCTCCGGCCCGGATACTCCCTTCGAATATAGTGGTTCCCTAGATTGACCTTCCTGAAGCAGTTTGGTGCTCCGGTTCTCCAACCCGTATCTTCACTGATGAGATCCTGGGGGCAAGGCGCCCACTTTGCGCCCAGAACCATGGAATGCTGATAGCTTCCCAGCCCCTCTTCGCTGAACCCTGTCCGTGCAGAAATAGCTTGCGCCCTGAACGTTCCAGGTGCGAAGCAACGAGTTTCTCTGTACATGTGGCGTCCTTGGCGCTTCTTCACTAACCAAACTTTGCGCCCGCACCTGTACAGCGCAGTACAGCGCTCGGGGGGAATATTCGAGGAATGGGCGGGTGGGGCGGCCGGTCCGATCCAGGTAGGGAAATTGAAACAGGACAGGGAAATCAATTCGCGTGCTAGTCTCAGTGGTGGAACCATTGGCTCGCACGGTTTGTTGGACTCGGGCCGCGACTGGGTCTGGACGATGCAGAAGTACGGAGTATGGAGTACGGGTGGAACTCGGCTAGTTGGGGCAGCCTTGAAGCGGGTTTTGGAAGATCCCTAGGGTCCGCTAGTAAGAGATCGAGGTGAAAATGTAGATTTAGTATAGCCGTGGTGGCAGCGTGGCTTTTCTAGAGGGGATGAAAGAGAAGCCATACACTTCCCATGTATATGTCCGGGTGGTCGTTCAGTACCCGAGTCCAAGCTGTCATCTCAGCCTCGAATAATGTTTCTGTTGTTTCATTCAAATCAATTCCCGCACTTTCTTTCTACAAATACCCGCGAGATCTGGAGTAGAGAAGACTCCCGACTGAGATAATTCACCACTTGAGTCAATTCGTCAATCGAGTCTTTTGTTTTGTATCGCTCTCATTGAGGTTCTTCCGTATAACCTTTCTTTGCGTTCGAATAAGGGATAAGCACGACGGTTATTCGGTCTCTTGCTCGGACAATCCGCGGCCCGTCGAGGGAAGCAATTAGCGCCACAAAGCCCCTTGTGGTATCGCCTCCCGCCGCGAACGAGGAGAACTTATTCCTTACAGTTGGCAAATCGTATCTTAGGCATTGTTTTTTTTAATCCAGCACTAGCAATAGCTCGTGCACTAGCGATGGCGCCTCATAGTCAAGTCTACGTTAGGATAGTGGGAATAGGGATGGCTTGTAAAATGAATATGCTATCTTGTACTTTGTAGAATAAGTTTATACCTCGGAATGAAAATTGATAATAATAGGAAGATTTGAACTATTTCGCGGTGAAAAATATTATATAACCTCAGAGTCCTGAGTCCTAGTCAGCTAGGTACCCACAAAACATTGGCTTTGACGGTGGAGCGAGTATTAATAACTAAATGTGCCTTAAACAGACACAAACAGCGCGGATGCAATGACACTCCGCTCCTTATATATGTTTAACTTCGTGGGAATCACAACACCCTCGGAGCGAAAACATTGAAATGGCCGCATGAATATTACTTACCACGAATCGTATATTTCTCTTGAGGTGAAATATCAATGTAGATTCTTGAAATTAACTCCTCTCAGCCTAGCCAAGCCAAAAACATCGTAATACACATATATTCAGAGGCATCATTTGCCTCTACCAGTCTTTTGTCGGATTCTCTGGAAGTGTGTGGAGCTATCTGTCGGGAATTACTTGTATCTACTCCGTAGTTATTGAACCATATAGTTAGGCTGGCCTCCTCACCTCCCAGGTCAATATAAGCAACAATACACGGAGGGAGATATTATAATATATTTTGCATTCTGTAAGGGACACTCAAAATTGGCGAAGTGTGAACGCCAGACAAAACTTCTTGGTCTTGAACATTTCGCTTTTTACAGTTCCGGCGGCATTACATAAGCCAAGCTAAGAAGATCAGGCAATCAACACCAGCGAAGATTCCAGATTGGAGAATATGCTTTCGGTACTTTGTTGGCCCCAGCGTCATGGGTATTTCTATGAGCTGCGAAAAACAGTGACTAGAATTTCAAGGAGGCTACTAGGTTTTACCGTGGGATCAACTGCTTGATAATTGCGCCCCTGCAGGTGTTCTTGATGTGAGCCCTAAAGATGGAAACCCCAATAGAAATACGGGGCATCTCGCCTCGTGAAACAGATCACACATAGCTCTACTCGAAACAAACAATTACGGCATATTCAACAAGCTCCAAGGAAGCTTAGTAAAATACGACATCACACAAAAATGAAAACGGACACAACATCCACGCATCATAAGTCGATGCTGAGATTATCCCTCCACGTCCGGTCCAATTGACGCGAACACATTTCTCATCGGTCCACTGTCCCCTCGAATATTTAGGCTTCGAAATGAAGGTGTGGGCACCGAAGGAATCTCGCGGGGTTTGGAAGAGGTTGGTAGGCAAATCATGCGAGCTAAAGCCAGCATAAAAGCTCAAGGGCGAACTGAAAACCGGAGTAGAGAGTCCTCATAGCGCACCATGGCTGATTTCTTCATCCAAGCTGGGCCTTTAAAATGACCTCTTGAAAGGAATCGCTGAAGAAAAAGCTTTCAAGGTCAGGGCTCTCGACGAAAGTCGAGTAGATTTTTTTTTTTAAAAAAAAAAAAATAGAGCGACTGATGCAGCCTCCTCACCACATCAGAGCAATGGAAGGCTTGTTGAGTGTCCAACCGAAGAATTTGGTGGCCTAAGTCAACAAGCGCTCGATATTATATTTTCCACGAGAATGATTTGTGCCCTGAGGAGGAGATGGGAAGACAATAACAGCCTGGATAAGGATGAATCCGTGGGTGAATGAGATGACCTTCGAGGCATAGAATGCCTGCTCAAGATGACTGAGAAGCACCCGCTTGTCTCTTTGTAATTAATGAAGAGAAGGCCTTTGAAGCACACCACTAGCACGAACACGTTCGGGCTTCAATGAGGTCAGGCAGCGCGCAAAAACCGCTTCCCCAATCAAGGTGACAGACACGCGAAGCCGAAGTGTATTGATAGCAGTCCACTTCCAGTGCATTTTTGACCAGCAGTACCGAAGATATTTTCGATTAGGGGCACCTCACCGCCGTCCATATAGCGTAGAATGTCACTGATAATTTCAACGAGGGATGAGTTCGAAAAACCCAGATTTCACTCAGAGAAAACATCGCCTATTTCCTTGCTGGTCAACCCAAGGCCGCATTTCATGACATCATATACATACGACAAATATGTCAACATACGTGTCTTCCACGGCAAACTCCCATATTAAATGCCCAGGTGGGATTGAGGCCCGAAAATACTGTACATCGCAGATCAACTGCATGTTACCGTACTCAATTCCGCTGTGAACCATCACCGGCCCAGCCACAACAAGCTTCTCCTTCACGTTGTGCAACAATACGCTGGAATATATCCTTGATCTATAGTCAGGCTTCTTCGGTTCCACCCGGCACCAGGCTCAGTCCATGTCGCGCACCTTCATCTCAGGTACCAAGAATGGCTGCCTTATTAGGGCAAATGATGGTTCCTTTCCCATACCACCCGGTCTCCCTGCTTGGAATTCAGGTTACCACACATAGACAGGTCTGCTTGTGTTCAGTGGATCACCATCCGGGCGGAGATCTGAGTCTGGTGATGAGGTATTCTTTTCGGCTTCAGGACTTGATTCCCCTATACTATCTTGTACAGACACCCTGACACTAAGACTCTGGCACCCGAGTCATGCATGCAGGGTTCTGACCGGTGGACAATGAGATGACCCCGCCGGAAGGTAGCATCAGATAGCACGGACTGGTGTCAACGCCACAGACCTTGAACCGAGCCCTTGAATATGATCACGATCTTTGTCCGTGGCCGGTCAGGTGACTGGTCTGCTGTATAGAGCGTCTATCTTTTTCTGCATTTGGATTCTCTTGCAGTTCAGTTCTATCTTCTCGAACTCTTTGAACCAGCTGTCTTTCCACGCGTTCGAGCGTGGCCGAGCTACTAGGCTCGGACTTAACCCGAACGGGCTTATCAAGCCGACCATTCCCTGCATTAGTATCAAGCCCGATTGAATTGCCTAAAGATAGAATCAGATAACGCAATCGGTCAATCTATAGTCTGAAAGCCTTATCATTTTGTCCCTTGGTCAGTTTGTAAACTCGGAACTATCGTGAACTGCTGACGACGCAGAGTCCGCTCCTAGTTCCACCCCGTACTGTAGTCCGTCTCTTAAGAAGAAATGATCCGTTTCGTTTTCGCTCCGCTCGTACCGCCCACCGCTTTGGGCGATTCAGGGGAGGAAGCACAAGGCTCCGCTGGAATCTTTGACTGGTTAACAAGGACGATCAGTGTTGATCTGATGAACCTTCTGACCCGACTCTAAACATGCTTCACGAGCATAGAATAGGGACTTTTATTTGACGAAGGTCTTGCCTCATGTGGTCGGATATCGGCAAAGACGAGATATGAGACATGAACACTCCAACATGGAACGGGGGCAATGATTGGCGGGGGGCCACCCCACTAACGAAAAGACAGCCATATTAGTCTGGGAGGTCTTGGACTCAACCTGAAGGACGCGTGGGCTAGTGGCGCTTCGGTCCCGGCGCCCACTCCACGAGGCCCGTTTGGAAATGACCTATGGACACTGATTGTCCGCGTCATGTGGAGTGGTCGACCGCTCCCAAACCTGGCCCGGTTAAATATGACGCCCGTCCAGTGGCTCAAGCGTGGCTCACCACGCCAAAACAGGGGGATCGCATCCACTCATTGGCCTTGGCAAATTCAATCTTTGGATAGAATGCCGAGTTAGCACACGCGTCGCTTTGCGCTTTTCATCCACGTTGCCAAGAGTCCTTGCGGGGGGAGGCAAGGAGAGGGAGACTGAGGGGCCCATATATAACCATTAGGCTCTCCGCCCTTCCGCTCCTCCCTCCCTGTCACTCTGAACGTCTCGGAATGCGCCAATGTTCATGCGGACACCCTCCGCTTTGCGCCTAACCTGGCTACGCGGGGATCGTCACGGTCTCCGCCGCCTCCTTCCTGGCATTCTCGTCGCCATTGGAGCCGGCCTCCTCTTCTGCCTCTTCGCGGTGCCCCAGCTGGCTCGATTTCGTTTTCGGGCCGGCTTGAGCAAATACGATCTCGGCTTCTATGGCTTCGGACCGTCCCAAAGCTTCGTCTCCTTTGACGAGGAGTCCCGAATTATCGAAATTTCCCCCGCCAATGCGCAATGCGACCCTCGCTATACCTTTATTGCGCCACGGGGCGACTCGGTCGCCCATGCGGGTCCAATGATTCTGGACGCTCAGGGGGAACTAGTCTGGGCGAAATACAACTGGGGAACGACACAGGATTTCAAGGTTCAACGGTTTCAGGGCCAGGACTATGTGACTTACTGGCAAGGGGATGAGGAGGACGGCCACGGTCGAGGATCGTGGTACATGGTAAGATACGAACTTTAGGTTTTGCCATGGCCCTCCCCTGCGGAACACTAACGTTGCTTTCTCGACCAACAGTTGGACTCGACCTACACAATCAGGTACATTGTGTCACCTGTCGGATTGGAAGGCGATCTGCACGATTTCGTCATCACTTCGAACGATACCGCCCTCGTCACTATCTACGATCCCATTCCCGCCGATTTGACAGCTGTCGGTGGCCCCGAGCTCGGCTGGCTCTACGACGGTGTCTTTCAGGAGATCGATATCGCAACCGGCGAGCTGCTCTTCGAGTGGCGTTCTTCCGACTTCTACCCGCCGGAGAGCAGCTATTACCCTCTCAACGATCGAGGCCACGAACGAACCCTCGGATACGATTACTACCACATGAACAGTATCGACAAAGATGACCAGGGTCGTTATCTCGTTTCTGGACGACACACGCACACTGTGACTTGTGTGGACGGAACCACCGGCCAAATTCTTTGGACGTTGGGTGGAAAGCACAACGATTTCCACGACGAGTCGGACGGAGCTGCCACTGATTTCAACTGGCAGCACGATGCTCGCTGGCAAAGCCCGAACAGCATCACTTTACTCAACAACAACGCCAACGGAGAAGATGGCTCTTCTCGAGACACCGTCGGCCTCTTCATCGAGCTTGATATCCCGGCACGACAGGCCAAAGTGAGGACGACTTATGTCCACCCACAGGGCCTCATGGCCACATCTCAGGGCAACCTCCAAGTCTTGGATACCGGCAACGTGCTTGTCGGCTGGGGTCATAGCGCCGCCTTCACTGAATACACCGCCGAAGGTGAGATCGTCTGCGATGTCCACTTTGGCGCATCGGCCTACTTTACTTTCGGCCGTATCGTATCCTACCGTTCATTCAAGGGGGATTGGGTTGGAAAACCCAACACCCTACCAGATGCCGCCATCGCCGACGACAGCATTTTCGTCAGCTGGAACGGTGCCACCGAGATCGTGACATGGTGCCTCGAAGCCTGGGACGGTGAAAGTCTCGACAACGTCACCTTCACCACCGTGGACCAAGTGGAGCGCACAGGCTTCGAGACTCGAATCCCCATCCCGCCCTCAATAACCTCCTATTTTCGAGTCTCTGCTATGAACATCGAGGGCGAAGTCCTCGGTACCACCGAGACTCTCTCCCTCGGCTCCCCTTCGTCCAGATCCAGCTACGTCTCCATTCGATCCTGGGGCGTAATTATCATCGCAATCTTCGCACTGGGATGTCTTCTATTTGGGTGCTTTTGTGCCGTCTCCCGGGTTTGGAGACGTCGTCGACCCCGCTCAGGTGGCTCTTACCAGCTGGTTGGACACAAGGAACATGATGACAATGAGAGTGAGAATGGTCGTTTGCCAATATAGTTTGGATGCCGGCGTCTGAGATACCCATTTGTGATTTGTATAGACTTTGTACAGCTGGTGTTTCCTATGAATATACATATATTGACTCAATTATAATGATGACCATGCTCATCTGTCATTGCATCAAGAAATCTTCTATACCATCTCATATGTATAATGTTTGATCTGAACCACCATCTAATTTTCCATCTTATTGGAGGTCTACACTGTCATGTTACACATCCCGTGCCTGGCCTGCTGGCTCATCAGAACCGGACAAGCGAGAGTCGAGATGAGAGAGTGCAGAGTCGGGATGAGAGAGTACAACCGTGGACGGCACCAGCCTACACAATGTTGAGAATAATTACAAACTTGGAACATTGAACATAACTTGCTCACACAATAATACTACTCCAAATGGCTTGTGATCACCCAACAAGATACATCTTCAAACCCTACATCTAAGGAGATCCTTATTGACCGCAACGACTACAATGATTATTCTATCACAGACAAGCTTCAAGCAGCGCTGTCGAGCCCCATCAGACTTCGTCAGACAAAGATTTGAAACCGTTTTATGAACAATTACACCCTACTCGGTTCAGTCCCAACTAAACAAGCGGACAGCACATATAACTTTGTGTGAATGACGGCCTATGAGTGGTTGACTCGAAGCAACTGTCGGTATTTTCTCGGGTCTCCTTCGGTTTTCGTTCAATACACGTGATCCTTATCTGTTCAGTTCCGGTAGTCTTCACTGTGAGCTATATGCTTGGAAAATATCATCTGACTGGATTTATGGGTGAAGTAGCGGTCAGAGATGATTTCCGGCTCACACTGATCTGGGCACCTAGGATTTAGTTTGAAGTGACGATAGCTAAATTGGCGCTTTCTGCGCTTTCCGCATGGCGAGGTGTGTCCTGCCTCCTGGCTGCTTATCAAATTGAACTCGTCATGCAGCTTTCTCTTATGTAGTGTTACCTAAGAGGCGGAAATACCATGCTCACGGTCATATACGAGGAGTTGCATCTTGATCCACCTCCCCACCCTGCAGCGGAGAGGACCTGTAGACTTGGAGCTTGGACTTCGCGAAAAAGAATAGGGGTATTTACGCAGTTTCCGGCATCCTGGATACGGAAGCTCCCGCGAAGCTAGTACTGAATATGTTTATATGAACATGCCTTGGAGACCGACATTTCGGACACTAAAACATGTCTTTGAATACGAAGAGGTTGCTTGCATATGTGATTTGCTATTACGACAAATCACCCAGATTCATCGACACGAAACACGAGCTTAGAGGCCCGAACTTTCCCTTCCCGTAACATCTGGAGTCCGGTCAAAACCCCAGCCAAGCCACCTGGCTTCACCTGATAAGGATGCGGTAGAATGCGGCGCTCTGCTAGTAATTTTTGCACCAAATTCCACCATTTGATCCCAAATTCGAGGTTACCCCTATCAGGAATCACTTCATCCGTTCCCATGTGATATGGCTCTCCCAGCAAGTCGTATGCCATAGAGACGTGGGAATCAACATCCTCTCGCGCAGATTGAACATCCAGCAAGGCATTATAAGACCCACCAGATGATGAGAGAGCTGCACTGCAAATGGAAGCGGATTGGGGAGTAGAGATTGTATCAAGTACAAATTCCAGGGCATCATCTGTGTCCTCCCGGATTTGCTCGCTCACTTGCGGATCATGGTAATCAAAGACAGCGTGTGCGCCGAGCTCAAACATCAAGCTGCGATTTGATTCAGAGCACGTAGTCACTACACGCAGACCCGACAATTTTGCTAATTGAATAGCAAGAGTACCGGTAGCAGTCGCACCACCGTAAATCAGGATATTTGTCTCATCAGACTCCTCCGCCTCTCCAGGGAGGGGAAATTCCATGCTTTGATAAAGGTTCTGACCAACGGTTGTCAGACCCACACCAAATGTAGCTGCAGTCTCAAAGCTCATTCCATCGGGAATCTGAATTTGCAGGTCACCCTTTGCGATCACGTATTCCGCAAATGCGCCACCATTGGGACGAGCTGCATTACTGCCATGGACAAACCCCGCCACACGGTCGCCTTTCTTGAATGCTTTTTTGACGCGGGGGCCAGCAGCTTCCACTACTCCAGCATAGTCGCAGCCCACGACGGCTCCGTCACACGGAACGAAATCGATGTGACGCCAATCCGTGGGATTCAAAGCCACTAAACCATGTCTTAGTTGAACGGTCACACGAGAATCAGTAATAGGAAAATAAAGCCATACCAGCTTTCGTTTTGACGAGAATATAATCGTCTGGTAGCTCGGGTATCGGGAGATTCTGCTCCAGCACCGCGCGACCCAGGCCCTGAACGATAATGGCACTTTGGGTAGTCATTCTCAACGTCACGTAGAATTGAGAGGAAAGACGGTGAAGGAGGGACGGCAATCAGCTTGATTCGGAGGTAGATCCTCGAATGAAAAATACAATTTAAAATCTTGGGGAAGCCCGTACCGGGGACAAGCTGCGATGACCCAGAACCCAATCCACTGGGTCAATAAAAATACTGAAAATGCCCACACCCATGTTGGGGACCGAAATAGCCCATTGAGGAGCCCACTTCCCTGCAGCGGGGTGTGAGATAACCTGGTTCGTTACCTAGATAGTGTAAGCTGAGTTCGACTTCAGTAAGATTGTCGAGATGCATTGCAAGTGTGGGGGGAGGGTCTCTGGTGGGGGAGGGGTAGGTGTCGTACATACAGTAGTATCAGATACAAAGTCCTAGTTCCACTCGAGCCTCAGAAGGGTAGCTCATGAGAAGATCAGGTCTCGATGTATATTTCGGATGGCCCGGGTTACTCCGGTATCTCTTGTTTATTTCAAGCGAAAATCATTGACATTTCCAGGGCCGAACACGAGAGATCCTTCGGGCCGATGCCTCCCACAATCGAAACACTGAGAAACACCAGCCAATTTCTGAAATTGACGTGCTCACTTCTACACAAAAGAATCTGCATCTATTAGGCAACTGTGTATCTGACACCGAGATTCGAAAATCTGCGGTTGTTTGTCTCAGCCTCGAGGGGGTTGGGAGTTGGGGGTTGGGAGTGAACGCCGTTTCTCCACCGCGGAATCACGACATCAGATGTCACGAAAACGAGAATCTTTCGTCCCCGGGCGGCGCCTACTAAAGCGGGCCAAGGCACCTACAAGGTTGAATTGTGGACATAACCATGTGGATGGATGGCGCGTGCACTGAAGATCCTTGCATGTATCATGCATGATGGCGATCCCGAAATACCGTGACAGGTGCTGGTAAGCAGTTGTTACCATACACATGCAGTGCTATGCAGTCACATCATGAAATCCAGACAGAAGTGGAGTATGAAGAACCATTGAGCGCCCCAGAGGGATTCGTGTAATAAAACAGGGCATCCAGGATCGATACTTGTAAGTACGTACCATTGGCGATTCGGTTCGTGGATCGAGGTCCCTCCCTCCCCACTTGCCAGTAACCGATGCCTATGTATACTGCACATAAATAACTATGATCTACTTGCTCAGCCGCAAATCTCAGCCGCGTGCGGAGTCAATGGCTGGACGATCCGCTGATGGGTATTACAACACTGCAAGTGTACGCAAAAAATACCGTCCATTTGACCGTACTTGACCCATTCCCACCTGTAATTCCCATTTAATCTACAGAATCAAAAGTGACCGAATATAACGGGCATTGTGATAAGAGCGTTCCGGGATGTTACTAGGATGCTGAATGATTCCTATCGGAGTGAACTGGCAGTTTAGCTCGTAATTTCTCCAAGAGCTCCACCGAATGCTCTCTCGTCATTCGATAGCGAGTAAACTATGCATGTGAACCTGCGAGATTGCCCACAATAGTCATGGTGTCAACTGAAAAGCTCTCGGAGTGTCGGATTAATGGATACTGCCGGGTTACCTGCCTAGTTAAAAACATACAGCAGCAAATATAAAAGGTTCTCCACAACCACTCGCCTCACCGAGCGCGAGTTTCACAACCTAAATTACATCAACCTATCTCATAACATCAAGATGCCCGGTTTACCCACCGCTGGCACTGTCAATCCAGATATGGAGGCAATCGCCGTTATCGGAATTGGGTGTCGCTTCTCTGGTGGTGCGACCTCCGTGGAGGATTTCTGGCAAATGCTTTCCGACGGGCGCACTGGACATGGAAAAATACCCCCAAGTCGATATGAAGCTTCGGCTTGGCATCATCCTAGTCCTGAACGCATAGGCGCAGTAAGCAGCCTCCGATGAGGTCTCAATTCGATTCACGACGCTAAATTTGATGACTAGATTAATCATGACAGTGGATTCTTCTTGAAAGAGGATCCTTCTCGCTTTGATGCACCATTCTTCTCCATTACTGCCAAAGAGGCCGCGGGAATGGACCCAGCACAGCGTTTACTGCTTGAAGTTGCATATGAGACTTTTGAAAACGGTAAGATGAAGAAAGTTCGTAGGAAGAATCACTTAGCTAACATGGGGAGGACAGGCGGAATCCCTATTGACACACTTTCCGGGAGCAACACAGCAGTGTACTCCGGATCCATGACTAACGATTATGAGCTATTATCGACCAGGGATATTTATGATATGCCCCATAATTCTGCTACCGGAAATGGAAGGACCATGCTGGCAAACCGTTTGTCTTGGTTCTTTGACCTTCAGGGCCCTAGTATTATGATGGATACCGCGTGTTCTTCAAGCTTGACAGCAGTTCACCTGGCAGCCCAAGCTTTACGCTCTGGCGAATGTGGAATGGTTCGTACCGGTGGGTTCTTCTGGTTTGACATGTACTAAAACTGGTTATGTAGGCTCTGGTGACAGGGGCAAGTCTCATCTTACATCCCAACTTTACACAAAGACTGTCATATATGCATATGATGAGTGCGGATGGTATCAGTCACTCCTTTGATGAGGCTGCGAATGGGTATGGCCGAGGAGAGGGCATCGGAGCGGTTCTTTTGAAGCCTGTCTCTCAAGCGCTAGCCGATGGGGATAACATCCGAGCCGTCATTCGCGGCACAGGAATTAACCAGGATGGCCGGACCCCTGGTATCACGCTGCCTAGTCCAACCTCCCAAGCCAAATTGATTCAGTCAACTTACGAACGGCATGGTATTTCCATGAGAGACACTGCCTATTTCGAAGCTCATGGAACCGGCACACCGGTCGGTGTAAGTTGATTGATATATTGAGTTTCCCTCCCCATCGGATTGCTGTTGACGATTTTATAGGACCCCACAGAGCTGTCTGCCGTCGGAATGACATTAGGTCAAGCCCGAACACCATCTGATGAGCCAATCTATGTCGGCTCTGTAAAGACGAATTTTGGCCACACCGAAGGTGCTGCGGGCGTCGCCAGTTTGATCAAGGTGATTCTTTGCTTGGAAAAAGCTACGTTGGTACCAAACGCTGGGTTCAAAAACCTCAATCCCAAGATCCGTCTCGATGACTGGCGTTTGCGTCTTAGCGACAAGACGCAACCCTGGCCAGAGCATCTGCCACAGCGAGCCAGTATAAATTCCTTTGGATTTGGTGGATCGAATGCACACATAATTTTGGAGAGTGTGAGCGAAGCTTTTGGAGAGGAAGACAAGTCGCCGCCTCCTCGTGTCGTAGTGTTCTCCACCTTCGACCAAGCTGGTATCGAGCGCCTTGGTCCAGCCTGGAGCGCGTATCTCCAGCGTCAGCAAGAAGCGGAGTGCGATATTCAATTGAGAGATCTTGCTCATACAATGCTTACCCGACGTTCGCAACTGGGTTTCCGCAGCTTCGCTGTGGCGGACTCGCTCGACCAACTGCAAAAATATCTGCAAAAAGGGCTCCCCAAATTTCCCCGTGCTAGTCGCAAAGCCCAGACAAGAATTGCCTACATCTTCACAGGCCAAGGGGGCCAGTGGGCTGGTATGGGTAAGGAACTTTTGAGAATACCTATTTTCAAAGAAAGCATGGCACGATCACAGATAATACTGACCTCCTTGGGATGCCCGTTCGATATTGTTGGGGAGATTCGAACCAAACCAAAATACAGCCGCATCAACCGCCCCGATCGCAGCCAGCCCATTACATGCGCACTACAAATTGCCATCGTTGATCTTTTGGCCAGCTGGAACGTTTACCCCAATGCAGTTGTTGGTCACTCTAGCGGCGAGATTGGTGGGCACTTTCTTCATTTGCTGAGCTTAGACTTCAGAAGCTGACATGTATAATTTAGCTGCCGCATATGCAGGTGGATACCTCACCCATGAAGATGCCATGCGAATCGCTTGGTTCCGCGGCTACTTCTCACAGCAGATTGCCGAAAGCGATAAACGTGGAGGCATGCTTGCTACAGGCATCTCGGTAGAGAGCGTTCAGAAATACCTCGATGAAATGCCTCCCCGTTCAGTGGTTGTAGCCTGTGTGAACAGCCCTGCCAGTACCACACTTTCCGGAGACGTGGACCGTATCGATCAGCTTGAAGCAAAGCTACAGAAGGATGGACTGTTTGCTCGTAAGTTGCGCATTGACACAGCTTACCATTCTCCTCATATGGAGGAGCTGGTGGAAGTGGTTGGAAACGCCATCAATTGTATCAAACCGGAGGACCGCCACGGCGGGTCAATTCCCATGCTTTCCTCTGTCACAAAGCAGCGCGTCTATCCTGTCGAGCTGGGCGGATCGTATTGGGTCCAGAACATGATCAGTTCGGTTGAGTTCACTGCGGCGGTGTCTCAACTCGCAGGTCTCAGCGAAGCCAGCAAAGCTCGCAGACGCCCAGTACCGATCAAATGGACTACCTTGATTGAGATCGGCCCACACGCAGTCCTGAAGGGACCAGTCAATCAGATTTTGCAGGCTGTCAATACCAATATGGCATCGCTGCCATACCACTCGCTAGTTACGCGAAATCAAGATGCTTTACAGACATCAGTGAAAGTTGCCGGGTCCCTTTGGAGCACCGGACATACTATAGACCTCACCGCGGTCAACAGCGGTGTCGATTCAACAGCCCCCACGATGGTTTCAGATTTTCCTTCTTATCCTTGGAATCACCAAACGTCCTTCTGGCATGAACCTTTGGAGACAGCCCAGTTGAGACAGCGCAAGCATCCTCGTCATGACATTTTGGGAGCTGCCCTGGACTACCAAAATGCCCTTGAACCACGATGGAGAAACTTCCTACGACTGTCAGAAAATCCATGGATGGCTGATCACGTCGTGGCTGGATCGATTGTCTTCCCAGCTGCAGGTATGCTGGTGATGGTCATCGAGGCAGCACGACAACTAGCCAATGGCCAGAACGTCAAAAGTATTGAGTTCCAAGACCTCAGGTTTATGCGAGGCGTTGTCATTCCGGAGGAGGAGCGTGGTCTCGAGACCGTTCTTCAAGTCTCGCCACACCCAGGAATGCCAGGCTGGCATCAATTCGGCATTTTTTCGCTTCCGTCCGGGGGCTCTTGGATTCAACATGCAAAGGGTACTTTTACTGCTAGGACAGAGGTTCAGGAGGATGATGAACGCTCTGCAAACTGGGAGACAAATCTAGCTCGCATCAAAGATACAAGGGCTGTCGCAAAGTCCGCGGATATTGGGCAAGCTTACCAATGGCTATCCGATACTGGAGGACTGACGGTCGGACCATGTTTTAAGACTATTGCAAATGTCTCGTTCTGTCCAGCGGAGCCTCGTCTATGGTTATCAGGAGTTGTCAGTGACACAAAACAAGGGATGCCGAATGAGAGGGAAACACCCTGCCTCGTTCACCCCACAACTCTGGATTGCCTCTTCCAATCTGCCCTTCTGTCATGCTCGGAGGCACTGTCAAGCCAAAACGCCAACATTCCGGTTGGAGTTGATCATGTCTACATCTTCGATGCTTTCCAACCGAAGCCGGGTGAACAATTTGCCGTCCATACGGAGACTCAGTGGCGAGATGGCCAATCGCGATCGCAGTGCATTGCATCTGATCCTTCCTGGTCTAAGCCCTGGATCACTTTCGAAGGCGTCCACCTTGGTCGACTTCCCTTTAATCCAAATAAGCAAAGAGAAGATGAATCAGCCTCTCAGAGCCGGTATTCATCCGTTGTCTGGGACGAGCATCTGGAGTCGCCTGTTGTCTCGAGCCGAATCCGTGATGAGGGAAACAAGAATCCCGCAGTGGAAGCCAGTAGTCTGCAATTGAGTGACTGGATCAAACGTCTGTGCCACACAAATGGTGACGCCAAGTCCTTGATCACCACTTCCGATGTCTCGAGTACGTGGATCCAAAGCGTGGATGAGCTCAAGCAAAGCGATAGAAAGCGACCTTGCTTTGCGAATGTCACCATAGCCTTGTGCGGTTCCAAGGAGGAAAATGTTCTCGCATCAGATATTGGCATTCATGTTATCTCCATCCCTTCCCTGGACAAACTTCCATCCTCGTCTTTCCCAGAGGAGACCTATGATCTTGTCGTCATCGATGAGCTCAACATTTGGGAACATGAAGTCAAGGAAGCTGTTTTGCCATTCATATGCAGCATTCTAGATCGCAGAGGATTCACAGCAATCTGTGTACCAGACACGAACTTGGGCCTTGCTGTGAAGACTTTGCAGGACTTCGATGGGCTGGAAATCCACAGTTTGACCAAAGATCGCAAATTCGTCGTTGCACGCAGAACACCAGTTTCATGGAGCACAGATTCTGAAATATTTATTCTCAATGGGAGGAGCAAATGTGACTCAACCCCTGTCTTCGGCCATCTCGACCAGATCTTTGCTGCTCACAATGTTCACATGGTTCCTGTGGGACTGGACGAGGCTGCGTCATTGGCAGGAAAGACTGTGATTTCGTTGCTGGATCTGGCAGGTCCCTGGGTGTTTGATTTGGGTGCTGATGACCTAGAGAGACTTCAAGACCTGATGAAATCTCAATATGTTCTTTGGGTGTCGCCCTTCTGGAGTCAAGGCGCTGTTGAGAATAGTGCATTTGGCGCCTCGAGTGGCTTGTTGCGAACACTCCGCAATGAGCATTGGAATAATCTCATTCCGCAGCTCCTTGTGGATGCAGAAGACCTGCACGATGAGTTCGGCCTGGCTTGTGGTATCCTTCAGGTAATGCAACTTACTCTGCAAGAGAACTCTCGCCGACCAGACATGGAATATCGCTTGGTAAATGGTCGACTGCTGGTTCCGCGTGTTCTCGAGACTTCAGTAGTGGACGAGACGATGCACACTCTGATGAAGGGTCCCCGACCTGTGCTGGCAGATCTTACAGTTGACCCAAGGCCTCTTGATCTAAAGCTTCAAGATGCAAACAATGCACACTGGGAGGAACAGCAACTTGCTCAACGGGAACTTCCGCCAGACCACACCGATCTCAAGGTTGAGATGGCCACTGTCTTCAACTTAGATGAAGATGGCAAGGCCTCTGGAACAGCTCTGCCAATGTTTGAAATTCTTGGAAAGATTACTCGAATTGGATCGGGGGTGCGCGACCTCGCCGTTGGGGACAAAGTAGTGACACTTGCCGAGGAGAAGTCAGGATTGTCAACAACGCTGCGTGTCTTAGAAAGCGACACCATCAAGGTTCCTGCAGACGCAGATCCCGCACAGTTTATCTCAACTCCTCTCGCGTACCTCATTGCCCATCAAATCCTCACTGATGTGGGTCGTCTGACCTCAAGCTCTTCGGTTCTTCTTGTTGGACCCGTCAGTCAGACTCTGCGAGCTATGATTGACTATGCCGTTCACAAGGGTATGCAGATAATTGTAGCTACTGATTCGCAAGAGACTACTGAGCTTCTTTCATCTCGCTACCCGGCCTTGAAGGATCGAGTCCTGGGTATCCACAGTAGTCTGGAATCAAGTGTATCCAGACTAACCAACGGATGTGGAGTTGAAGCTAGTATATGTTTTTCGGGTGGCTATGCGGGTCGTGTTGCCGCGAGATGTTTGGTTCAGGGTGGACAGTACATCAATATGTCCAGTGAGATGAAGTTGAGTGCGCTCCCAGAGAGCTTTATCGACAGCGGCTGCACGTTCTCTTCGCCAAAACTGTCGAAGTCCTTTTCGGAGAAGCCTGGTGCTCTCTACGCTTCAGTTCGCAAGGTCATCGACTTAATGAATCAACACGAAATGCTAGGGCGGGTTGAAGCTTACCCCCAATTCCCTGTTTCCGATCTACGGGGAGCTCTCAAGCATTGCAAGGAAGCCAACGGCCGTGCCATAGTCAATCTTCAGGCCCCTGGTCGAGTTCCGATTGTGCTTCAGCTGCCAGAACTTACTGGTCTCCCGGCGAACAATACCTACATTCTGGCTGGCGGATTGGGTAACCTGGGTATAGCCTTCGCCGACACATTGGTGGAATCTGGAGCCCGTCATTTGGTTTTCCTTGGGCGCTCTGGAGGAACCCAGGAGACCGCATTGGCCCTCGATCTCCTTCGCGGTCGGGGATGCCGCACAGATGTGGTACGCTGCGACATTTCCAAGAAGGAAGACATTGACGAGCTTTCGTCGAAGATCCAAACCCACAGTTGGCATGTCGCAGGCGTAATCCAATGCACAACAGTTCTCAAGGTATGTCAATAATTCTACACTCTCTACTTAATCCAACTGACCCACTTCGCAGGATTCAATGTTCGAGAACATGACCTACGAAGACTGGATTCAATCGACGAACCCGAAAATTCGCGGAACAATGAATTTGCACCGGCTTTTCTCGGCGGAGAAAAGCTTGGACTTCTTTGTAGCCTTGTCCTCCGTGGCAAGTGTCATCGGTAACATGGGGCAAGCCAATTATTCTGCTGGTAATGGTTTCATAGACGCCCTCATGGAATGGCGCCGAAGCCATAGTCTTCCCGGTCACTCTATCAACATCGGTCTAGTTCCTGATGCCAACGGAATGAGTGACATTGCCGAAGACCAGGAGCAGCGTCTCCGCCGATACAAGCATCTGGAGGGCACGGAGATCATGACTCTTGAGCTCCAAACTTTGCTCCGAGTGATCATCAACAGCAAAATTCCCCTTCCCCCTCAAATAATTGCCGGGATGACCGACTCTTTCACACGCAAGAATGCATCTACGACGTGGCTTCTAGATAGGAAGTTTGATCACCGACTTTCTCTTGCTATTGAGAACAGTGATGGCTCCCTTGTGCAGACCGCTACTCTTCTCAAGGATTCCGAGTCCGTCGAAACAGCGTCTCAAGTCGTCATCGACGCTTTAAGTGAATATTTAGCAGATGCAATGGCTACGACCGCTGACTCTATCGATCCTGATTTGCCTCTGTCCGCCTTGGGTGGTAAGTCCCCCCTGACCTGCACTTAATAATTGTGTCCTTCTGTCCTAACATTTGCCTAGTTGATTCTCTTAAGGCTACTTCTGTACAGAGTTGGGTCTCTCGTGAATTGGGAGCAGACCTCTCCTCATTTGAATTCCTGGGCTCGCAGCCCACCAAGGCACTGGCGAAGAAGATTGCTTCCGCCAGCTCCTTTGTCTCACATTCGAGCTGAAAATGAAGCCATTGAGCAGATGACCATGGCTAAAGACTTATAAATGCCCGTAACAAACTAGATCACGCAGCTCTATGTTTGACTTCTTTCTTTGGGAGTTATCCGGTGTTTTTCTTAATTTATTGCTTCCTATTTCTATCCCATTTTCCAGCGTCTTCATATCCAATTATGATAGGTCTTTAAATTTCTGATCTTTCAGTCGATATGTGTGCGCACGTATGTATAGGCTAATTGTTTGTTACATACAATACCTTGTTTCGAAACGTTTGAAAACTTTCGCAGATACGAGGGTCCACTGATGGGCGTTTACGGCCAGCTTCCAAAACCACTCGTGGGTCTCCACGCGGCGCCCGCTCAGTCGACACGTCACAAACGGAGGGCTCTCGGCCACCGATGTGCATTGAGCCTCAGAGGTGCAGTCTGCCGTGGCCCCAAACGCCACGGGACAAATGCATCGGAACCTGCAGAGTACATCGGTGGCTGGGCAGTCTGAGACCGCGATTGGCGGTGAAGCGGATGTGCAGCACAAGTTCGGGGCGACTCCACCAAACTTAGCCGGTTGCCGTTAATGACAGGCGCCCAACAGCCTTGCCGGAACTTGATCGACACTGCCGCTATTGAACGATCAGAACAATCAGATCAACAGAAGGCTTTCCTATCGGTTAACTCTGAAATCGTGGAACCGTGGAACCTAAGAAAGCCCTAAAGCTAACAATCCTGAGCGGAGTAGTTGTATTCACCGACATCTTGATCCGCTTGACATGATAGCAAATGAAATTTTCTGCATTGACTGATAATCCAAAGTATGCGAGGTATTACACATTGTACTTTTGTTCAGTATTTTTGGAGCTGCATGTAACCTTCCCACTATTACCTCCGCCGTGGGGTGCTGTGAATGTTGGGTAGTATGAAGTAAGGATAAACCAATAACCCCACCTATAGGCTATAAGTCTTGACATTTTCTGCTGCTTGTATGCCTTGCAGTCCTTCCAACCTTGGAATCTCGAGGTTCATAAACTTTTCTTTGTTTTTTAATTATCACGTTCACTGGTATTTTGCACTGTCTCCATGAACCAGGATGGCACCGTCGGGGTTGTTGAAGCACACCGTAGCTCTTCCGAGGTTCCCCGGTTCAGACGAAAGTCAATATAACCGAAATGGGAATTGCGATTGGTAATAATACATGAGAGAGGGGTAGACTGTCGATCTGGGCTGGACCTTGGCCCACTGTTCCACCAAGTCGGTATTGTGTTCACTAGTAAAGTAGGTCATTAGCGACAGCATTGGTGACACTACTATCTCTGTCTGGAACTTTGTACTGTCTCTGGGCAAATGCATCCACGCAGCTTAGAAACCCTTTCGGGCATCGAATCAGCTCCCCACTTCCAAGATGTTAATCGGGAAATGTAGGATTTCGCGAGGCAATTGAGAGCCTTGCAGATGTCGCACAAATTGCATATGACCTTGTCTACCTCCGCCTTTAAGACAATTTTCACCTATTTCCGCCCCCGATATCTCTGTGCTTGTCTCCCTATATATCCTCAGGCATGGCCGACGCCGAAAAGAACGAGTTATGCATGCCAACACCTCCGGCTCAAGCAGTTTGCAATCCGTCCATTTCGGACAATGTCATTGTCACAGATTCTGAAAAGGCTACCGACAACCACTTGACAAAAGAGATCCTATCAAGTGGTAACAACACGCCAGATATTGATTTGGAAGCTCAGATCAAAAAGCCTCGACGGAAGTGCTTTTCTCACTTCCGATATGCCATCTTCACCACATATCGCCGGCTATTCACTTTCGTGTTTTTGACGAATCTTGCAGTCTTTCTTTACGTGATGATCTCTGATCGGCAGCTACTGGCACTTGTCGATGCGACAGCAGTGAATCTGGTGGCGTGCGGTCTCGCTCGCCACCCGGTGGTCGTCAACGCCATCTATCGAGTGGTCTGCTCGCTTCCACGATCAGCACCACTATGTTTACGTCGTATTGCTGCCAAAGCAGCCCACTACGGTGGTGTTCACAGTGGCTGCGGCACTGCGTCTCTAGTCTGGTACATTGGCTTCGTTGCTGCGGTGTCAAAAATATATTGGACCAAGTCTCCCATCAGTGCATCCACAAGCTACACTTTCTCAGCCGCGCCGATAACTGTTGCCTACATTATTCTTGCCCTCCTACTGGTCATGGTGGTAGTGGCATACCCTACGTTCCGCAGAAAGCTTCACGACTACTTCGAGCTTACCCACCGATTCACTTCATGGCTTATTCTGGCTCTCTTCGTTGTCCTGCTCATGCTCTTCGTCCATGAAGTCAGTAGAGCAGAACAGGAAACCTTTGGCCATTTCCTGATCACACTTCCTGCATTTTGGCTGTTAATCGCCGCTATCGTCGCGGTTGCCCACCCATGGCTCCTGCTACGGAAGATCCCTGTGCAGACTGATCCCCTCTCCTCCCACGCCGTCCGACTACACTTTTCTCATACGAAAATTGCCTTCGCTAAAGGGATTCAGGTTACGAAGCACCCTCTTCGTGACTGGCACAGCTTTGCGGGCTTCCCAGACCCGACTCCATCCGAAGAGTCTGCGTCTCCAAAGCTTCCACCTGGGAGGAGAAACAGAAAGAGGTACGGAGAGGATAATAAGGAGAGCTTCTCAATTGTCGTGTCCAAAGCAGGAGACTGGACAGCCGACACCATCCGCAACCCACCGACACATCTCTGGAAGCGCGCAGTACTGATGCGCGGTGTTGGCTATGGACTACGCCTCTTCAACCGCATTATCATTGTCACCACAGGGTCCGGCATAGGTCCCTGTCTAGGATTCCTCGGCGACGAAAACCGACCATTAATCAAAGTTATTTGGCAGACCCGGTCACCGCTTACGACATACGGTCAGGAAGTTCTTGATCTCGTTCATCGCATGGGCCCTGATCCGATCATTATGGACACTACCAATGACGGCCGTGTCGATATGCTTCCTGTTGTGCGACAACAGTTCAAGGAATTTGAGGCGGAGGCTGTGTTTGTGATCAGTAACCCCACCATGACGCAAAAGGTTATTTACGAGTTCGAGTCACAAGGGATTCCGGCCTACGGGCCTATTTTTGATTCTTGAAGTCAGATAATGCAGGACACGATTTATGAGACGATTAATGTTGAACTAGCAGTCTATGTATGTTTTTGGATTCACTTGAGTGATTTCTTTTAGTGTTTTTGTTCGCAGGAGTTAATGTTATTGAGTTTCAGCGATATATATATAACCATCATTTTTTGGCTTCGAAGCTTTTCAAAGTAGCATTGAAGTGTCCGCACAGAATGAAGTGGCATTTCAGGCGCTTCTAAATATTAAAGCCGTGAAGTTGCCTCGGTCATGCATAAATCGTCAGAACGCACGCAAGCGCTCATAGCTCCGTCCGTGAATAGCGCGAGAGAAATTTGTAAAATAGGTAATGAATTTTCGAGCCGCAATACGAGGAAGCTACACCACCAAGATGAGGCCAGAGGGATGAGCACAGAGAAGCTCAGCGGAAAAAAATGATAACGGTAGCTGCGGGATCGGGCGTCCTGGCCGATGTGGTGTACCCGGTCACAACAACGATCGAACTTGGCGTCGATGCCTATCACAATCCCTTATTTGACCAAAGATATTATAAGCCATGTCACAAAAGGAGCTTAGGAATGTTTGAAAACACTGTAGCTGGGATCGCCCGCGCGTTTCCCCCGTATTATGAACCAGTGGCACCGCGACGGACATGACTAAGAGTGAAGGCTGGCTTCGAGATATGATCTTTGCGATGTTTCAGTTCTCTCTTGTGTGATGTTTCTATTCATGAATTACTCCGGGAAGCTCTGGGAGATTGATTGGTGTTTGCTGCGAATAACGGTCTTTCAAATTGAGTCTGAATTATTTGTACTATTGAATGATGCAGGTTAAAAACACCTGATACGGCTGAACAGGCCTCCGTCTATCTAAATTCATAAGGGCATCCCGCCGTCCCCAAGAGCGAAAGTCTCATTGTGCTGGGTAGATTGAATCATAACTTCGTAAGTGCCAGGCGAGGTCGCAACCGGCTTCATATACACACGTAGGGAATGACTTCAACCCTAAAGGAATAGGTTGAAGGCGACCGCGACGTGAGCGGTGACGATCATGGCAGATGCCCATATCTGGAAAGTGGCACTCCTATAGCCAGCGGGACTATCGTTACTCTTCTTAGGAGCGATAGTGCTGATGTTGTTGCTGATAGTGGAGGCGGCACTGGTGGAAGTGTTTGTTGCCGAGAGCTTGGGGTTATAGAAATCCCGGATGATGTTACTGGCCTGCTCGGCCAGACCGTATGTCGAGGCCATCAGGTGGGTTGACAAAGCAATGGGGGGAACACTGGCGTCTGCGACTCGGACGTTGGCAAGGCCATAGACACGAAGATTGGCATCAACGACACCACCCTGGTCACGAGGAAGCATGGCACAGGAAGAAGAGGGGTGGAATTCGGTACCAGCCTCGTCACGGATCCAGTCCAGCCATTCTTCATCAGTGGTGACGGATGAACCTGGAGCCGTCTCGCCAGTGAGGTTGCTGCTCAACGGAGAAGTTTGGCCGAGGCTGCGTGCCACTTTGAGGCCTGCGAGAAGGATCTCGTAATCGGCAGTGTTGTTCAGGTAGTTCGGGTCGATGACGGGGTTATCGACGGGGTTTGAGGAGTTGATGTAGATACGGCCATGACTGTAGGGGTGCTGCAGCGCGGCAGTGATACCAACAACGCCGCTGGCATCACTGTTCATGAACAGCAGCTCGATCAAACCTGTAGGGCTCTTCATGATATTGGAGGCAGTGGTGTTGCAGATTGCCTTGTAGCCAGCAAGAACCCCGGCGTCATAGGTGGTGTTGGGCGCGTACTGATCGATCGAGTTCAAGATAGTTGTCTCCATATCCTCGACGTCTAGGAAGGAAGCGTTGACGTAGGCGATGGCGGAGTCAATGTATGAGTAGAAGAGAGAGTTGGACTTCTCAGTGAGGTTGTCGTAGTAGATGGAACCTGCGGTATCCACATCGGTGGTCCATGTGAGAGTGGCACTCTGTTCAAGTCAGTCAGGTGTACAAGAATGGGAAACAGAAGCTACATACGATATGATCCTGCAAGTGTTGGCCAACACCAGGAAGCTCAGAAACGAGATCAACACCGGCGTCGGATAGAACGTCCTTGGGGCCCACACCACTGTACATTAGGACTGCCGGGCTGTTGACAGAGCCAGCGGTGAGGATCACTTCCTTCGTCACGTTGACAGTTAGGAAGGTAGATCCACCATCGGTGGTGTACTCCACAGAGTTCGCGGTGAGATTGTCCGAGGGAGAAGAACTGTCAAAGATGATGCGAGTGACATGAGCATTGGCGAGCACATCATAGTTGCCATGGTCTGCAAGTGGGTCGAGATATCCAGTTCGGCTGTAGGAACGAGTCCAGTTGGAAGGATTGATGCAAGAGGTTGAGACCTCAGCACCCCAATTCTCACCTCCATACATCTGGGTCGAGGCAGCAACACCAAGGGCCTCCAGAGCAGGCGTCCACTGTCCAACTTGGTCGAATGTGCTATAAACAGGGTTAGTCTCGTAAGGAATAAAAGAGCGAATTGAACATACAAGCCCGGGTATGAGGCATGAATTGGACCACTGCTACCGTGGGTTGACGCATCCCACGAAATGTCAGCTTGTGAAGCGATGTCATCGCTTGGCGCGTCGAACGTCTCGCTCTTCTTCATGGCGGCGTAGAAGGAGTCCCAGCCCCAATTGTCGGCGCCATCCATACCACCGAGCATGTCTTTCCAGGCATTGATCTCGTACTCGCCAGGACGCGTCATATACAATCCATTGATGGCGGAGCTACCTAGAATTCCTGTGTTAACATTGGACCTCCACCGACAGAGTGCGGACACTAACCTCCAAGGGTCTTGCCGCGAGGCCACTCAATTTCACGGTCGTTTGCATTGGCCTGCGGGACTGTGTAATATGCCCAGTTCAAAGGAGTAGTCCATAGGGAATCAAAGTAGGAATCCGCTGGGGTATCTGCAAGCATGCGTGTTTAGCTAACTTATCTGAGGGGTAAACAGATTAGGGCGTACCAATGCGCTCTCGATAAGCATCTCCGTTCTCCCCAGCCTCCAGAACCAAAACTGTATGATTCAAATCTTCAGACAGACGACCACCCAGGACGAGGCCAGCTTGACCTCCTCCAATGATAACAAAATCGTACGAGTCGGAGATCTCCGTGCGTGGAGACAGTGCGTTGACGAAGGGAACGGTGAGCGCAAGACCTGCGCCTACGATCTGAGCGGACAAGTTAGGGCGCATGTTACAGTTGTACAGGAAGAGCACTGCCAATTGCACATTGAAAAGCTAACGGAGGAATATTTTCTATCAAAAACTTTGTGTATTATGGGTCCCCCCTGACTAAGGACCTCATTTTCCCATGACTGTGGCTATCAAGCTTCCGTGCCTGGCGCAGTAGCTGGGCAACCAAGATAGGTTAAGGCCGAACCAGGGAAAGCTTAATGTGCCACGCGCATTCTGAGTTGTACGCCCGTGAGCGGAACCTGGAACCTCTCGTTTCGTCAGCTCGCGCAAATCAGATTTTACGATCGTTGCTGTGCCGTTGGACCACTTAAACAGTGCACTCGCCAATTCTCCCCATCCACACATGTTTCTCATGCTCGATCCATTTTTTTTTAGGTCCCTGAAGAGGTGAAACAGTGACGCAACCCTGCCGCTCAAAGCAGGATTTGATCTGGAGATCTGCAACTGTCGCTTTTAGGCTCCATGTAAATAAGATAGGGTTCTATCCTAATGAACTAGCCCTTCTGTAGCTCCTGTCACCAATGTGGCGGCCATTTCAAAAAATCGGATGAGGGCCAAGTCCGTGTACCATGCAGGCCCAACCACCGACTATTGAAAAAGGCTGGCGCAGTTTTTGCGACCGAGGAATCAACGAGGGCGAGGCCGCATATCAGGCCCACCGTAGTGGGTCTCCCGACGGCCCACGCGATAGGTTTCCCACCAGCGATCGCAATTAAATTCTGAGTCTGGATCCAAATATCCAAATAAAGGCTACGAGCCACGCGACGTGTCAAACTTGTTGCAGGTCCATCTATTCAAATGCTTAATACGGTCACAGTCCCTCTCAGCTAAGGCTTCTTCGAGTCCTTGCAGAATTATGGGGAATGAGTGGACCCTGTGAGCCCTGATACTCCTACAGCAGAGGCTCGTGAGATGATCGCGCATGTTAGCGGTGACAGCATCCATTTCATTGCGCTTGCCAAATCAGCTACGTCAATTCATTGGAACAACCCCACGAGATCTTGTGCCAATCCATGAATCAAAACCAGTTGAGAATCTTTTGAAAATTGCGATCACTATCACCATATTACCCATGCACCGGGTGATGAGACGGTGCAAAGAATTCATCATATCCGGTGCCTGAAAGTCTTCGTCGTCGTCGTCGTCTTCCCATTTGATGACTTACTAAACTTGTAATGAAGGCCTCTGGCACAAATCTTCAGATGGTTCGTGATGAGTACCGTGAGATAACAGGGATAGAGCTTTTGGCATAGAGTTGGGAATGAAACAATTTGCAAGCCAACATACCGTCACCCGAAAATAAATTGAATAATTGATAGTAAGGTCTACTTATTGAACTGCACGTTCTTTGGCGCACATCGCCTCTGTCGGTCATAGCTTGACTCTTTTGGAAATTACTGTTTTTCCAAACGATAGATGCGGCCCTCGTAAGCCTGCAGCGAATCAAGGGGTTCCTCCTCACAGTTCTTGACCAGTGTCTTGTACGATGAACCGCTCAAACGGCTTGCCAGGTCAACCGACTGTGCTTTTCCAGTGAAATTGAGTGCAACAACAAGCTTCGCATCAGTGGATCCCTTTTCATAAACAAAGACTGACTCATGTGAGGGATCAGTGTCGCTGAAGACCCCCTGTGCAAATAACTTCGGGTTCTCACGGCGTACTCGGAGCAGCTCGCGCCAAAAATTCAACACCGAGTTCGAGTCAACGGTCTGTCGCTTCACATTTAGAGCCGCGTATCCGTCATGAACGCGCATCCATGGCTTTGCCTCTTCACTGGTAAAGCCCGCGTTGGGAGTTGCATCCCACTGCATAGGCAAGCGGGCGTGGTCGCGTGCCAGGTGAGCCAGTGCGGCTTTTGCCTTTGCGAGCGCGACGGGGTTGCTTTTTGTCACTGTTCTCACAAAGTCATAGTAGTTGATACTGTCAAGGTCTTTATATTCCGAGATCTCCCATTCGACGGGTGCATTGACCATGCCGATTTCCTGGCCTTGGTAGACGTATAAAGTCCCCGACAGACTGGCAACAAGCATAGCCAGCATCTTGGCGCTACGCTGCCATGATTCGGGGGTCTCTTCACTGCCCCAACGCGAAATGGAACGCGCTTGGTCGTGGTTTTCGAGGAAGGTCGTACTCCAGCCGTCGGCCGTGCCATCCGATAGCTGCTGTGTGCGTGCAATACGCTCGCGCAGATCCGGTAGCGTCCAGTTACGTGGGACAGTGTTGAATCGCAGGTCGGTACCTTGGCCAATGTCCACAACATCGAATTGAAACACCATGCTCAATTGTTGCGCCTTTGCTGACACGTACCCTAGTACATCCGCTATCTGTGGGGTATTTGGCAGCTCGCCCACCGTCATCGCGTTGTATTCAAGCAGAATCTGACCCATTTCTCGCAGGAATTCGTGCATTCGTGGCCCATTGCAATACAGCGACCAGGCTGGCTGCCATTCATGTTGTGGATCGATGATAGGAGCATCACGGAAGGACTGATTCTTGCTGTACATATTCACCGTGTCGACACGGAATCCATCAATACCTTTGCGCAACCAGAACTTCATCGCAGACTCATACACGGCAGCTCGAGTGTCGGCATTCTCCCAGTTGAGATCCGGCTGCTGTACGGCAAATAGGTGCAGATAGTACTCTCGTGAAGCCTCATCCCATTCCCAGGCACTTCCACCAAAGATACTGCGCCAGTTATTTGGTGGACGACGAACTCCATTCTCGTATCTAGCAGGTCGCCAGATATACCAATCACGCTTTGGGCTATCCTTGGACGTTCGAGACTGCTTGAACCAGGCGTGCTCATGGGACGTATGATTGATAACCAGATCGAGGAGTATACGCATACCGCGATCGTGACAAGCCGTGATCAGCGTTTCGACGTCTGCGACTGTGCCGTAAGGCGCGTAAACGTCTTCGTAGTTGGAAATGTCGTAGCCCATGTCATACTGCGGACTGTCGTACATAGGACAAAGCCAGATGGCATCGACGCCTAACGACTGTATGTAGTCGAGTTTCCCGATGATTCCGGGCAAATCACCGATGCCATCTCCGTTGGAATCTTTGTAGCTAGCGGGATAGATCTGATAGATGCTGGCGTTCTTCCACCATGGAGCTTGTGGGGACATTATGAAAATCCTGGAATTAACCGAATACTAAAAGATGAGTCTTCAGGATGAGGAATGAAAATGAACGGTTGAAACCAAGATTGAAATATTCTGTTCAGTCTGTTATCGCTCTTTTTATCTTGGACGAGCTCTTCACTGCGCTCGATCGATTGGCCTGCTGTCGGTCAGACAGCATTTACCCCTCATAGTCCCCGCAGCCAGCCTAGCAGAGCTGATGGCAGCTATTGGTTGATCCTTCGTTTGGCCAAAATGCGCTTAGTATCCCGGGAATGGAACACTCGCGCGATACGGTACTCTTTACGCACCGGCTCTCTTCTTATCGAGGATCTCTTCGGACATCCAGTACCTGGTCTCACGACTCAGACGCCGGTCGGGAAGGCAGACTGCGGGATCTCACTACACTCAAGGTCTAGAGTAGTAGCTGATACTCTGTTGATCTTCATCTACGTCATATGTGTATGCAGGCAGTGTGCTTGTTCGTAGCACTCTCTCAACATGATAGAGTCGGGGCCGCCGAGGCCATCTTGCGGTCAAGGGTCGAGCGCCAGTCTCGGCTCGTCCTGTTGATTCTGCCTTCCATAGCTATCAGCTTCCCTTTTCATTTTTGACGAAAATGTATGAAGGGCTTGGGTAATGAGAAAGACTTGAATAGACAGCGTCTTCGGGAGCGTTAGGGCACTTGGGTGAGCTTTGTATTGATCGCGTCGTCATATAAAGAGCCGAGGTATGATCGAATTGGCGTACAAGTCTAAGAAGCCGGGAAATCTCCGGTTCACTCTCTTTGAGAATGCAAGGTAACTGCTAGTTATTCAAACTGCTAGCTGGAGTCACCATATTTCAAGGATGCCCAGCGGTCGCAACAGGAGGAACCCGGGCCGCGGGTCAGGATTCTGACATTTGAAAAATTGTTTCCCAAACCCACAATGAGATGTTGCTTAATTTAAATCCTGTCCGGAAAACTTCTGTCCGAGCTTACTAGGTAGCAGGAGAAAGAAATTCATGAGGCTATTTTAACCCGGGCGCATAAACCTTCAGTTTCGGATTAACCCCAACACAGCATCGAGCCAAGAAGTTGAAACATGGCACCAGCACGCATCGAGGTTAGTTAGAGCTCGAGAAGACAAGCTCTGAATAATTGCCAACGCGTTTGCTGCCTGATTCACGCTTCCAAGGGCGGTTGGTCTTAGCTTGATTCAGAGTTAGGCCCGACCGAAGGCGAAACGGTGACAACCTTCGGCCGAGAGCGGCAAACTCTCGGAGCCGTCGATGTTTTTGCCTCGGATCGGTGGTTCATCGTATCTGATTCAACCGTTGATTTGCTGAGGCTCGTCGTCGGGGAGGAGAATGTAACCATTTGGAAGCTCCGAAACTCCCGACCAACTCGCCCGGAAATTGGAGCTCATTTGGCGAAGTGGGAAAGTCCGCGTGCGTCGTCCTTGCCTCGAGGCTTCTAAAGCCCCGACATATCCGCCTTTTTTGTTTCACTTGCAACTTATTTAATCACCCATGTTCATGATTTACCAGCGTACAGCTCGGCATCTCACTTCTTTCCTTGCCAAGCCAACTTACAGTGTACGACCGAGTGCATTCTTTCTTTCCACAATGAGACAGCCTCATTTGACAAACCTCGAGGCCACGCCTCTTCATGCGGACTTCATCCCTAGCCTGCAGCAGCCCACACAGCAGATTCTCTGGATTGGATGCTCGGATAGCTGCTTCCAAGAAACCAAGATTCTGGACCTTCTCCCCGATGAGATGATGGTACACCGGAATATGGGCAACATGATAATTGACGGCGACCTTTCCTGCGAAACTACTGTCAAGCACGCTGTGAGCGATCTGAACGTGCGGCATATCGTTGTTTGTGGTCATTATGGATGTGGAATCGTGAAATCGGAATCAAGAGACGGATTGCAGGGGCCTTGGTCAAGGTATGTGTTCGAACGGGTACGTTGGAGCGCGGGGCGGTAACTGACATGTGTATATAGCAAGCTCGACTCCCTCCATTCGATGCACAAGCACACAATCGACCAGCTTCCTTGCTCAGAGCACGATAACGCATTTGTCAAATTAAACGTTCTCGATCAACTGCGCTCTTTGCGCCGATTCCCCGAGGTCGCCCGCGCTGCAAAGACGGGAAGTCTACAGCTGCACGGAATTGTGTACGATACGAAGACTGGAACTGCCTCCCGACTCCTCGAAGAATCGTGAGGTTGAAGACTGATGTGCCTTCTAAACACCAAAAAGATACCCCAGACTGGATTGGAGGGGAAAATGGGAATAATGATAATGCATTTTGAGAATGAAGAAAAAAAAAATGAAATACTCCTATCAGAATAATCACTCCTTCTCTTCAGACTGAGACCCAGGAGAGAGGCAGTAAATCTTCTTAATGTCTGCCAGTGTCTTCTCAAAGTCGACGTGAAGATCCTTCAGCAGACCATCATGAAGATCAAAGACTAGGCCGTGAACAATGGGATATCCATGCTGCTGGAAGCTCTGCTGAACAGCAGCAGTCTTGATGACGTTTCGACAGGACTCAATGACGTTCAATTCAATCAGACGGTTGTATCGTGCACCCTCATCCGCAATCTGATCCAACTCCTTCTCATGCAGGCGATAGACATCACGAATGTTCCGGAGCCAAGGATTCAAAAGTCCCAAGTCCGCGGGGGTAAGCGCAGCCTTGACCCCTCCACAATTGTAGTGCCCACAGACAATGATGTGCTTGACGTGCAGATGTCTCACCGCGTAGTTGATTACGGACATGGCACTGAGATCGGTATTGGGGACGAGATTGGCGATATTGCGATGAACGAAGACTTCCCCGGCCTCTAGGCCCATGATTTCGTTGGCGGGGACGCGGCTATCACTGCAACCAATGTAGCTAGTTTTGGTTAGCCGAATATGAACGCTACGATTGGGGGTCAAAAGCCCCTAATATCCCGAGATCCTGGTTAGGCTACCCACAGATAGTTTGGAGCCTGTCCATCAGCAAGCTTGTCGAAGAACGCCGGATCCGTGCTTCTCTTGGAGGAAGCCCAGTCCCGGTTGTTCTTGAACAGGGTCTCGAGGGACTGTTTCAGGTATTTTTGCATGTCGACGGCTTTTTTCGGTGCAGATGAGCTCATGCTGATGAGTTATAGCGAAAGGGCGATTGGAGGTTTGACGGGCGGGTTGTCAAACACGAGGGGAAGAAAGGCGGAACGGACAAACACGTACTTTGGGGCCGACACATCAGTTTGTGGGGCACACTTGGGTGAATTTGGCACTTGGTATTTATGACTGGACTACATAGGAATGAGCCGGGGTGTAATAACCGTCATAGATTCGGGTCCACTGCTACATAGCCAAATCCGGATCCGACAATTGGCCCACCCCTTTTCAAGTGTTTGCAAGTGGCTCCGGTTCAAGGTCGGGTCTGAACAGGCAAGGAAACACTTCAACTTCATGTAGTGTGTCCCTATATGGCTTTTTTTTTTTGCCTCCACCTAAACTCACATTTCTCAGCTAATCCTGAGGCTCCTTCGCTATCTTCAATCTGTCGTAGATAACAATGCCACCTTGCGCCGTTATGGGCAAGGTCGACCCCTCCCGCGCCGGAGTCCGATAAGGCTAGGAATTGGGACACTTGGCCTCTCATTCAGTCGGATGAACTCCTTCAACTGACGATACTCTGAAATTTGTCAGAATCCAACATGGCATTTACCGTCCAGCCCTGTTTTCCGGCCGACGCCCCGGGCCTCGCCGCGACCATGATGGGCGCCCGCCTCACAGACCCCCATTGGGCGAACATGTGGGAAGATCCGAACTCCGAGGATATCATTTCCAAAGCCATTCACCGCGTTCCTTGGAACTTGGTTACCGGAAGAAATACTAAACGCCATCAAAAAGCGATCGATCTTGCGACCGGTAGCGTGGTCGGCTATGCCCGGTGGTGTCTCCCTTCCGATCTCGCCAAAAAGAGCGATGTTTGGTTAGAGGCTCAAGTAGCCGAGGGAACAGCAGCTGAGCGCGCGATTTATGAGAAACAGTATCAAGTTAACACTAAGAACGGACAAGCTATCGGTCTCAAGGGCGGAGAGATGAGGAATTATCGCAGTGCGCCTCTGGAAGCGGTGGATGCCAGGATTATGCGGGATGGACCCTTTCTCAGTAAGTGGACTCCACATGGTATAAAAGTTGCCTTTCATGACTGAAATACTCTGCAGCTCTTGATTATCTAACGACAGACCCTGCCTTCTGGCGGCGAGGCATTGGCAGCATGCTCGTGAAAAGTGGCCTTCGAATCGCCGACGTGCATGGAATCAAGACATATGTGATGTCGGAGCCCGCTGCGTTGAAGCTTTATCTCAATCTCGGGTTTGAGCTTGTAGATACTGTGTCGACCGATTATTCTCAATATGGGGGAACGGAGCCCATGGTCCATTATTTCCTAGTCCGCCAACCATGTCCATGAATGCGTCATAGCGTAGAAATATTTCATTCTTTTTTTTTTTTTTTCATTGGTCTTATATATTTCATGAGGTCTCAAAAACGGAATTCACTTAGATACAGTAGTGTAACAAAAGTTTGAAACCCCCTTCTAGACCGCCTTTTCCCACCGCTTACCATATCTCAATGACTGTCATAGTACGCATGCAGACCACGCACATCTTATGATAGATAAGGCGGAATGCGAGGCTTTTAGGTGGCAGAATTGAATGGCAGAATATTACGTAAAGTGGAGAGGGGGTTTCAAACTTTTGTTACACCACTGTAGTCTAGCTTCAAATATTCTGCAGAAGAACAGAGCAAGTTCCGAGATGATCTAATACGGAAAGACGAAAGAGCGCTTCAGGTTCAAGCTTCCTAGCTTCCTTTACCATAGTGCTAAGCATCTGTAAAGGCTCAACGTGGTCTTTCTACTGTTGCTGTCCGGTTCTAAATTCATTCATTTTTTGTTCGAAGTCATCGAGCAACTCATGCTTTAGAATTTTAGCGAGAATCTTTCTCTTATTGATAAGCTCATTCCTAACTTTGAAATTGAATGCCGGAGAGTCAATCCCGGTGACTGATACCTTGAGGCAATGTAAGAACGGAATACGACATGCTGCTTCGAGAGCATAGCGCAAGTAGCAAGTGCCGCGATTCTGACAGGCTAGAGTGGATCAAGATGATGGCACGAGCAGACATGAGAGACAACATCAAGTAAGTTTTGCTTGACACCTCACACTTCTTTTGCCAATGATCGAGAAAATCAATCGCTGTCATTAGCTTTGCTGTCCGTAACCACAACTGTCACGCACAAGGTACTCTGACAGATACTGTTTGAGCAGAGGCTGCAATGCCTGATACAATAACCGTGAGGTGGTTAATGATCACTATGATATACCCAGGTAGTATACTAAACTTCAAAAGCAAGGCTCTCCTTTGCTTCGTTGGTGGCGATGTATTGATGACAGTCAACAGAAGCCACGTAGGATATCCACAGTGAGAAATTCGACATCCGGTATTGATAATATATTTGATCCTTTCGCGAATTTTGGGAACGGTGCACTGGATTGGAAGAGAATTGAAGAAATTGACCTGGCCTCATAATTTAAATCAATCGCTCATTATAATAGGGGCGATAATAGTAGGCTAAGTATGGCGCTAAACCTTACATCATGAGTGGAGAAGGTGAGTTTGACTCCACCACTTCAAGAGCGGGGAAGAACACCACTGCGGCGCTACTCAATCGTGACTGCAAGTACAATTTATTTGGTAAATCAGAGCACCTCCGCAACGGCTCATTCGATAGACCTTAATAATCATCCACTGTCCAGAGGCACTCCTTCAACTCATCAGAAGTTGCAGTGTCACCGAACACACTTCATTTCTAATGGGATATCGAGACTTCTACTTGAGGAGGACTCACGTTCGCGCTCACTTATTTCGTCGGGACCCACATTAAATGGATTATTTCTAGTCAAAAAAGTCCCGTTCCGTATGGTGACAAAACTATTAACGTCACACAGATCTTATATCGTACCGCTTAGAGAAGATATGAGGCGGCTCTGAAAATCCCACTTTCGTTTCTTCAGATGCTAATTTTCGTTAAGCCTAGGTACTTTCGTGGCGTGAGGCACATGATTTTGTGGCTTCCTGTGAGAGGGGAACCTGCTCCCCAAGGTCAGTGCGGAGTTCGCCTTATCTGAGACATTCCTGCGCCCCCAGGATCACAGTTAGCGATGGAACGCCACCTAAGCGAAGCAAAGGAAATTAATCCCGACAGGGGAGCTTTAATATGCAGGTCAGGTCCTTATCACATTTCTGGCAAGCCCCCTCTTGCACCCTGCAGAGTAGGGACCGAGGCGCAACACCGCAGGGCGACCAGGGGTCACTTGCCGATCAGGGCGTAATATGTGAGTTGGGAGATGGCTTGCAACCTGAACACAAGGAACAAAGATGTTAGAGAGTTACATCATCTCCAATAGAAACTGTTCCATAGCAGGCGATCAGTTGGTGAGGGTCAAAGCTGGCAAGTCATGTCAAAGTAGCAACCACAGAATCACAAGCTATGAGAAGTCTAGACAGAGATCCCCGAGATACCGAGGAGGTTGAGTAAATTCAAGAGCATGGGCCCCCGGTATGTTTACCCAAGACTTGGACTTAAGTTGGGAATCAGAGGAAATGAGTGGACTGTGGGCTGTCCGCTCATGCAATTTGGGTTTGGGCCTCCCCGCATCCCCGCATTACGCTTGTAGATCGTCCCAGTCATTCCCTTTTACGGCTCCTTTGCGCATGTCCATTGATGTGATTGATGATAGGAGCTTGATTCCTCTTATAAACTAATTTTCCGGGGACATTTTTAGATCGTGTCGCACGCTGCATCGCCGTACAACACCATGCCAGGCAAAGAGGGAAAATTCGTCCTGGGCTCCAACCGGGGCCCTTTACTAACCAGCAATGCTGAGAACCAATTTTCTGCATCCGAATTGGAGAAAATTGAGTCTGCCGGTGGCCTTTCGTTACATAAAGTACCGACGCGCAAAGAGAAGCTCCAGCGACACTGGAAGCGATTCTGGCTCTTCTATTGCATCGGCAATGTCATTTTCCTAGCAATCTTTCTACCCATTCTGTAAGTTATCTCAAATCAGCTCTTAAGCGAGCTTATCATCTCTAATACCTCGTGCAGCTTTCTTGTCTGCATCCCGGCTATCGCACAGATGGTCGTTAACAAAGCGGATCTTCGAATTGTCAATGCGGATGTCATGCAGCCAAATCCAGACTCCGTCATGTTGACTCTACAATCAAAGGTGGATCTGAAGCTTGCACTTCCTGCTCGGATCGAACCTCTTGACTTCCATCTATTTATTCGCCAGGACGGATTTGGACCCAACTATCCGTACGCAGATCTCCCGATTCCCGGGCAGACTATCAGAGGCAACTATACTCTCGGCGTCAAGGATAATTTCACCCCGCTGCTGAACCAGACAACCTGGAAGGAATTTGTTAGGGAGATCGTGTTCCAAAAGGAAACAACACTTTCCCTCAAAGGCGTCACAAATGCGTACCTCGGAGTCCTAAAGTCTCATGTCACTTTGAACAAAGATGTGACTGTAGCTGGTAAGTGCGCACACGGTGTTTACACCTTCTGCTTCTGGCCATCACTCACTCATATTTGCTTCTTATCTTCTACCCATTGAATAATACACTCTGCTAACAATTCATAGCTTTGAATCAGTTCTCAGGACTCTCGATTTCCGATGCTACTCTCCTACTCCCAGCCAAATCCGACGGTACGAACCTCATTGGCAACATTACACTCCCTAATCCGACAGTGTTCACTCTCCAAGTCGGCACACTTAATCTGGATCTTCTGAGTGGCGATCTCCCGATTGGCAATGTCACTATAACCGACGTGACGTTGAAGCCCGGTGACAATACCTACCCATTGAATGGAGTCCTCGACCTCAAGAAAGTGATCGAGAACCTGGGTGAAGTTTTAAAATCACAGGCGTCGCTTCTCAAGACCGGCAACTTGACTTTAATCGCGAAGACGACCTCCATTCATTGGAACAACACCTATGTGCCCTATTATTCAGACGTGCTCCGTACCCTCTCACTCACGACAGCTGTCGGTGTCGGCGACATTGTTAAGAATACCTTGAAGAGCTTCCTGAACGGCAAGAATCTTACAGGGTTGCTAAGCAGCATAAGCACGCGGTCGCTGGATGGAAGAGATTTAAACGGGCCCGTTGAGATAGCCACCCTTATGAAACACGACAAGAGTATCCAGGATGCTTTCGAAGATATTAGCACAGAGAGGCGCGATAACATTATTGACTCTTTAATGGCGATGTATCCAACTCTCTGATTTAATTTCGGAGATTGATGTTGGAGTTAATGCCCTAATGAAATTACCTATTATGAACTGCTTTCTTAGTACTTGCTAGTCGCGGACAACCCTTTTTCTGGTGTGGATTAAGTCACATGCTACACAACGTTGTTGTTCTCATTGGGGTCTCACAGACTTACATTGAGCTTTAGCTACCGCTCTAAATAATTGTATCGTATGAATTTTGACTTTGGGCCATGCAGCTAACACGCCACCAATTTGTGAAGCCCCGAGTAGCAAAAAGTCGAGTAAGGCAGCCTGGGCGGAACCTTGGCGCCGAGGGTAGCCAAGAAACCCCACCATTGGGGTTCGACGCTGCCGAGGCGGCCCTGGCGGTGTTCCCCGGTCCCCGTGCCCTCTCTGTCTGGTGAATGCCAAGAAGCGCTCGAAGATTAGCGATGTCTGCGCCACTTTCCTCTTCTTCCGGTCCTTTCCCGCTCGACCTTCCCATATCAAAACAAGGGGATTTCAGTAGAAAAATGCCTCGCCTCCACCTACTAAAGCCAAAATCAAGACGCAAGCAGATTAGTGATGATTTCTGCTCTCATTCGCGGCATGGGGCTGTTGGACATAATTACGACGGGTAGTTAGCTCATGCAGACCAATTTTCTTATAGGAATTGTCGGGGGCCCCGCGCTTCTTATTATAAGCCCGATGCCCCAAGAATCTGCCGGATAACTTCGACCTTCGACCACAACCAACCAACGTACCAACCTCATGACGCAGAACTCCTGGCAAGATGGCTCTCCTATTTCTTGATTGTGATCAAGAATCACCCCCCGCGTAAATGGCGCAGCCTCCCGTCTCGGCGTCACGGCTTACTTACCCTGAGCAGTGAATTCCATCCTCGGCCAATTTTAGCCAACGCTCTTGGCTTGGATAGGCCAAGGAGTATAGCGACATTGGCACCCCATTAGCCCACATAAATCTCCTGATTGTGACCCTGGCGCTCTACCCTGACGCAAGCTAAGAGAATGCGCTTCTTGTCCTTCGTGCATGTGGATGTCGCGCAAATATTTTAATCCTCAGCGCCTGTGGTTCGATGTCTCCTCGGATACAGTCAGATCAAGTGGATACATGTGCCCTCCATCTAGTTACGATAGCCAAACCGAATCCCCGCCCAGATCCCCGAGGGTTTGCTTGGGGGCTTCTTAAATAGCGGCCCGATGTCCACGTTTTGATTCCGATAACTTTATCCTTCTCCTCCTTCTTCAACCGTGAAGATTTACGTTCACCGGGTCATATAAAACAGCTTTTTATTACACTGTGGGATCAGATTCGGAAGACCTTGTCTATAAACACTTGGAGCAGGCAGTAATCATTCGAAATGTCTGCTCCCAAGTTCGCCGGTCTCTCCGGCCCGTGGCTGATGAGAGCTGTGACTACCAGCGCCACGATGGGTTTCCTCTTATTCGGCTATGATCGTATGTTACCAAGCTCCTTATCACGAACAAGGGATACTGATACGCGATTTGGACAGAGGGTGTCATGAGTAGTATCATCGATGCCAAACCCTTCAACGACGTCTTCACTGCCACAAGAGGTAACTCTACCATGCAGGGTGTTGTCACTGCCATCTATGAGCTAGGTACGTCACAAAAAGGAAAGACAACAGACATGTTTAACAAGATGCAGGTTGTCTGGCTGGTGCAGTCTTCATTCTCATCTTCGGTGACTGGCTCGGCCGACGCAAGTCGATCATGCTAGGAGCCACTGTGATGGTCATCGGCGTCTTGATACAGGTTACTTCTTTCAGTGGCCACATCCCCTTGGCTCAGTTCTGCATCGGAAGAGTGGTCACCGGTGTTGGAAATGGAATGAATACATCTACTATTCCGACCTATCAGGCTGAATGCTCCCGATCTTCCAACCGTGGTCTTCTCATCTGTATCGAGGGTAGCACTGTGGCTATCGGAACATTGATTTCTTACTGGATCGACTTCGGCGCCTCTTATGGCCCTCCCGACCTTACTTGGCGCTTCCCTATCGCCTTCCAAATTGTCTTTGGTATTTTTATCATTGTCAGCCTGGCTGTTCTTCCGGAGTCCCCGCGTTGGTTGTTTATTCGTGAGCGATATGAAGAAGGTGAAACTGTCATTGCTGCTCTCGCGGCCAAGTCTATCGACGACCCTGACGTACAGCTGCAGAAGACCATTATTTTGGACTCCATTCGCGCGTATGTACTCTACTTCTCGAATTTCATTTCACAGGCGCCATGCTAACTTGCGTAGATCTGGCCAAGCTACCAAAAACACCCCTCTCTCGGCTGTTTTTACCGGTGGAAAGACACAACATTTCCGTCGCATGCTTCTCGGCTGTTCTTCTCAGTTCTTCCAGCAAATCGGTGGATGCAATGCGGTGATTTACTATCTACCCGTCCTCTTCAAGGATTCGCTCGGCCAAGATGAATTCATGTCAATGATTCTGGGTGGTGTCAACATGGTTGTGTACTCGATCTTTGCATGCATGTCTTGGTTTTTGATTGAGAGAGTTGGCCGCCGCAAGCTCTTCCTCGCCGGTACAGTTGGCCAGTGTCTATCCATGGTTCTAACCTTTGCCTGTTTGATTCCCGAACGGCCAGAACCAGCCAAGGGTGCAGCGGTTGGTCTGTTCATCTACATTGCCAGCTTCGGTGCAACTTGGCTTCCTCTGCCGTGGCTATACCCAGCCGAAATCTCTCCGATCAAGACCCGTGCAAAGGCGAACGCCATATCCACCTGCACAAACTGGTTGTTCAACTTCCTCATCGTTATGGTTACGCCCATCATGGTCCGAAATATCAGATGGGGCACATATCTGTTCTTTGCCTGTGTCAATGCTTGCTTCTTCCCTGTCATTTGGTTCCTCTATCCTGAGACTGCCGGTCGCTCTCTGGAGGAGATTGATCTGATTTTCGCTAAAGGATATTGCGAGAGCATGAGCTATGTGCGCGCTGCTAAGGAACTTCCTTTCCTGAGTGATGAAGAAATTGAACAAGCTGCCGTTCAGTATGGATTTGTTCCTGCTAATACTGGTGTCTCCAGTAGCCATGAAGACCGTGGAGAGAAGCCAGCCTCCAGCGATACCAGTGATGTGGAAAGGAACTAACTGGCGAGGGCCCTCATCATGACAACGTTCGTTCATTTAGGGATAGAATGTGATAGAGCTATATCTAGACTAATTTGACCTTGGATTTTGCGATAAGCTGAATCCAATTGTCAGTTATCCTAGTAACATTCTCTTGTATTCTACCAGGTGTTTCCGTTTCTTTACGGTCATAACATATTCCACAAGCTATATTTCATTCGATTCGTGCGGATTAGTTTATCTTGTGGCTTTTACTATTAAACTAATGAGAGTAGGAAAGCGGTTAAGATTGAGGCCTATAGGAGCTAGGCCGTACTAATGATCTATACGTTTGCCTCACGAAGCAGCTTGACCACGGCCTCATGTCCGTTCTCGGTCGCTAAGGAAAGCGGCGTCTCTCCACTCGAACCCTGAGAGTTAGGGTTAACACCTATAGCAAGAAGCAGTTTGACTACAGCTTCATGCCCAAATTCTGCCGCACAAGATAGGGGCGTCTGGCCATCTGCATTTTCGGAATCCGGAGGAACTCCCATTGCAAGCAGCAGATTGACTGATATTGCGTGCCCATTCCGTGCTTCCCACCATAGCGGCGTCTCTCCCCTAGAGTCCCTGAAATCAGGATTGACCCCGGGCGTCGCGAGAAGCAGCTCAACCACCGTCTTGTGCCCGTTTTGTGCTGCTAACCACAGTGGCGTCTCCCTGTCGGGATTCTGGGGCTCAGAGTGGACCCCGCTCTCAAGAAGAAGCTTGACCACCGCGTCGTGGCCGTTTTGTGCTGCCAATAACAGTGGTGTCTCTCCAGCAGCATTCTTAGATTCGGGGTTGGCGCCCTCTGCAAGTAGTATCCTCACTACTGCCTGGTGACCATTTCGTGCGGCCCGCCATAAAGGTGTCTCTCCATTGGTGTTCCGAGATTCAGGGTTTACGCGTTTGGTGGAGAGTAATAGCTTTACCAAGAAATCGTTTCCAGATTCCGCGGCGTATAGCAAAGGCGTCTGCCGGTCAGAACTCGTAGGGTCAGGATCAACGCTTTGTATGGCAATCAGATCCTTGACCACTCCATTATGCCCGTGATACACCTCCCACCACAATGGTGTGCGCCCCTGGGAGTCCTTGGAATTAGTACTCACGCCATCAGTGGCAAGAAACAGTCGCACTATTTCCTTATGCCCCATCCGTGCCGCGCAATTTAAGGGCGTCTCCCCGCCAGAATCTTGAGAATCTGAGCTGAGGTTCTCCGTTACAAGCAGTGCTCTGACTGTAGCCTCCTTCCCGTTGCACGCGGCCCACCATATCGGCGTGCGCCCTTTAGAATCCGAAGAATTTGGATCAACGCCCTTCGTGGTAAGCAATACCTTGACCACTGCCTCGTGCCCAGCCTCAGCCGCGAACGAGAGAGGTGTGCGCCCATCTGAGGCCCTCGCATCAGGGCTTACGCTATCCGTTGCGAGCAATATATTCACCACTTCCTCACGACCATGTCGCGCTGCCCACGATAGGGATGTGTAGCCATCGGCGCCCTTCGAGTCGGGATCCATATCATCCGCAGCCAATAAGAGCTTCGCGACCGCAGTATGACCATTTCTTGCCGCCCACCAGAGTGGTGTATGTCCGTCCGAGTCCTTACCACTAGGCTCAACGCCATTGGTGGCAAGGAGGAGTTTGACTATGGCCGCATGGCCAAGTTCTGCGGCCACCGACAAGGCTGTCTCACCTCGAGAGTTTTGGATCTCTGGACGGCTATTCTCCACAGCTAGCAGTAGCCTGATGACTGCGTCGTGCCCAAGCTCGGCTGCCACTATAAGAGCCGTCTCCCCCCCAAAAGTTCTGAAAGTTTGGATCCACACCTTCCGATAGTAACAGCTCAGCCACGGCATCGTGTCCATTGCGTGAGGCTAACAAGAGTGCTGTCTGGTAGCTCCAGTCTTCGGTATTGGGGTCGACACTCGGTGCGGCAAGCAACAGCCTGACAACTTCTTCGTGCCCATGCTGTGCTGCTAACAACAGCGCTGTCTTGCCTTCCCAGATTTCCTCGCGGTGGTCAGGGTCAATACCCTCCGTGGTGAGCAACATATCGACTATTGCCTCATGTCCGTTCCGTGCGGCCAATGAGAGTGGCTGCGGATCGTCCGGATCGCATGTTTGAGTGTTAATCTCAAGTCTCTCCGTGGAGATTAGCAGCTTGACCGCTGCCGTATGACCATGCTTTGATGCATATTTTAGCGGCTCGACTCCTCTAGTAAAGGTCTCAAGAAAACTGTACAGAGTCTTGTCCAGAGTGTCGAGTTTTTCCAGTTCCCATGAAGGAAGCGATCCTAGGTCGGACAAGGCGAGCTTGATGTCGATGTCAACTCCGAGAGAGGCATATAGGTGGTCGAAGAGGTAGAAGACGAATGAATTCAACAGCGTATCCGGAGAAGCACTGTCATCGAGGAAAGCAAGAATCAGCATCGCAGCCTTGCGACCCTTCCGCAGAGTTTGTTGCGGCCGATTATGATCATCTCCTGTCAACGTTCTCAGAAGATTTCTTGCCAGCCCAAGCAGTTGCGGGGCCAACAGGCTCCGTTCATAGAGCGCAGCCATTATTCGAATTGTTCCGGATCTTCCTCAAGGTGATAAGTTCGGCCGAAGAGTTCACAGCCTCTCGGAGTAGGTAGAGGATGCTCTTTGTTACTTAGTGCGTTATGTTCAATGACTCATCTTGTACCTAGGGTCTGAAGCCCGAGACTACCCATTGTAGACCATTGGATCACGTACGATGCCAACTTACACTTTAGTACAAAAGACGCGTGGCTAGGGCCAAATGGCGGGTCTGGTAGAAGGCCATCCGGAAAACTAGGCTCGCTTGAACCCGAGTTGGGCCGAGAGAAATATATGCCGGATCGACGAGATACAGTCCGCGCTAGTATGGCGCTAGTATAGAGTTTTGTGTCATCGGACATGGACCTCCTTGAACTACCTACCTGTCGCCTGTGCTTTAATGCATATTCACCGAAATCGAATGCAACCCGTAGTTCTTAAGCGACATATCTATATGTAATACCATCTAAAGCGGGTGGGAGACACCAGTGACTAGATCTTGACAACGGAGCTCTGACGCCAAAACAAGAGTATTTACTTCCCCTGAGAACTGTGCTTGAAATCCTATGATTCTTCTCCGCGCCTACAATAACTGCTCTGACAGACCTGTCACTATTGCGCTGCACTCTTTCAAATTTGACAAAGAAAAGCAAGATGAGGAAAACTAGTTGGAACCAGTCATCCAGGCCAACGCTTTGCTTTTGCCCCTAGAATTCCCATAGAAGAAATATGTGGTCCTGACGTGGCATGCACTCTCCTCATAGGGATAGAAGGCGATCTTTCTCGATTGTCCATTGTCGCATCGGTGTTGTGGCTAGATCTGCTCTTCCAACCACCAGATCCCCGTAGGATTTCCGAATTTACACCTTTATACGCCTGGTTATAGTTGTGACACTCGCCAGCGTACTTCACTTGGAGATCGTTACTAGCGCATGCCTTGAAGTCAGACAACTCTGCCCAATAATGAGAAAAAGACCTCTCCTCGAGAGGACTTGCCTTCATTCCCCCAATATCCCGATAAATTAAACTGCCCCTAAGCTGAACGGACGACCCAGGCTTCTTGGTATAAATTGGCTTAAACCCAGGGTACCCTGGCTGATGAGCCAAGGAAAGTAGCGCGCGAAGCCTGAATACTGTCAACAGCTTCCCTATCCGAACTAGCAGCTTTTCCTGCTGCGATTGACATGTTTCTAGCCGTCAACAGCATACAACCGAGGAGACTTTCATCGGCTGCATTGAAATCGATAGTCCGATTACCGGCCGGGTGCACAACCGTGACACCTTCGTCAATATACAACCAGTATTGGACCTCGATCGCAATTAAACAGGACAGAAAAATGTCTGCAAAGCCCAGGGTGAATGCAAAACTCTGGGCTGTTAGGTATGAGGGGACAACCGGGGACTATATAGAACCACGCACGGACATGCACAGCGACCGGTGGCGGTAAGCCGGGACTGCTCCATAGTGACAAACCCTGAAATGGAAAATATCAAGTCCGATATGGTGTAGTGGCTAACATCGCCGTCTCTCACACGGCAGCCGGGGGTTCGATTCCCCCTATCGGAGTTAAATTATTCATTTTTGAAACTTTTCAGGTCCCATTAATTAAAGTTAAGGTTGTTAAGGGGGCTAGAATTAATTTTTTGAGAGTAGTACGGAGCGGTGTTCGGGTATAGAGCAGTGTCAAAAGAAAAGCGAGAAGAGTAGCAGTCGGGCAAAACTCAAACATGTTGGCGACGATTATCCTGCACCCCGCAGAGAACCTGGTATAGAGTCTATCCCTGTCCAGGGCTTCGTGGCCCATGACTCGATAGCTTCCAGCCAAACCATGCGGCTTGCAGCTTAAACTGTGACAGATTCCCAGACTGCGTATCGAAGCAGAGACCCCAGATCAGTAGTACCATCACAAGCTAAGACTGAACCACTCTTAAGTTCCTTTAAACGGTCAAGAGTTTTATCAATGATCTCGCCCATCCCACTCGCGTGGAAAATTTTTGCAAGTCGATAGTGGCAGTCTAACAAGACCAAGTGTGGAAGACGAGACTCTGACTCAGGCTGGGATGCATGAGAGCCCCCGAAAAGGCGTACAGAAACAAGGGAGACAAACACAAGCAGGCAGTGATGGCGATGGAGATATCCGCCATTGGTTACATGACCATCCATGTAATTATTCGTCACTCTTTCTTCCCCCAAGCTGGACACCCATGGTCTCAAGCTAGCTTTCTTCTCTAAAGCCTCTTCTTCGTAAATATCATTATGGTAACCAATACCCGAACGACCTGCTTCGACGCTCGATTGCTCCGCGGCCTTGTAGGCACTACGGTCACCACATATGACCTTGTCTCGGATGGTGCGTCCCCAGAATATACCTCCCTTACCCCTTCCACAGAGGCCTCTCGCGCTATGACCTCCCCCGACACACACTCTGCTCTGACGGCTTCTCCACTGACAGTCGTATCTGCCTCGTCAGGGATCTCCCGAACGTGGGTCATCATGGAGAAACTCTCGGAGAGGTCAGCTCCTATGACAGCTCATGATATCAAGATGTGCCGCGGGTCAGCTAAGACTGTTGGCAAGGGTTTGTGCCACCTTGCAGAGGACCGAAATCAAATAGCGTTCATGCGTATCTACCAACAGATTCCTATCTCAGGAACGGAGGATGCTGATCCCGACACATTGGCTAGACAGGCCGTTCCTCCTGGAGTGTGTGGCGAACTAGAGTCCTTCAAAATGTTGCAGAGTGGACGCTGTAGCGCTGTTCCTCGCTTTCTTGGCCATGCAGAAAGTACACAAGGAGACGACGGCCTCGTTCCTGGCGGCTACATTAGATACCTTGTGTGGGAAAAGGTCCCTGGGGGGCAAGGGGAGAGAGGAGTTCTTCTGGGGCTTGGATGACACCGCACGCAAAGACATCCGTTCTAAGTTCCGTGCTGCCTATGAGTAAGTCCATGCAAATCCCAAGGCAGATAGGCGGGATATTGATACAAAAAAAAGACAGGTACTTGGTTGCGGGGTAGCACCAGGCCAGTCCAGAATCTCAAAGATTATCTTTGACCACTTCACAGGCAGTCTGTACGTCAGACATGCTATTTAAATGCATTAGAAATATACACTGACGAATTACAGTCACATTTCGGGGTTCCGAAGGGGATGGCCAATTATCAGTAAAACTGAATGGTTGGAGGCTCGTTATATCGGGTTTGAATTGGCGAAGTCAAGCAGAGAGAGAAACTGGTACCTTCACCCCGAAAAATGGCAGTGGTAAACAGTCGCAATCAGTTAGAATGAAGTTCAGTTCGAATCGCTGCAGTCCGAATTACACTTTCTCCACTATCTCTTGCTACTCTGGCTCTTGAGAGTGTAAGTACCTGTCATATGGAGATAGTATCACGAAGTCTCATTCACCAACATAGCTGCATTATCTCAAGGTATGCATCTAAGATGGCTCTGTGGGCTAGCTTATTTTTCAAATGCTGTATAGCCTTTGCATTCCACCTAGACATATAGACCATGTGGCCGGTTTTCCAGTAAGTGAAGCTAAGGTTATAAGCCCTCTGCCTCTTTCAGTAGCACATGCGAAGCCTAGTCAAAAAGCACTAGCACTAGCATGAAGACTGTACCGATATGGATAAATTACACAGAGTTAGAGCGATCGGTTATAATCTTATGGAGCTAGATCTTTCAGTTACCATTGAGGCCTTTTTTTTATTGGAATCAGGTATCAAGTGGGAAGTGGTTGTTGACGAGTCAACAGTGAACCACGCTTTTTCACTTAATCATACAGTAAAATTCGAAAACAGGTTACCCCCCCAGACACACTGCCTTTCTTTCCCAGAGCCTCATTTAGATATCGCTAAACCGGATTCGGTCATAGGCAGCTCCTCCATCTTTTCTTGATGTATTTCTGGTATATAATTGCTGGCAGAAGATTACCACCTGAGGTGTCTACGTTGCTATATTAAGCACTCAAGTGGAGTTTTAGCCCTAGGCCACTGTCGTCCGCCGTACGGCCCGAGACCAGCCCCCTCTAAAACTAAGCTTTTAACAAAAAATATGCAACGAAAATCCTCACACACGAAAAGCCAAAGCCGACCAAGCAAAACGCAAGGCCCCTCCAATATGGCCAACCCACCCATACCATGCAACTCGTCCCCAAAATGCGACCCTAACAGATGAAGTCACTCCTTAATTGAAAATCCCCACCACCTCCGCCAACGAATCCACCACGAAATCCGGCCCCGCCGCCAAACACGCCGCCGGATCCCCATACCCAAACCGGCACCAACACACCTTACTCCCGATATTGCGCGCAAACTGCACGTCCGCCAGCGTATCGCCCACCACCATCACAGACGCCGGGTCCACGGCGCCCAGCCCGTAGTTCTCGCGCAGCATGGGCAGCAGAACGTTCACGAAGCTGGCCGGGTCGGGCTTGCGCTTCGCGCCAGGCGTCTTGTCACCGATAATCAGGTCGTCCAGCACGGCGCCGGCGAGACCATTGCGCTCGAGGGCGGTCTTGACGGCTGCCACGCCCTTGTTGCTCACGATGGCGATGGGGATCTGGCGGGATGTGAGGGCGGCGAGCAGTGCTTGGGCACCTGGGAAGGCTTTGACGAGGGTTTGGCCGTGGGTGGCGTAGAGGGCGCGGTATTGGTCGATCCATTGGGATTCCACGGCGGGGGTGAAGGCGGCGGGGTTGGGGTGGAGGGCTTGGAAGGTGTCGGCCAGGCCGGCGCCACTGGCGATGAGGCGGTGGATGGAGTCTTGGGGAGGAACTTGGGCGGGGAGGAGGGCGTCGAAGGTCAGTTTGATGGTTTGTGAGATGGACTCGTGAGTGTCGAAGAGGGTGCCGTCGAAGTCGAAGATGGCGAGGGTGGTCATGGTGGCGGCGGTGGTGAGTGCAACGGGCGCAATTGGAGTGTAATTGGAGAGATGGGATGATAATTCGCGCCAGGGCTTGAAAAGCAGGAGACCAGATGTGGGTTTCAAGATATGGTCAGTCTCTCTAGAGCCATCATGGAAAGTCGCCTGTGAAGCGAACCCCGCACGAGATAGAGCTCAAGACCGAAAAAAAAAAAACAAATAAAAAGACAGGGATCTGCTTAGTGCTGAAGAGGGTTGCACGAAACGATGCAGCTAATGTGACCTTGCGAGACTTCTGCGGCGTAAGAAAAGCCAGTGACTAACACTCTGACCTAATCCTATCAGTCTCTCCATGTATGACCATATTGTCTGACCGTGAAGCCTTCTAGGCCCGCAATCAGCAAGTAATTTCGGAGATCTTGTGGAGTTACCCTTGAGAAGACCAGAGACCCACCGGACCGTCCACTGCGGGAAAATATAGTGAACTATGGTAAACTACGGAAAACACCTGGTAAATTCATCCCAGCCGATGTATGCATACCTAGCCTGAACACACATACAGACTCAGCCTGGCCCCAGATTCCAATAAAGATGCGCGCTATCTCAAAAGCTCGAAGATCGTAACCCCAGATCTTCACCAATTCCTCTCGCCGTAGACACGCAATCAACCACACAACCACAATGACACTCACCACCGACTCCAAGGGCCCTGCCCCCATAATCGAAGTCCCCTCAACCCCAGCCCTCACAGCCCTAATGACAACCTTCTGCGCCCCCTCCACAACCCCAAAAACAATGCAAGACACCATCCACGCTCTTACCCACCAAATCCTCACGACAGCGCACACCTACGACCCAACCCTCGCCCACACCCCCACAACCCTAATCCCCATTCTCCGCGGCGCACTCCCCATGCTCGTCGCCGCACAGCCTAACCTCCCACTCTCCTCCAGCATCCTCGCCCGCTGCAGCAAGACCAAAGGCACCGCCGACGTGGTCGTCGAGTGGCTCGGCCGGCGCCCGTTCCCGGCGGCGCATGACGACGGCCGGCTCGTCGTGCTGGACACGGTCGTAGCGACGGGCGACACGATCGTGCAGCTGTGCGCGGAGTTGTGGGTACTCAGCGGTGGTACTGCGTCCGTGGTGGTATGCTGCTGCTATGCGGCGCCGGCTGCGCTGAAGCGGGTTGCGGCGTGTCCGGGCGTGAAGTGTGTGGTTGTGGGGCGGCGGGCGGAGCGGTGCGATGAGCGGGGATATCTGGTGCCGTATACGCATGGTGATATTGGGGATAAGATCTATGGGGGGAGAATGGTTGAGGCGGAGGGACCGGTTGTGGCGGCGGGGGAGGATGTGTCGCGGGTGGTGGTGGGGGTGGAGGGTTTGCTGGTTGAGAATGGCGGGGCGTGGCGGTTGGAGAGTGAGGGATTGGCGATTCAGCGAGACTTTCAGTTTGTGGGGTTTAATCAGGCGTGGGTGAGTGGTGGTTTTGCTTCTTGCCCTTGATATGGTTCCTATGCTGACTGGTTCGATTCAATAAGGCGTTCATGAACAAGGTGGCAGAGGCTGCGAAGGAACATCGGCATCATCCCGAGTGGACGAATGTGAGTGCGAATCCAATCATACCAAGCGAACGAGGGGAATCATCTACGCGGGCTGTATGGTAGTGGGTTCCAAGCTAGGGCTAATGGCATGCGATAGATCTATAACAACGTTTCCATCCGGTGGACCACTCACGACCCCAAAGGCTTGACAAGTTTAGATGTGAATATGGCCCAACTATGTGATAGCTATGTATAAATAGAGTGTTTTTTTGCAATGAACGGTGCAGTTTAAACCTTTTTCGCGATCGTGGGGCCCGCGAGAACCATCCTTCCAGCCACGAAGAAAAGCACCCCGGCAGTCATCATGGCCCCGGCAAAGACCTGTAATCCCCAATAGGTGCCGTTCTGGCTGTTTAAGATGGCGCCCGCAATGGGACTACCCGTCAGCGAGGCGATACTGATACAGGTAAACAAGACACCCTGCCGAACCCCGATCTTGGTCATATCGGGCGAAATCTGGCTCAGCAGCGCCGGGACCATGCCCACAAACGCACCGGAGGCAAAGCCATACAGCATGCTGAAGATAACGTAGACCGCTACACTGCCGGGCGAGAGGAGTGTGCCCGGAAGCCACAGAGCCAGAATCACGACCGCGGACAGGGAGCACATGGCGATCATGATATTGAAGCGTCCCAGTTTGTCACCGAGATAGCCCGGTAGAATTCGGCCCGGGAGACTTTCAGCCCAGGTGGAAGACAAGGCATTAGCCAAACCACTCTTATTATCTGAACGTGAACTGTAGAAAGGAGGGATCGACCAGGACTGGCTGTTACTCACCTGGCGGCATTCAGTATAGTCAAGAGATACCCAGCGAGATCGCGGTCAACTCCATCTTGCTGGGCTTCAAGCACGATATAATTGATTGGCACAAACATGGCAAAGAATCCACAACAGGACGCCAGCATGAGCAGGACAAACGGGATCTCGGAGAACGGGCTCGTGTAATCACTGAACTTGACGGGCCGCGGGACCGGTGCAATTCTCGACCGGACCGTCAGATTGGCAATGATCAGGAGGGCAAGAATAATGAAGGCAGCGATGCGCAGCGTCCATCCAAAGCCAATCGTAGGCAAGAGTCGCGACAGCATCGTTGGAAACACGACGCCGCCCAGCGAGGAGCCGCTGGATACGACACCAAAGGCCAAGGCACGGCGTTTGTCGAACCATGTGGCGACACAGGAGAGCGCGGGAGAGAAGACCAAGCTGGCTCCTAGCGGGCTGCAGATCCCTTGGGCAAGGAAGAGTTGGTAATACTCCTTGGAAATCGAGGTCATCATCAGCCCGAAGACATGCAGGAAGGTCCCGATGGGCAGCAGCCACTTGGGTCCATGATTATCGAATACCTGGCGAGACCATGAGGATTAGTGATTATTCGTCCCTTAACCGGGAGTTCTGAACCCTCCTCGTTCTGCGAAGTTCGGAGCTGAACTC